CGACACAGAAAGCCATTACGGCTGCTTCAGCAAGCAACGACCACCTGGTCCTTGTCACTGGAGGTCAGGTGCTGGCCTCGTTTGATATTCAAAATAACACCCAGCTCATAATGGAGAAGGATCTTGGCGTGGACCAGCAAATCTCCGGCGTGACGGTTCCGTCTAGCCCTCCGGGGGTCTGCATTGTCGGATTTCCTCAATCAGCTAAGATCTCTATCATTGACATCAACAACCTATCTGAACTTCAGACTAAGTCATTAGGGGAGACGGGCGAGGCGTTTCCTAGATCCGTTTTGGTAGCCAACGTGCTCGCTGATAGTCCGCCTACCCTCTTCATCTCTATGGCTGATGGCAGCGTGATCACATTCTCTTTGGACCCTAAGGACTATTCCTTGACCGGTATGAACAGGCTGATTCTCGGATCTGAACAACCAACGTTCAAAAAGCTCCCTCGGGGAGATGGGCTGTACAATGTGTTCGCAACCTGCGAGAACCCTAGTCTTATTTATGGTTCTGAAGGGCGTATCATTTACTCGGCAGTCAACTCTGAAGGTGCATCTCGCATATGCCACCTGAACGCGGAGGCATACCCTAATTCTATCGCCGTGGCTACCGCACGCGAGCTCAAGATTGCCCTAGTTGACAAAGAACGAACAACACAAATCCAGACCCTCCCGATGGGATCTACAGTCCGCCGTGTTGCCTACTCCCCATCCGAAAAGGCATTTGGACTGGGCACGATTGATCGGAAGCTAGAGGATGGACTAGAAGCTGTGAAGAGTCACTTTGTGCTAGCCGACGAAATTCTGTTTCGGCGCCTGGATGCGTTGGAGCTTAAAGCGGACGAACTGATAGAGAGCGTAATCCGCGCTGAACTCCCGGCTGGGAAGGATGAACTTGGAAATGAAACAACTAAAGATCGGTTTGTCGTTGGTACTTCATATCTGAACGAAACCAGGGAAGGTTCAATCCGCGGGCGGATTCTTGTCCTAGAGGTTGACCATGGGCGCAAATTGACCCAGGTCGCCGAGTTACAAGTGAAAGGTGGATGTCGGGCATTGGCCATGCTTGGTGACAAAATTGTTGCGGCACTTGTCAAGACTGTGAGCAAACTTTACTTTTTGACAAAGTATATGGGGGTTATACTAATTTCCTTTCTAGGTTGTCGTCTACAAAGTGGTCATTAATAATTTCGGGTCAATCAAGATTGAAAAGCTCGCAAGCTACCGTACATCAACAGCGCCAGTTGATCTGACCGTTGTCAACGATATGATAATAGTCGCTGATCTCATGAAGAGTGTCTGTATCGTCAAATATCTCCCGGGCCAGGATGGTGCCGACAACGAGCTGGTTGAAGTTGCTCGGCATTACCAAACCGTATGGAGTACAGCTGTTGCTTCTATTGATGATGATACGCTTCTCGTGAGCGAAACCCAAGGCAATCTGATTGTCTTGTCCCGAAATACAAACGGCGTCACAGACCAAGATAAGCAACGCCTTATGCCCACCAGCGAGATTGCCCTCGGCGAAATGGTCAACCGCATTCGTCCAATTAATATCCCTCAGCTTGGCACAGTGATGGTAACTCCACGAGCTTTTATGGCAACCGTACGTGTCTTTCTATCTTGTTCATATCCATGCATGGGCAATTGACTAACGTTTTGCTCCCCTTACAGGTCGAGGGCTCCATTTATTTGTTCGCACTCATCAACCCTGAACACCAAGACTTCCTGATGACCCTCCAAAGCGTCATCGCTAGTAAGATAGATTCATTGGGTGATCTATCTTTTGATACCTTCCGAGCATTCCGCACTCTGACTCGCTCCGCTGACGCACCCTACCGTTTTGTTGACGGCGAGCTCATCGAGAAATTCCTTGCCTGTGAACCACTCCTGCAAGAGGAGATCGTAGCGGACGTTGGCTCTAGCGACGTGGAAGAGGTGAAAGGAATGATCGAGGCATTGCGGAGATTGCATTAACGTGTACGGCAACTTTATGTTACTATTTTGATGACTGGGCGAATGGCATGCATGATGGGTTCAATACAATTGTTAGATTTTTTTTTTGCCAATGGTAGATAGGTCATCAGTCTGGTGGACCGTCTTGAGTTTCAAAATTGGGAATCCCTATTATACCTACGTGAAATCCCTCTTTTCTAAGATTGCCTTCCAAGGTCTTTTACTCGAATCTCTATAATTGTATTGGCCTGCAAGCCATTTGATACAATGACTCCGTCAAGAGTTAAACCTTGATTTATTTGGCAGCGAAATCAAGAATCGATAGGTAGTGAATATAATCCATTATGTGTAGCTAAGTAGCAATTAAGCTAAATTGTGTCTCAATAATAAAGTTAATACAGTGTGAGAATCGTGAAGAAAAAAAATAATACACAGCGCTCGTCTATGAATTTTGGTTCTTGCTAAGTTTCTCCCCAGCCCATAAATGTCGAGATCAAGCCTTCTTCTTGTCATCCTCGTTGTCCGATTCACTCCAGTCAAGGAGCTCCAGAAGCTGCTCCTCAGACAGTTCCTCGGCACGCTTGCCATTCTGTTTCTCGAGATTCTTCACGTACTTCTTTTGGCGCTTGCGAGCCATCTTGTTCCACTCAGGCACACCACTGGCTAGAGCCAAGTTCTCCTCGCCCTCCTCAAGCTCATCCTCGGTGTCAACCTCACCCAGCACTTTGCCGGTCTCACCAGCACGCAACGAATTGGCGGACTTCTTGGCCTTCTTGCCATTCAGCGCGGCTCTCTCCTTCTCCTTCTTCTCCTTTTCCTTGCGACGGTCCCGATCATGCAGGAACTTGAAAAACTTCTCGATGTAGGGACGGATGAGGACGTAGAAGATGACAGATCCAATGACCTTGGTCCAGCGGCCAACGCTCACTTCGGCAAAGGAGTTGTAAAGATTGCGGCCGAAGCGGCAAATGGCTTCGTAGATTACGCCGAAGATCTGGTTGAAGAAGTCGGCGGCGGCCTCGGCGGCAACGTCGCTCATATCGGGCTGGGTTTCAGCCATGGCGGACGAGTTCTGATGAAAGTCTCTGCTTCACTTTTTTTGTTTGTTGGGGGGCGAGCTCGGGAGGCGGCGGATGCGTCGACTTTCAATTTTCCGAATAGGAAGAATTGAACTTCCAGTGACGTGTAGAGGTACAGACGATGTGGGGAGAAAAGAAAATGAGACGAGCACAATGGAGGTGTGCGCGACTCAGATGATGGAGGGGTGACAAAAGGCGAGAGAGAGAAGCGTCCCGTGTCTTCTATCCTCTTCTTGCTAAACGAAAAAATAACCATATGCGGAAGGAGCGACCCTTTTCGGACAAACCATTCTTCCGCCAACGCGTTATCAGCCAATCAGCATCTGTCATATCATGTATTGCGCGCGCGCCTGCACCTTGATGCTTCCTTATCCATTCAACGTCAACAAGATGTCGCAAAACGAACAAGAGGCAGGCCAGAACCAGGCTGAGGTCAGTCAACGTGTAAACCTTATTTGAGTTCCAGAAAACCAACATCATTCATAGCGCCTGAAAATCGAACTGTACGATTGTGTGAGCAAAATTGTGGACGAGGAGACCTTGAAGCTCGATGCCATGGCCACGCCACAATTCACCAACGCTCTGCTGGAGCTAGCATGGTCACATCTCGGTATGTCTTCTTGGAGTATTGATAGGAGTCCGGGCACCATTGTGCCTTTCCGATTAAGTCCAGCATCACTGACGACAACTCAGAGTCTGCTGTTGTTGACGTTGAGGCTTTTGCCAAGTAAGTCAACCCAAAGCTCCCACGGAGGAAGCTAGTCAAGCACGATATTCTGTTTGATTTGTTCGGAATCCATTCCCATCAGTTACACATGTCTGATCAGCATTTCCATTCTAGGCATGCTGGTCGGTCAACGGTCACCCCAGCTGATGTGCTGATGCTCTGTCGCCGCAATGATGGGTTGAACCAGACCCTGCAGACATACATGGCGCACCTGGAGAGCGAACGCGAAGAGGCCTCTTGAATGGCGGGCGGATTGGCTGTTGCATAACTGCCCTATCCTGTACAAGCCACTGTCACCAAAGTACAGACGCTCACTCCCCAGCATCCCAAGCATTGACACAAGCCCATCGCTGGCGAAACCTCGGCCCCCTCATACTCGGGGCTAGGGCCCCTGTGGCCCATGATATAGGACTAATTCCCACACCCCTGCAATAACTCAATTGATGCCATTCGTATGCAACCTGGGCTGGTCAGATGAATTCCTTCGAAAACGCTTCGAGTGTTTCTCTGAATGCATGAGAAATCTTTCTCAGCAAATCCTGACAGCCTCTATGGATGCTTTTCCCTAGAGCCCAGCCTTCATGACGCCGTTGCCTGGCAATACTGAAGCTGTCGAAGCTGTCGTCTCGGTTCACCGGCTAGGTTTTAGCCCGCTACTTGATTTTCTATTGGCATGAATAATCAAAGCCGATCATCAGATGACGACGTTTTCCCTCGGAAATTGGTGGTCCCTGGAAAAGGCTCAAGTGACAAGGATTGTTGTCAGCCCCGGCGTTAGACTAGTGAATTCAGCAATCCATAACTCTCCCAAAAGACCCAGTCACAAGGTCGTCGTGAAATCAAACACTGCATCTACATCAATTCCAGCTCACGATAGATGACGTCGAATGAATACATACTTTATTAATAACATAAGTCTTGCCTTCCACCTTTCTTATCCCGGCATTATACCTCATTTCCGATTATACATGGCTACGTACGTAGCCTACAGCCACCTTTTCCGTGGTAGTTCAGGTAGTGAAAATACCCGCCCTCGAGGAAAGTCAAACGATCGAACTGTTTGAAACCAATCCTCAATTTCAAGAATCCCAACCTTCTCATCCCCCCCCCTCTAACTTTCATTTGGGTGATCGAGGCGGGATGTCCAAAAATATTGTTGGACCAGCCGCCTCCAGAAATTACCCCTCGAGGCCGCCGCCTTTGTCAAGCCCCTCGCATAAGCTTGGCACGCGCTAAATGTCTCGCCCTTTAAAGTTGGCGACTCTGCTTGTCGGGTACGGACCAATCGGGCCCGGCGTCATGTAGGTGCTGAAGCTGCAAGGTGCAAACGGCATCTTGAAATCCCAGAGGCTATGTGTTGATTCTAGCGCGGCGCTCATCCTTGACTCGCGCGAGGTTGATATTGCATCGCATGTGCACGAACTTATAGAGGGTGTTGGCACTGACGTGATTTGTGGCGCGGCAGATATGGAGAAGGCGTTCCTAGCTGTCAACCCAGCCTGCCGCGCGCAGGGGACTTTCCAAGGGTCTGGTTGGTTGGGGATAGAAACCTGCTTTGCTGGTTAACAAGACAATGTACAGTATAATCTGCGGATTTTTACCCCTGTATCCCCTAACAGACTCCTACGTAAGCTCTACTAGCTAAGTAAATTCTATTATTATTGGGATGAGACCACAGCTACGACCATCTAGCATCAAGTATGTCGGTACGAAAGCCTTCCGAAGAGAACCAAGATAATCTAGTAGATGGCTTCTAGTTCCATTAGTGTTGCCTAGGCGGCCTAATCTTTATAACATGCATAAAACGCAGCTAGACTATTCGTAGGTAACACCCCGAAACTTAATCATTGATGATCGCACTCTTGAAATTGGATCTACACTTTTCAAGGTTGGATTCAATTTGAGATACATGGATTCTGAAGCAAGTTTATAGAAGTTCCATACTCTCCCATCTACCGGATTTAATCTCCTAACTTATTTGGCAATGTGTACTTACACATGAACCCCTTGGAGCTCACGTTGGAATTCATAGAGGATTAAGATAAGGATCTATACATTATTAGAAAACAAGCCATGAGTCCGCCTACCTTCTACGTATTCATGCTATCTATCAAATCATATCTGGGATCGACATACGTCGTTCATTCGCGGGGGTGTACTGTATGGTAAGGGAAGTGAGGAGATGTGGGATCAACTCGATCGATATGCGCCTGGGTACCGTGGGACTAAGACCCTAGGGGATGATTCGACGATTGGATTTAATATAGAACAAATACTGAGGAATAATGGGTACCCGCTGAGGATCATAGAAAGCTAATTCAATTAGTGCTACAGTATGTACCACTTTTAGAAAATCTACATAGTAGACGTACAATCAAGAATTGCATAAATAGGCAGAATGATTTTAATCATGTGCATGTATGACTTGTCCATCTCCACATTCTATGCGGAGTAACAGTTAACTGCATGAAACAATACGTCAATGGTCAAGGGGCGTCATAGCGGAGTGGCTGGATGATTTTTATTTTTATTTTTATTTATTTCTTTTCGGGTTAGAACTTAAAAATCGATAAAAATGAAAGTTCTAATTTCTTCTTTTCTTCACATGCGGTGGCGCATGAGCACGAGCAAATCAGCACTTTATGAAGCTGGGGCGCCGCCCCCAAAGCGGCAACGTGGGTCTCAATATTAGGGAGGTGATGTCATTCGGCCCACGCATGGCTGTGGCTGAGACCCTCCCAGCCATTCAAAAATGCCCTTGTGCCATGGTTCAGTGGGTTCCAAATCCACTGATCTTCAACAATTGCGTCTTGGTCGGCTCAGGGTCTTTTATTAAATCTGCCTGAATCCTGTTGCCTTCTTCTTCAGTCTCTTTTCAAATACCCAGTTGCGCCTCCTTCAACACTCGAATCATCAAAGTCATCAAAATCATTCTACATCATGGGTGCAGCTGGTGGAGTATTTCTACGCTTCTGCGGGCTCCTTATTCGTGTACTGCAATTCCTTGACGCCGCCGTCATCCTCGGTATCTTCTCATACTACCTCGCTATCCTCTCAAAACATGATCAAACCATCGATACATGGCTGAAGGCCGTTGAAGGCCTGTCCGGTGCAGCCACATTATACAGTCTGCTCGGAATACTCTTCGTCTGCTGCCTTGGTGGCGTTACATTCTTCGCTTTTCTCGGCGTGGTCTTCGACGTCCTCTTCACTGGTGCTATGGTAGCCATCGCTGTTTTGACTCGCAAGGGTACCAACAGCTGCACTGGTCAAGTCGACACCCCCATCGGCTCAGGCAAGGCAAGCGACGAGAGCCCTTCCAAGCTCAGTTACGGCATGGCCTGCAAGTTAGAGAAGGTCGTGTTCGCAGTTTCGGTGATTGGAATGTAAGTGCCTAGGAACCCCGCATCTCGGCATCAGCTGGTAAATATGACATCCGCTAACATATTTCTTTGTCTAGCTTCTTCTACCTGATCTCAATCCTCTTCCAGGTCCTTTTGGCTCGCCACCACAAGCGCGAGAAGCGCTTCGGTCCTTCCCCTGCCAACGGCTACACTTCTGGTAGCCGCAAGTGGTTCTGGAGCCGCAACAAGAACAACCCCGAGACCAACGGTGACAATGCTTTGCCAGGTCACCCCACTCCCGCTGATGTGGAGTATGGAACCGATCCTAAGGCTGAGAAAGGCTGGTTCGGTGGTTGGGGACGCAACAAGAATGCCGCTGCTGCGAACGGCACCACTGCGACGAGTGCCGCCAATGGCAATGGATATGGATATGGCAACTCTGCTTACACTGGTAACTACTGAGTGAAAGGGAAAGTCCTAGTATGATCTAGAGGTGATCTCCTCGCGGATCTGCTTTCTTTGTCGTTCATGAAAATCTCGGACTTGGCTTGATCTACTGGATCAATGATGTGATGACATTTTTTTTCTTTTGTTTTGGAAAGCTGAGATACCATGTTTGCTGCAAAGATTGGCAACTGTATATTATTTGCGAAAGGCAAGGAACAGGCAGAGTGGAACTCTGCCGAATGGAATTAATAATAATGCAATAAGATTTCTACTAGAATATCTGATCCACGTCTACAACATCTCCAAGTATCTACAGTAAATAAGAATAAACTTTAGTGTGTATTGTTCCTGATACGTTACAGATAAATCTACCCCCCAATTCCGCTTCCGGCGAAGACATTAAAACATTCAACATGGGAAACCGCACAATCATTAAGAATACCGATCAACATGAGGACATCAACTGGGCCATTACAAAAACGGGCCGGGAATCCAATTGCGCCAAAGCACCACCAACATAAAAAGAAGATTGACCAAAACGACTCAATCAAGAGTCGGAAGAGTACATGAGAAAAAGAGAGAGAAAAAAGGCTCAATGAAAAAAATATGACAGGTACATACTTACCAGGGAGCGGCGACCATGGCGCCAAGGCGGCAGGTCATGCCAGCAGCGACAGAGCCCATGAAGATGGGAGCGCCGTTGGAGCACATGGCCCAGCTGTATCCATCAGGAGCGCAAATAATCTCGCCCGATGTGCAAGTGAAGCCACCAACGTAGCTGGAGAAAGCGTTGTTGGTGCTAGCATCGGTGGCCACGACGCGGGGGTCGGCAGCACCGGAGGTACCAAAAGCTTGGGCAACCTTGGACATGGACTGAGGGGTGCTGCGAGTAGCGTTCTTGTTGGCGTCCTTGGAGTTGGCCTTGGAATCCTTGGAATCGGTGGGCTTAGCCTTGTTTGAATCTGTGTTGGTCTTGGTCTGGGTCGAATCAGCGTTGGTCTTGGAACCCTTGTTGGCCTTGTCTTGGGTCGAAGTCTTGGTTGACTTGTCGACCTTCGAGTTGGTGTTGTCTTTTGAAGTCGAGTCACTAGTATCCTTGCTGTCCTTGGAAGTCGAGTCACTGGTATCCTTGCTGCTGTCGAGGAAGGGAGCGCTGCCACTGCACTTGTAACCATCGCCCTTTCCATCAGTCTGGCCCACAACATTGTCACCAGGCTTTGGGAAGTTAACAGACTCGCCCTCAATGGTCACACACTTGCCCTCCTGATCGACGTTGGCGACGAAGAGTGCAGGGAGACTGTCAAAGCTGGCCTGCTGCTTCTGGGACTTGGCCCCACGCTGGCTCGCCTTTTCGCCCTGGTGGGCGGCCAGAGCCATGGGTGGGTGAGAGACCTTCTTCTCCTGAGGCTTGTTGGGCCTGTGCTTGGTGCTCTGGGTCTCGGCATCGGCATCGGTCTCGTTGGCATTTGCATTACCGCCGATGGTGACCATAGCGCAGTTCATATACATTTCACGGTTGCCGACCTTGTTAAACCAGGTCCAGGCAAGAAGTGCCTGACCATCAGGAGCATCAGACGGGATCTGGAAGTCATACTTTTTGGCAATCGGACAGTCACCGAGCATTGACTCGATGACCTTGAAGGACTCTCCTTGATCGTATGTCAGAGCAAGTTGGCAGGAACCACCATCGTGGGTTGCGCTGCCGTCCAACTCCATCGTGTAGGATTGGCCTTGCTGGTAGGTGGCCTGCGAGTCGAAATCATCCTTGGCATAGCCCTTGCAAGGGTAGTCTGAGCCGGAGGCTTGCAGTGGGTTGGTGTATGAATAGTCCTTTTGGCCCTTGGCATCCTTGTTCAATGGACTGCGGATGGGGTAGGGCTTCATCATTTGCATGTGGGCCGTAGCCGTGCTGGCCAGCAAGCTGCAAAGAAGCGCACCCTTCATTTTGTGGTGTGTAGCTATTCATTGTTAGTATTCCCGCGCCATTTGCATTCAAGATACGGATATGCTCACTGTATAAGATAGAGAAATGAAGATGAAGAAGATAAAAGTTTGAGAGGCAATCAACCACCGGGTTCAAATTTTCAGTCTTTCCTGAGAAGAAGTGGAAGATATTCCGGCAGTCCTTGATCGTCCTGAAGGATTATTATAATAAATAGCTGGTGTGTTGTTATCACATTCTCCGTCGTTGTCCAGAGGAATGGGGGATGCCAACACTGTGGTCCAAGCCCATAGGTGCTGGACAAGCAACGCGCGGAATGTTGGCAACCATCGCTCTTTCCACGGTCATGAATCATGCGGTTAATGCCGCAGCGATAAATTGTTGTGCTGATTTATGTCCAATGCACTGAGAGACCTGGTATCTTCAGTTAGTGATTCGTTGATTCGCGTTGGTTAAGTTGCGGCCAAGGTGCCTTCTTTCTTCACACTAGCAGCGAAAGCCATGCCTCATTTGCCCATCTACAGCTTCTGAGCCTCAAAACATACTTCTGGACAAGTATGAAAGCCATCATGACAGCCCTGGGATCCTCATTCCGAGTGGTTAAACTCCGCTCCCCAAGTCCAGGAAACCGTGAGAATGGGATGATGTCAATTGGAGATCAGCGCGTTTCAGTGTACGTCCTCTGCATAAGCCTTCGATTTCCACAGTGCGCCATATGGCGCTCTTTGATCTCCAAAAATGTGAACTTCTCTTTTGGAACAAATTTTCATATCAGAAGGCCGGTTGAGCCCAAAAGGGATGCGCCCCATCTAACCCCTGTCGCACCCTGCATGCCAGGCTTGATATTTTCCAATAAAATTGGAGAGTGGCTGTTGTATTGTGCGAAAGTGATGTTGATTTGTCGCACTCTACCAAAGTACAGTACATACAGTAGGCCGCTCATTGTTCATGTGGTTCGTGGTCGATAAGCTGTCATAGATGAGCTCCACTATGAGGTCAACGCATCGATGCTTCTGTATCTTCCTTTTAAAGGAAAAAAAGAGAAAAGAAAACCCCCGATTTAGTTTCTCGCTCATGTCCATCAGTTAAATTCTGGATTAATTGTACCAAAGCCAAATGTCTCATTAAACATATAGTGTCCACCAGGTAGATACACCTGCTGTAAATCAATCACGCGGCGCGTCCGCGATTGTTCCGCAGTGATTAGCGCGTCATCGGTCTGCTTCATCCCACCCCTGTACACACTCCCTGTCACCCAACCTACTCGCTCTTGGATATTATCTGCTGGATCTGCTGCATGTTTCGGTCTATACAGCTGCTGCGTGCTCTGCCTATCCAGCATGCCCGCTTCCTGGGGTCCAGCCCGGGGGGTTGTTACGTCTCACTGAAATGTACCGATCGATCGATTGCCGTGGCGAGCGCCAGATCGCCAACCCCGGTTCCAGGCCATGTTCGTCATCCCGCTCGACCTGTTTTGCAACCTTCCCAGAGCGTCGTTGGTTTTGCGCATTTGTGTCCTTCGTCGATCAAAAGAATTCCTCTCTCTCGAACATATTCGCAGACGGTTGCTCCAGACATCGATTATATACTCAGCACAGAAGACGTGGCAATGGCACAAAAGGCAATTGAAACGGACTCCAAACCGACTGACATACTCAACGGCGATATACATGAGCCTGCTGGTCAGGCCGAGGCATCGCTGGATCCAGAATCGGACGAGAATGTCCCACTGGACGCAGAAGAGCTCAAAGAAGCCTTGGGGAGACCTCCTCCCGTCAATAGTAGCTACCTTCCACTGCCTTGGAAAGGTCGCTTAGGATACGTGAGTCGCGATGCGCAGCAACTCATGCTGTCTTTGTAACAAACCAAGTACTAATTTTCTAGGCTTGTCTAAATACCTACCTGCGATACTCCAATCCTCCCGTCTTCTGCTCTCGTACCTGCCGCATTGCCTCTATCCTCGAGAATCGACATCCGCTGCAGGATCCCGATCAGCCTGCGCATCCTACAAAGAACCGTCCAGATCGAGATCAACCTGCCGACTTAGCCCGAGGGCAGGCCTTCGTGGAATCCTTAGGCCTGGCCAATGCGCGCGATCTCGTAAAGCTCTTGCGCTGGAATGACAAGTATGGGATCAAGTTCATGCGATTGAGCAGTGAAATGTTCCCGTTTTGCAGTCATAAAGAGTACGGGTATAAACTAGCACCATTCGCCTCGGAGGTGCTGGCAGAAGCAGGCCGGGTCGTTGCTGAGCTTGGACACCGTGTCTCTGTTCATCCAGGGCAATTCACCCAGCTAGGGTCTCCGAGGAAAGAGGTGGTGGAAAACTCATATCGAGATCTAGAGTATCACTCGGAAATGCTGCAACTGCTCAAGCTGCCACCACAGCAGGACCGTGATGCCATTATGATTCTGCACATGGGCGGAGTCTTCGGGGACAAGGGCGAAACTCTGGACCGGTTCCGAAAGAATTATGCTCCATTGTCACAGGATATTAAGAATAGATTGGTTCTGGAGAATGACGATGTCAGTTGGACAGTACACGATCTGCTTCCCATCTGCGAGGAATTGAATATTCCTTTAGTCCTCGATTATCACCACCACAATATCTTGTTCGACGCAAACGAGGTCCGCGAGGGCACAGAGGATATCATACCTCTCTACGACCGCATTGCAGCCACCTGGTCGAGGAAAAATATCAACCAAAAAATGCATTACTCTGAGCAGACCGCGTCTGCTATCACTCCCCGTCAGCGTCGCAAGCACAGTGATCGGGTAGCAACATTACCTCCTTGTGCCCCTACAATGGATTTAATGATCGAGGCCAAGGATAAAGAGCAAGCAGTATTTGAGTTGATGAGAACATTCAAACTCCCCGGCTATGATCTCGTTAATGAACTTATACCCTACATACGAACTGATGAAAACAAACCCTTCAAGCCCCCACGAAAAACCAAGAACAACAGTGGCTTTGTTGATCTGGAAGGGGCCGTGCCACCCATTCGCACTGTCCCGGATGATGAAGTCGGCATGGGTGGCCCTGATCGAAGAGTCTACTGGCCACGAGGCATGGAAGAGTGGCTCCGACCTGCCAAGAAGGTCGTGAAGACTAAATCGGCAGCCAGTCCAGCAAAGGGCAGTGCGCCAAAGAAAATCAAAGTTGAGCCCACCGAGCCGAATGGTACTGAAACGAATGATACCCCAGAGTCATCGGCAAAAAAGCCAGCCCGGACGCCGCGAACTCCAGTCTCTAAATCCCGTGCGAAACGGAAAGCCTCAGTCGTCGAGTCTTCCCCGGAATCCGAGGAATTGAGTTCCAAACCTGCCGAGGACCCTGTTTCTCGGCGCAGCATTCGAGCTAAGAGGGTCAACTATCTTGAGGATAGTGCATAGAAAGCCCTGGAGACGACATATCTGTATTCTACTTTGCATTTTGAAGCCGCAGGGCTTCAATTGTTTGAATGTTCATATTGAATGTTCATATTGAATGTTCGTATTTCAAAATATTTGCAGGAATTGAACCTTGCGTTATTCCCGGATTTATCTGACTGGGTATTCGTATCGCCATACCTAGTCTTCAAATGTATATCTAAATACACTTACCACTAAGGGATGTTTCCTTAACCATGTACCTCACACCGTACCTAGCACTAGAAGCTGAGTCAATTCCCTAGTTTATGATTACCGTATTACGGTAGTTTCATATTCGTACTTCAACCCGTTCAATACTTCACATTTCGCAGATTTCGAGGCTTTGGGATTACTGGTGCGTAAGGCTGCTTCGGTAGGGGTGCGGCTCAACATCGCCGATCCATGGATATATATAGATTTGAGGATCGTCAGAACATATCTCTTTGCAGCGTGAAGGGAAAATTTTCAATTATCAAACTCATAATCGACACAAGATCATTCAAATCCCATGATTCTTCCCATACCGATACGTAAAAGTGGTATCACAGGAGATTGATATCATAACAGGTAGGAAACCAGTGCGGGTGATGGGGCCGAATCATCTGGCGTCATGCCCCCGCAGGAACAGGAACATTTGAAACGTCTCAGCTTCCACTTCACCCTCTCATATCATTATTGCTTTCATCTGGGCACTTGAGTATCTCCAACCAAGGTGAGCATATATATTATCACAGATATTGGTGTTTATACAAACTAAAGGCCCCGCACAGTTCGCTCTTACTCGTAAACCTGTTGCAGGGACTCGAGTCCATCGCACAAGAAGCCACCACCCCAAATTACCAAAGAAACCGAGACCCTGGCGCCTAAACCACATTCTCGTTGGCCAATCCCCCGGTTCAGACAATTTCTCTTTCGACGCCCACTGGCCCCGGGCATTTTCTCGAGCCACCCTCTCCGCCGCGACCCCAAACAAAGTACCTTCTCAGCCCTCCTCCGCATCCTCGTCGGCCCTCGCAGAACCCGTCACGCCCAAAACCGCCTCTGGAACCTCCGTCACGAGGCTCTTCCCGCATTCCGACACCGGGCGCAATCACGCATCTACCGAGCCATCGTTCAGCGCCAGGCGCGGCGTGCAGCGCGCCTTCGCGGACTCGGCGGGGGTTTTGTAGCCTATCTCCTCGGACCACGGCGACGGTCACGAGGCGGGAGAGCGGCAGCTGGCGTGTTTGCAGGGGCTAGGTACATCGCGAAACGTGTCAGAAATATTCGTAGGCCCATCGACGGGCCAAAGGATGCCGCACAAACCTCAATGGCGTCGTCTACGTGGGCCGGGGATGGCTCATATACTACAGGGAGCCGTCGCAAGAAGGCATATGAGTGGCTGAAGGCAGCAAATGAGCTGGGTCAGACATACACGTCACGGTGGACGGGGCAGGGAACCAGTAACCAGGAGGACTATTATCATACCCCCGGCGCATTTCCGGATGTTGAGATAGCTCGTTCTGGAGATGAGGAGATGGTCCTATTCCCTAGCTACGCAAGGACATTGACGCCGAAAAAGAAGGATGCTGGCTTGCGCCCGCGCCGGGATTCATGGACGGAGACCATTGATGACTATCGGGGTACTTCCGAGAGGGATGACTTTACATCTCGCTGGGATGAATCTGAAATGGAGAATGCGGTGGTGGAGGTTGATGTCCGTGGATGGATTTATGCCCCAAACCGAGGACCGATGAACCGCAAGCATCGCCTGATGATTAAGTTAGCCAGGACATTGAGCGGAATTCCGACTCCATCCGGCGCTGCCAGTGATGAGAGCTCTGACAGGGTTTTAGGCAAAGGCGAGGACGAGGATGTTGACAAGCAGATGCAGACTCTAGTCAGCAAAGCGGAGCAGGACGCTGACCCGGCTTGGAAGATCTCTAACGCAGATCGCAACCGGACAGATTCAGGCCAGCCTGCAACAATGACCAAAGACCAGATTTCCATGGCCAATGCGCATCTCATGGAGCGATTGCGTCCATTCTTGACGAATCCTATGGCTGGGATGCCTGTGACCGTGTTCTTTTTCGATGACGAACAGAGTGAGTCTCGGAATATGATGACAGACGAGTCTGGCCATTTTAATATTCGTGCTCCATTGAAATTCGTACCCACTCACATTCGAGTGCTTGCGTCTGAAGATCTGTCTGCCGCAAAGGCAATCGAAATCATCGAGCCGGTGGGCATCAGCTTGATCAGTGACATCGACGATACTGTCAAGCACTCAGCTATTGCCAGTGGAGCGAAGGAGATGTTTCGGAACACCTTTGTTCGTGAGCTAGCTGAACTGAAAGTCGGGGGAGTCGATGAGTGGTATACGCAAGTAGCCAAGAAGGGCGTGAAATTGCACTACGTCTCCAATGCTCCCTGGCAGCTGTATCCGCTATTGGATAGATATTTTAAGCTTGCGGGTCTACCACCAGGATCTTTCCATCTCAAGCAATATTCAGGCATGTTGCAAGGAATATTCGAGCCAACAGCCGAGAGAAAAAGAGGGAATTTGGAGCAGATCCTCCGCGACTTTCCTGAGCGCAAATTTATCTTGGTTGGTGATAGTGGAGAGGCTGATCTGGAGGTCTATACCGATATTGCTCTGGCTAATCGTGGTCGGATTATGGGAATCTTCATTCGAGACGTTACGACACCAGAGAAGAAGCCCTTCTTTGACAATTCAATTAGTCACCTAGAGGGGCCTGATGTTCGCAGTCGCAGCACTCCGCAGCTCGTGGGCTCGGATTCTCCCCCGAGAAGGCCAAGCCTGCCACCTCGTCGGCCCGTGCCAACTCCGCCGGAAAGAGAGGCGAATAGTGTCCCTGTCGGAGATTTGATTGATCTAGGAGATGACGATACCATTGAGTCCGCAAAACCGAGCCCAACGACGAAACCACGAATGCCTCCAACCAAGCCGAGCAAACCGTCATCACTCCGGACTGATACATTGAATAATCCACGCCAGCCTTCTCAGGAATCAATTCGTCGAAAGGCAGTGCCCCCGTTGCCACCTCGGGGGGCAACAGCCGGAAAAGACTCGCTGGTTGATCTTGGCCCGTCCCCGTCTATATCTCGTACTCAAACCCAACCGCTGCTGGAAGACAAGAGTCAGCCCTCAGCACAATCATCTCGCTCTAAAATACCACCACCTCTCCCGCCACCGCGGCGCACAAATACCGCATCGTCGGCTACCAGCTCTGCATCTAGCACGCCCGCTCCACGGGCTGCACCTGCAGTCCCGGCGAACAAGCCATCATACCCAGCATCTGCCGCTCAAAATGCCTTGGCATATGCTACTGAACGACTCAATCTATCTCCTTCACCATCAGCTGGACTACGGCAATCAGCATCTAACCAATCCCTGCCTCGACAGTCGACCAATGGTTATAACAGCTACAGCGGTAGCGACTCTAGCATGCCACCCGCGCCTCTGCCCAATAAACGTGAAGAACTCTGGCGGCGCCGTTGGGAGCGTGCCAGCGAAATACTTGAGAGCCATGGTGTTGTGCTAGGCAGTTGGCGTGTTGGCAGTGATGCACAACCGGTTTGCATGTGGTTAATTGAGGAGGCTTTGAAGGAGATCAAGGCCAATGGTGCTGGACGCCGATCATAGAATTACATCTTGTCCTGCTTTCAACTGGGACTACTTGAGCAGTTGTACATATTGCTAGACCATCTCAACCTATTCTTACTGGAATGTATACCCCCAGGACTTTTCCCGGCGATGCTGTAAGCCGAATACTCTTATTAAAGTTCTAGATACATATTTTGATCGGGATTTGGCTTAATAGGCAGCGTGCACCGCACTAGCAAGGGACTCTTCAGCGACCCAGTCCGGTAAGATTATTGAATAGGTACATAGCCCGTACCCGCAGTATGACAGGGCTCTGCAATTCGACCACATGGATGTCAATTCGTACCTGGGCTCCCTGCAAGTGATACATAAGGCAACAATAATCGATGCACCATATTTGAATTTCTGGATGCTGAAGTTTCAACCTTGACTCTCGTGCCTTTTGACTAGGGGTTTATGGGCAACCCCCCTGTAGATCGTCGGATTGATCCATGATCCCGGCTGCGCCCATCGATCTCGCATTTTTTTAAGGGTCCGATGATTTTTGAGAAGTCTGACAGTAGCTTTCAGGATTTAAGAAGACCTACTAGTTATGAAACCACTGGCTGATTTGTTCATTTTGTTCAATATCGATTATACTGTTGTACTACTCCAAAGGCCGGTCACGGTATTGTTAGCAGAGTGGGTCATGTAATGCAGATGATTACTATTCCACGCTCTCTTATTCGTGACGGAGAGAATGTCGATCAAAGCCTATATTGAAACTAGGAAAGATGGATATTTGCGGCTTTGCACGGGCTGCATACTTATATGTGCAGCAATTTAAATGGAACACTATTTATGTAAGTCTGAAGATTACATCACCTAACCCTCGGGCCTCGGTTGAAAATCATCACGCGCGTGATTGGCACACCCTAAATCTGGGGTATTCAACAATGATGCCACTCATTCTCCTTTTCTCTCACCCGACGACTCTGTTAAATCATGCCTTCCGAAACCCTTACCCGTGCGGAAGTCGCTAAACACAACACCGAAGATTCTCTTTGGTGTATCATCGACCACCGCGTGTATGATCTGACCGATTTCGTGGATGCCCATCCGGGCGGGTCCGTCGTGCTCGCTCAAGTGGCTGGCCAGGACGCCACAGCCGACTTCTACAACCTGCACCGCCAGGAGGTGCTAGAGAAATATCGTGACCAATTATGTATTGGAAATGTCGAGGGTGAGAAGCCTGAGGTTATTGAGCCTAAGGTCGGCGCCCTGAGCTCTGTACCCTATGCTGAGCCGCTGTGGCTGCGCCCGCAGTTTAAAAATCCTTATTACAAGGAGAGCCACCGTCGGCTGCAGAAGGCTATGCGCGAGTTTACCGATAAATACGTTACTCCCGAAGCACAGGAAAAAGAAAGAGATGGCACTTATATTAGCCAGGAGTTGATCGATCGAATGGCTGAAACGAATATTCTGGCTATGCGTCTGGGCCCCGGCAAGCATCTTCACAACCGCACGCTGCTTGGTGGTATTGTGGATGGCAAGGAATTTGATTATTTCCATGATATGATTGTCGCGCAGGAATCCGTGCGCGCCAATGCTCGAGGTGCGTGCTTCTGATGGGCTACTCTGAGGATGATCTTCTAATTTCTCCTTACAGGTTTCCAAGATGGCAACATGGCTGGCATGACTATCAGTCTTACAGCAGTGCAACAGTGGCTACGGGATCCCGTGCTGAAGGAGCAAGTGACAGAGGAGGTCTTGTCTGGGAAGAAGAAAATGTGTCTTGCGATCACTGAGGCTTTTGCTGGTAGCGACGTTGCGGGTCTGAAGACCACCGCTGAAAAGACACCAGATGGCAAATTCTACATTGTGAACGGCACCAAGTCAGTGTTCATGAACCCGTGAACGAAGTTCTAGGCTAATTCTATTTTCTTTTAGGAAGTGGATTACCAACGGCATGTTCGCCGACTACTTTGTCACCGGCTGCAAGACCGAGAAAGGATTCACTGTGCTTTTGATTCCCCGCGATGACGGTGTTGAGACCAAGCAGATCAAAACTTCATACTCGACTACCGCCGGAACCGCTTTCGTTCAGTTTGAGAACGTCAAGGTGCCCGTGGGCAATATCCTCGGCCAGGAACACAAGGGTTTTGCAGTTATCATGTCAAATTTCAACCATGAGCGCTTCTACATGGCCGCGGGTGTGACTCGATGCATGACGTCTGTCGTCGAGGAGTGCCTCAAGTGGTGCAACCAGCGGATAGTGTTCGGGAAGAAGTTGGTTGAGCAGCCAGTTATGCGCCAAAAGTAAGTCTATCATCGGATATCTCGTAAAAAAATTTCCAAAGCTAATTTGAAATTTATAGACTTGCTCGCATGATCTCTCTCGCCGAATCCCACCAGGCTTGGCTAGAGTCCATCGCTTTCCAGATGTGCAACTTGACCTATGCTGAGCAGGCGAAGCATCTGGCCGGCCCAATTGGTCTGCTCAAGTCTAGCGCAACTCGTGCCGCCCATGAGGTTGCCGACCACGCTGTGAATATCTTTGGCGGACGCGGTTTGACCCAGACTGGTATGGGCAAGGTTGTGGAGATGTTCCACCGTGGATATAAGTTTGACGCTATTTTGGGTGGAACGGAAGAGATTCTTGCGGATTTGGGTGTTCGGCAAGCGATGAAAGACTTTCCCAAGGCGATGCTCTAAGCTTTAGATGTAGAATCTTTTACTTAGGTACCGATGTGTTTATATCATATACCAGAATTCTGCCCCAGATTCAAGCTTCACAAAAATGGGAGCCGCTCGCAATGTAGGTCTTCTATTCTATTCATCCAATTAGCACAAAGAATGAGCATCGTGGTACTGAAATGAATAGATACCCAAGCTTCCGTAGGGCAGTGATAAGGTTCTGATAAGGGCCGCCAAGCTTCGGATCATTGTTGATGCGTGGGGCTCAGCAGCGTGTCGTCACCTCAGTTGCCTGTCATTCTCCCCCATTTAATCCACTTCCTTATCCCAGATTCTTCAGACATCACATCTGGACGATCAGCAAATATTTCAAAATGTCAGACTCAAATCCATTTAGCACAGACAACGTCCTGGACGTCGCAATCAAAGCTCTCCGTGATGAACAACCGAGTCTCAAAACACCCTATGAAGCTATCGCTCTCATTGGCCATGCCTGCATGGCGGCGGTAGGCTTTAGGCTGGTGGGACTCGGAGAAGACCATACCATAGGTATGTCCATCTCATCTGTTTCAGTGCTTCAACTTCCTGATAGCTGATCTTCAACAGAGTCCACAGAGACGCCCGCCCTCCCCGCAGAATGGAACGCTAACAGTACCTTGACCTTTCGATATGACCACGAACAATCTGCAATGCAGTACCTACTGAGAGTGAGTCGACTTGGTAACAAGGCCGTGGTAAATGCCCTGGGACTGGGCGATGACCGCACTGGCTCTTTTGATCTATCAGTGAAAGAATACATCTCGGAGTCTGCGCTTCCATTATCATCCACAGACAATATCACCAATGCTCTTCATGCTGTGTTCATCTCCTCCGATCGTCTCAGCGAGCTGGTCGCCCTCTTTAAAACCAATGTGATCCAGAAGCTTGCCCCGGCGGTGGATAAGGAGGCCTCGCAGGCTTCAACCAGGGAATTCCAGGAAGCACTTCGGCAACAACCAGAAGACAGACCTCGTCATGATCCTTTACGGGATGATTCTATCATGCCCGAGCCCGCTCGTCCCTACCCATTTGATGACCCCCTGGCCGCTGCACCCCGCCAGCCTAATCCAACGGGCGATTTTGCACCTCCAGGATTCGAGGATGAGTTTGAAATGAATCGCCCCCCACGCGGGATTGCTCCTGGTTTTGATGGAGGAAGAGGTGCATACGGCATCGGTGATCGTGATCTTTACCCAGCAGGACTTGGCCCGCACGACCCCTTTCGAGGACCAATGGGGCCTGGCTTTGGGTCCGGTGGTGGTATGCACCCATCATTTGACGACCCTCTCTTTGGTGGACGTGGTAGCGGTGGTGGGTATGATCCTCGTGCGCCACCAGGAGCCAGATATGACCCCCCTGGACCTGGTGCTCCACCCTTTGGCAGCAACCGAGGACCGTTTGGAGGGCCCGGGGGAGGATTTGGTGGAGGCTTTGGTGGCGATATCATCTAAGAGTATTAGGGCTCCTTTGAGTCATCAGGTAGGCCGATGAAAGTACAATATGACTACGAAACGAACTTCATGATCATCGTTCGCTTTGACTGCATTTAATGAAATGGATTATGCTATACTTTGCGTGTTAATATTTGTTAAGTTCCACCTAGATGAAGATTAAGGCTACAATTAAACTCATAAAAGAAAGGTCCGCCATGGTTTACAGGAAAATAAGAGAGGCAAAGCCTTGGAGCTAGCAAGAGGTCTGATGTAGATGTTTGGTTGTCCTGTATAGTGCCTCCAATAGTCAAAATGGTCCCCCAAGGAGATAGATTCGCATAAAATCCTCCTTGGTAGAGAACAAGCTGAAAATGATAGAGAGTTTAAACAAGTCAAATGAGAGAAACCACTATTCAATGCACCGCCTCATTCACGGTTCAAAGGTTCACGACGTAAGAAGCGGTGTGGCTGGTGATGTGGCTCAAACTTGAACCTCCAAACTTGACCTTCCCGCATCTCTTTCTCCCTTTCCTGTTTCCCCCTCCAACCTTCCCCCATCCGTCATCCCTTGAGTTGATCTTGGGGATAATCTATCAAATCTTTGAATTGATTTTCTGATTGTTATTTCCTTTTTAAACTTTCTGCACCCACTACCGACCGACACGGAATCCTGTTCATTTCTCACGAGACCGCCCCTCCCCCAACTGGCCCCTCCTATTTACAGCTGTGCCCACCATGGATAACAACATGGAAATCGACACGGCGCGCTCGCCTGAGCCACATCACCTTTCGCCCGTAACCGATTCCGGCTCTATACCGACTTTGGATGGTTGGATCGAGAGTTTGATGACGTGCAAGCAATTAGCGGAGGAAGATGTGCGGCGGCTGTGCGATCGGGTGCGTTTTCTCTCGGAAGCTGGGATGGATTGGAAGAAATTGATGATTTAATACTGCCCGCAGGCACGAGAAGTATTGCAAGAGGAATCGAATGTTCAGCCAGTGGTATGTGTCGTGGCTCTTCTCCGGTCGGGTCGGGCCAGGTCCCCACCATCAGCAGCCCACTGACCTTTCCAACAGAAATGCCCCGTGACAGTCTGCGGTGATATCCACGGCCAGTTCCACGATCTAATGGAGCTGTTCCGCATCGGTGGTCCTAACCCCGACACAAACTATCTCTTCATGGGTAAGTGTTGACCTGGCGGGCGGACAGTGGGGTCCTATATCGGCGACGAGATGAAAATCCTAATATTTGCTTTTTCCTCCCATGCAGGTGATTATGTCGATCGAGGCTACTACTCCGTTGAGACTGTGACGCTCCTGGTCTGCCTCAAGATCCGTTACCCCCAGCGTATTACGATTCTTCGTGGAAACCACGAATCCCGCCAGATCACTCAGGTGTATGGCTTCTATGACGAGTGCCTGCGCAAATATGGCAACGCCAACGTGTGGAAATATTTCACCGACCTTTTCGACTACCTTCCCCTCACAGCTCTCATTGAAAACCAGATCTTCTGTCTGCACGGTGGGCTGAGCCCGTCGATCGACACCCTGGACAACATTCGATCTCTGGACCGCATTCAAGAAGTCCCGCATGAGGGACCCATGTGCGATTTGCTGTGGAGTGACCCCGATGATCGTTGTGGCTGGGGAATCTCTCCTCGCGGTGCGGGGTACACATTCGGACAGGACATTTCGGAAGCGTTCAACCACAACAACGGCTTGACTCTGGTTGCTCGGGCTCATCAATTGGTGATGGAGGGATATAACTGGTCGCAGGATCGAAACGTAGTGACCATTTTCTCAGGTATGATTTATCTGGCTCTTGGGGCAGCAACAATGAAAACAAGGAAACTAACTCAACTATAGCACCCAATTACTGTTACCGCTGCGGTAACCAGGCCGCTATTATGGAGATTGATGAGCATCTGAAGTACACATTGTGAGTATTGCCTTTTGCCCCTGGAGAGAGGATTCCGCTAATGATCATGCCCTAGTCTACAATTTGACCCTTGCCCCCGAGCGGGCGAACCCATGGTATCGCGACGGACACCTGACTATTTCCTGTGATAGATTTCATCTTTGTCCTACAGAGGGCTCGTGGGCCGGCAGAAAAAGAAGGCTGCATACGGACAAGGCTCTCGCCTTTTTAATTTTGTATGGTTCGATGCCTAGCCGTCTGTTGATACCAATCATGAAAATAAAAGACCCTTTTGCCAGATTCAGCTTTGGTCTCATCTACATGTTGCTGGGTCGGTCCTTAGATGGCTCCAGTCTAAAACTATTTCTGATCTTAGAGTGTTGCGAAACAGCGGTGTTTGTCACTCCCGAGGCAATGGACTAGCGATATAAGATTGCCGCTTTGCTAAATAGCTGAGCGGTCTCCTAGAGTCAAATTTTCTCTTGGCTAATGGTCACCAAGCGCAGTAAAAAGATGTGCCAAATCAATGGAAATGCAAGGTAGTTGTCACTGCTACCTATGACGATACTCTCCCAGGAAGATATCTTCGACCCAGCATTATACAAATAAATATAAGCTATTCTATAGATATGCAGAAGATTGCACCTTTTAGACTCGTCAACATACAAGGTATTTTGACCTTCATCTTCATTCACTACTACAGCCAATTGACCGACAAATTGATCACAGCGGACTGATCTCCTGTCCACTGCTTTGCGGTTTTCATGAACTTACCTATACTGCACTGGCAGCAGCATGTGGCCCTCATCTCCATATACCTGTTTTGAACTACTTAATTACACAAACTAATAATAAGCGCGATGGGGTTGACAGAACATTATATTTACAGTGCTTTAAATGCAGCTGCATATCTAGGCAATATTACCCAATGAGAAGTGGAAAAGGCATTGAAAATCACAGAACGTTTCGAAGTTCGACTGGTCGGGAGAAGAAAACCTCCAAAGAAGAGAAGAAGAGAGGACCTCCCTGTGACAGGGATAAGAAAATACTGACAACTTTTGAGAAAGCACATAAACTATTTCTATAAACACATAAGTGTAGGCAGCAGAATACTTGAAAATACGAAAAGATTCTTCTCTTTTTTTTAGAATACTTATGACTATCCAAGATACTTATGATACAGACAAGTTCTTTGCCTTCGCCAAGATCTCCTCAACCTCCTTGGCATGCTTGGAGAAGTTATCAACCAAGCTATCCCACATCTTGGGCTCATGCTCATGCTTCTTATCACTATTCCAGGCATAATCGGTAATGGTGAAAGGCCGACTCGACTCAAACATAAAGGCAATGGACGCTTCCGAGATCCGCATCTCGGGCGGCACGTTATCACTAGCAGCCTTGAACTCCTCATATGCAACGCCGTGAGGTACCATTCCACATTCGAACGATACACCTCCCGGCTTGAACGCGTCCGATCGACCACCGTAGTCACCGTAGATCAGACCCATCAGTTCTGACGCGACGTTGCGGTGGTAGTATGGAGGTCGGTAGGTGTCTGTGTTTGCCATTAGAAAAGGGGATTCTGTGATATTGAACTGCATGACATACGGGAAGCAACATCCCATCTTGGGGAGAAAGTAAGGAAATCAGCCAATGGAGCCGTCAGGTCTCGAGACTTGGCTGTGAGCACGCAGAAAATAGACGGATCAATATGGTCCACGGAGATAGAGCCAACGTTCACGAATTTGGTCAGATCATATTTATATGGGACCTGTCAAGGTTAGCCACAGCCCGACGTTTGTAAGGAGAATCTCGTGGCAAGGGAACATACGTAATTTCCATGCCAAGCAACCACATCGAATGGACTGTGGTTCTGGGTGCTCTTGAAGAACTTTCCACCGAGCTTATAAACAATCTCCCAGGGCTCTTGGGCAATTTCATAATGGGCAACGGGGCTCAGGAAATCCCGTGCATTGGCCAGCCCATTGGCGCCCAGAGGCCCGAGCTCTGGAAGCTCGAAGCAGGTTCCCCAGACCTCGAGAATATATCCTCGGGAAGGGCCATCAGGCAGCTCCACGCGGAAGCGAAGACCACGCTGAATGACAACAAGCTCACCAGGCTGGACATAGAGTTTACCGAATTCAGTCTGAATGTCCAGTGCACCCTGTTGCGGGACGATCAAGAACTCGCCATCGGAGTTGACGAAGGCCTTCTTTGTCATGCTCGTGTTGGCCGTGTACACGTGTGTTGCGATACCCTCACGGAGAGTGGGGTCTCCGGAGCCAGCAATGGTCTTGAGACCGGACACAAAGTCAACCTCACCAGTCTCTGGGATGTCAAAGGGGTGCCAAGCCAGCTGGGTGGGGGAGACATGGATCCGAGGGTTCAGCGGGAGAAAGTTAGACTCCGTGTCTGTGTTGTCTGGCATTTCGGTCTGGGGATGTTAGTCTTTGTTGACAGGAACGGGTGTTATACATACAAAACCTTGGTGTGCAACTGCCGGACGGGCGCGGTACAACCATGCCTTCTTGTTGGCGTGTCGTGGAGCCACAAAGGCAGTTGCGGTGATCTGCTCTGCGTACAGACCAAAGCGCACTTTACGGGGGTTGTTCTGGCCATGTGGAATAGTGCCAGGAACCGCTTCAGATTCAAATCTGAAGAGCTACATCAGCCAGTTGAATCGCTAGATGCAGGTGAATGTGAATACATACGAGTTGCCGAATCCGGCTTGATACTGGTTGATGTTAGTCAATCTATTGTGATATTCGAGGATGAATTGGTCTCATACCTGGTAAGGGTCATTGTGCCTTGTGCGGAACGAGGGGATTGTTCCATCCTTCTGCGTCTCGGCCCAATGGAATATCTTTTGATATTCCGTGGGGTCTGATAATCCATTTGTCGAAGGCATAATGGGGAAGTGGTGAAGAAACTAAAGGGGTAAATATTGATTCTACGTATCTTCAACGGCCCAGGGGCAGGTTTATATACTTCAGAAAAAGCAGGCACGGTTCACACTGTGGGGTCAATTGCTCGACTCCGGATATAGATAGTAGGAACCAGAATGCCAATACTATCTCGAGTGGAGACTAAAGACACGGCTGGAGGGAACACGGATTGCATCGTCATCATGGAGCCATAAAATCAGCTGAGCAACCGTGGGAGGCCTCGGGCGACAACATCACATAGAAAGACAGCAGAGTCGGCATGTCTCGACAGGGTCGCTTTGCCGGCCTCCCCGGGCAGTGGATCACGATTCGTGCACAGAGCCAGTGGGGAAGCCGGATGCAGGCTTAAATTCGACAACGATTGGATTCGCGGAAACGACCCCACATGAGTCAGGTCTGAGTAACGGTGGAGATGATGCGCGTGGGGAGTAGCGCTGGATCTCGGACAATCCATATGGCCTCAAAGCCCGGTTTTAAGTCTGGATTAAATTGTTGGTTCATTTGGTGGGTCAAGTGTCTTGCCGTTGTGATCGGTGAGGGCGAGGACGGGAATGAGGCCATACAACAACTGCCGAAGTCTACATAAACAACCTTTATGTGGCAACATTGAATTTTGTGGATTCAGCGATAAATTGAATATATCGGAAAACTGTGCCGATGTTGACACCGTGCACTCTGTGCGATTCGCTATTCTATCTAATTCAGGAGACTAATTCGGCCGGCCGTGAGTGCACCCAGAATGGGCATGTACACGCTACTTCCAGCCTCTCGAAGGACTTGGCAATGTTCGACTCGTCGGCGAGCAGCAAATTGGGCCTCGTTAATTTCCTTGCACTCTCCCAGCGGTCCATACGCAAACCGCTGATCACCAGACCATGGTGCCTGCCCAGATACTACAAAGTCAATCCAGCGTTGCCGCATCTCCCGTCCAACCGTCTGTGCGCCGGGATTGAAGCTCAGATCAACACCCTCGAACAGGAGGAGTAAATCCACCGCATGATGGGCGCGGCTTGATGGTTGCCAGGGATTAGGCTGGTCAATAACATAGTTGTAAACACGCTTGTTCGCAGCCCGAAGCTTTTCCGAGATAACCTCAACCGGAAGGGTGTATCGGGCATCGTTAACGATATCCAAAGCGCCCAACTTGGCAGCGGTAGGTCGATCGGCAACCACCTGATACATTTTGCGAAGCTTTGTTCCCATCCCTGGGTTCTGGTCAAATGCGGCAGCAATTGCCTCACCATCTAGAAGCTCGACCCCATTGCGCCAGATCACCGACTGTAGGAAGTTAATGTCTTATCCATTGTGGTGAGTATGTAGAAGCGACACTTACCTCATACTCAGTGTCACCGATCATCACTTCATCCACTAGCTCTGGCTTGGTTTCCCAATTATCCAATTCAGGCTCTTCCTGCATCCACATGGTGTTCACATTGCATTCCTTCAGTGCCTGGATCAACACAGGAACAGAAGATGATCGCAAGGAAGATTGGCCCAGTTCTTGAACCTTAGCTTCCAAAACCTTGATCAATCCAGTTCCTCTCTCAACAGGCAGCGGGAATGACAGATAAAGAGTTCCAGAAGCCAATATAGCCCGCTTGACAGGTGGGCCAGTGATCAGATGCGCATGAGTATAAATGGCTCCAGCACTTTCACCTGAAAGGGTGATATTGTTCTGGTGAAAATCAATAGGTATTCAATGAGTTGACAAAAATCAGAAATGCTCACCGGGTCACCGCCGAACGACGCAATGTTTTTGCGTACCCAATCGATGCCGATGCGTTGATCCTTCAACGCTAGGTTCTTCTCTTTGCCATCACCGAAGCTGAAAATATTCAACCGATAATTGATGGACACGAAGATCATGGGCTTTCCTGATTTAATAGAGTCCGCAATCATCTTTGTCGGATCTGAATATCTCTAAATTAGTTTTTATTGAAACACGGGGGTCTTCTCAACCTACCACAGATCTTAGAGGCAGCCGAGCAGAATGTCACAATCTGCGAACCACCTTAAAATGCATATCAGAATCCTATACCTCGATAAATGATGATAGATAAATGATGATAACATACCGTGAATCCAAACAAGCACGGGCAAAGGGCCGCTAGTCGATGGAACCGGAGGACAAGTGATCTCCAGATTCAAACATTCAAATTCATCTTCTGCCTCCGGGGCAATTGGAAAGTCCTCAGGAATCCGAAGAAGATGGCGAATATCCACATCAGCCTGGGGACAACGGGGACTGTTTGGATTGTCAATTGTCAATATTGAGAGCGATGTAGGAAATCAAGTATAACATACCCATATTTCGTGGCATCTATGGTAGCCCCCGCAAAGCTCTCTACTGGCTCAGCTCTTTCGAACCTTGCAGGTACACTGGCATACTTAATTCCCAAAAATTGGTGGACCGGTAAACCTTCATCATTTCGCTCGATGCCCTTGAATGTGGCATTCAAGGACGGGTGGTAAATTTCGGGGGCTGACATTGTGACTGTGAAGTGGAATAGAAACAGCAACAATCATAGAGACAGGCACTCTAGAGTAGAGACCGGCTAATGATCCGCCCTTCAACTCCCGGGATATCCACCACGGCGTTTCTTTGGAGATCCATTGTCCCAGTACACACGTTATGTGGGGCTCTTGCGGGGAACCCACATTATGGCCTTTCGTTCAAGACGGATAGTTCGGGATTAAGATGAAATCATAGCAGTTCGAAAATATTTAGGACAGTAACCGTATCGTAGGACCTATGCAGCGCAAGTGTTCATCTGAGTAAGCTGGCTGATTTGTGAAATCAAGTTAGCTGAGAAAAACCGTTGGTGTCTTCTAAGTTCTACCCCAAGCGTCCAGTGGATTTCTCCCCGAGCTTAATCACGTGCACTTGGATTTGACGAAACAATACGAATGAACATATTGCTTTTAAAGTGAGTGGATTTTTGTTCAATATATACATTGATGGGAGATTCTATAAGCGACGCAATTGCATCCATGCAAAGGTGACTCATCAATCACCCCGAGCCTTCTTGGTCATCAATGGCAACGACAGGCTTTCTCAGGATCCAACCACCCATGAAAAGCAACACTGGAACGGAAGAAACTCCCGTAATCAAGCCCATAGCCCATCCCATAGTGCCCCAACCAGCACTTTGGCGGATAAATCCAGCAAAAAAGGGCCCGATCAAGTTACCCGCTGCGAAGCTCATATTCGTCAATCCAAAGGCCAAAGCCATTGCACCTCCCCGACCAAAGCTATCGGGGGACTCAGTCTCTTTTTCATTAACTGAGTAAAAGACTTCAGCTGCAAGCGGGGTCATTGAAACAGCAATGCATAGACCCAACAGCGCTAACAACGCACAAAGCACAACTTTGTCATGCATGGAATTATCTGTCACGAGTCTCAGAAGCACTGATACTGGAACGGCACAGAGAAATGCACCCGATACAATATAGCGAGGCGATTTGGGGTATCGGTCAATCACCATTCCGGTTATGGGGTCGATGAGGTGAGGAAGCATAATCGCAAAGAAGATCAGTCCTTGGCCAGTTTGTTGCCAGCCAAAGGTGTTCTCGACGAAGATAGGGAGGACGCTGTCGAATGATGTCAAAACCAGAGATACAATAAAGTATCCCCAGAGTGCGATCACGAGACGGGGTGAGCCCAACAGGGCCGCGACCTGTCTCAAAGGATGGCGGGAGCGTTTCAGCGTCTCTTTATTGTCGATCGGCGGAGCATCAATGACCGGGACACGATCATTGCTTGCTGCTCTTTCCTCGCCCTTCTCCCGGGCTGGTGACAGTGGCCTCATTTCCGGAGCAAGCCACTGGATAGCATGCTTCTGCTCAATCAACACCACTCGAAGAAAGATGTCAACGCCAATCAACCCGAATGCGAGTCCAAAGACAGAATAGTATCCGCCGTGCTGATACAGTACACCACCTAGCAGTGGGCCTGCCACTGTACCCATACTCAGTGCCATCGACACGTATCCGACTGCTTGTCCAAATCCATCCTTGCCCACAGTGTCCACTAGCAAGGCGATGCCCACGGTCCACACAATGGCAGAAGCCGCACCCTGACACAATCGACCCGCGACCCATAGACCGATACTTGTTCCCACGCACAACAATGCTGTTGAAGCGGCCAGTGCCACTAATCCGAAGAGAAGGGGCCAACGACGGGATTCAAATCGGTCTGCCAAGTAACCCACCACAGCTAATGAGGTCCCAAAGTCAGTCATATTCGAGAGAATTGTTTCGAGAGGACTGCTTACGCGAAAAGGCTAGAGTTGCCGCTGAGTATAAAGCTAAAAGTATTGAAGTCCAGTATTGGACTAGGGAAAGATTCTGTCAGTATAAATGTGCATCATGAAAGCAAATAAAACTTACCCTCATCTTCAGGGACACCAACTCTGCGCTGCAAAGCCGTTGGTGTAACAGGCACAATCTATACAATTAGGAACCTCATCCGCGATCGTGGGCAAAAAGATACTTACCAGGCCATACATAAAATAATCCTAGCAAACATTAGCAACGTGAAAAATAGATTGAAATTTTGCATTAATCTCACCGTCGCCGCGGCAAAAGAAACAGTAAAGATGATAAACCATTTGGCTGATCTAATCTCTACCAATTTTGGGCGTGTAGGTTCCTTGTGCAGGTATCTTTTGAACCCCATGATATCATAGGAGAGGGTGCTCGCACACCTGGGCGCCAGGGATTGTACAACTTAGTAGACCGCGAAAGAGATAAATCAGTGTAACGTGGAATTTTGGTAATTAATCGAGAGACGGAACATATTTGAATCGGACATTTTCTGACAGGTGAGACAAATCTTACGGGAATTCAATGAAGTCCGATAACGCGGAGCCCGCGGGCTCCGACTGAGCCCCACTCGGGCTTCGTCCGGGTTGTTCGTAGAGACTAGTGACAATACCTGTAGATCATGGAACCTTGCCATTCGAAAATTATGTGTCTATGTCCATGTTGACTCGGGATCAGAGTGTATCCAAATGTTACACAAAACATACCACCTAGGCGGCTAAGCCAACACTTTGAATTCATAATCTCGCCAGTTGTAATCTGTGAATCTTCCCTATAATTGAGCTTTGGGTGCTTTGCTCTTGAGCAAATCCTTAAGCTGCCGCCTCAGAATCTTGCCACTGGGGCTCTTCGGAATTTGATCCACAACAAAGATACCTCCGCGAAGTCGCTTGTGGTTCGCGACCTTCGGGTTCAACCATGAGTGAATGCCATCGGTGACAGTCTTAACGTCGTTGGACTTGGCTTTCTGACGGAGAACGACAAAAGCAACCGGAAGTTCGGTGGCTTTCTCGTCAGCCCACATGCCCACAACTCCCGCGTCCTCGATATCGGGGTGTTCAATCAGCTTTCCCTCCAGCTCACTGGGAATGACCTGAAGACCCTTGTACTTGATCATCTCCTTGATACGATCCAGGATAACGACGTAGCCTTCCCTGTCAATAGCCCCGATGTCACCGGTGCGGAACCATTTGGTCCCATCAGGCTCAGTGTAAAAGGCACTCTTGGTCGCTTCCTCATTGTTGTAGTAGCCCGAAACCACGTTCGGTCCGCGACACCAGATCTCTCCTGCTGGTGTAGATCCATCAGCATTGGCGGTGACATCGGTCATAGTCTCGGGATCCACAAATCGGAATTCCATGTTATGAGCGATAACTCCGACGCCTGATTCACGTTTATCCAATCGGTCATTTGGGATGCCCGTTGCCATGGGAGAGGTTTCGGTGAGACCCCAGGACTGGGTGCAGAAGACCTCCGTCTGGAAGAGGGCTTGAAATTTCGCTTCCAGAGCCGCGGCAAGCTCACTGGTGAGAGGAGCTGCTGCGGACATGATTCGCTTCACGCTGCTCAGGTTATACTTAGAAACTCGCTCATCCTTTACCAGCATTAGGGCAATTGGGGGCACCAGTGCTAGCTCGTCAGGTTGGTACTTCTCAATGCAGCTCAGGTAGGTGTCAAGGTCGAACTTGGGAAGAATGACGACCGAAGTACCCCAGGTCATGCATTGGCACATGTATAGATTGAGTCCGTAGATATGACTGAACGGGAGGAATGCAACGGCGGTGCGTCGCTGTGGTCTTTGCGCCGGAGAGCCAGTTTCGATCATCAAAGCTCGCCATTGTTGAAGATTGGCGAGGATATTACGATGGGTTGACACGACGCCCTTGGAAGGTCCGGATGTGCCAGAAGAAAAGCAGATAAAAACGGGTCTCTCTGCGGCTTCGGTGGGCGAGATTGCAGTGAGAGTACCTTGAGGAAATGTACTGGCGAGGTGCTCACATGTCGCTTGACCATCGACGGGAGAGGCACCGTCTAAGAGAATGACCTTCTCAACAGCTGTTCCTTTTGCAGCTCTCCGAGCCGTTTCAAGCAAAGACGAATGCGCTACCACGAACCGCGCACCACTCGTCTTCAATTGCGCGTTGAGTTCGAGAGCAGTCAAGGCCGCGCTAGTTGGAGCAACAAGACAGCCAGATCCCACGATACCATAGCATGCGATTGCGTATTCAATGGCGTTTGGGCTGAACAAGGCCACGACGTCGTCCTTGCGGAGACCGAAAGTCTGCTGGAGCCCGTTTGCTAAGGACCGAGTGCGCTGAATCACGTCCGCATATGTGTATTGCTTCCCCGATTGCGCGTCAATGTAAATCGGTCGATCATGAGGAACATTGTACGGGTTGGAGAAGATATATGAGATCAAATCCTCCGAAATGATGTCTAGATCAGGATAATGCGACCGATAGATCTTGGCCGACATGTTTGCAGATTTGCAGCAGTCAAAAAAACAAACAAGGACTGAAGAGATCTGTTCCCTCCAAATGTCCAAGATGTGACCTACAGACTTTATATAACTGGGCATTCAAGAGATGAGCCGGGGCCCCAGAAGTAATGAGTGGACCCACGGGTGACGCGGGAGACGCAATCAGAGGATCCGGGGGAAGCTGCTTTGCCGTCGCTCCTTGCCGAGTGGTCGACCCCAGCGTTTTTGACCTATCAAATCCTCGGATTCCAGGACCTAGGACCTCTAGATCCTCGGCTTGCGGTGCCCTCGGTTTGATCTCGCCTGGGACAATTCGGGATTATGCTAGGGTTGTGCTATGCCCAAGTCCGAGGGTGTACAGTCTTATTATAGCATACAGTAAGCGTACTAGCGTTCCATGAATTTGAAACCCCGCTCTTGAATATTCTGCCCCCTTTTCTGCCAATCACAACCTCACCAAGTACACTCTCTACCTAGTATATACATGTTATCACTTGGCATTAATTGGGACGTTCTTAATAATCCCCCGATAATAACTTAGAACTCTATATAAAGGAACACGCGGTTCTTTTTTGGGTTATACTTATCGTGTTAAGTTCCATTACTAGTTGTTTATCATGCTACGTATTGGTAAGCTGTGAGCAAGATACGGTGGTGTTCAAGACGGACTGAATTTTTTCAAACTCATGGAACGCCACTGCATCCTACATCCGCACCAAAATCAATCTATTGCATTTTCAAATTGCAGAAGTCCGTCCATGAAATCATAGAATTTCCGTAAATCTCCCAAACTAAGAGTATAATAGTAGATTAATAATGGATTTTGGGTACAGATGCAAGGAAGACCAATAATTGGCAATACTGACTATTGCTAGTCTATCGTCCCTATGTTACCCATTATCCCGAGTCATATACTCGGAATGATTGTTTTCGCTATAGGTAACATCGTATCGCTTGTTTCTCATATTCTCTTCCTTCTCACGCTCTTTCTTATTCTACTCTTAGTTTTACATACATAAAAAAATATTTCCAGTTCCCCCTCTTTCTCTCCTCCCTTCCATCCCACCCTCAAAATTGGAATCAAGAAGCCCCCTTTAATGCTCATAGAATTATGGAGCAGTGATGGTGTGGAATCTCTGCTGAGAATCTGTTCCCCACCCGTCTTTGGGCAAAAAGCGAAAGGGATCACATTGACGGGATGATGAATGAATGCCAGGGCTCGGTTATGGTTTGCTTTCAGATTCGGGTCCAGACTGTTCATGTTTATTTCCAATTTGCTTATCTTTCCTGTTTGCCAAAGCTGCATATCAGCGTTCTACAAAATGAAGAAAGCGACCCTCAACAGGATTTGATAGGTGAGAAGTGATGATTGATACCCTGTGAAGGCCTGTGAATCAATTTGTGTTCCTATTCACTTGTTACCACTACTTTACAAAAGGTAACGGTAACACTGCCCCGAAACATCCAGAGCGATCCCGAAGAGCTTCCGGAGCACCCTCGTCGTTCACCTCTATATTCCGGCTGGCCGACGTCAGCCCTTCTGCCCTCGCTCGCTTCCTTCAATGATAAGCGTTTTTCTGCCTACAATTACACGATTTCAGAAGCTCAGGCGAAGAAATGATCTGGTTTCAAATTGCTTCTACTCTCTAGCGCTTACTTTCGAGCTCATCGCCTGACGACCATGGTCTGTCTTTCTGTGTGAGAAATGGATATACCGAGACCTTGTTCTCCCTTGTTTCTTCTCTCCTTCATAATGACAACGTATGCTTCATTTGACGAAGTGCTAAAAACAAATAGCTTCTCTTGATGTTAGCTTAGCGTCTCTGGCCCTCGCAAATTGGCACAAACAAGAGTCGTAAAACGTAGAGAATTGACCTAAGCGGGGGCTTCTAGCATTGTATTACTGTCATTTGGTACGTGACTGGTAGTTTGTCCAAATTTGAAAGTATAATTAAATGAATCACACTCGGAACGAAGAAGATATATTAGCTCACGAATCCTTCCATACCAGTGATCTCATTCTGTCTTCTCTCCGAGGAAACGGGACCATTTTGTTCGAGCAACTCTATCAGTTCCGCTTTTAGAGAGTTGAGGGCCTTATCGCTGCCGGATATGTCATTACCGTCATCATCAATAGAGGTCAATGCAAGAACAAAATCCATTGCTGTATGGCCATCGGCATTTTTGACATGTGGATTGGCTCCATGCTCCAGAAGAAGCTTGACATTCTCCACCAATCCACTACTAGCTGCGAGGTGTAATGGAGTGGCCCCAATCATGTAATCATAATTTAGCGACCAGTCGCTCGACTCAGAAAAGTCAGATTGATGGGCACAATGATTGGAGTCGGACCCAGATCCACCGTCGGAATCCTGATACTCGGGTATGGAAGTGTTGTCATCAATTTCACCACCTTCTGAATCTTCGTCTCCTCCAGACGCATTAATGCCTCTCCCACTGGCGGAAGAAGAATCGACCTGCGATGACCTGATCTTACCAGATGAGATTTCTGGCTCATCGATGGACAACTGATCTTCGATGATATTTTGATATTTCATTCGAGCGTCCCTCGGTAATTCCCGAAGCTGGAAGTTGACATCTGCAGTCTCCGAGCCAAGAAGCACTTGCAACGTCGATCGGTTTTGGCTCATAGCTGCAGAGTGGAGGACGGTCATCTCTACCTGATAATGTTCATCCTCCATCTCGAAACAAACATTCGCCCCGTAGCGAAGTAGCAGATGGAGAATCTCTTTTGCTTCCAATCTTTCATCAATATCACACTGGAGGCATGCTATGAAGAGCGGCGTTGACAAACTATGCGGAGGAAAGTCTATCTCAGCTCCACGTTCGATCAGATATTTGACCATTTCGACATCGTCGCTAATTACAGCCATGACCAGAGGAGTACCTGAAAATGGCTTGACTTTTAGCTTGCTGCCTGTGTCGTCGAGATCACTGTACCAGGATTCCTCCCATCCGTAGGCATTGATGTCTGCATTGGCGTTTAAAAGAAGGTCCACAGCCATTCTAGATCTCTGCACGGAACGCGCAAGCGGTGTTGCTCCGTGGTCACCAGGCTCGTTAGGGTCTTCTCCGTTTTCTAGAAGAGAGGCAAGAACATTCGCAAAACCAAATTGAGCAGCAATATTCAAGCTCGTTGTGTTCCACGGGACATGTTGATTACCCAGACGTTGGTAAATTGCGCACCATGTCCTGAATGCCGGTTTGTTCACACTGCAAAGGGACAGCATCGACGACATCCATTTTGGATTGTTATCAAGTTTGGCTTCTTGGCAGTGTTCCGTCCAATAAGTTGCGGCATACTTTAGAAATGGATTATTCTTGACATACTCAGGAACACTTGTGAAGGTTTCATCACCATCGTTGTCAATTGTGAGTGGGGATTTGGAAAAACAAGTGAAAGAAAGCAGACTGATGCAGACTTTTGCGAGTAATGTCTCTGAATCCAGCGGACTGAAACTGTTTCTCCAAGTGTCACTCTTGTGGCTCGTGTCGTCGTTCTTGACCAGGAATTCCTTGGCCGTTTGGTGGATGAGAAAAACAGAGCCGTTGTCAATGGTCACCAAAAGACCACAAACATTTTTTATTCTCATTTCGAAAGCGTCTGACTGTTCGATCCCAATTTCGTCATATGAGCGATATTCTAAATCATTGGCAAGAGCAGTGGCTACTCTCATGTCATCGACTGCCAAAGGCTCCCGGGCTGCCAGAATGATATGCAGGAGCTGCCTTGCAAGGTCTGGGTGGCGGCATCTCCTTAAGATTGCATCGTAAGCTTCAATCAGACTTCGCGGCAAGCCTGAAATAATCTTTTGCAATTCTCGCTTGTTGGCTGGTCGTTCACTGAGGCGGATCTCTTCCATTATCAGACTGAGCCACAGATACGTTCTATTGTCGACTGTGTGCAACTCCTCAAGCAGGTACTTTGTTGCCTCTTTGTCGAACCCCCTCTCAGTAGCAAGCTTTGGGACCTTGGCATCAATGACTACATCGATCTCATCTTTGATTTTTTCGGATTCATGATCCCCTGATAAGTGAATCGTAGGGGCCTCCTTTATGAGATCATAGAATTGCGAATGAATGTGGGAATAAGGACGGCTGGTTAAGAGGAATTTCAACTTAGGCCGAACGTCAGCTCTTAAATCATTCTTGAACTGATGGTAATAATTGGTGATCGTTTCGATCAAAAAGAATCGATCAGTGTCACTGCATTCGTCGAGGGCGTCCAGTACGCACACGATTTGTCCGACGATGGGGTCAGTAGCCGCTTGACAGAGAATACCAAACATTTCGTCAAATAAGGTGGGTAGCTCCTCTTTATTTAAGTCGTAAGACCTAAGAGCATGCTTCACTAGAGACGGGAATACCGAGAAAAGCTGGTGTAGGATTGCAGATATGGCGCTGAGTGCACTTCTTTGATACGGGGAGATGTCTTTGAAGAAGAAATAACAGACAGCGGACTGCTTCTGATGGCTCAAGGTGATCAGACCCTCATCGATAATTGTCTTTGCTAAAACGGATTTGCCCGAACCGGGCTTAGCAGACAGCCAAAGAAGATCGGGTCCTTCATTTTCTCGCCAAGCGAGAAATTTGTCATTCTCCAGGAACCAATTTCCTGTTTCAAGAACTCTTTTTGGTGTTCTGTTTTTCTGATTCTCGTACGGATTCGATTGTCGAAACAGACGTACACACTTGCGCTCCTTGTCGATCTGTCGCCAAGCAGATTGCATCATAGTCTGCTGCTCAATACTATGTGTCGTTTTCTTTAACTCTTGCTGAACCTCCTGCAGACCGCGTTGCATGTTGTGCTCACTGACTTGCAACGCTCTCTCAATCCGCTCGTGACTCAAATCTTGAGCAATATCGGTGCACCTTGCCTCAAGAGTCTTGATCTGACTGGTTAGACTCGTCCAGTCATCGGCTTTGAAGATATCTCGTCCGTAACGTATCGCCCAATTATCGGAATACTGTCTCACTAATCGAATCTGGAATTCGAGAATTGTCTTATACAGCTCCACCGCCGTACCCTCAAAGTCCTTTACAAGCTCCAGGCTATCAGACTGATAGTTACTCCAAGTTAGTCCGGAGTTCCCTGGTCTGATAAGCCTTTCCATGACCCTTAATCTGCGCACAGAAAAGGGAACAGCCTCAAGGCCATCATGGGCAGCCGACTTCTGCTGTGACGGATTCAAAAGAAGCTAAGACACAAGATAAGAAATGATCGGAGAATCTTGATCAGTCTTCAGGACATACCGGCAAGAAAATGCACACCCCAGCCCACGCTAGTGCAGCATGTGGCTCAGCACTGACAGCTGAGGATACGAAATCCTTGGCTGCAACCACAATCTTGACAGCTTTGTCAAACTGACCACTGAAGTCCACGGAGTGGCTACCAATCTTGACTTGCAACTGAGCTATATCGACTTCTTCTACTTTGCCCTTCGCTATTTGCCGTAGCTGCTCCTCGCGTTGATACGATCCAGCTGGCGCTAAATACCGGTCGCGTCAGACAGCCAACTTCGCAGCAGGGTATTTTCAAACTCACCTAGATGATTTTGGCTCGAATCAACGTTTCCTTTGTCCTTAGTCAACAATATTTCTTCGTACTTCTCTATCAGTTTCGGATCTTCTCCGCTCAGAGTAGCGTAGGCTTCATCCCATAAGTCCCGGGGCGCGCTGTCATTAGAAGTAAAATTGGGGTCAGAGTTACAAGAAGCCGATTGTAGAGTATGGCTGCTGGTCGCAGTTTTTATGCTATCGTTTTTATCAGTGCCCGCTTTCGATAGTGATGGTGATGACGATGGCGACGGTGACAGTGAAGTAGGCGTCTCTTTTCCATCCGAGGGACGCAAGCTCTTGAAGAGGGCCCTCAAGCCCATGGTAGAGCAGTGTTGGCCTGACTTGGACCCTCTATAAATCCTCGAGCCTCAACTTCGGAGACCCAAAAGCTTGAGGGCAATTTGGCGGGGTGTCAGCCTGTTCCTCCGTCTGACATCGCTAATTTAGCGGCCTTGGCGTACAGTAGTCGATACATGACTAGTGGCCAATAGGCCAGCTTTATATAATCCATACAATAAAACCGACCGCCCTACACTCCTCGGATTCAGCTATATCGTTCCTTCTTTCTATTCCCTTCCTAATCCGTTCCACCTAATAGTCTGCGTAAGTGTCTTCCGTCGCTTCGGAATATTGCAGATGTCTTCAATCTGAAGAAATCACCTACCTTAGACTTCGTTGGCGGATGTAGGATCATCAGCGGTCAGGTGAATCGCTCATTTTTTTTTCTGTGCACGAAGTTATACAGTGCGTATAATTGGCAATCAGAGCAACGTAGTCCAAATTGAAAATATTAAGTTCATATCAGAATCTATGTGTAGTTAGTGCTAGGGTCTGCGATTAATCATTCCCGGCGCTTAACTTACCGTCACTTGGTGTTGTACAAAAGTAGCGAAATGTTTTCTGTGACTAAGGTTTATTAGTTATTAGTACGGTGTATATATCCTACTCGCGGCGGTAGAATACCACACGTACTGCAATTCTGAGGTTAATGTAAATGTATAGAAGACGTGGATATGATCGGAGTAAAGAAGTAGCAAAGATGGGATGCAACCAGTAGTGCACTTTCAGATTCATGCGTAAATTCATATGTTAAGGAAATTGTCCGCGAAGTTTTCCTTCGTAAATACGCTAATTATGCGCGAGAGAACGCTCAAATACTTAATAATAATGATGTAACTTCCATGCAGCGCTACCCCATCTCGCCTCTAGTCATTGTAATTAGACTGTCGTGATCCATCCTTGTTGACTGCTGGCAAGCCATATAGCGCATTGATCTCATCCTCCTGGGATTTGCCTGATTCCTTTAGAATTGGTCGTTCAGCCTGGGCTGCTACGCGGACAGCATGTCGTCGGTGAGGTGTGAATCCGTATGTAGCAGTGTGGTTCTGGGGCTTTATTTAGCATCAAACTGATACTCTAACAATGAAAGAAACATACCGTTGTCCTGTTGTCCCAGATAGCAACGTCACCCTTGTTCCACTGGAACCGAGCGTGTGCCTCTTGAGTTGTGGCAACCACATCAGTGAGATACCGAATAATAGCATCACTCTCGCCCTTGGGGATACCAATGATGGTAGTGACGAAGCCGGGATTGAAGAATAGACTGTTCCAGCCTGTGACGGGGTTTGTTCGGATAAGAGGGTGTTCGGTGGTGACGGGGTCTCGTCGGACGGGCCGACCAAGGGCGCGTGAGTCGTTGGCTTGCATGTCAGCCGAGTGGAGGGCTGTCAGGCCCTTGAGGTAGGTCTGCATGTGCGAGGATAGCACATCATATGCGGCATATTGTGATGACCAAAGGGTGTCTCCACCGCCCCCAGCGGGAGGGCCTGTGAGCACCTTCAGCATGGTGTATGATGGAGGTTGTACTTCATAGGTAACCTGTGACGCATTGTTAGTTCTAACTTCGTCACTCCGTCATTATCTTGGAACATACGTCAGAATGCCACAAAAAGCTTGGACTGAATAAAGCGCGGTTGTCCGGGGAGTTGTCGGCTGTGTACACAACATGCACATCTTCTAAACCTTCCTTGCGAGGAACGGAAGTGGTAGCATGCTTTTTATGGATTAGCATTTGTGCTTTTCGGCGACTAAAAGAGTATGACAAACCTTGTGCAGCCGCCCAAAGTGCTTCCCAAGATTCCGTTGCGCGTCAACGTCCAAATTTTTCTGATCACGGAAAAAGACCACACCCCGGTATGCTACTAGACGGGCTAGGTCATCTCGTTGTGCGTCGGTCAGATTGGCCAAGTCGACTCCATGTATTTCTGTTCCAATCTTCGGGTTGTAGTCAAATACGTTGGACGCATCTTGGAGCAGATTACGGAATTTTGGATCCCCATGAATTCCTCGGTCTTCGTGATAGATTTCCTCTAGGGGCTCCCAGTGAATGTTGGGGAATGACGGCAGAAGGTCATCATGCTCGTAGCTGGTGTGCTCTTCCACGCGCGTCCGTCCAGGGACATAGCCGAACTTGTTGCCGCCCGCGACTCCCTTGGTGGGAACCACTATGGGTACCGGGCTCAAGACAATGGGCTCTTCGAGAGAGGGTGCCATTGTGATTTCTTTAAATGATCTCGACCGTGGATTCAAATAAAGAGAAGGCTTCCTTGGGTTGGAGTGGGACTGACGTATAAATTGGATAGATTATCTCAACTGAAGCAGATGCTTTATATAGATTTCAATCGATGAAGAGAGGAACTCCTGTGGGTCCAGGCCAAAAATGAGTCAACCTTGGATAAGCTGAAGAGAATCTGATGCGGTTGCGTGCACGCTTCCCAAAGATCGCGCCATCGACATACGTGATCACCCAAGTCGGAAATAGAGCAGATGAACTTTCATTGGTCCAACCAATCATGAAAGCGAGCAGGTGTGCTTCTTCGTTAGTAATTGTGATTTCCCCGGAGTTTTCGTGGTGGGACCCTATGTACTGTATGCTAGGGAGGCGGATCACGCCATCTTGGTGACGTTGATGGCAACATTAGCCCATTTCTACCAAATGATCAGGGTTGGAGATAAGCCTCCGTGCCAGGGGTTAACAGATAATTTCACCGCTATTTCCAGACATGAGAGATAAAATGGTATGCGTACGCAATCCAAGGCATTGTTGGCATTGCGAAGTTTGTGGGGTTAGTCGCGGGAGCAAAAGTGGAGGTTGGAATTAGCAAGCAACATTTGTGGCGCTAAGCGGCGATCACGCAAGAGTGGCGGGCTCTGGCGTGTGAGCACATCCAATGCCATGGTAACAGATTCCTTGGAGTGCTTCCAAGGATTTTAAATTTCTATACAGAGCCTTGGTCCGAATTGAACTATCGTGGCGTGGCTTACAGGTTTTGTCATTATCAATCATCCAGCAAGCTCGTAAGCCAAGTTTAATTTAGGCCAAGACCCCTGGAGATACCATGCATGATCCTCTCGAATCGTTGGTAATACGTTCTTAGAAAATGCATCAACGCAGACGGAGTTTAATTCCAGAAGGAAGGATTCATGATCATTTTCGCATACTCAAAAGACCAGCTCATTGCATTAGTGTACATTAAATCGATCGATATAATCCGAGACTCCCCCTGTTCTTCACATCCGCCCATCACCCAGACCCAACGGTCCTAGGCTCACTTCCTGAACCTGCTCGGTAACACCACTTAGTCGAGCAGCAACACCCATAATTCCAGCTTCAACATCACCCAGGACAGCAGCCAGGTCGTTGACCGCAGACTTAGGGGTCCCGGCACCAGATCCATCACGAGACCTGGAGCTGACAAAGTCGTGGATCTGACGGTTCAAGTTGACCTCCACACCGTGCAGGTGATCTTCAATCTCCTTCAGGTTGCCCTTGTAGCGCCCGAGGACGGCACCCATCTCGTCAGAGCGTTGGGAGAAGTAATCCACCAGGTTCACGGGCACACCGTTTACGGCATTAGCGGTGGATGGATCGACTTCCACGTCATCAGGAAGCGCCAATGTATTTTTGCGAGTGGATCGCAATGAGCCGCGGTCTGGAACCTTTTGATCATGCACTGACCACCAACCGCCGCCCCCTGAAGACTGATATTGCATGGGCAGTTTCAGGGTGTCGATCGCACGGAAGGCAACCTGAGCTTCACCCGCATCACGGGTGACAAGCCCTCGGAGGTGGTCAATATCACTGGCGTCATTCTCAAGGGCATGTTGAATGGTATCTAGCTTGCCCTGCACAAATTCCACGTCGTTTGGAATAGTTGATCCCTGCTGTTCGATGGTAGGGAGTATGTCTGCAACCTCGTTGCACATGCGAATCTGCTCGAGGATGGCGTTGTCGATATTCTCAATCTCACGGCGAAGCTCATCGGCGCAGCTCTCGTACTTGGTGGTAGGGAGGAGATTGGTAAGATCGACCTTCACACCCGGAACGACGTTTCCTGTGGCCGTACTTTGCTGCAGCGGCTGCGGTGTAGTGCTGGTGTTGGCGAATAGCCCAAGGCTTGGCTTTTGAGATTGTTGGGATTGCGGTTGAGTGTTTTGGGTATTGCCGCTAGAAAGCATTAGCTCAGTGATATGTTACTAGGATTTATCTTTGTTTAATGTCTTACAAACCACCGCCTGTAGCTGCCCCCAGGCCACCGCCGAGACCACCCAGGCCCAAGGCAGGTTTCTGCTGAGTCTGGGCAGTAGATGTAGCTCCCAGTCCACCGCCGAACAAGCTGCCTGTCCCTGCTTGAGTGGTGCTGGTGCCAGAGCCGGCACCAGCTGCCGTGGCTCCCCCACCGAACAAGCTAGATGGCTGTGCTTGCGTAGTTGTGGTTGTAGAGGCTCCTCCAAAAATGCCACCGCCAGTCGCGCCACTTTGTGGTTGCCCTAGCCCTGAGAACATATTGGATCCGGTGGGTTGAGCGGATTGTGTGTTTCCGAAAAGACCCCCTGTTGTTTTCGATTGAGCGGTCGAATTGGCGTTGCCAAACAGGCTTCCTGTTGTGCCTGATGCTGGAGTGGATGTTGAAGTGGTTTGTGGATTGGCGCCGCTGTTCGAAATCTTTGTTAGCTATGGTTCCCAGGTTACCGAAGAAGCAACTCTGACACCCCTGTCGTCCGCGACCAATCAGTCGCAAAAAAACCTGGAACCCCAGAATGGATCCACCAGACTCATATAACGCAAGGGGTTGCCGATCCTAAGCTTCGATGGAGCTTCGACGATGTAGACAGCGCTGAGGCGGGAGCTGAGGTAAGGCTATGTGACTCACAAGAGGGAATTTGCGGAGTTGGTATTGATGCTTAGCCCGCCCGTCGAGGGAGCAGCAGTCTTGGGTGCGAACATAATAGGCCGGAATGTAGTGAATGACCTTGAAAATAACTAGAACAACATTCAAGGCGCGTGCAATCCCGATAAGATTTGCGTCGGTGGATCGTTTTCCCGGGCGCCGAGGCTTGACGACACATGAACGATCAAGCCCTACTTTTACTTCAACTTCGAGTCTGGGACTCGACTTTACTCTGGTAATCGGCTTGAAATCATCAACATTTGGGTATTTGTAGAATTTGTGAACTGTATCTTCTGGTTCTCTGATTCTGCCCATGCTGTGCATCTTTCGAAAACTTGATTTTGTTCTCAATCTGTTCCTCTTTCAGTTATACTCTCAACCCCCCATTTCCTTTTTCAACTATGGCCAATGATGCCGTGAAGACATGTACACCGAGCTGTGTAGCCTCAACTGTACCTCCAACTAACGTAGATCAACTCACTAAATCGGATGCTCCTTCGACTCGAGTTCCGGCGAGCGATGTGAATGCTCAAAGCTTCAAAAGTGCAGAATGGTGAGTTGGCATTGTTTCCTTTCCATAAGCGTCAGTACTGTCATCTTTATTGAGAGGACTTGACAGCCCTTAAGTTATGCTCGTTCTTAATCAGAAGACCGGCAGCAGTTGTCTTCCCTGGCTTCATCCTTGCTTTCAATTGGACTGACCTCAAAATGCCTTCCAGGACTGCAGATGGCACCACTCTTTTGACAGACTCTGCAGATCATCATATCCGATCATTTGTTCTGTCAGTAAACTGTTAATCCATCTCCTGGATTGGAATCGTCTTATCTGACACAACAAACAGGCCGCCAGACCTGCTTGACTCACCTTCCATTCATCATCTTTCTCCATATTCAACACTCCCTTCAGTAGAGCCAACATATGCTTCTGCTGCTTACCCTTTCTTCAATCTTCAAGACCCATCCACAACTCTCTTTCTTTCTTCCGTCAGAGATCACCCAATTCGGCTGGCTTCAGCCCTTGCCCCAGTATCAGTAGCAAGCTACTCACTGATTAATCCGACAACTGAAGCCTTCATAACTCCACACTCCATAATATATCCATCGTCACTTGGAGGAACTCACTTCCTTACTGGCTCTGATAGCCTCATTTGTCTCTTCGATGTTTCTCGACCTGGAAAGGATGGCCCTGTCTCATGGCTGCCAACCATTCCAAGTAAGCGCAAACAGATCGTTGGTGGGGGTATCGGTATGAAAGGCATTGTTTCAGCGATGGCTGTGAGTCCCACTGGTGATGGAATTCTGGCTGCCGGCACATTCACTAGACAGGTTGGCCTATATAACTCTAACGGCTCTGGTGAGCTTTTGGGGACATTCAGCATTGCAAAGACCGAAGCCAACCGTGTTATCGGAGGGAAGGGTATTACTCAGCTTGTCTGGAGTCCTTGTGGGCGTTACCTGTACATCGCAGAGCGAAAAAGTGACGGTGTGCTTGTCTATGACGTCCGCGTGACGGGGCAGATGCTCGGTTATCTGCGAGGACGCAAAGCTGTCACAAATCAGCGTATGGGCATTGATGTTGTTGCTGCTGGTGTAGATGGTGCTCATGAAGTCTGGGCTGGCGGGACTGATGGGTTCATGAGAGGATGGAAAAACCCGATGTACGCTGCAGGTGGGCAAGACCCTGAATGGGAGTTCAAGGTTCACAATGGTTAGTATTGCCCGAGGAGCATTCTATTCTTTGGGGGCTAACATGAGATAGATACTGTCAGCAGTACTGTATTCCACCCCATGGGCAGTGTTGTTGCTACTTCCTGTGGTCAGCGCCATAATTCAAGCAACCCGGATGACATCGATTCAAACGAGATAAACAATCAGAAAAATGGAGAAAACAATGTCAAAATCTGGACGTTGCCTTTTCTAGACTCTCGATCAGAAGAACAATAGGAAGCGTGAAGTTAGGCTCAACTTCGGTATTACAATTGTGAACCCTAATCGAAAGGAGATTTTCAATCATTCATTTGAGGGAGAAGACGCATGAATTGTTCCCACGGGACGCGAGTGAATTCTTTACTTCCAAATCGAGCGAAGGGGAGGGTGTCGTCCAGGAAGCCCTAACTTTCAAATGAATTCAATTTGCCTGCTCAGTTGCGCGCGTATGACTATTGTTGTCCCAATTTAGTGAAAGCACACAGCAATTTCCTGTGTTTTCATTGGCCCAATCAAAATTCCAAAGAGGGTTATTTCATTCACCATCCTAGGCTTGAGCTTCACTTCTTGCCTTTTTTTCTCAACCTTCTTCTTCCACCCCCATACTCACACCTCGCCTGTCTGCATTTTCGTTGACTTTTGTACTGCGTCCTTTTTTGCTCTTGCGTTCCTAGCATCTCCGGTGTTCGGTGTCCAGCTCTTCGAAGTCTTTACTCCATTCTCCTCTGCATCATGTCGAGTCAATTCAACTCTTCCGATTTTTCGACCAACGGCGCCACCAATACGGTCAAGACCGTTGCCATGGCTTTTCCTCTCTCCGAACCATTTTTTGTCTTACCTCAAAGCCCTCACGTTACTGATGAGGATTTTGAAAATTTCATGAATACTGAGACCCCCCATTCTGAAATTACCAATGCCGATATGATGAGAAACGATCCCCCTTATGCCCGGGATGATCTGCAGCCTCTCTCTGATGAGTACATGACCAGCGACTTTGATCTCGAGTTCAACTTCTTGAAATCCTTCTCCGATACCTCGGATATCATCCAGCCGGAACCCTACATTCAGCCAACAACCTTTTCGTCTGTTGATGAGGCTCATGAAGCCGTCCGCCGCCGGGGATCTACAGTAGAGGACCCAACATTTCCAACAACGACCGAGGACAAGTGCAACTTAGTTGCAGTTCTCAAGGTTGCCATGAAGTCCATTGCATATGCGAAGGACGGAGAAAAGACCATCAAGCCCTTCGCAGAGGGCCGGTACAAAGACCTGGCGGTCGAAGTCGCTTGCTGGGAGCTGTTGGTAAGTTCATCACCATCTTGTCTGTTTGGCACATGGATTAACATGGATCAGAGTACCATGATGACTCGACACATGAATGGTGCCTCGTTCACCGAGGCCCACGAAAAGAAGAAAACCGGGTCCTTCAGAGCTCACTTTAATGAAGTAATTCATGGTTTGCAGGTAGGTGTTCATGGAAGCATGGCTCGTTCAATATACTAATAATTCCTCCCTCAGGTGTCAAAGTCGATTTGTAAACACTTGCTTGATACGGTCTACGCGAAGGTGTTCGTTGACGACCCTCTTCACGCTGTGAAGAGAGTCTCGGCCAACAAAAAGGTCAACGATAACAAGAAAGACCTGCTTGAGAAGGGGAAGGAGGCTGCTGCCGGGGCTGCCAAAGCCCCCAGGGCCCCGGGCACTCCGGAGTCCAAGCGGATGAAGAAGATGCCACTCACCCCTCCGTCTACGGAGGGTCAAAAGAGGCGATCTCGGGGATGACGGCTAGAAACATGGGGCTGTTTTTAAGTTTGATTTGGGTTCGGTATTTTTTTCTTTCTTTTCTTTTTTTTTCTTTTCGTTTTTCTTGTCGGGTCAATTTTTCCCTTTTACAGCGGCTTACGAACCACCATTTAATCATAGCCTCCGGCGTTGAAGCATCGTTTCTCTCAGGTCATGTAGAACCTTTCTGTTCTTGAAGACTTCGTGCTTTTATCTTTATTTCACATTGAATTATTGTTCGTGCTCTTTCTATCATTTATTCAATTTCTATTCAATGATACATAAGAATGGAGGCTTCATGTCCCTCCAGGAATGAACAGACTGTCATAAATCCACAAATATTTCTGCTTGGGTTTATAAAAGTCCAAGCACAACGACCAGCAAAGCAGTCAGAGACCCAGCAGATGAAACAGCCATCGTAGAGGCAGCGCCAGTGCTCGTAGATGCAGCAGCTGTACCAGTACTTGTAGGGGCGGCAAGGTGGGCACTAACACCTGGGGTACTCGAAAACGTGTCATGGCCAGCAACTCCTGTAGTGTTGATACCAGACACATAAGTCGTGCCATTGCGGGAGTAGGGGATACCGACATCCATCCCATAAATGGTATCATAAGGAAAGGGAGCAGTGTAGTTGTATGTCGGAGCGCGGCCCTTGTACATGTCAATAACAGACTGGAGGATGCCGTTACCAGCTGAGCAGGAACCACTGGTGGTGGGTACGGGCCAATTGAACCGATAAGCTGTCAACCCCCATCTCATGAGCGGACCAGGTAGTGACTCGTTGATATACAGGTTTGTGTCGTCGATGGCCCAGTTGGTATAGCCGACTTTGTCAGCGACGAATTGGAATAGGTTAGCACCACAGTCCCATCGGCCCAGCGAGGGGAGACCCCAGTTGGCCTCCACGGTAGCGAGACTAGAATAGTGGGTGTAAACAGCGTCGTCCTTCGTGCCGATAAGATGCTTTGGGATGGCACCGCCTAGTAGGATACTAAAAACGCGGTTGCGCACACTATAGATCTCCGATTCAGGCACATTATAGACCTCCGACTCGTCGAAGGTGAGCAGCATGAGGGTATTATCCCAGGCGTAAGTGTCATTCATTAGCCTAGACACAAATCCGCGTAGCCAGTGCGAGCCGTATGTGACGTTGGTGTCGTGGGCATCATTGGTCATGTTAGGTGTGATGAAAGCCCACTGAGGAAGTTGTCTATTGTGCAGGTCATTCTCAAAGGAGGTAAAGTTCTTTATCAGACGTAAGGCGGTATCGTTGCTGGATATCTTGTTGAACATGACTAGAGGATTATGCTTGCGCATGTAGTCATCCGCATAAGTTTTTTGGTTGGAGTAGTTATACCCCTGGAAGCCAGGATATGGCATATCCTCCTGGTATTCGCCCCATGAAATGCCCTTTGTGTTCAATAGATCGGCCACAGTCGATACATTTGTCGGAATGTCGTGGAATAAATCTAAATGCTTATTAGCGAGATATCTCGGCTCGGAAAGAAACGTACTTACCATTGTCCATGCCATAATTGTCACCACTAGCAGCAGCGCAATAATTGGGCTGAGAGGTGTGGCCGACAGCATAATAGTTTGTCAATGTGATGCCCTGACTGGCCAGCCACTGTTGGTCAGCGTTCGCGGCGGCGTCGTTGTAATCCTGTGACCAAGTAAGCATCAATAAACCCTAATTCGTCAAATCCGTCAGCTAATACATACCACATTCTCCAGCCAAACTTGATAAAAGCGATCAAAAGCCTTTCCAGTGACATTCGAAGTCCAAGCTAGAGGCACTGTTGTTTGCTGGGCAGCTTCAATCGCTGCCAGAGCCGGCTCTGTTGTGGTGATTGTCGCACCGGCAGCAAGGCCGGCGACGGCAAGCACAGCAGCAATAGAAGCCATCGTAAAGGAGGATTGGAAAGATGACAGGAATATGCTCAAGCACAATGGTGATTCATGGAAAAGAGAAAGATCAATGGTTCGTCTTATATCGCGGTTCAGTCATGGATCCATGGAAATCTTGATCTATAATCGACGCGACCGTGGAGGGTGCTACCCCCAAATACGGAAGGGATCCGACACATCCGTGGAAGAGAAGAGCCCATAATAATGTAGAGTCCCCTCACGCTTATCGTCTTATTCCGGTTGAAGAATTGGGTGTCGATTGAGGAATGCCAAATTAGGAAACACAAGGTTGGGGGTTGGAAATGTATGCATCGCGATTGGCGAATATACGATAAACAAGCCTTGGATAAGCGCAATTCGCCACGTGAATATCGAAATGGGCCCATTAAAGGTTCCATCGGTGCTTTAAAGTTCATCAGGGTCCAGGGCGTAAACGGCCCCTGTGGCCAATACTCTCTAGCTCTTCCGCATTTACTCGTATACGCACTGTCGCTGCTTTTGTGGAGACTTTGCTTACTCTCCACCTCGAGACGCAAGTCATCATTGGACCAGTATCTGCCACATTATGTCCGAACTACGTACATCTTCGTCCACTTTTTTTTGTCCAGTTTCCTCTCTCCTTTCAATAATTCGCTCTCGGGTTGACACGGTCCACGCAATATTTCCTGAGGTCAACAATTACCACTCGGCTAGAAAGACGACGATCCCTGCCTTGGGCGTTGGGCTGGGCTATTCCATGGCTGTGACAAACTTCTCTTGCGATTATTAAATCTCTAAGGGGAAAGCGAAATCGGAAAACAATGCTGCGGAACTCCATGAAGTGCTCAATGTGATGCAAGTTTCGCTTAGACAACGAGCGCAATGTGTGGCTTTTAGCACCGGGCCATGCACAAGATAATGGTGGTACTGGATCAGGGATGCAGACTGGGATACCATTCGGTGATCCGGTATAAAGTTAAAGATGTCAGTCAAATGTCGTTAGAATTACATTCAATCAAAAATCCAAGTCTTATCCATGTTTATTGTTGGAGCGAGCCATAATCGTCTGATGGTACATGCCATTATTGCCTTGGAATGGTGCGTCGGGTTCACCATGGCCAATCTGTGCGGCCTTTGCCTGAATGGTAGACCATTTTTGATCACAGTGGTACATTTTAGTGGTCTGTTATTGATACGCAGATTCAACCAGTGCCTGCGAAGGGCCTCCTTACAGTGGGCAAGAGCGTCAAGAGATGAGCACTAAAACCGAATGAGAAAAATAATAATTGGCACAGATCACTCAACGATGGTGGCGAGCGTTTGGAATGCGCCCGTATATGATCCATCATCGTATTTATCAGAGCCAGGTTGAAGATCGGTAATATGACCCCGAAAATTGCTGTGTGGCGTAAACTTATGTCTAAATCGAGCAGATGAGGTCAGCTCGTTCCAGATCCATGTCATCTCGGATACAATTCTCGTGTTTAGTCTGTCGCCATTCCCGAAGAACGACCCGTGCTTAATTTCTTCACACTTTTGGGGTCTAAATAACTAGCGAATCGGGAGATTGTAGTTGTGCTAGCTCGGGATTAAGTCATAAGAAGAGTCAGAAAACCGAAGCAAGTCAAAATTGATCACTGAGGTATTTTGCTGTGTAGCTCATATCCATGGCCATTAGAGATTTTCCAGGGCCAGTGTCAGTAAGCTGAGCAATCAACCGTTGATCACTGTAAGTCTATAATCGCTGGAAGAAAGTTGAAACACGATTCAGCGGCCGCGTCCATTTGACGCCCCGAAATCGGATGACTAATTCAGCGTCTTCGCCCAAATTTGGAGGCAGAAAGGTTGAAATGCTGAAGAACTCAAGTCAAAATGAACTCGTTATAATTGAAATACGACTGACGCCATCCATCAATGACGCTATGTTATCCTTCATTATTCCCACAAATTCAATTCCCGGAAAAGCTTATTGGCTGGTTCGCAGGTATTGGCAATAATTTCTTTCCTAAAGATAGTACATGATCAACAATGATATGAAAGATAAGTCAAGCTGCATGGCGTGAAGACCGTGATGATGAATTTATCATCGAATTTTCGATCACGCATAGCCAGCCTTCCTGAGGGAGTTGGCCAGCCACTCGAGACCCTCGTAGATACCATCGCCAGAGGTGGCGCAGGTGGATTGTATGTACTTTGTAAAATGTCAGTTTTGGTACTAACGAGGTTCAACAAGCCAACATACCCAATTGTGTCTTAAGCTGTGGAGGCCGAGCTTATCAGTGACTTCGGCGGCATTCATTGCAGTCTACTCTGACGTTAGCTCACGACTCGCGCCGCATCTAGCGATTACTCACGCCCAAGTCCTGCTTGTTGGCCATAACTAGGAGCAATGCATCCCGTAATGCATCCTCATTTAACAATCTTTGAAGCTCCACGCGTGCCTCATTGATGCGGTCATGATCGTCAGAGTCCACCACGAAGATAATGGCCTTCGTGTCTTGATAAAAAATTCTCCACAACGGGCGATTATTGTCCGGCCCGCTAGTAGCCCACGATGTAAAATGAATACTCTTATATTCAACAATCTCCACGTTGAGTCCTGAACATAAATTTTAGTGTTCTTCGAGGGACAGTATGCGAAGGCAAGGGGATTCAAGGGGAAAATACCAGGGGCTGGAACAGACGTGACGATCTCAGAAAGCTTCAGCTTGTGAAGGATAGTAGTCTTTCCGGCGTCATGAAGCCCGACAATTATAATATTGGTTGTCTTCTTCCCCCATAGTTCGTCAAACAGCTTTGATATTGTGAGACCCATTATGATATGAATAGGCACGGCCTTGCTACCAGTATTGATAGTAATAGATGAATGCGAATTTGGGACCTTTAGAAACAGTGTACAATCCTAGGCGACGCCGACTAAATTTGCTTCTTTATAGGTGTTTATAAAATACGGCGAAAGCTGAAAGCGTAAGTACTTCGGACTTTGCCGGTAGATAGTATTACGGGAAATCACATGCGATAGGTTCTGGATCCATATTTTTCAATACTAAAATTAGGCTCAGCTATAGCGGGGTGGGATGAATCTGAGAGAAAAGTGCTAATATTCCGGGAGTTTTAGAGCGAGAAGAGCGGAGTCTGGGGAGTTTTGAAGCGAGAGGGAGCGGCACGTGCCGAGCTGTAGACCTAGTTCAACGTTGCAACGCTTTGCAGTTTGCAAAAGATCATAGACAGTACTAAAAAGTAATGTTTGCGCCCCAAGCACGGTATTTGTATCCTTTCACAAAATGGCCATCCTGTCGAATTGTGGCCTCAAATGAAGAATATCTTTCCCCTCCAATATGAATGGCGGTGTCAAACTGCGAAATGAACTTAAGAGCCGCATCTAAATTGCCGCGTTGGATGAGTATAATTATGACGTTCGCACTAACATTCTATACGTGAAGGGCATATCCTGCGTCAGATACGGTTCTCTGGCTTCATACACTCTCTAAGGAATATATTAACGTAGATTAAATGGGAATCGACCTCAGCACATCGAGCATGATGCATCCGTATTCAGCTAAGCCTGCGATAAACTCGCCGGGGATAGCGTTGGAGATGACAAACCCACAATTACAGATGTCGCTTGCAGCTTGAAAGAGCAAAACTGTAAAAAGGGATTCTAGATCATCATAGACGAAGACCAGTCCTCGAACCTGATTTTTGGCGAAGGTGACTACATCTATCTAGCGAATACCGATGAAAATCATGTGAGTGCTACTTGGGGACAATCGATGTCGATTCATAGAACGTCAACTTTGACGTGTTCGGGCGCATCTTGTCTACCCAGATAATAGCCTTTGGGTCTATGCCCTGGACCTCAATGAACACGAACCTCCAATGGTCCCATTTAATGAGCGAGTAGCGTAAGTCCACTCGCAATCTACTTACAATTTTCATTTTACTGATCTACTGCAATGGTATTATGGTCATTTTGAAAGACCAGCGAAACGAAATACTAAGCTTTGGGAATTTTCTTTATCCTCACTAGCAATTGGAACAATGAACTAGGTTACCCAATATTATGTAGAGCTTACAAGGGTCTACGGCTCTATGCTAACGCTACCTAATTGACAGAGAAAAAAATGTTCAACGGAGACAGAGTCTGAGAAGAGAGGGTTGCAAGGCATTCTGGGAGCGTCTCGGGGGTTGATTAGAGAGTCTGCCATTCTGTGCGCTTGATAAGTTTTCAGTAACTCGGGCGTTTAGGAGTAAACAAATTATTGTTTGGCTTCTGAATCATTTCCTTTTTTGGTCACACTGATTTTTAAGGCATCAATTCTGTAGCAAGTAATAGCAGGACACACAACAATAACTTGTTTCATATGCTTGGTTAAAATAATGCACAGGTAATTTTCTAGGTCAATGGATATTAGCAATTCAAATATCTACCCAGGTGTTTAGCCTTGGTCTGTCTTATAAAGAGGATGAGTAATAATCATCCGTTTCCGGTGATGCGTTCCAAGGTTGTGTAGACTACCCATCAGCAAATTCACCTCATGCCTAGAATGCCCAGAATACCCAGACTTCAAAGACCACCAGTATCCACATTTGCGAAAGTGTTATATATTTAAGGGCTGTTGTCCTCGCTGGTTTTTCAGTCGACTTGCAAGGTCAAAGGCAACGTTTGACTATGGCTGGTGGCTTTCTTCCATACCACGAACCTGGAAGTATGTACCCATTCACATCGCGATCACTCGACTTCCTGCTAACCAGTTGCAGTTGTTGAGATCCTCATCATCATCTCTTTCTTCTTTTTCCTTTCTCTTGCAAAATGGGTCTCCGCAAAGGTGATTCAAGCGGGCATAATAGGTCAAATCGCCGTCGGCATCATCTATGGCGTACCATTGGCCAATATTCTTGAACATACCTGGCAGGAGACTTTTCTTGCCTTGGGATATGTCGGTCTGATTCTGATCATTTTTGAAGGTGCGTGGTCAGCGTTTTCGTCTTGGCTCCTTGGCTCAGTCAATCCTGATGTCATCCATTCTAGGCGGCCTTGGCGCTCGTGTGGATCTCCTCAAACAAAACTTCGCATTGAGCATGGTCGGTGCAGCAACTGGGGTTTGTTTTCCAATTGGTCTATCGTACCTTTTGCTCTATCTTGGGTTTGGATATGGTTTGTATTACTATGATCGGTAGTTCAAGCGACTAAGCTAACGTGGGCTAGGAGCGGTGGAGACTTTCATTATCGGCGCAGCCCTTTCCGCTACTTCATTAGGTAAACCGGTTCCACCCTCCAACTCTTGGCTTCTCTGGGCGATTCAGTCGCTGACGAATGTTAGGAACAACATTTGCTGTGATTGGGTCTGCATCTAGTTCAATTAATCTCTCCCAGACTCGTGTAGGGTCTGTCCTGGTAAGCGCAGCTGTCATTGATGATGTAGTGGGACTTGTTATGTTGAGGTGAGTTCCTTGAAGTTAGATATCGCTGATACATCTTGCTAACTAACAGAAGTGTCATTGGCGACCTGGGCAAACTTTCCACAGAGGACCATGTCAACCTAGGATGGCTTATCGGACGTCCGATAGTAGCATCGATCGCCATGGCCATCGTGACTCCTATCGTCACCAAATGGCTTTTTGCACCTCTCTTCCGCAGATACATTGAACATCATTTCGCGCGCTTCGATCATATCTCAAACATCATCTTGATGACCCTTGTGCTTTCGGCTTTCATCACGATTGCAGGTTTCACTGGAACGTCGGTCCTGTTTGGTGCTTTCCTCGCGGGCGTGTTTCTAACTTATCTTCCGAGCAAGCGTCCTGAAGGTCCGTTTGTTGTCATGAGCCGCGAGGAAGGCGAGCGCGAGGCGGATAAGAGTCCCACCTTCGTTCATACCTTTGAGAAATACCTCCTTGGCCCTCAGGAGTATTTGATGGAGCCTTTGTTTTTTGCAAGTATTGGATTTGCGATACCGTTCGTACAATTGTGGACGGGGAAACGGATTTGGAGAGGTGTCGTGTACACTCTTCTCATGGCATTTGCAAAAGTATCCAGCTTCCTGTCCTTTCCTCTCCTCTCAGCCCAACGCGGGATTATCGGTGATCATGCTAACAATTTATCTAGTGTGTCGTCGGCATATGGATACCTGTATGGCAACTCTCTACCCGGCGGCGATCTCACAAGAATGCACCCGAAATGGAGAAAAGCCAAGCGCAGCCAGAGAGTGAAGAAACGAGCAAAGCCCGCGACGAAGGACGAGGCGAGAACACCAATGGGCACAGATGGAACCGCGCCTTGCTCGCCGCGGTACTTTTAGGATCAGCAATGGTAGCCCGGGGGGAGATTGGCCTATTGATTATTGAAATTGGACACAATGAGACTCCGTACGTTAGTGACGAGGGCTTTTACACTGGTGTTTGGGCTATTTTGTTGAATACCATCATTGGTCCGGTGACGGTAGGGCTTCTAGTTCGGTTTTACGCGGAAAGGATTGGCGAAGGAGAATGGGGCTTGCAGGAACCTGCTGAGCCCGTCTCAAGTCAGGCGACTATGAATGGAGCCGTATAAACTCCTTCAAGCGAAGATTTCGCGCAAAATTCATGGATATCACATGTGCATAGCAACAGAAGAAGAAGAACATAATGAATTGAATGGAAGTTGCTAGGTCATCGTGGTGGACAATACAATGTTCATGACTCCTTAAGAGTGACAGTGAATCTGTCATCGGATGAAAGGTCCACAGTCGAGTTTCCGCACATCTCGTAGAAGAGAAACGAACTCATCGTCTATAAGGTTTGACTTTCAACAAGGAAGAAAATGGAAGGATATGTAAAGTTGCTGAATCTTCTATTTTAAAAAAGGCAGGGTCAACTATAATCTCGGCTGCTGGTTCAGGGAAATCATTTTCTCAATACCAGACACCATCTCCTTCACTTCAACTGCGGAGCGAGGCAGGTTATGAATGACGCTATGCTGGTAGGAAATGCACAGCCTGGGATGGCAAAAAGACTCAACCAGCATTGCAGACTCCTGGAATACTGGCGGGTCATTTTTGCCCCAGCAGTGGAAAGTGGGAATTGCCAGACGCGCGTTATAAACATCAGGACGCAGTATGCAGGGAACATCAATCATGCTGCGGTCAAGAAAGTCGGAGAGCGGCCGACCATGAACAGCCTTCAAGAGATCAAAGCACCGAGCCGTTAGGCTAATCGAAGAGCGAATGGGCTCCGGGAGCTGAGAGATTTGTATATCATCACTGGAGCGAATGCGCTGCTGTTCTTCTGGTGATAATGATCCTAACACCATCTCTGTGTACGCCGAGTCCGCAGAAAGAGGCGGTATGGTAGAACAGAAAATGGCGAATTGCACCGGGAGCGGCTTTTCGGGGTATAGAGCCATTTTTTCAAGTAGGTAGGCCGCCAACAGAGCCGCCCCCGTGCTGAATCCAAGAACTCCATCGAAAGGCCCATGTTTCTCGAATTCTTGATCAAGTAAGCCGTGGGCAGCTCTCATGCCAGCAGTATCGAAATCCAGACTATAGCAGAGATATGGACCGGGAAAGGCAGCCGCGACGCCTGTCATGGACAAAGTTAGCATGATAGTGGAAAGAAGCTTCGCATATAATTGACCTGGATCAGGTGGACCTTCAAACTGTCCGGCGACAAAGTAAAACTGCCAGCTCGGGTCGCAATATTTTTGGAGCTTTGCGAGCTGGTGCTTCATGACCTCCGGGCCTGTCCCAAAGCCATGGCAACATAGAATTCTCATGATGCTGAGCTTAGATTATTCCCTGTGTCTCAATTTCAAAGTCGTAGCACGGGGAAAGTGGACTTGTATGTCAGGGTTGAAGCACTTGAAATGCCATTAGCAGGCACCGTGCCCTTTTAAAGAATGGCTGATATTTCGCTAGTGCGAGTGGAATAATTCTGTACTTCTCTGTAGCCAGTCATGTCTCTTAGATAGGATTTATCTAGAATCGGAGTTTATATGCGAGTGAGAATTAACCCTGACCGCTTCTGACAACTAGAATTAACGAATCACAGAAGCACGAAGTGGAGCCGTGCAGAGGTCGCAGGGCAAGAAGAGACGAGCTTCGGGTTTGCCCGAGATAGCATCACCATTGGTAAATAACATGGACTAAAAATTGCGATTCTTATGCACAGTACAAACGCAATCTCGCTCATCGCGAAGACGACCCAAAGCCAGAATTTTGACTATGAGATTAAAGACTCGACGTCGGCTATTTATAACTGTGCCCCATTCTTCACATGTGTGCAATGTATCCAAAATGGGTTGGGAAAATCAACAATTGGCTTTAGCCATGATAATGGCGCAAAGTACCCATCCACGGTCTTTGACGGTGCAGCAATATGTAGGGTGTGGTGCGGGCTTATAAAAGGAGGTGAGACCAGCTCGTTCCAGTCGCTTGTCAGCTTGGGTGGAAGTCTCGTGATGTCTTTGCGCCTTCCCGAATAGACCTTAGTGTTTACACCTTTGGGAGATCTGACAATTGCCGAATCGAGAGATTGAATGGTGGAACCGAAGAAAGCCCCAACGTGATATCTTGGGTATTGTTACGTAGCTCGTTTCTACAATCGATGAAAGGCCAGTGCGAGTTAGCCGAGCGATCTACTATTGATCACGACAATTGGATGAAACAGCTGTCATTCCTTAATTTCAGCGTTTCAGCGGCATATGACGGAGCGGGGAACCCCCTCATCCCGCCAATTTGTGGGGCGGAAAGGTGGACATGATTTCATCGCTTTGCCCCGCGTATTCAGAAACCAGAACATCCGTTTCATCACATCATGGCCATACTGAAATCCAGCAAGTTAGGCGAAATCCACGGGCGAGAAGTGGATGGGGTGAGTCAATATCTCGGCATTCAATATGCAACCCTGAAGAATCGTCTCGCCGATGCCGAATTGATTGAAGAGCGTACGGGTGTCTTGGATGCAACCAATGATGGGTGAGTTTACCCCCGAGCTGTCATGCACGAAGATTAACGGTCATAGGCCTTCAGCTTTATCTATACCAGTTGGATGCGATGATGAACTCGGGCACATTCAGCACACATTGCCCAAGAAGGAGCTTCGCCAGTCCGACGTCGACTGTCTCAATCTGAACATTGCTGTGCCATCCAATACGACCCCGGAATCAAAGCTCCCAGTTCTGTTCTTCATCCACGGCGGTGGTTTTTTTACTGGAGCAAATTCGTGGCCTCAATATGATCTTACTCGGCTGGTCAAGCTGTCGATTGAGAGGAAATTGCCTATGGTGGTGGTGACAGTAAAGTATGAGCGACCCTCTCGTTTTAGATCATTATCTGACTATTTGATAGTTATCGCTTAGGAGCTCCAGGTTTTTTGACATCTGAAGAGTTGCGTCAGGCGGGCTACCGCTCGAACAATGGACTTCGCGATCAACGGGTTGCGCTGGAATGGGTTCAGAAGCACATTCGAGATTTTGGTGGCGACCCAGACAATGTGACTGCAGCGGGTCAGAGTGCTGGAGGAGGTAATGTTTCTAGTCCTGAATGTCCCACTGGACATATGACTGATTCACAATAGTATCGGTGACCTACCACCTCCACTCGCAAAAACCCCTGTTCAAGAGAGCCATTTCCATGGCTGGCACATCGCTTCTTGTCCAGGCACTACCCAACATAGTCCACGAAGAGATCTATGAGAAAGCAATCGCTGCGCTGGGACTTTCCAACGCGTCGGCTGAAGAAAGGGTGAAAGCTCTTCTCGACATGCCGGGAGAGCAGCTGGTAGCTCAGCTTCCCCGGGTATTGTCGCACCTGCTCTAGATGGCGACTTGATTTTGCCTGGTACCACGTACGCTGAGATTGGAAAGCCTGGCTCCAGTTTCATTCCTGGAAAAGAATGGTGCCATGATTTGTTGATTGGCGATAATGAAATGGACGTACGTTGGAATTCAATCCCCTTTTGTGTGTAGACTGACTCAGGTGTTGGGTATAGGCAAGTATTTTCGAATTCCTTGCGCCACAACTCAAGACGCAGACCACTAAAAAGTTTCTTGCTGCAATTCACAAGGTTCTTGCGATACATCCAGCAGCGGCCCAGCGCATTTTGGAGACTTATGAGATTAATGAGGACACACCCGATGCGAAAGCCTTCGCATCTGCTCTGACCTATGCTAATGATATATCTTTCCATGCACCTGCGTTATCCTACGCCCTTGGATGGGCAGGAAATGCCTATGTATACTACTTCAACGAGGGTAATCCTTGGGATGGACCTTGGAAAGGGCGCGCCAATCACATCCTTGATGTGGCTTATCTCTTCCAGAACTTTAATGACTTTATGAGTCCCGAGCAAGCCGCGGTCGGCTCTGCATTTGCAGAGGATATTTTCAAGTTCTGTTATGGCGTGGCGCCATGGCCAGCCACTTCTAATCAGATTGACAGCGCCCCCTCGGCGCGCATTTACGGTCCTAGTGACCAAGGTACTATTACTGGTGTATCCCAGCAATTGTTTGGAGATAATACCCTCCGCAGACGGATTCTCTTCGATTGTGCCTCCGAAGTATCGCTGGATGATTTAGCCAAGGTACTTGGAGAGCTGATGTTTAGCTGATTTGGGGATACTACTACGGAGTACATAGCATCTTATCACAACACAATGCCACATATTTGTTTTCTTGTCCTGAAATTGGGCTTGACACGGTGTGCATATAAGGCACCGATTGTAAACCGAGCCGATACGGGCTGAAATCACAGCGCCGATCTGCCGCAATATTCCCACGCGTACCAGCCACACATTCAATAGTCGCGTGGTTGGGCGGGGGCCATGGCAACCAGGCTGGAAAGCCACATCCAATCGTTGGCGAAGATGGTCAGCAGCAGGAAACAATAAGAAAACAAGAAATAAAACTTTAATGATCGGCAGGAAAAGCTCTTCACACCCAGCCTCTCCATCTTGCGGGACTCGGCGAAACCTCGTCGTATGCCAGTCAAAGAGTGGTAGATCGTGATCGTTTTGATCGCTATTACGTTGGTGTTTCAAATTGACCCATAAAGACGGCCTATGAGAAAGGCGAAAGTGGGAATTCAGGAGAAATTAAGCATGAAAAGAAAATGCGTTGTTCCCCGATCCCATTGGCTCGATACCAGTCAGGTCGGACAGAGTGGAGATGCTGAGGGGCTTTGATAGGATCACAGCATTTGATTTGTACACAGCAAATCTTGGATCCCATCGACCCACGGCATCCACAAAGGTTCCAGCCCGTGTTGATTTGCGTAAGAATTGGGACAGAACAAGCTTTCCCAGGGTTCGCTGTTACTTTTTCAGGAACAAAAAGTTTGCCCTGACCCAAGTTCGTAGGCGTGTAGATATCTGCAACGTTTCCAATCTTTGTTCAGGAGTCAACTCTGCATCCTCCTGAGCAATGCGGTGTAATTTATCCCCCGGTCAGATCATCGGTGCGAGCCTCGCGATTGTGCCTGTCGTACACGCGTTGTCGCCGCGCACGGAGATCTCCGACTCGTACGATTTTGTGATCATTGGAGGAGGACAGGCTGGACTGACTGTTGGTGGCCGCCTTGCTGAAGACACAAATCACACCGTCTTAGTTCTAGAGGCGGGTGGCAATGGCGATGATTATCGTGAACGTATAGGTATGAATCGATATGGATATGGGGAGGGGAGAGCGAGCACAGAGAAAAACTAACATCCCTCTAGATACCCCAGCATACTCATATTTTGATTCTTTATGGACAACGCCTTTAAATTGGAAGTACTACACCGTTCCACAGTCCAATGCCGACGACCGAGAGATTTATTGGCCTCGAGGCAAGGTACTTGGAGGTAGGCATCTCTCATTCGTTCAGACTTGACAAAGTGCTTACCATCATCGTTATACAGGCAGTTCCGCGATCAATGGGTTATATTTGACCCGCCCAGGCGAGGGTGATATTACCGCCTGGAAAGATCTGTTGGGCGATATGGCTGGAGCAGAGAATTGGTCATGGGACTCTTTCTACGCTGCCATGAAAAAGAGTGAGAATTTCACGGCACCAAGTGACTCTATAGCCGAAGAGGCCGATATTCACTGGAACATATCGAATCATGGCACTGCAGGACCGATCCAGGCGTCCTACCCGGGATACACATTCCCCCAGGTGGGCTACTGGTCAGAATCTTTGGAAAACATCGGTATTTCCGTTTCTGCAGACATGTACGGTGGTGAGAACTGGGGTGCCGAGGTCTCAACATCATGTATCAACCCTTCCAACTGGACACGATCCTATAGTCGGACAGGCTATCTCGACCCACTTCCCGATCGAGGAAACTACGATGTTCTGGCCAATGCATATGTGACTCGCATTGTCTTTGACACCTCGAACTCGGATAATTTGACGGCCACTGCGGTCGAATACACAACTGACAATGGCACGACTACGTCGACGGTCAACATTACCAAAGAGGTCATTCTCTCTGCTGGCTCAATTGGCAGCCCAGCAATCCTAATGTACAGTGGTGTGGGTCCTAAAGACGTTCTCTCCGATGCGGGTATTGACCTGCTCTCTGAACTACCCGGTGTCGGCCAACATCTGCAAGATCATTTTGTAGGTCATTCGACTTCCCTATACTCAGGACCTTCAACTAACTAGCGGCAGAGTGCTACTGTGACTTGGGATAACGATGTGACCACCTCCGGCGACGTTTATTACGAGGATGAGTCCGACAAGGTAAGTCTCTTCAATTTAGGAAATAGAAACATATTCTAATTTACACAGGACAATGAACTCTACCTCTCATACATCGACGACGCCATCGCTTACGTCAATGCTACTGCGTTATATGGGAGTGACCTTTCCTCGATGGAATCAAGCATTCTCGCTTCCATTGACCAGTACGCACCAAACTCGACATACAGCGACGAGGTGATCGCGGGCTACAAAGCCATCTGCAATATTACAGCCAAGAATATCTTCAACAGTCCCACCGGTATTATCGAGCTTTTGTTTATGAACAGCGATGCGAATGGTGATATTGGTATCACTGCTGCTCTCCAGCATCCATACAGCCATGGTCGTATTTACATCAACTCCTCGAACCCACTGGACTACCCCGTCATCGACCCGAACTATCTATACAACCCCGCTGGTACGTAACATCGCGTCGTTGAAAGGTCGAATACAGCTAACCCGATGCAGATTACGAGATCCTCCGTGACGGCCTGAAAATGGCACGCAGTATTGGTGAAGCAAGCCCCCTGTGTAGCAACCTGACATCGGAAACAGCTCCCGGCACAAATGTCACGACCGATGATGAGTGGGTAACCTGGCTACGCGGCGCTGCCAGCACAGAATTCCACCCTTCTTCCACCTGCGCCATGCTACCCCGCGAATTAGGTGGTGTTGTCGATGCAAACCTCCTGGTATATGGCCTAGCGAATGTTCGGGTTGCAGACGCTAGTGTTCCCCCGATTTCATTGTCTACCCATCTTATGTCCTCGACATATGGAGTTGCTGAGCAAGCGGCGAACATTATTCGTGGATTTTATAATGGTGTGCCCATGACACAGTCTTCTGGTAGCAGCGGCGGCGGTAGCGGTAGTAGTGGTGGCTCTAATACCACCACTGCTGCGAAGAGCTCTCAATCTACAGGATCAGAAGTTGCGCCAAGTAACAGCGCTTCTGGTAAAGGGGGTGCCCTTTTGTACAGTTGGATGTCTATTTTCCTCTTTATTGGCTTGTCTCTGTAGACTGAGATGAGATTGGGCTTTGTTATGAACACTGTTGTACATAGTTAAGGGCAGTACATGTTATGATCCACAAGAATATACGCAGCATTTTTAATTACAGAACATGTCGAGTGCTGGAATCTGACTTGTAGAAGCGTGCATGGAAGTCTATGTTTAAATAAGCATTTCCCATGTGGTTTTATCCTGACTGCGTGCATACCAATGGTCCGCGCGACATGTAAGGCACCTGCAACCTTGGAACCATCTGCTTTCAGAGCTTGTGGTGTAGACCTGTCTTTCAAAGATCGAGTGACAAATCGCAACAGGGTCTCCAAGGTTCGTTATGTGGCAGCTGTACATTTCGAATGGCTATACGCAATGCACATAAAGGAGAGTCGATATTCAAGATTTTTTGAATGGCATTAAGACTCGAAGTTCATAGAGTATCCACCTGTCTTCGGGTCCTGAACGAACTTGAAATTATCCGTAGATAGACCAAATGGTTTCAAAAAGCCATTCCCGAGCTATTAGAAGATAGAATGTTAGACCTCATGAAGCGCAGCACTTGGAAAGCAATCGACTCACGTCCTTCATCTTCGACATCATCTCACCCATCTCCTTCTCTTTGGCAGCGTTGATGCGGCTTGGAAGGTCACGAAGAGCCCGTTGTACAATGCGTCTATCTTCAGGTGGAAGGTTGTTCATCCCATCCAAGATTTGATAGTCTTCTGCGGCACCCTGTAAGCTGGCCCAGCCGCCAGTTTGTGATTTGGCTTTGGCGCGCCGCATGAGAGCTTTGGCCCGAATCCGCAGGACATTGGTGCGGGTCTCATCTAACTTCTTCAAGCGCTCCAGCTCTTTTTCCTCCGCATCATCATCTTCCCCAGATATCTCAACCACTGCATCGCTGTCCTGTGTACCGCTGGTTGTGGGGTGCGAGCTTTTGGATTCGCTCTGTTCCGGTGTGGACGATTCGGACGGGACAATCTTTTCGAGACGATCGAGGGACATGGTGGCAGACTCAACCGCGGATTTCCAGTCTTCCATTTTCAGGTAGCACGCGGAGATGTTACACCGAAGGACGGCAACGTCATAATCCAGGTAGTTGGGACAGGAGGCGAGAGCCCGATCGTAGCAGGAGATAGCTTGGTCATAAGAGCCAGAACTAAATAATTGGTTCGCTTCTGTTTTGATTTCATGGGATTCTTTCAGGAGTTGCTGTCGTCATGCCGACAAAGGTTAGCGACTAGCCAGGAAATTTGGAGACAACCCGCAACTCACAGCTTCTTCCTCCGCGGGGAATCGCGCATCGTGGAATACATCGTCATCACTGTCGCCATCATCCTGCGCAGGAGCGACGCCTTTGTTACGCTCTTCGGCAGGAAAAGAATCACCGGTGGTCGTCATCGTGAAGTGGAATGCAACAATACAAGAAGGAAGGACGTCGGCGGAAGAATCACGGGACTGATAAGCGGCGTTCTCCCCCGCGCGGACCTTATCAGACACAAACCCTGTGTCCCGCTCAAATATATCACAACTCAACAACATACCCATCATGACGGAGCGCAATGAGTACGTATGGCTGGCCATTGACTACTTCAAATCCCGTTATAACATTCGTAATAGACTCCCCCGCATTCGTGCGTGTCTCTTCGACATGGACGGGTTATTGATCGACTCGGAGGACAAATACTCCCAGATCACAAACGAAGTCCTTGCCATGTACGGCAAGCCAATGCTTCCTTGGTCGATCAAAGCTCAGCTGCAGGGACGCCCACAGCCTGAGGTATGTTGAGAGGATCCTGCATATCCCCGATACCAAGAAACGTAGTGTAACCATTTCTACAGGCCAGTAAGATCTTCCATGACTGGGCTCAACTCCCAATTACTCCGGAAGAAACCCAAGCCAAGCAAGCATCTCTGCAGGCAAAGTATTTCCCAGAATCGCAGCCGCTGCCTGGAGTCCCCACTCTTCTCTCCAACCTTGTGTCAACCCAATCCACGGACCAGCCTGTACACATTGCTTTGGCAACTTCTTCGAATAGCAAGAACTTCAAGCTCAAGTCAGGCCACCTTACAGAGCTCTTCGCGGCCTTTCCGGAGATTCACCGAGTCCTGGGCGACGACCCTCGGATTGGCAAGGGGAGAGGCAAGCCGCTGCCTGACATCTACCTCCTGGCATTGGAGACTATCAACGAGAGCTTGCGCAGCAAGGGCGAATCTGAGATTAGACCTGAAGAATGTCTGGTTTTCGAGGATGCAGTTCCGGGTGTAGAGGCAGGTCGCCGCGCAGGCATGCAGGTTGTCTGGTGCCCGCACCCTGGTCTTCTGGAGGCCTATCGAGGCCGGGAGGATGAGGTCCTGGCGGGCCTGACAGGCTCGCATAAGGAGAGTGAAAAGACTGCAGCTGAAAGAGAAGCTGATGAATTACAGGCTGGCCGTGTGCAAGGCTCCGGGAAGACTGGAAAGCTTGGCGATGGATGGGGACAACTAGTTGCTACCCTGGAGGACTTTCCTTACGAGCGGTATGGCATTCGGATACCCTAACTTATTCCAAATAGATGTAGATTTCATGGAATAACAATGATATACATACAACTTCCTCCCGGCTTCTCTCAAGGCCTTCTTGGTGACATTTTCAAGGTCTTCTCCGTTGTTCGCCTTTTCATTCGTGAAGACCCTCTTCACGCTGTAACAGCCTTGGTCCTTGCAATGGCTTAATTTTTTGTACCCAAGAAGAAAGTTTTCCATCCTAAAAACAAGTCTTACATTCAATGGATTATTTAATCCGGAAATGCAAGATTGACCTTCTGGTTGGCCAAAACCCGCTTTGGTGCGGCAAACGAATCATCAATAAAGACATGAACATAATCAAGGTCCTGAAGGTGCTTTCAAATGAAATCCAATTACTGGGGGTACAGAGTGGAGGAAAGTGAGAGCAGAGTGATGGAGAAAGAAGAAAAAGAGAGGATCCTTTCATCGTTCATATTGCGTAGGTTACTGTCGCGCGGTATACTGGAGAATGGAAGAAAGGAAGATGAGCAAGATTGGTGGCATGGGCAGCACTGAGGTAGGTATCAAAGAATCAACCGATTCGATGTCGACTCTTTCATAATCTCGGATTAAATATCGTCGGAACACAGCCTCAAAATTTGGTTTCGTCGCTGCCTTGAATCTTCATGTCTTGTAGTGGTCCGTATTACGATCTTTGTGTAGTTTTGGGTTGCCAACTACTTAGTAGATTCACACACAGTACGTTTGGTCTTAACAAAGATCTCCCACTCCTCAAATATACATGAACCCATCACCTCATATTTCTGGATCCTTTATTCTCGAGCAGTCCGTGTCTTTCTTCTACGACTCACCACATCTGAACACGTCTTACTATTTGCTCCCACTTCTTCTCCTTATCGTCACCTGTCGTTGTGATTTTCAAGATGAATACTCCGGCATTCGACTCCGATATCCTCCAATATGCTCGGAACCGAGGCATTGCAATCCCATCTGAGATGAAAATCGCTTCTGAGCTCAGTATCGGCAAAATCATTCCCCTGCACTACAAGTACTCTGATGAGGTCGCAATCAGATTCGAAAAGTTCTATTCAACAGCAAGAAAGGATCTCGAATCACAAAAACTCAACCTGAGTCATGACTCTTCTCTATTTTTGATGCAAGAAAGGAATACGACTATGGAGTCGCAAGTTAATTGGGACAACTTGCTCCCTTCAATCAACGTAGTGGATACCCGTTCGAGTGATCCTCTGCAAAGTGAACGGGCAATTCGAACACTCCAGTCTGTTGTCTCTCGGAATGGGCCTGGCTTCCATTCTACATGCCTGGAATCGGACCATGGACAAAATGAATCCCAGTCCGTTGGTTTTGATAGTTACTTTGCGCCTCATATTCCACAGCGTCTGGGCTTTGGTACTGTGTGGGGTCCACCCAAGAATTATGATACGCCTCCAAGGCTCTCGGAGATTCTTGCTCAAGCTCAAGCTTTCGGCTCCATGAGACTAGATATCTGCAAAAAGGCATGTACTTTGATGTCCAAGGACTGGAGGCGGGACAGTGGACCATCGAGGAAGGTGGTAGATTCGATACGTTATGAAATGCTTCCCCAGCATAAGGTCGGTCTGTTTCTGTGATTTCAAGTTTGAGACGAGGCTGAAATCTGTAACAGAGCGCTACGCTGTTTAATGACATAATACTTGTCCCTGAGAAGCTGGAAGTGCACAGCGGTCAATTGCTTCAATTCAGATATCCAGCTCGTGCCCGGAAGATAGCTGCAATGCGCCAAAGGAAGCCCCAGCCAAACACTCTTCTGCCCAATTTCCAGGTTCCTGCAGAGCCAGCTTTCAAAGGGCTACGGGAAGACAGGCAAGCTCTCTCCTCTATCCCAGAAGATACAGAGGTAGACACTCAGAGTGAGAAGTCCCAAAACCCGCCTTGTCTTCCATCAAAATCACCGACCAGGAGTCCGGCTATTGCAGCGGGTTCAATGCTTCCCAAGGTAAATCATACCGGAGTATCTCCAAAGCCAATTAGCTTAGTTGGAGAATATCGATGCTGACACAAATTACTAGGATGTCGTTAATGCTGGAGCACTCGCCAGTGCCACTGCATCGCAACCAATTTCCGTTGAGGCATCTCCTGAGCTTCACACGAACGCATCATCTCTGGAAGAATCTGGCGGTGTTCCAGAATCTCTTCAATCGGCCAATTGTGATATACTTTCGAATGTTTCTGACACCTTCGTTCCTGTCGTCTCTGCCCCTCTGCTGAAAGCAGAGATCAGGTCTTCAAAAGGTCAAGTTGAAAATAGTGACGGTAAGTCGTTTCGAAGCACCGGTTTGACTGGCCCACCACATATGGAGAACGCTCCTACTGCGGTGCTTGAAACTTCATGCATATCCAGTATCGGGCCATTCAGCAAAGGACTCGGTTCTCTATCCACATTCATGGAATCGAGGGGCGTCGTCCCAGCAAACGGCTCTACAAGTAGCGCTTACTTTCCTCGTCATGATACTAACAAGGTCAACGAGCAGCAGCACCAAGAGAACCAACGCGTCCCTTCAGCTCTGGAAAAAGCCATCTTTGAACCCTCAACATACCCCAATGCAGTCATCACTCTCGACATAATCAAATCTCAGTTCGCAACCATGACTTCTGATCTCCTTCTCTTCCTTTCAATGGATCTTCTCAAGACTCATTTGCAAATAGTCCAATTCCTCGAGCAGCAACGCGACCCTCCCAGACTGATTTACCGGGAGTACAAACAGTCCTCGGCCCCTTCAAATCCAGGAAGCTTCCAATATCAACAAACGCCTCCAGAAGCAGACTTCATAATCGCTCCAGACGTGGGGATCATACTTTCGTCTTCCCACTCATTAACACAAGTCTTCCTGCCTGGCCACCGACCCGAAGACCCCTACATTCGAAGCAATCCAGATATCACGTCCCCTCTCAGAGAACGAATCTTCCGCCTGGCGCCTCGGTACGAAACTCTGTACTTGCTAATAAACCACCCATCACCCAAACTGGGAGCCCAGACAAACATCCTTCCAGCAGAAGAATTGCGAATGAATGACTCCACTCAAGAATGCCTTCAATCCCTCATTTTATTCTGCGATTCTCTTTCTCACTCAACAACCATAATCCCCGTTCATACTTCAATCTCTCCTGAGCAAACGGGAAACTGGATCCTCACCCTCACGGCCATACATGCTCATTCCCTTCCAAAATTCGCTATTCGGGCACCAGATCCTGATCCGATCATGAACTACGTCGGTTCCGCTCAACGGTTCACGCTGAATCAAATTATCAAGGACGACGAAACCAAATGGGAGGTTTTCCTCCGAGCCATTGGATTGAATCCCTTTGCGGCGAGAGCAGTTCTCGATATTATTGATGCGGAGGTTCATCCTACAACGGCGTCTGAGAATGTTGAGCTTGATTCTTTTCCAGTCAATATTTCAGAAAAAGAGTCTGCTTTGGCCACTTTTATTGAGATGAAGCCCGAGGAGAGGCTGCGTCGGTTTCAGGGTCTGATTGGGGAGCTTTTGTGGGCCAGGCTGCATGCTGTTATTGAGAGGGGTTGAGATTTTGCTTTCGGGCTTCCATGCGATTCAGATACGCAGGACTATGCTACTTCATGGAAACGTGGTTGCACTTGCTTGTTTCCCTCTTGTGGGCTCGGAATATGGATTGTACAAGCGTCCATTTATGGCATGATTCAAGCTATTCCAGCTAGCCCTGTATGGGAGGGTCGCTCATCACCAATTCATTAGTTTATCCCATATTCATTCCACGGTGATCCAAGATCCCATTAATACATTGCGCTCTGGAATTTCCCCAATGTCCAGTTGTATCTATAAGATAGGCATCTACCTACACAAATGGGTATCTACCATTTGATTTCTCGGGTGGTGGGTGAGTGTAGTTTCACAAGGGAACATGTACGTGTTATAATTGTCAGATTGAAACAGCCGGACATTACTGGTATGAGAGGAGATTATCATCAAATTACCAACTGCCTGCCATAGCACAAGCACAGACGCGACAAGTTGCGATTGGTTTTAAAAATACATTGGACAAAGACATGCAAGACCCAGGGCCAATCCAGCGCTTCAAAAACTCAGTATGCAAAGATGAAAGAGGCCAAAGCAGACCACGGGACAAAGCCTGACCCAAGGCACGTGCACCGGAACCCCGGAGATATAGTTTATTATTTTTGTAAGATTTGTTCTTGAGATCGTTGAGAGTGGTCGAGCTCGCGACTTCGCTTCGGTATGGTACACACTGGATGCATTCCTACACGAGTGTTCGAAGCTCGGGTGGCGAGGAAGACATTCAGATAAAAAGGATGCGAGAGACAAGAGTTAAGGTGACTTGTTAAGGCGCTTAGAGCTCGTTGATCTTGGCAAGGATCCTGTGGTATGTTAGTGGGGGACTCAAGACAATTGTATGCTGCAGTAGGTTTAGGTGGGTAGACATACTCAGAGTCACGGAACAGGTGGTACTCCTCCTCGCCGATCTTGATGGGGCTACCACCGAACTATAAAAAGAAGTCATATTAGCATATAAAGAACGGACGATGCCTCGGAGTTTGTGCCGAGTAGGAACAGCAATATAATGCGATGCGCGGAAGAGGTCGGAAAAGGGAACGTAGCGTCAACGTACCTGAGGAATCAAGACCTTGTCACCAGCGGCAACGCCCATAGGGAGGCGCTTGCCATCCTTGTCGAAGGCACCGGGGCCAACAGCGAGGACCTTGGCCTCGTTGAGCTCCTTAACACTGCTCTCAGGGAGGAAGATACCGGAGGCGGTCTTGGCCTCGGCCTTGACGCGCTGGATCAGGACGCGGTCCAGGAGGGGAGCAAGAGCCTTGATGTTGCGGATGGCAGACTATTGAAATTGGCTTTAGTACACAGTTTGACAGGTAGAGGGGTGTCGGTCCGGCTGAGTCTGGGGAAGGGAAAAAAATGCGCGGCCGGCCTCCGACGCCAGTCTAGCTTGCCAACAAGCTTGCAAATGGGCATAGAGTGGTTTTTCACAGAAATTGAACATTTTACGTACCATTGTGATGAAGAGAGAGGTCTTGAGGTCAAGGGGTGATGTTCGTGGGATGGAGAAGGGAAGAGGAAATGTCCGGGGGAGGAAGATCTGGACTTTCGCCGCGAGAAATTTCCAGAATGCCAAGACCACAGCTTTAGTCCCGAGGAACATGGAAGAACCCGAACAACTAGAGACCAATTAAAGCAGAAATGAATCCCCTTAAAGGCTTACGAAAGCTTCACAGACGAATGATTCTTTGACCATTAATCTTATTCTCAATTGCTCCATGGGATATACTACCAAGAAGACCTACGAAACGGAATCTCCTGCCAGCTTACCCCAATCTACAGTACAGCTCCGTTCTTCCGAAGCGGATCTTTGGGCCACGACCATTTAAGAGATATAGACCATAAAGTCATTGGAAAATCTCAATTATTTCATTTGCATAAAACGCCGCAACATCCAGCCCATCATCCGGAGGGCGAACCCAAAATGATCACATAGGAAGTACTAAAACTGACATTTAAACTACCATCTCCGCCCCCGTCCACGGCCTCCATAATTACCGCGTTGGTCGTAATTTCCATATCCCATCTGACCTTGTGGAGGCTGTCCGAAGCCTTGATTCGGTGCTTGGCCTCCAAAGTTCTGCTGGCCTGGCTGACCACCACCGCCAGGCTGGCCACCCATCATCGCTTGTGCGCTCTGCATAAAGGCCATTGGATCCATGTTAGAGGGGTCCATTCCCTGAGCCATCATGCCGGCCAACATCTGCTGCATCATATCTTGGGACATGTCAGGCATGCCGGGCATACCAGGCATGGCTGGCGGACCGCCGCCTGTAGGTCCGGGGACTGGAGGTGGTGCACCAGGCATCGGAGGCATTCCCATGCCCAAGAACGATGACATATCATCCATCTGTCGCTTCTGGTCGCCAACCTCCTTGCGTGTCTCCTGCTGCTTCAGACAATAGCTAACCCATGTGAATTCGTCAAAGCCGTAGTTGAAGAAGTCGGAGACATCAGAGCCCGGTCGCCGCCAAGGCTTATCATCAGCCGGGAAATCTGTGTCCATATCTGTAGCCATGATTGTCTTCCCAGTTGAAGGGTGCACGGGATTGCCATTCACATCTATGGTGGAGGTATGGATGGGTGGGTAGGAGGAGCCTGGTTTTTGATTTTGAGGCACGGTAGGTTTTGTGGGAGCAGCACTGCCGGTTCCAGGCAGTTGAGTTGGGGCATCAAGACGAGGAGTGGCAGACGGTGTCGCAGATTTGGAGACAGCCGATGAGTCTGCGGAGGACGGTCGTTGCGAGTCTTGTCGTAAGCTTGCATGGCGTGGATGGGAGCTTCGAGGGTTAGATAAATATGAACATGCGCTCAGATGGCTATGGCTTACAGCTCTGGAGGGGGCGCGTCGGCAGGGGCCTCTGTAATAATATTGAAATCATCCTGAGCTTGGTTAGTGAAAGGACCAAGGCGTAAAGCAATTGGTATCGAACCTCATCGGAGTCGACCTCTACTTCCTCCTCGTCATCCATGTCGTCCATCTGTTGGCCTGGGGCTGTGTCCTGGGCGTTATTCGGTGCGTGGGCCGGTGCCACCGTGTCGGCGGGATCGTAGAAATCATCCTCTTCGTCTTCCATGGTGATTTGCTTTCGGTCGCACGGATTCTGTTGTAGAAAAGATGTCGCGACTGGCTGGCGATCCTCCGCAGGTAAATGGGAGTTTGGACTGTTTGCACTTGAGCTGGCCTTCGATGTTTGTATGAAGTTGCACTTTCATTTGTGAGTAAGAATGATACTGCAATGCTATTGTTAAAGATAAAAAGGATCAATTTAAACTTTAAAGAGACTGTGAATGACACTGCTCTTATCTGCTAAATCGATTGGTGACTTTGGACAGTATATGTCGAGCATCTTCGTCGTTCTGCTTTGATGCCTGAATAATAAGGCTCCAGTATACTTCACTTTTCTAAAAAGCTTGCCAATGTGGTAATTTCATTCAATAAGCAAGAGAGAGCTGATCCATTCGTCTTTATCCAGATGTCTCGCTTTCAAATCAATCAATACTCCCAATCCATCTGCTGATTCATGATTTGCGGTACCTTTGAATTTAGTCACGTGCACTGCCCCAGACGTCAGTGATTCGGATATCCAACGTTTTTCGTTGAGCCAACTCCTCCCTGCGACTATCTTGCGACTGTGTGAATTAAATCGGTACACAAAATGGCGGATCAAGAGAGTGGCAACTCCACTCCACGGTCCTTCACGGGCCAAACTGCCTCCGCGGAGGACATGCTCAAGTCGCAAACCGTCGGTCTCGTGCATTTGTCCGACTTTCGCAAACGACGCGCCGAGGTCCTGGAGCAAAAAGAGCGCGAAGCGCATGACAAGTCCCTTGGACGATTGGCATCTGGTAATTCAAGAAGCGCAACTCCCTCTACAGGCGATGTGACTGACGGGTAAGTTCCAAGGGCTCGATTTCCCCACGACTGTCTCCACGGCGACCTGAGCTAACCCCTCCTATGATTGAATAGATCGTCAACGCCTCGAAGCGATGGTCCCCCCAAAAAGAAAAAGAAGAAGCCTCTTGCAAAGAGTAAGCTTTCATTTGGCGACGATGAGGATGGGACGGGTGAGGAGTCTGCAGCTACTCCACGCGACTCGAGTTTATCTCGGTCCGGCTCAAAGACACCGATAGAGGACGGTCCAACCTCGGGAGCCGTTCGCATGAAGGCTAACCCAAATGCACCGCCTCCTCCGAAAGCTCTAACCAAGGCCGCTTTGGAAGAACAAGCGCAAGCTCGTGATGCGCTTCGCAAGGAATTCTTAGCCATGCAAGAAGCTGTCAAGAACACGGAGATTTTGATCCCTTTTGTCTTCTTTGATGGCACAAGCACACCTGCTGGCTCAGTCAAAGTCAAGAAGGGGGATCATGTATGGCTATTTTTAGATCGGTGTCGCAAAGTTGGTGCAGAGTTGGGGGTCGGTGGTGCCAATGGAGCTTCCAAAGCACGGAAGGATACTCGTCGAGAATGGGCACGAGTTAGTGTTGATGACTTGATGCTTGTTAAAGGCAATATCATTGTTCCTCACGTGAGTAACTTGTAATTCATTGTTGCCGATCACTCAAGCTGACTGGATTTAGCATTACGAGTTCTACCACTTTATCGCCAACCGAGTGCCAAGTTTCTCCAAGACAGGAGGATTATTATTTGACTACACCAATAAGCCTCCTCCAGAGCGCTCAAATGATGGCCCTTTATATCGACCCAGTGATCATCCATTGGAGGGTGCTGACAAGGACTCGGCGGAAACCAAAGTAGTAGATCGTCGTTGGTATGAGAAGAACAAGCATATCTACCCGGCTAGTCTTTGGAATGAGTATGAGCCCGGCAAGGAATTTGAAGAAAAGATGAACTCGACACGTCGTGATGCACAGGGAAATACATTCTTCTTTTAGCGTGGTGTTTTTATGAATCCTATGGGGGCATATCTGTTTTTTTTTTGTTTGAATATATCCAGGCGCTGTGTGGCTCAAAACTAGATCAAATACCAAATTACGATGAACGTTTGGTCCTCGGAGATTGACTACCCACTCCCATTCTCTCTTTTTCCTCCCATCAGCCAATACTAAACAACGTCATGGATTTCCACCTACGATGCAATTCCCTCAAATGCCGTGCACGACTGAAGGAGAGAGCGGTGGTGACAACTTGCTCGTGAGTCGCATTGGGTGTGGCTGGTAATTGAGAAACTGACGGTTCAAGACACATATTTTGTGTAGGATGTGCAGATGGCCTCGGGCTTTCACATCCCACTGCCGATGACCGTCGTTGCCCTGCCTGTTCAACAGTTCTATCCCACCCCGATGATGCTGTTTCCACGATTTTGAATCCGACGGAAGACTACAAGACGAGTGTGCTGAGTGGTTTGGACCCCAATACTGTCATGGAGTGCGCTGGTCGTGCTTTGGGGTTTTGGGCATATCAGAGCACGCAAGAGATGTAAATTTGCTTCTCTCATGCTTCTTTGGTCCCGTCAGATCATTGAGAACAGGAACGGCTTACTTGACGTTCTAGATTTTATCAAGAATTCCTGGGCAAGAGTCTCACCGAAAAGTATACAAGCCTCAACATGCAGATGGACAGAGTCGTTCTCAACGCGAACTCGGAAATCTCAAATCTTCACAGCAGGCTTTCAGGTATATTGGCTGGAGTTCTCCAGTTATAATGCATAAAGCTAATTCCTCAATCTATAGATCTACAAGCAGTCCAAGAACAATTGCAAAAGAAAAATCAAGAGCTTGTGGATCTCTATCGTGAAAAGTCCACGAAATTGACACAGATGACGAATCTCTACAACATTCTCAAAGCACGCGCCATGCGATCCCGTATGGAGACTGCAGCTTCGGAAACAGTCTCTCATACTTTGAACACAGTCTCACGAAGTATACCTGTCGGATCGCTCGCCCCATCTGGGCCGTCCCAGATTCCTACTCGTTCTACGCCACTCCCTCCAAAGACGCCATCATTCCCTATGAGTCCCAGTGGAATTGAGCAATTGCATCGATATCAGCGAAGTGGTACTGGAAGTTCCAGACGGTTGGATTCGAAAATCTCAAAAACTACGGGAATGCTTCCTCCAAGTCGGCCTACCCTAAACTTGCACAATCGTATGTTTGTTTGTCTTAAGAAGAGAAAAATTGTCAAGGTGGGAGCTGACCGACCTTCTACTTCTAGCGCAGATTTCGCAAACCAATCCGCAGCATCGGACTCGTCTTCCACAAAGCAGTCGGCCTCCGACGGGCTTTTCGCAGCTCCCGCCCGACGACGTTATCATGGCCAGATTTAGGAATTAGCATGAGCATGAGACCTGTCATAGCTCATGGATTTACACGACTTTAGGTTGCCTATCTGTTTTGACGACCGCAATCATTCTATAATTTAGAGGCAACTACCCGCCAGTCAAAACCATAGGTGGATTTTGTCTCCTGTACTGTAAGCCTGTATAACTACTAATGACCCAAGTATGTAAGAAATATATTCACGAGTACTGACTTTGAAGCTTCCCTGGTTCTCTTCTTATATCTTAAAGACAAACTGCATTTACATCCGTTAACACTCCTACTAGAAGCACGGAGTTCATTGATGCTGCTTCGACCATGTGGTCTAATCTACTCTACGCGGGTATCGACATAACCGCCCGGCAAATACATACTTCGAACCCAATTCTAAGAACAAAAAAATCATGTCAGCATACCCTCCAAAACAAAAAGAACAACTCCAGTCGCCATTCCAATGTACGTGATCTAACAAATAAAGAACCTAACTATCCGTATATGGTTAGACAAGGCCTATATCTGCCCTGACACATCCCCAGCCTCCCGTTCGTCCGGGATCTAATCTCGGAGCAGCGGAACCTCACCCACCTCAGTCTATGCAACACAACCCACCACAAATGACAATTTGCCCCCAGCACGGTCCATAGCTTAACTTTATGGGTCGTTCCTGGGGATCCAGATCAGCGGGATCGATTTGGCCCCTGTTAAATCCGGGGAAAGCTCTGGTGGAGTCGTATGGCGCTGTAATTTATTACATAGATCGGTATTTTTTTTTTGGTAATGTGTATTATATTCTGAATGTTGCCCATTTACTCTAGCACACCTGTTTTTAACCACAGGACTAGCCTTAACTCAAAAGCTACGTGGATAATTTCTTAGGTAAACCGTGAATTACAGAGTATGTGCAAAAGATCTCGTATCATCACTGATATATTATCCGATGGGATATCACGATCTAAATCCCCCGGGGAAAGGTGAACATAAAAGGAAATCTAATCATGTACGTCGGCACCAAGCACGCGGTCTTTTCGTCCGGGCAAGGGAGAAACGCCAAACCCTCGACCAGCAAACCAGGAACAGACGCCGGGGGGACTGCATGGCACAGCCCAGCCCGCGGGGCGGCATCATCCCGCATATTTCATATCATGCCATGCATTATTCCACACACACACAAACCCATGCAACGGAGGGGGAGGTGCAACGCTGCAAGAAACAACAAACAAGAGAGACCCAAATTTTTCCAAAAGCAAGAATCACATTTATACGCCGAATTCCTTGACGTCAGTCTTCTTGCCCTGGAGGGCCAGAGGGACGATACCACTGACGTGCATCTCAGGACCGAACACGTGCATGTCGAGACCCAGCTCAATACCGGCGGCCTTGATGTTCTTGAGACCCTCCTGGTAGTTGGGACCGGCACGGCGGACCCAGATTTGGACCTTGTGCTCGATAAGGACAGGGGCGACATCACGGATGGCGCGGATGACACCCTTGAAGGTGCTCGCAACGTTGGTGAAGTTGGCAATACCACCACCGATGAAGAGAACCTTACCGTCGGGGTGCTGGGGAGCACGGAGCATCAGGTCCAGGACGGTGCGAGCGTACTGGAAGGTCTGGTTCTCGGTGGGGGCACCGGAGTACTCTCCGTAGTTGGCGAGCTCGGAGACAAAGCCAGCGGAGGCAATGGCGTCAGCGTAGACGACGGAAGCACCACCACCAGCAACGAGGGTCCAGACACGACCGCTAGCGTTAAGGACGGTCAGCTTAAGGGAGGCACCGGTCTTGGCGTCCATGTCGGAAATGAACTTCTCCTCCTTGCTCAGCTCACGACCGAAGGGGGCGGGGAACTCCATCGGCGGACCAGCGTCGATGTTGACCTTGCCGTCGGTGGAGGGGAGAGTGGGCAGACCCAGGGCAGCGGGGCTACGAGCAATGGCCCACTTGGTGCCGCACTCGAACTCGGCAGTCTGATCGATCTTGGCAGCCAGATCCAGGAAGTGAACGTCGGCGGAGGTGGCATCGGCGTTGGGAATGACAACGAGAGGGTTGATCTCGAGGTAGGTGAACTGGCAGTCGACGTAGACGGCGTACAGGCGGGAGATGAAGTCCACCAGGACGTTGTGGACACCCTTGGGCACCTTGCTCAAGAGGGAGGAGGCAATCTCCTCGTTGGAGGGGAAGTTCTTCAGGTTGACGGGGATAAGCAGCTTCTCAGCCTTAGCATCGACATCACCGACGTCAACACCACCCTCGTGGGTGAAGAGGATCCAGTCACCCTAGGGTTCAAATTAGCTTCTTTTTTGCTTGTTTTCATACCACGGTAGTCGGATTTAAGCTTACCTCACGAACAGAGTTGATGTTAATGTAGTACTCAGTCTCCTGGGGGTGGGGCACGAAGGGCTCAACAAGGAACTGACGCAGAACACCGGTGACGGTCTCAACGAGGACCTCCTTGGTGGCGCGGGCCTCAATCCACTCACGAGCCTCAGCCCAGGTCTTGTTCAGGGCGAGGAGACCGCTCTTGCCACGGCGCTTGATCAATTGGTCGGGCTTAGCAACGAACTTGGAGCCGGGGACCAACAGCCATGGGTAGGTAACCTCGGCCTGGTCGAGGACATCCTTGACGCTCTTGTCTTCGGGGAAGTGGAGGGAGGCGAGACGAGCGGGAGGGTTGTGTGTCGAGGAAGCAGGGAGAGGAGTAGGCTTGATCACCGGGGCGCGGGTGAGGTGGTAGTTGAGGATGGCCTTACCATCGGCCTCGAGAATAGACTTGGCGGACATGATTGTGATGTGTATGTGAAAGGGGAATTGATCAAGGATGAGAAAAAAAGAGGGAAAGTAGAGGGAGGATAACTTTTTGGAAAGCCGAAGCTAGGGGGAAAAAAGACTAAGACTGGAGAATACGGCGTAGAACAAGAAAAAAGATTGTGCTGGAGATTACAGCGTACAATTGAGGGGTGATCCACTGTATGTTGAGACTCTGAAAAAAAAAGAGTGGAAGGTGGGGGTTTGCCCTGTTGGGATTACACTCAGGTTACCGCTCCGTACTTGATGTCCGTATCCCTACTATGTAACCCCGAAGGAGTGTGGCCCCGACACCGCTCCTTTTAGCTTCCCCTGCAACTCCGAACTTGTCTGAACGCTTGAGTCTATTCTGTTGGGTTCACCCCAGAATTGGATCTACACAGTAGCCCCCAGCACTGTTTCGGGGTTGACCGCAGGGCGCCAACTACCGTCATCATCGTATTCGTGTTTATTTGGACTGACGAATGATAACACCTATCTGTACATACAGTACTCATCCTCGAGTCTATCTATAGAGAGTATGCGATATGCGACATGCGATGTACGATGTACGATGTACGGTTTACGACAGTGCCTGGATTGGATTTCCTATACAGTCGTAATAATACAGTGTATCGGAAACACGCGCTAACAGAGCGGATCTTCAAAGTGGATCCCACAAGTATCGGTGGTACCCGGTACTTTGGGGAACTGTTGAGCTCTAGCGTACGCTGGGAGGAGCTGTACACCGTATCTGCGAGTACTCGGCCCCGCGCTTTTTTTTCTTCACATTCTGACAACTCCTTTCTTCTTGATCTCCTTCTTTCCCCCCAATCTTTCCTCTTAAAAAAAACATAGCGGGTGTTTTGCACAAATAGGTACGTTTCCTGACTCCCATCATTGGCACAATTCTTCTTCTGTCTTTTCTTTCCTACGGCAAATGGCATTCCAGCTTGCCCCTCTATCGCTGTAATCACCGAACCACGTCTAACAGTTCAATCCGCCACAGATTCATCATGCCCTCTACTTCCTCCGCTGCCGGCAACGGCAACCAGTCTGCCAACGACAACATTACCCGCTTCGCCCCTCCCAGCCGTGTGCTCTCTCCCCAAAACCACGCTCTCTTCCACAACAAGACACGATGCTTCGTATAGTAAGTCCGCACGCGAGGCCCCCGAGGCCTCCGGTCTGGCCAAAAAAAAAGGGTACAGAAGAATTAACTGGCAATAGTGGCATGCAACCCCGAGCCGTGCAGGGCATGCTCGACTTTGACTTCATCTGCAAGCGCTCCACCCCCTCCGTCGCCGGTATCATCTACACTTTCGGTGGCCAATTCGTTAGCAAGATGTACTGGGGAACCAGCGAGACCCTCCTCCCCGTCTACCAGGACACTGAGAAGGCCTTCGCCAAGCACCCCGATGTCGACACCGTCGTCAACTTCGCCTCTTCCCGTTCCGTCTACCAGTCCACTATGGAGTTGATGGAGTTCCCCCAGATTCGCTCCATTGCCATCATTGCTGAGGGTGTCCCCGAGCGTGTAAGTCGATCTCCATTGTTCAATTGCACTTGCAGTCCAAGGTCTAACAAAAACCCGAAATTAGCGTGCTCGTGAGATCCTTGTTGCTGCCCAGGAGAAGGGTATCACCATCATCGGTCCCGCCACCGTCGGTGGTATCAAGCCTGGTGCTTTCAAGATCGGTAACACTGGTGGTATGATGGACAACATTGTTGCCTCCAAGCTCTACCGCAAGGGATCCGTCGGTTACGTCTCCAAGTCCGGCGGTATGTCTAACGAGTTGAACAACATTATCTCCCAGAACACCGACGGTGTCTACGAGGGTGTCGCCATTGGTGGTGACCGTTACCCCGGTACTACTTTCATTGACCACTTGCTCCGCTACCAGGCTGAGCCTGAGTGCAAGATCCTCGTCTTGCTCGGTGAGGTCGGTGGTGTTGAGGAGTACCGTGTGATCGAGGCTGTCAAGAACGGCACCATCACTAAGCCCATTGTCGCCTGGGCCATCGGTACTTGCGCCAGCATGTTCAAGACTGAGGTTCAGTTCGGTCACGCCGGTGCTTCCGCCAACTCTCAGCTCGAGACTGCTGTCTACAAGAACAAGGCCATGCGCGAGGCTGGCATTGTCGTCCCCGAGACCTTCGAGGACTTGCCCGAGGCCCTCAAGGCCGTTTACGAGGCTGAGGTGAGCAAGGGCAACATCGTCCCTGCCGCCGAGCCCGTTGTCCCCAAGATCCCCATTGACTACTCCTGGGCCCAGGAGCTGGGTCTCGTCCGTAAGCCCGCTGCTTTCATCTCCACTATCTCCGACGACCGTGGCCAGGAGCTTCTGTACGCCGGTATGCCCATCTCCGACGTCTTCCGGGAGGACATCGGTATCGGTGGTGTCATGTCTCTGCTGTGGTTCCGCCGCCGCCTGCCCACCTACGCCAGCAAGTTCCTGGAGATGGTTCTTATGCTCACTGCTGACCACGGTCCTGCCGTTTCTGGTGCCATGAACACCATCATTACAACCCGTGCTGGCAAGGATCTGATCAGTGCCCTCGTTTCCGGTCTGCTGACCATTGGTTCCCGCTTCGGTGGTGCGCTGGACGGTGCCGCTGAGGAGTTCACCAAGGCCTTTGACAAGGGTCTCAGCCCCCGTGACTTCGTTGACTCTTCTCGCAAGGCCAACAAGCTGATTCCCGGTATCGGCCACAAGGTCAAGTCCCGCAACAACCCTGATCTGCGTGTCGAGCTCGTCAAGGAGTTCGCCAAGAAGCACTTCCCCAGCACCAAGCTGCTCGACTACGCCATTGCTGTCGAGACTGTCACCACCTCCAAGAAGGACAACCTTATCCTGAACGTTGACGGTTGTGTTGCTGTCTGCTTCATTGACCTGCTCCGCAACTGCGGTGCCTTCACTCCCGAGGAAGCTGAGGACTACATCCGCATGGGTGTTCTCAACGGTCTGTTCGTTCTGGGTCGCAGCATCGGTCTGATTGCCCACTACCTCGACCAGAAGCGCCTGCGCACCGGTCTCTACCGTCACCCCTGGGACGACATCACCTACCTGCTGCCCACTCTCCAGAAGGGTGGTGCCGAGGGCCGTGTCGAGGTCAACCTGTGATTTTGTTCATGATTTGCAGCGCCGTCCGCTAGTGGCATACAGTCCATCCTCTGATTGGAGGATGGTGGAGTTTGGATGGTTGATCCATTTGTTTTATTTTTGTCTGAAGCAGTTTTTGTGTCTGCACAGCCTTTTCTAAGGGTACAAACCGGGCTTGAAGGCGATGCCATATATGAATAACCAAAAAGGCACGCCATGATGGAAATCGGTGCCCATGCCCGACTACGGATTCTTGATTTAATTTGTTTAGATGACTAGACCTCCGGGGACCTAATGAATGCCCTTGCATGATGAATATAAGCAAGCCATTGAGGTATAAAATTTTCATGTTGATCCATATCTCGTAGGGTACATCGAAATACAGTAGTTCCAACGCTAGATACTACGTTGGCGAACAGTGAATCAAATCCTGTGTTGGCGGTAACCAAAGCTACTCGAGAATCCTTATCTTATCGTACCCACCTCTTTTTCGCGCCCTCAATTTCCATTCCTATTCCATCCCACTCCATTACCCCCAGAAAAATACGCAAAATGGTCCGCCTCAAAAACCGTTATCTGCTTATAGATATCCTCTACCCTGATCCGGCAACATGGCCCTCTTCCACGCCCAAATCCACTAGCACATCCACCTCCGCACAACTAGCCATCCATTCGCCTACCTCTGACGCGCTGACACCAGGCCTCCTTGCAAAGATGATTCGTGAGGAGGTCAGCGAGCTATACGGGGACTGCGGTGTAGGGAAACTGGGCGGTGCTTCTGCAGGAGGAATCAATGGTAGGTTTTGGCTGCTCAATCTTCTTTGACTCATGACTCTCCATGGTTTTTTGGTTCTTTCTTTTCCCCAATGCTCTTCCGATTTGAGCCCTGCAAAGGGGAGCGAATAAAAGAACTAAGGCCGTGGATTCTCTGTTTTACATACACTAACCGCCCCAAGTCAAATACCTTTCTCCCGCAACATCGACCGCCATCCTCCGCTGCCCTCGCGCGTCCTTCCGTCTCGTCTGGTCCGCTCTTACACATATGTCGCATGTCCCCTCAACAGGCGGCGATGCATCCCAGAAGCGGCCCAACGGAGGCCGAGAACGGGGATGTGTATTTCGGGTTTTGAGAGTGTCGGGGACAATGAAGAAAGCCGAGGAGGAGGCCATTCGGCGGGCAAGGAGGGAGATTGTTCGGGTCAGAGGCGTCGAGGAAAAGGGTGTGTTGGGGGATTTGGTTTCCGGTGCTGGTGCAGGAAAGAACATGGTCATGCAGAGTGTTGTAGATGTGAGTGACGATGAGATGGAAGATGAGTGAGGACTTTCCTGTCATCGCCTGTATCTATCCATTGACTGGATCGATACTTCCCAGGGCTAGGCCCATGCTTTGACGGTTAGAGCTGGTCTGTACGATTAAATGATACCCCTACTAAGTGGCCACATTGTGGCATATATGCGATATTATACATTGAATCTTTTAGCCGCTGATAAGAATGAATTTATTCATCAATCATTCCTTTCGGCGCACTTTGATCCCGCTATCCGGCATTGAATTTTTCCAATTTGCCATTTCCTCGTCCTCGTCCATTTCATCCGGATCCCCATTGACAGCCTTGTTAGCCTCCTCGCGCATCCTCGCCTCCTCTTCCAACTCCTTCCTCTCCATATCATCATATTCATCCTTCGCATCCAACCATCGCTCCTGCACGTCTCTCACATCCGTAACACCCATTCCTTCTCGAACGGCAACCTGCCAGACGGAGTCGTTTGCACCCTCTGCGGGCCCAAATGCATACCCTGACGCACGATCAATAGCTCGCAGTAGATTCATCATGCTCTTTTTATCCTCGACGGCCAGCGTCTCGAAGCTGACGAGCCCAAATTCCTCCACAAGCGAGATGATGGCCTCATTCAGGGCGCTGAATTTGCTGTTTGTGAGACGGGAATTTTCGGCTTCAAGGTGAGGAAGAAGATATGAGAGGTCTTGGACCTCCGTGTAGAAGTCTAAGTTGAAAGGGAGGTCGTTGTAATTGGATAGATTGTCGATTTTAGTAAGAACGTTGAGGTGCGGGAGGTCGAGCTGAAGCATAGCGCGCAGAGAGAGAAGGAGAGCCGAGATGTACATTGAGGGGAGGGTTAGGGTGTAGGAGTCGATGAGGTGGATTACTATTAGCTGTTGTACATGGATGGTCAACGAGGTGCTCTTTCTTAATCTTAGGGCTGATACGAACTCGGTAGCCCAGTTTTTGGATCTGGAAAAAGATGTTTCGTAGAGATGAATGGTGTGTAAATAGCTCCACCTGCCCGGGGCAATCGAAAATAACATAATCCTCTGTACTCCAAAGTATCAGTTTATCAGATCAAATGAAGGATCATAAGTGGAGTGTGGCACGAACCTCCGAGCTCTTTCAATCCGCCCTCTAACCAAGAATAGTTCTCCTCAAGCTCTTCGAGAGCATATAAAGTAGCTCCGTTGGGTCCAAGATGATCTTCATCCATGATTTCTTCCAGAGTCACAAGATCGCGCACGTCCAGCGCGCACGGGTATGAGGTCTTGTCGTTGGCGGGGTCGAGATTAACGATGGAGCATTTCCGGCCGATGGCGCCTAGGAACTGGTGCATGCCATTGCAATAGGTGGATTTCCCAGCTCCGGGAGGTCCGATGACCAGCTGGGCAAATGGCATCTTGAAGGTCGAGAAAGAATTAGAATTGAAGTTGTCGACACGAGTGGTAGCTAGATCGAGATCTTTTTTCTTATCAAAAAGCGCGGGGGACATGGGCGGTCGGGAACGGCAGAAAAGCAACAGGTGTAAAGCTGCAGCTAAGCCGCCATCTTGCTTCCTTCTCCAACGTTTCCAACCCTTAACAATGGCGTCCAGTGAGTGTCCCAAAGCTTCGGTACAACCGATTGAATGATTTTCTGACTTCCTTGCAGATCAATTTACGCTGTCCTCGCCACCGAGCGACGCTATCTCTGCCTTGAAGTTCTCCCCCGAGCCCGATTCGACCCGGATTGTTGTATCATCATGGGATAAGAACGTCTATGTTTATGACCTGCGCGACGAGAATGGTGCAGTGGGAGAGGGAAAGCTTCTCCAGAAATTTGAGCACCGCGCTCCCGTGTTGGATGTATGCTTTGGCGAGAATGAGAACGAGATCTATACCGCTGGTTTGGATTGGGACGTGCGCAAGTAAGCAACCCTTCAATGGAGCTTTACATAAGCTTCTCGAACGATTAACCTTGAATTTGCTCACTAACTATCCTAGGATTGACCTGAATACCTCCCAACAAACCGTCATCAGCAGCCACGAAGCCGGTGTGCGCAATGTCGTCTACAGCCCAGAACATAAGGTCATCATCTCAGGCTCATGGGACTCTACACTCCATGTATCCCGCACAGATACCGGTACAACCACTGATTCCCTACCTGCCGTGATCCCGCTCCCTTCGAAACCCTTCTCCATCTCCCTCACAGCCACAAAGCTCGTTGTCGCTATGGCATCGCGTGCCCTCCACATCTACGACCTGAAGGCCCTGGCCCTCCTCACTGCACAGTCCGACAGCACTACGGCCAACGGTAACCGAGTGGAGATCGAGCCTTGGCAGCGGCGCGAAAGCAGTCTCAAGTTCATGACACGTTGTGTCGCTTGCATGCCAGGAGACACCGGGTATGCCTCATCCAGCATTGAGGGTCGTGTTGCCGTTGAGTGGTTCGATCCCTCGCCTGAGTCACAGGCGCGGAAATACGCTTTCAAGTGCCATCGTCAGACATCGGAAGATGGGGTCGACGTCGTGTACCCCGTTAATGCGCTCGCTTTCCATCCCGTTCATGGCTCATTTGCGTCAGGCGGTGGTGATGGTGTAGTCGCTCTGTGGGACGGTATTTCTAAACGCCGCATCCGTCAGTACCAGAAGTACCCATCTAGTGTCGCTGCTGTTGATTTCAGCGCCAGCGGTAAATACTTGGCTATCGCAGTGAGTCCCGGTTTTGAGGACGGCAAGGATGATCTTCCGGAAGGAGTGGTAAAGATTTATGTGCGTGAGTTGAGCGAGACAGAGGCTAAGGGCAAAGGCGCAAAATAAAGATCTTCGCCTTTCAACCTGAAAGTCAGCCATATACATCTGCCAAAACAAAGATTGTGCGGAGATGTATAAGTCGAGCTGAAAATATAAAGCAGTCTTTTTGATACCACCGAATCTAATGAGCCAATTGAACCAAAACCAAAACCAAAATCCTTTAAACATATCTTCATTTCTAGATCCCCTTTCTATCAAAATGGGATAAATATCTTGGTATCATCATGCTATATACGTAAACCGAATCCGAAAATTGAACAAGACCACAAGTGAAGGTCTTCAAGTAGAGGCCTTGCGCACTGCCACCGAGCCATCAGGCATACCGAAGTAAGCCGCAACAGGACGTTGGCCACCAATGCCACCAGCAGCAGCAGCCTGAGGACCGGTCAGACCAGAGAAGATGCCGACATCAAGAACTCCACCGATCTCCTTGATCTTCTTCGACAGCTCGTTAACCTCCCAGACGCCATTCTGGCCAGAGACCTTGCCCGCAGCAACATCAGCCTGGGTGAGCATAACAGGGAAAGGAGCATCAATCAGGAAGAAGTCCTGATCAGTCTTGCGAGGGCCCTCCTTCTCATCCAAGTTGATACGGATAACCGGGTCAATGCTACCAAGCTCCTTCAGCTTGTTCAGAACACGGTAAGCGGCAATAGGAGCGACCTCGACAGGAACGTATTTCCAGTTGGTAAGAAGACGAGACACAAGCTTGCGCGAATCTAAGCAGTGAAAAAAATCATCAGCATGAGTCACATGCAAAAAAAAAAAAACCACAGCACTGAAACTTACCAGCAACGCAGATGAACTCCTTCGCTTGCATAGCGACCAGCTTCTCCTGGAACAGACAAGCACCACCACCCTTGATGCAGTTAAGCTCGTCGTCGACCTCGTCCGCACCGTCAAATGCAACATCCAGCACCACGCCGGCGGGGATAGCATCGAACTCAACAGCCGTCAATCCGGCGCTGATGATTAGCTGGCGGGACTGGTAGCCTGTTGGCACGTAGCGGGTAGGGGTAGTGTCGACACCGAGGGCCTTGATAGCCTCGACAACGTAGACAATCGTCGTTCCGCTGCCGATACCAACCCAGCGAGCATCCTTGGGGTAGTGGTTCGCAACAGCGGTGTGTGCGGCAGCGCGCTTGGCAGATTCGACGTCGGCCATTGTGGAGTGAGATTGGGCTCGGAAGGTCGAGTGGAGGGGTAGGGCCAGGGAAGGAGGCGGAGAGAAAGGACGTTGTCGTGGGAAAGTTTGGTGGAGGCGGGGCAGAGATCGCGGAAGGGAGGGAAGTCGGGTGGAGAGGGAGAAAAGGGTGCAGATGTGGCGCGGACCCATAGGTATCGTAAATAAATCGCGCGTTTCTGGGGCTTTCACTGTACAATCGAGTGCCGGTCAAAGTTGGGTCTGCACTATAGCGTCATTGGCCAGAATGTGGGGGTTTTGATTGTTTGTGAGTGGTTTGGGAAAAGTTGGGGAAATCTAGAGTTCTACCAGTTACTTAAGCCGGCACACTTATACTTCAAGGTTTATGGTGCCGATTATGATCTGTTCGAATGATCCTGTGGTCTTTTTCTTGATCATTGATCTAGTCTTCTCGCTGCTTACGACATCCCAGTTGTTCGGGAAATGGTTTACTGTATGACGTTCCCAACACTCGGACCATGTCAACTGTGTTACATCTGATTTTCATCTGCATGGTTTCGTATGCGGAACAGGTACGGCCAAGGAGGTACCATCCTACGCAAATTGCATTTCTCAATATAGTGGAACGCCTATTTAGTACTGAATCTCCAGTAGTGTCGTAGACTCGTAGTATACCAATCAAAGTGCCATCTTGGAACTCCTGTAGTACAAAGACAGACTGGTGACAAAGACTATGTACCCAAGTATAGTCCAGGAGTCTCTCGCATGTCCCAGGCCGTGACACTCAGGAGGAATATACGCAACTGGTGGAAAGAGAATCCTTGAAGTGAAACTCTGAAGCTCAAATTAGTGACCCATTATCACAAAATCCTCGGTACATTAGGCATGTCGTTACTCACAGAACTCTACTCGAATGACCTCGAATATGTCGTCATCGCTCTTTTTCTTTGCATCGACAGTCGTGATTCCCTTCCCTTCCGTCGAGCGCAGCTTCCGATCATGAGCAAGGTCGAGGAATGTGTACTGGTAGGGACCCTGATCTTCCAGGTAGAAGGTTTGAGCAGTGGGCGACTCCAGGCAAGAACCCGATCCACAATTCAGGTATTGCTCGGTAGATTCACTTTGGATCTGCGTGGTATTGCCTCCCAGATCTTTGAACTTCCAGATTTGGCTTCCTTTCCCAACAGGAGCTTCGAAGGTCGGGGTAGTATTGTTTCCTTGTCCAGTTAAGACCAAATCCTCGCCATTGAACTTTTGTTGGATGCGATAGAGGCCGAACAGACTAGCACCAAATGCCTGGCTGTTGATCGCGAGGATGGTAGCAATTGATAGAGAGAGCTGCATTTTGTGGTGTGGGTGGGAGGTGAGATTGGTTGATGGTCGGAACTCGGAGTCAAGGGATGGACTTTGTAGAAAGGTGGGAGTTTGCTGCGCTTGTTTGTGGAATTTTGCACTTCCAGGAATTGAGATTAATTAATTTAGATCTCAGCTGAAAATTAAGACTTTTCCATTGCACGAGACTATTGGTCTTCGAAACAACCCTGTAGATCGGACTAATATGCAGGGGACATGCACGTTTTACTAATGTATTGGAGTTTTGCTTTTTCTCCACCGCGGGAAGAAGTTATTTCTGTCTAGATTTGGATCAAAAGAGCTCTTCCAAGCATAATAAAAGCTATCATTCAACCGGGTAGGTGTACCCAGCTACTCTGTTTAGTCTACTACAAGACTCCTGTCAGAAGATGACGTCTATGTAGCCCGTAGTTTAAGGATGCATTTGGGTATGTCTCCCCACCCATTGACACAATATAAAATACTGATCGCGACCGACTGCTGATACCTAATGAACTGGATCAATGTATTTGTTGGGTTAAATGCACTGGTCTCATGGCGTTGTGAGGTTAACGGGAAGGCCAGCGGGACAAGAGGATGGCAATTCCAACTCCAGTTCGAACGTTCAAAACGGAGGGTGGAATCTATGACAAACGTGGGAGAGCTTCTATCTTGTAGAGAAAGAAGTTGGATAATTCAAAAGGGATTGGCTAAAAAGAGACAAGAAAAAACACCTGCTCCACCGAGACCGCAAGAGATGTGCAATTCTATGCCTCCGGGTGTAGAGACCGCTGATACAAAGTGATGAATAGTAGCTACCATAAAAAATCAGTCAGTATATCATTCAATCTACAAGCTCAGTCTCATTCTTGTTAAGCTCTCTTGACGTACTTGATTGAACGTACTGTACAGGATATTCAGAGCTTCAGGCAATCATCTGCTCCTCCGGTTTCTCAAACGAGTTCAACTCATTTTTAGCAGCATCAAGGCCATCATTCTTACTGACTCCGCGTTCCATCAAGGCATCATCATACTGGAGAAATGCCTGCTCCATCTTCCAGAAGAAGGGACTTGAGGTGGAAAAGAGTGCTTCGATCGATTCCAGGGAACGATTGCGGGTTTCGGGGTAGACTATGAATATTATTAGCTGCAGTCATTTGGCGGTTCATGTCGGAATCCGAACGTACATAAGTATATGATGGGGATCCAAATCAAATTTAGGCCAGCGAAGAGGAAGTAAGTGCGGCTCTGGGAAACGGTGGTCAGCTTCATCCACAACAGGAGGACTTTGCTCTTACCTTCAGGGCTTCGAACATGATCGGATTGACCAGGGTGGTCATGCCCACACCAACAGCCCACCCAGTGATGCCGAAGCCATTGCCTTGGGCTCGCAAATCAGAGGGGAAAATCTCAGTGGGCACCAAGAACGCGACGGTACCCCATGTTGCGGCATAACTGTTAGAAGGTGTCAGAATATTGTTGGTGGATAGCTGAGGATTGAAAGGGGCCGACGAACGCGATATTGAACAAGAACAACATGGTAATAGCTGCGGGAGCAAACTGGGCAGCCTTGCTGGGATTCTGCAATGATCCCTCGTAGACAGATCCAGCCTGGAATTCAATTAGAGATAAGACACCGCAATTTTCGTGGAAGTAGAGACATACAATAATATTGACAGCAAATAGCATGGCTGCACCACCGATGAGACAGACACGACGACCTAGGCGATCGACGATCTGGGCACTTATTATAGTACCGAGAATACCAACCGTGTTAAGTCCCCCAGCCAAGCCGTTCTGCTTGATGGAACTGTACCCAGCCTGGGCCAAGAGAACTGGAGAATATGCCGTGACAGCCTTTATCGAGTCTTAATTAGAGAAGACCATAGAGTAATGTGGGTCAGGACGCCCTTACCGTGATACCTGTCCAAGAGGCCATGATCTGAAGCCAGATACAAAGCCAAGCTCGCCGACCCAAATTTGGATGCTGTCTTCCACCCATTCCAAGCAAGATCTTGACAAATTGGATAGGTGAGCTCAGTTGGCTTTTCTCTCCCGAAGTAACAATCTCGAAGTATTCCCGATCAATCTCCTCTGGACTGGCCTTGTGCTCGCGAAGGCGCTGCAACAGCTCACGCACCTCTTCTGTCCGACCGACTGAAGCAAGATACCGAGGACTATCCGGCAGCATCTTGATGCAGCAGACCAGAATCAGGGCTGGGACACATTGGAAGGCCAGTAAGAAGCGCCATCGCACGTCCGAGTATCCGTTGTCGATGAAGGCGAGGCCGAAGGATATCCAGTACGCGACTGATATCCCAAGGTCTAGAAGAATTAGCAATGCACCCCCAAGCAGGAAAGTCTCCGGATCTGCTTACAGTTGGCAATGAAGACGTATCCGAGAAATCCACCGCGGTGATCTGCAGAAGAGGTTTCCGACACCAAGACAGGGGTGATGCCAGTTAACGCTGCACCATCATATGTTAGAATAAGTTAAGAAAAGAACGGCCACCATATTAAAAGTTCACCTCCAGTACCAATGCCCGTCAACACTCGAGCGCAAATCATGAAATCTGAACTCTGAGCGGCAGCCTGTAATGCGCCGCCTACCAAGGCAAACAACGCACCCGCCAGCAAGCCATTGATTCGACCAATTCGGTCAGCCAACCACCCTCCAGCAAAGCAACCGAAGATGGCACCCAAGTAGTAGACACTGATGATGCCACCCTGGTGCTCGGTGTCCGTCACGGTGCCATCCGGCTTTCCGATGCCGACCTCGGTCACGTATTTGGGTGAGGCATTGACGCCGCCCATGACACCTTGGTCATAGCCTTCGAAGAATATGGATATAAGTGAAAACACCTGAATGGTGACATTGAGCTGCCCCGGCGAGAGCCGCTTCCAGAACGTTGTATAACCCATATTGCGTTATTGCCCTAGTTCCTACATCAAGGATACCGGGGGCTCGCGACTCCTTTATAAAGTGGAGCCTTTAGCCCCGGTCGATCGGAATAGATGTCATCCTGGAGAAGCGCGGGGCGAACAGGTTCCAACTTTCATTCAGGCGCGTAGCCGTGTTATTGAATATGCTAAAGTTTGAGTTCCTTTGGTTGATCTCGGTCTTTGCTCGGGCTTTAGTGGTAACGGCGTGTAGGCAACAAGCACGTTGCCGCTTTACCATTTAGCCGACCATTTAGCAATTTTAGCGCCAATTTAGCAGTTCCGGCGTTAGGGCTAATGGAGATCCGCTGTATAGTACTGGCGGGTGTTTTCCATCATTCGGTCATTGATGGGTCTCTGGCTTTCATTAAATAAGACGTAATCCTCGCTCGCGATTCTCGTCTCCGCGTATCCTCTTGACAGAGCCATTTAGCCCTTTGGTGTGAAAACATTCTGACTTCAGACATGGCGAACAACACTGGAGGTCAAGCCTTGGACCTGACCGTCCTCGGTCTTAACAGTGGGACATCAATGGTGAGTGCTCTTACCTGCTAATTATAGTAAAGGAAGATGAAACTCACGGTGAATGAAGGATGGTATCGATTGTGCCCTCTGCCGCTTCCGTCAGGATACTCCGGAATCGCCAATGCACTTTGAGCTGTTGAAGGTGAGTACTTCTTATCATTCTCACCGGACACGACTAATAATGACTGCAGTATGGAGAGATTCCGCTGGAGCCCGTGATAAAGAAGCGGGTGATGAACATGATCTTGCACAACCAGACCTCGCCGTCTGAGTTGTCCGAAGTAAACGTCATCCTGGGCGAGACGTTCGCGTCGGCAGTGCACCAGTTCTGCAAGGACTACAGCGTCGATATTAACTCGATTGACGTGCTCGGCTCCCACGGCCAGACGATCTGGCTACTCTCCATGCCCGAGCCAGGCGAGACCCGAAGCGCACTAACGATGGCTGAGGGCTCCTTCCTAGCCTCACGCACCGGTATCACCTCAGTGACAGACTTCCGCGTGAGCGACCAAGCTGCTGGTCGCCAGGGCGCTCCACTCATTGCCTTTTTCGACGCGCTAGTGCTACACCACCCGACCAAGTTACGTGCGTGCCAGAACATCGGCGGTATCGCCAACGTGTGCTTTATCCCACCGGATAGCCACGGCGGCGTTGACGAGTGCTACGACTTCGATACCGGTCCAGGCAATGTCTTCATCGATGCCGTGGTAAGACATTACACTAACGGTGAGCGTGAGTATGACCGAGATGGCGAGATGGGTGCCCGCGGTACAGTCGACCAGGAGCTCGTCGACGACTTCCTACGCCACCCATACTTTGCCCTAGACCCGCCTAAGACTACCGGCCGCGAGGTTTTCCGTGACACGATCGCGCACGAATTTATCACTAAGGCGGAGGCCAAGGGTCTTAGCCCCGACGATGTGGTCGCCTCGATCACCCGTGTTACGGCCCAGGCTATTGTGGACCACTACCGTCGTTATGCACCAAAAGACCTGGAGATCGCCGAGATCTTTATGTGCGGTGGCGGTGCATACAATCCTAATATTACGGCTTTTCTCCAGAAGGAATACCCCAACACTCGTATCATGATGCTAGATGAAGCCGGTATTCCCGGTGGGGCTAAGGAGGCCATCACCTTTGCCTGGCAGGGTATGGAGGCCGTGGTGGGCCGCTCTATTCCTGTTCCCACACGTGTGGAGACTCGTCAGGAATATGTTCTTGGAAAGGTGTCCCCGGGAAAGAATTACCGCAAGGTCATGCGGCAAGGTGTTCTCTTTGGTGCTGGTCGCGATCATCTTTCCCCAGTCAAGGAGCTGATCAACTATGTCGATGGCAAGGTTTATAACAACAAGTGGTAAACAAAGATCTCTTAGGGGGATGACCTATAATTGCTGCTGCATTTATTTGCGTGGTTTTGATTAGATGTACTATAGTTGGGGTTTCCATGTTTACGTATAACGTTAATGAGGACATGCAGCCGGCGAATGCTTATCCAAGCAGATCTCCGTCATATTACAGGATATTTTTCTGAATGACAATTCTGGACATTTTGATCAGTCCATATTCAAAATTCTATCTGCCCTAGCCAATCTGATCCAGTCCTTTGCATTATCAGCCCGTCCAGATATTTCCAAGTAATCGGGAGTCTCGCATTCAGCGCGGCGTATACTCCTTTCGATCAATTTCCATCACCACTCAGAGTGGCGGCCCGGCGGTAGCAATTTGCCAAGAACCAGAGTGCAGTGAGCGACATCGACTCTATAGTCGAAATATGGCAGCCCTGCCAGTTTGTTGCCCTCGTCGAAGAGGCCAAAATCTGAGCCCAGAGCATCCCGTGGTTTGCCTGTCTTATAACGTATTGCAATAAGAAGTGCATAGTAAATAGGCAAATTCTGCCGCATTCACGTCGAGCCTAGTCGTTGTATACATCATTTAAAGACATTCGTCCTCAAGAAACGAAGTTATTCAAATGAAAGAGGCAGAAGTCCGTCGGCATTGTGAGAATCCAGCGGCCATGGCCAATCCGAGAGAAGTTCTGGTGGCAGCTGAAATTGAGACATCTGGTCGAAACCAGCACCAGGCGAAGCTCCGACAGTGGAGGTCCCCTGTGCATACGCCGGCGTGGCAGCAAGCTCGGGATTCGCGTCGATCACATGCGTCGCGTTAGTTGGTGAATTTATATTGACGAGAAGTGAGGTACGCATATAGCCATCTATTCGATCAACCTGGGATCGCAATCGTTCACCGGCACCGGAGGCACGATGTAGGCCCACTTCGAGACGCTGTAAGAGATCTGCCATTTCAAGCCTGTAGACAAATACGTCAGCCGTACCTCTAGTGACTGCCAGTGGGTGATAACGTACAGTAATGTGCGAGCTCGTGTGTAGGATTCTTCAGACAAGCTCCCTTCCATGACAGAGCCAAGAATGTAGCCAATTCTGCCGAGGTGATGGAGCTAGGATTTATCAGTAATATTCCAGAAGAGCCTGGATACTACACATACCAAAGGGGAGCTGATAGCTTTCAAGTACTCAATGGGTACATTCGAAAAAACGCTCAGTAGTTCGCCTGCTACATCGCATTTTCGCTCCACCCCAATTTCCTCGGTAGACAAGAGCACCATCCGAAGAAGTTGTAGCGTCGCCTGAATGTTGGCTGATTGGAAACCGAATAAATCCTTAGAGATATCTCCTGTAGTGGGCGGCGTTTCTCGAAATTGTGATGGAAGAGCTGAGTACATAGTAAGGACTTGCTCCATGACCGCCGGCTCTGACATAGAAGTAGGATTGAACAGTGACCAAACTTGCGTCGTCCCGTTATTCGAAGAGATGCGGCGTTTATTTCCATCGACTATATGCTCAAGAATACGGTAAAGGTCCGTGGTGAAGTTCCAACCCCGCAGCCAGGGCGTAGGCTGGCGGGAGACGACAGTCACGTTGCCTGTTGGAAGCGAATGTGATCCCTCGGGTATAGACGGTACGCCATAGCCGTGGTGTGTGATAAATTCGTCGTCTACTTCGCTAGGATAGCGCACTAAGCAGTGGGCTTCACGATATCGAATAACGCCTCCCCATATAATGGTCGAATAGATATCAAACGTATAAATAGACCAAAACTGTTGCTAAAGTCAGTAAGACGATAACAGACAAAGGGTGTATTCCGTACAAGTCGCCGCCGTTCCTCTGTCTCAATTGGACTCAAATCATTTGGCCAGAGCTTTTCGTCATGAAGGCCATCCATCGAACTCAAGGTATGGTATAAGCCGATATACTTCTGCATATCTTTAATCTGGTAGTTTTGAATGCTGACAATAGCAAGTATGGCACATGCCCGCATATAATGAATGCCTTTAGCTGCGACAAGATCTCGAGGAATCGAGTCCCTAGCAGCTATAAAGAAAGTCTCGGAGGGTGGTTCTATAAGCTCGTCTCGATCCCACCGATTAGCGTACAACGCACCGTCACGTGCACGACCAGCGACCAAAGAACAAACAGCCATCGTGGAGGCAAAGAGCCCTTGGTTGCAAAGGTACTTCTTGCTGTTCACCTGCTCTATGAATGACGGCTTGTGAAACAAGGGGAATCTGGTGATGATGTGCTCAGTCAACGCAGTCAGCGAAGGGGACAGGGACTTATCATACATTGGATAGACGATCTCGAAATAAGCCTGTGCTAGATTCCTGATTTGCCGTTCGCAGGCAATAGCAAATGCTTTCCAAGAGTTGTGCAGCGCCCTGTCATCGTTATCCCCTTCGGCTGTTGACCAGCCATGGTTAAAGGTAGACCAGGGATCACCGCAGATCGATGTGCGGGACGGACTACGAGAAGTCAAGGAGCCAGAGGCTCTTCCGCCACCTGCAGTCTCTGTTGTAGGAATAGCATGATTGACTGATGATCTCACAAATTGAGGATCGCGAACACTCGGCCGAGTACCAGCCTTGACGCCCCGGCGTTTTGCGGGACGATCAAAAGTGCACGGCACATCGAAGTCAACACAATTTTGACAGCGTCCTAGAGAATCCCCGATCTGGCTGCATTTGATGCTGCGTCTGTGGCAAAAGTCGCCTGCATTAGATTGCGCGCTTAGTAAATGCAGGCCTCATGTCCGGGGTTTAGGCCGCCAAGCTAACGAGTGGAGAACTCCAGGACAAACAAAATGAACATTGGGGAACCTACAGGCCATAGAGACGCGCTGAAGCTTTCGCGGTTTTTCCGACATTCAGCCATTAGATAACTTCTGGTTGCGTAGAGCGTGGTGTTCAAGGCAAAGCGTAGAAGGTTTGGCGAGTTGCACGGAGCTTGACGTAAGCAAAGCAGGGAAAAGGCGGTACCGTTCAGCGATCGAGTGCCATCCAAGACTGAACCTAATTACCTCGGCGATGAATGTCAAAGAGAAGCCGTAATTCCGGGACGTTGGGGAACCACACCGAGACCTGATTCAGCGGGGTGTACTTGGCGTGATTCATAAGCGAATCGCATGAACTGTTAATCATCTGACTCACTCGGTTAAACCGGACTACTTGCTTCAGATCCCTGGGTCCAGTACAAATATTTAATGTTGCACCTGCTATTTCTTACCTACCTTCGTATGGATGGATAGCATTTGCCGTTTTGCATGCGACCGTACATCCTTGGGCGGTCAAAAGTACAAACTACACCTTTCAAAATTTCTGTCTTTGGAAGTTTTCATGCACTACTTACAGTGAATTAGGAATAAGCATACTGTACTATTAGTAGAGAAATTCAGCTTATGATGTTTCATGGTTAGGTACTTAATGTCCAAATGACGATATGATATTTGGTTGCGAGATATATATTGCCATACTAACCGACATCGAAATTTCGAAACTCTTTTAGACTCAATCATCATTTTCACTACAAACATATCTATTTCGATCCTTAACATTGTATATAGGATAAAACGCTTTGTTCGACATGATAATATCATAGTTTAGACCAATACTACTTTATGACTGTTCATAAAAAGTGTAGGAATGATGGGAATTAGACTTTAGATGTAGCCTTGGAGGTAGATTGGCCATTGCGGGGACCCCTTATTGGTCTCTAAGCTTTTGAAAGTACCCAGGGCACTAAGATATTATCTGATGATCGGAAATATTTTGAAAGCAGCGAGTACGTCCAAACGGAAAGGAAACCCTGTCCAGTGCCGGGTGATATTAGGTATACATGAAGATTGAAAAGGCATCGACCAATGATAACAAATACATTGCAGTCTTTCTAGCTATAATTTGACCGACATATATGAAAATAAGGACAAAAGAGTAGGAATCTGGCTGATTACATGATGATGGAGCGTTGTCATGTTCAACGTCTAAGAGGTAGAAGTGTAGCCATGCTCCTTGAGCGCATTGTATACCTGGTGCCATTCGTCGTCGGTCAAATCGCTGTACTGGATAGCGGCGGATCCCATGGGGGTGGGGACAGGACCGCCATCCTGGGTAGGGTCACCAGTAAGCACAGTAGCGAGGTCCATGCAAGCGGCGGGAAGGCCATCCAGGCGCACTGTAACGGTCAGTAATGTATCATCCGGTGCCTGCATAATCTGTGACTCACAGTTGGTGGTTCCCGAGAACTTGACATGAGCACCATCGAGCTCACCCTTGCACAGGTCCCAGGAATGCTGTGAGACTCCGGCAGGCAGATCAATGGGGGAACGGCGAGTGCTCGATGAGATTCCATGAGCGACACTAGCAGAAGCCGCACCGCCGAGGACAGCGCCACCAAGTGAGCCATCGGCGGCTGCAACGGCTCCTGCGGTCTCGACGGCGGCTTCGGTAAGGAGGAGGAACGGTGCTGGGGCGTACTGCACCATGGAAAGCATGGCGGTAGCGGAGACAGCAGCTAATCCGAGAAGTTGCATTGTGGCGTGTATGTGGTGAAAGTTGTTTTGAGAGCGAGAATAGAAGCTTTGGAGAGAGGAGTATTGAAATTTTGGATTCAGACGTTTTGTTGATGGGTTTGAGTTGAATGGAGGGAGAGAGGTTGATTTAAATGTGGTTGCCGACTCGGCAGAGTTGAAGTTGGTTGATTCCCGACTCGATCAAGAGGATCCTGGCTTTGGGGGCAGATTCTCGCGCCAGATTGCGACATATTCACTCAGTGAATCATTGGGATCGCCTCGTGACCTCTCACAAATGTCCCTTGGGGCTGTTTCATGGTCTGTGAAGTCATTGTGCCATCGCCCCCATCCCAAGGATTTGGACAGTGGGCCCGATCGAATGGGCCAGGGACCAGTTGCGCCACCAGTGGAGCTTAAATTGACTCCAAGATAGAAACGCTCCACACAAAAGGGTCTCAACATACCCTGTTCTGGCCCCATGTTAATTCATTGGTGGATTGAAGAAAGGATTTGATCATCAGGTACACACCCTGCATTAGGATGTTCCACTACGTACAGTAGGAATCATTGAATTGCTGAACAGATTGCTAATTTCTGTACGATGTCGAAGTAGAAAATTGCGGACAGTTATTTCTGAGAATTAAATTGCTTTTAAAGCCAGTATTAAAATTTCAGTTGAGCTTCCTTTGTTACGTGAACCACCCGACTCTTTGGAGTCGCAGACATCATGACACGCTCCAGACACTATTGATCGACAGTATGGATACCGAGAAGAATAATTTACTCCATCATTTGGCCCTTTTGGTTATTTTTGGAAGCTCTTTCCAAGTTCCTGCTCGATGCTATAGATTCAAGTTGTGTATGTCATAGATGAAAATCAAAATGCCTCATTTGGGGGCAGATTGGATTCTCCATTGCGAATCCTACGTCTCGAGGTCATATAGTACGACGGTGGGATGCATAAAGGATTCGCCCCAGATGATCCAGTGGCGTCGCATTGCTATGGGGTATAGTGGATATGACCCCTGAACGGTACCATTGTCGAGACAAGGAGGTTGAAGCATTGTGGGAAGGGTTCGTCAATCAATACTCCATGGGACTGGGGCTGGAAACACGATGGAGATGAGAACTTTGGGATTTTGCTAAGTTTAGAAAATACAGTATCTTCTTCAAGGATAAATAGAGGTCTTTCCCACCAGATCTAGTTCTCTTTTCCATCATCAGCTACTCAATTGTTCTGACTTCCATCCAAAAAAAACTTCCTTTCCGTTCACACTATTTCAACTACTTTCTATCATAATGCACCTCTCCAAGACCCTCTTCATCAGTGGTGGCCTCTTGGCCTTCTCCTCAGTCTGCCAGGCAGGAATTGAAGAGATCCTCATCGGTATCCTTGGCGGTGTTGTAGCTGGTGGAGTCTCCGGTGGCGTTGGCGCTGCGGAGAGCAGCAAGCGTGGTATCCAACAGGCCCATGCTCGCGACTTCCTTGCTCCATACTTGAACAACAGAGACGTGAAGAAGATCCGCAGCTTGCCAGCCGGAGTCTCCCAAGAATCGTTGGATCTGTGCACCAAGCAGATCAACGAGCAGAGTCAGCCCGTTCACGTCTACAGCGAGAGTGCCACTTGTAAGACTTTCTTTCCTTACTTAGATGTAGCAAATTGCTAACTCATTTTTACCTAGCCGCCCGGGCCGATAACGTGCCTGCTGCTTGCATGGACCTGGCTACTGTCATCCTCAACAACCCTACCCAGGATGGTGGCCCTGTTCCCACCCCGATGGGCAGCGCCAGTCTTGAATACACCGGTCTCAGTTCCCAGGACAAGACTGACCTGCAGAATGCTCTCTCCAAGACTGGCTCCCGCACCTAAGGATGAAGGCATCATCCGATCGAAGTTCTTTGGACTTCCTATTACCTGAGATTTGTTGTGTGCGTTCGGATATGATCTGAGATCAGTCGTGTACATTCAGTGGTCACCTTTAGTTACAATAAGATTGCATTCGAGTTTTTATCTGCTTCTTTTATCCTAAAAGGATCTCATTTTAGCCTTCATATGGAATTAAATCTGTTGATAAGGGACCAAGCGGTGGAATTCGAGAAATAAAGAGATCAAGACTTGATATCTAGCGTCAAAGCACACACAAGGATAGAACATGTTAAGGTTACGCACTCAAGGCTTACAAAAGCTTTGTCGTAAGGTTGCAAGGACTACAAGGCTGTGTGGGGGTCAGGGCTCCCAAAGGATGACCCACAATCCTGGGGGCGGTCTCCACTTACTCAGGAGAGGCCCCACCAGTAATTAACTGAACTACATCAAGTGCCCGATCCTTCTATGTCATCATCCAAAAGATCATCATATTTAGAAGGTAACCCTCTCCTACATGTATGTCGTCATTGTCATATTTTAGCTGATATACTTGGTCTGTAGGGTCAAATGCTGCAAAGCCTCGGCTTCTCCCTGCACCGAGCTACCGACCCACATAAGAGCTCTTAAAGTCTTTTAAGAATAAGGTATCCGATGTTTGATCTCAGGGATTTCTTTCTGTTATTTTTAGTAAGGGGACGCGTAGATCACAGTAAAGTATATTTCGGTTCGACTTTGGAAGATGCTGATAGATACAGGGTGGGCAATGGATCGCCTTATAGTCTATTAGCTGCACAATATATCTTGCCATAATGCCATTTGGGCACACTCCAAAACATGAAACCAAATACCCAGAGAAAGCCAATTGCTTTGTACACACCCCATTTCTCAGCCACACGACTCCACTCAATCAACATCTTATTTCTCTCAATATATGCTGTCCAACAACTAATGGCCACCATCTCCACCATGGCCGCAATAGCATTCATAAAAAACCACAGAGTATCCCTCCAAGCTTCACAACGGCCCATTTGCCAACTAATCAGTGAGTGCACTACTCCAGATAACAGGAAGACTAAGCTCAGCACTGTAATCTTTTCCCCAGTGCCACCCCGCGGCAAGTGAAACACTCTCCGAGACACCCATAGTCCATAGTTCTTGTATGGCCTGTACACGAGACGATGCCAGAACCGGGACCAGAAATACCGTATTGTATACGCCTCGGCGGGATTGCCGAATAGCAGCGGCCACTCCCAAGGCTCATCCCAGCGGAGGACGCAAGAAAATAGGATGGCAACAACTGTGTGAAACAGATGTAAAGCTGCATTGTTGGACCAGATCCAATGTACAGCGAGGACGCAGCGCAAAAGAGTCTCCCGGACTGTGATTTCTGATCCCATAATGACCCGTCGAATATATGACTGCTTGGTCACCGAGAAGTCAGTGACCGTCAACGGTTCAAATGCACCGGGTAACAAAGGTGCCATCATGTACCGAGCGACCAGGAATAAAACAAGTAGCCCGAATAGACGGCGGGTGAGGAATTCCGTTCGAGATGGTCTGGTTGGCATCATTCGAGCACCAGGGACCGCGCGATGGGTATGCAGTAGTTGTGGATTACTCCAAATTTTGTAAGCTGCATGGAGATCCCATGGCTTTGGATGCGTTGTGGGATGCAAAACCCATCGCTCAATGTAGAGGACTGAGATGATGTTTGTGACATGAATTGTTGTTGCGTGGCCCCAAACAATGCCCAGTCCAAGCCCAGGGAGTGCAAGGTTGATGTCGTTGATGGTGTGAAATGCAAGCGCCGCTGGGACAAGGATTGGGAGAAGAAAATGAATCCGATATGGCTGGGAGACATTCAAGGCCACGCAAGAGATGAATGATGACAGCAATAGGGCAGCGACAGACACTACAGCACGGAGGAGCGACATAGCCATCTCATTCACATTCACGGAAATACGAGGGCTCTGTCTTTGGTATGTCTTCTGTATGCCTTCATATCATTTTATTTGCTTGTTACGTGTATTCTATTTTAAGTGACGACTCAGTTCCTTGTCTATATCCCCAATCTTGAGCCTTTGGCCCCATTCCCTCGAAACGCTAGCATTAGGGGACATCTAGCAAGTCGGAAGGATTTGACCACACCGAAGTTGATGTGGGCCGTGTTGGGGGCGTTTTATAGTTGCAAACTCAATTTAACATGCTGACCCTGAGATCGGCGCGCCGCATTTAGTGTCACATAAGGGCTCCACCGGGGGCCAATCACCCTTCTGCGTCATTGCTTTTCCGATCTTTTTCCCCCTTTGAAGCAAAACAATGTGACGTCATACGAACTAGTCCGTGGGGGAAATTGTTTCAATGAAGTAGAAACAAGAGCCATGAGGCTGTAACCAAAAAGATGTCTTTTTTTCCCCGTTTCACTTGGTAATTATCGACTCTTCTAAAAAAAGAGAACCGGGACCTCGAACTTTGTCTGCACATTTGCTGCTTTACATCAAGATATACCAACGATTTACGCCAAATGCAAAGGATTTTCATCATCATCCGAAGCACAACATGAGGACCCGTTCATTCCTGAAATCTACTCTCATACTCTTTCTATTTCTGTCTGTGCCGTTGGTGATATGGAAAACCCTTTGTTGGGCCACTGCCAGTCCCTACCCTATCGTGGTAGTCATCTCCGAATCTATGGCACCGGCATTTCACCGAGGGGATATCCTCTTTCTCTCCAATCACCAACATAAAATCTCCGTCGGTGATATACCGGTGGTATGGTTTCCTGGGAATCCTCTACCTATGGTGCACCGTGCCATCCAGGTTTTAATGAACAACGATAGGTATTTATTCCAATGAATTCTTTCCCACACCGTGCACCATGTTAACCTCAGAAGTCAATATATTCTTACAAAGGGAGACAATAATCCTACTCATGACAGGTCATTATATCCGCTCGGTCAGGAATATGTGGCTCGGGAGGAAATTGTTGGATTGGTAAGATGGTATCTACCTTGCGTGGGGTGGGCAACAATAGCGCTCAGTGAATATCCATGGCTGAAAGGAGTAGCGATTGGTATTTTCGGAGTGATTGGAGTGCTTGGTTAGTGGCTTGAAGGGGGTGATACTGGCACTTGGCATCCAAGTAGCCATGCAATTTAATTTGGCCCCATCCCCTCTTGTGATGCGACCCGGTTGTTAAAGCTTAATTGCTATATATAGCGTACATAGATCGGTAATGATTAACAACGCAGATGTATGTGTGACGTCTTCAATTGCGGGGTGGAGTCTCATCCTGCCCCTGGACCATGGCCCTGGCCCCCAAAAGAGCACCCCACGAGACCCGCAATACCGAAACTTTGATCTTTGCTTTAAACAACAACCTTTCATGCCGATCGGTGATAAGGAGCGCCCTCCCGCCTCAAGCTCAAGGGGCCAAAGCTTGACATTGGTTAATTTGTCTTGCCACGAAGCACAGATACTCCACTAGACAAGCATGATGCATCCAATGGCGATGTATTCGGATTTTGCTGCGGGACATTCTGGTGACTAACATATATTGGGTAGGCTCCAACTTCCCACTGCTTCACTCACTCAGAAATCCTTTCAGCCCTTCGCAATCATCGCCCCAGGCTCGAGAGCAGAGAGAAACCTTTCCTGTGGAGGTGAGTCAACCAGGACCTGCTCTGTTATTCGACATGTAGGTTTTCAACGCTAACGCCAAATCTGAGACTGAAAAGACCACTTTCTCCGAAGTCGCAGCAAGCAAAAGCGCCTAAAGATGCCTCAATCTAAAGATTACTTTGACGACAGCGAGTCTTTGGAAATGGGCAATCAACCCCCGAAGCCAAAACGTAATGCCTTCCTTCGCATCTGTGGTACCCCATGGAGGGAACTTTCCACACTGGAGCTTTGCCTGAGGATTCTTGGCTGGTTGACCTTTTGGGTCGTGGTGGGTGTTATCATTGGTCTGATCATTCGGTACACAAAATAAGAAGCGAATGGAGAAATTCAGCGAGGAGATCAGTAAATAGCCTTTATCTTCAATCAACGACGATATTCGACTTTGCCCAGGGTCCACTGCTATAGGCTCCTCTTCATTCACAGACATTAGACTACACCTCTCGTAGCGACTGCCAATTCAGCAGTTAGCCTAGTGTTCTTGCTGTTTCTTGAGAACCCCATTCGGGGTACAGCACTAGGTGTCAACCAGATTAAGGATGATAGTCCAGAAGACTACGGGAAGTTAAGACTTCCAGGTAGAAACTCAACATCGAAAAGTCCATCATTTGAGTATAGTAACGTCAATGAAATAATTTCCACTCTCAATGCAAACCAGTCGGTTTTGGTCCCCGCTTCAACGATAACAGAGAATGCTGGAACAGCCGTCTCTTCAGCACGCCCAACACCAAATATTTGGACAAAGTGTATGCCACTCTTCAAAAATCGTCCGATCAAGGACCTGAAAGATATTCTGTTTAGCTCGCTCATACGCGATGACCAGCATATTGGTCTTGGAGAGGTAGAAGGAAGAGAGACAGTGATGCAGGTCGACGTTGATCATTTCAACGTGGATTCCTGGGTGGGTTTTTTTGGCGCAGAATTTTGGAATATTCATCCTTTGCAGGACTGAAAGACCGTGGCGATGGGTTAGTGTCGTCTAAACCCATCTGGAGTAAGTCGATTTCTTGATCGCCTCTTGGGTACCCATGCTTGCTTGCAGTGATGGCGTGGGTCATTGTGTTGGCGGGGAATTCGTGAAGGTTGAGAACACCATGAATTTGGCTCATAATGGGCCACAAGGCATTATCGAGTCGCTCAGAGTATTTGACAGATATGGGACAGGGTAGAGGGTCAACCATGCTACTGCTATGGAAAAGGTCATAGACAGGAATATACCTTTCAAGCGACATTTCCCCTTCGGCATCTGCAGAGTCACGAAGATGCCTTCTTTGCTTGCGTGGAGAGAGGGGATGACTCAGGAGCTCCCATGACTGATGTAAGTCTGGCGCTGGAAATGCCATCTTAGATGGCTCACGGCAAGCAGTTGTGCAGCTGAGAGTAAGAGTGAAAGTGAAAGTGAAAGTGAAAGTGAAAGATTGATTTATGCCGTTAAGTAACGTACATAGTAATTTCCTATTGTAATTTGAAGTTCAGTTTCTCAAAATCCCTGATTAGCTGTTCAGACCACGAAGGTTCCCTCGTCTGCTTGCCCTTTGCCTGATTCGCCTCTTACTTTGCTTTGACAATACGTTCAGGTGTTTCAAATCTCAGGAGTCATTTTTAGCGTGTTACGATGCTGTTATTTTAAGTTGCGGAAAGGAAAATGAATACAAGAATGGGTGCGATCTCTGATAAATATGAACAAGGTTGAGTGATTGGCGTAACCATCACTGTTACAGATCAAGCACCGGTAATCTGAGCTTCGTAGGAAGAATGAGGATCATCATCGCTCGAACCATGCGCTAACAGACCCGCGATGCTATCATTATCCTTCCACCAGTGAACTGCGTTATAGTCACCTGTGTCGCACAAAGTATCCGGACCTCCGAGCTCTTTGATGGCATTGGTAACACATACATTTGTACCATCTGCCATACCAATCTGGGTATTGAATGAAAAGGACGGACCATAGCCATCAACAAACTCCTTCCACTGGAAATTAGTGACACCGCAAGAATTGTCTCTCAATTTGTCCTTAAAGGCAGTGGCGAGGCTTTCAAACTCCTGTTCGTCCGAGGTCCAATCGAAAATGTCCCAAATGATATAGATAAAATAAACCCCGCCATTGACATACTTGCACTGTCCCTCCGCAGCGTGCGTGGAGATGATTGTCGGCTCGGCCGCGATGGTTGTTGTGGCGCTGTCCTCGTTCTCGATGGTTTTGGCGGGAATGAGTTCAACGTCCAAATTCGCGAGAGTGGAAGTGGCAGCCGGTTCATAAACCTCCGTAGGCTCGCTTATACCCCTTGTGACCGTGACCTCACCGACGCCATAATCAGTGGTCATTACCACACCTTCGGCATACATTGAGCTTCTCTCCATTGGGTCGACTTTAGTGTAGTCGGTGACAGTCGACGGAGGCGCCACGGTAGGGGTTGAGAATGAAATGGTACTGATTGCCTGACAGTTGCCCGCAAAGACCGTGGCTGTTCCCTGGACATGTGGGAGGGGTGCCCATTGAACAAGATTGTCCTTTTCACACTTGCAATAACCACGTTCGTGATCGTCGTCGGGGTTCAGGTTACTGCAAATCTGAGGCTCGGCAGGTCCGTCGGGCACATGAATCAGACCGGCGGTTGGGAATGTTTTCAGATCAGTGCACTTGGGTCCGTTGGTTGGAAGCGAGTAAGTGTTAACAATCGCATCAGAGGGCGGGCCTCCATTGCAGATACACAGGCTCTGTGTTGTGGATGCTCCAATAAAGGCATTTATATCACAGGAAGCGGACAGGGCTGAGCTTGGGGTTGTCTTTGGAGCAGAGGTTACACTCGGGGTCGTCTTTGGGGCAGAGGTCACACTCGGAGTTGTATTTGGAAGAGAAGTCAAACTCTCTGTTGAACGAACCTGGGAGAAGCTGGTCATAGGGAAGGTCTTGATATCACTGCAGTCCTTGTCGGTTGGTTTCATGATCCGGTGGGATAAAGTATGCTTGGCAGTCGTGGATTGGCAATTGCACAGAGAAGCACTGCTACCAACAATCTCGAGACTGCACATGGCAGACTTTGACGCTGAAAGAGGGGTTGAGCTTGAGCCCGAGGAGCCACTTGCTGCTGTGGCAGCGGTAGCTGCGGCACCTGCTACGGATAGGATGCCTGATGTTTCTTGAGCAACTTCCGCTGGCTCAGATGAATAAGCACTCTTCTTACATGCAGGCGCCCCTCTCCTGCGCAAGTCCATATTTTCATCACCAGAGCTCCCACCAGAGGAATTCATGTCCACATCACCAGATCCCAGCTGGTCCATTTCGGCTACCCACTCCTTTTCCAAGATCGGTTCCAAGACATTATCTCCTAAATAAACCTTCGCACCAGCGTACTGTATATCGCACCTCATGCCAGGCACGACTTCTTCCTCAGACATCCTGATCTTGTTGTCATACTCAACGAGGACTTTGCCCCAAGCATGCGCACCAGTTGTGTCCGTCACAGTTTGCTCATTTTGATTCGCAAGGTCGCGATGTCCGGCATTGGTATACATGCGGGTTTCCACATCTCCCTCCAGCTGAGGAATCAATTGACGGACTTTGGCGGCAATCTGATTGACCTGATCCGGATATCTTACCGCAGCATCTGGCAATTTGTACCCATCTGGATAGTTCATGTTCTCCTGGGACCTTAAGGTTTCAGGCCATGCTGGAGGACCGAACCCTTCCGTGGCCCCAACATTAGAGGGTGTCACGATAATAGCCCTCGTCTCGGCACCTGGCGCCGTGAAGGCTTCATCACCAATGCCGTTTATGTGTAGACCCCACATGTCCATATAAATACCTTTTTCCAAAGAGTCGAGGACATCTTTCTGGAAGTCACTGCTGATGCCTTCCTTCAGGCTTTTGATTGAGCCATCTGCATTGTACTCTTTGACCTCTTGGAAAGATGGTACTTGCCAAAAGTGTGACATATACAGGCCGTACTTGGACAATAAAATGAGGGAAGTACAGCCGTAAAGATCAAGCAAAGCGTAGTCTTGAGGCTTTCCTTCGAATTTGGTCAGGAGGGCTGTTGACCTAGTGTCACCCTTACCCTGAGGAAGCTTCAAAGAATCCCTGATCATGTCGTGGAACCACGATTGCCAATCTTCGTTTGTTGGCTCGGTAAATACTCGCTTCATGAAAGTCGAATTCCGATCTTCGCTTGTTAGTTCTCCGAACTGCCTCCTGATGAGAGTTGAGTTCCAATCAAGATCCGGAAACTTTGACTCAGCCCATGCTCTCTTCGAAGAGACTGATCTTCGTTTCAGGCCCCGCAACCCAGCAGGAAGGATATTGTCATTCGAGCATGCAGAGCATTTTGGTGAACATGGTTCAGATGTTGCCGTGGGGCTGCTTGTCGAGCTTGAAGTCTGCGTGGTTGCAGTAGATGTTCTCGAAGATGTCCCTGAAGATGTCCCTGAAGACGTTCCTGAAGACGTTCCTGAAGATGTCCCTGAAGATGTTTCCGAAGATGTTTCAGAAGAAGTGCTAGTTGCAGATGGAGATGTAGTTGGGTCATTGTCAGGGTCATTCGGTTCCTCTGGAATGAGATCTCCAAGTGAGTCCAAATCAGGCTTCAAATCATTCTTAAGCTGATTTTCGACATCTTTGACAAGGTCTTCGGGATTATCAGACTCAATGGACTTTGAAATGCTGCTCTCGATATTCTGAGCTGCACATGTGATGCTCTTGACCGCATCGAGAAGAGATCCGAAAAGACCTCTTTCTCCAACATCACTTCGTTTCTTTTTGCTGCAGCCGCCACTCGAGGACCCGCCCAGGCTTTTGCCAAGATTTGTTCCCTCCGGTGTTGTCTTTTTGATTGCATCAAGTGCGGCAGTGGCTTCCGGAGCTTCTGGGTGCTTGACCCAAGAGTTGATGAGAGGAATGAGAGCCCCAACTTGTGTTGAGTAAGAGTTGGCGCTGCTAGAAGCTTCACTGCCGCTTGGGTCTATGGTCATAACCAGAGCGTCGGTAGTGACCATCGAACCTGATATACTAGTTGTAAACATCATCGATTCTTCGATAACCGTTGAAGGTGGCACACTGGACGTGAAAATGGCACCTGATAGTGTCTCGGTAGTAACCGAGCCCGATTCGCTGGTAGTGTAAACGGAGCCGGGCAGGTGAGTAGATACAATGAATCCGGGGGCAACTGAAGTTATATGGCCCAGTGATGAGGACTCTTTTGTTTCGGTCGGCTTCCCAGATGAGTTGGACTCTCCCTGTGATGGACTGCCGCTAGCAAAGGGACTGGAGTCTGTATGTCTCTGCGACGAGGATGTTTTTGTTTCAGTCGGCTTCACAGGTGAGTTGGACTTTCCATGTGATACACTGCCGCTGGCAGAGGGACCGGAAGATGACGTGGATCTATACCCACTGCTTCGAGAGTTTCCGGACTCATATTTTGGGTCTCTGATACCACTAGAAGTCTGCTCCGGGTTTTGAGATGAAGGAGTTATCGAAGAGGGCTGATGAGCACCGCTTGAAGAGTGATGAGCCCCATTGGAGAAATGAGAATCTAAAGAGGCGCTGGATGAAGATGCCGTAGAGGAACCCGACGACTGAGTTGAAGAACGCACAATGCTTGGGGCTCCATTGGCATTCTGGAAGCTCTTAGAGTTGACTGAAGCATTCGACTTGGTTGGAGAATTTGAGTTGGCAGCAGTGTTTGAGCTAGCTGGAGCTCTGGAGCTAGTTGTAGCATTTGAGACCAGATCTTGAGACTTGAGTGGAGCTGTGTCGGTAGGGGAAGGAGAAAGAGGAGTGCTGGCTGAAACGGTCGGGGTAGCATATACAACAGTGACAGACGCCAGTTGAGAGGCTGACGAGGTCATTGGCTCAGAGAATTGACACATAGAGGGCACAGAACATGAAACAGGCAGTGTACAAGTAGCATGAGGCACACAAGAAGACAACGATTTTGAGCATGCTGGCAGCATTGAGCAAGCTGATGATGATGCACTCGCAGAGATTGCATTGGCATCAGCCACTGCAATCCCTGCAATGGTCATGCCCAAGCCCAGTAAGCCCTTGAGTGACATGTTGTACACCGAAGAATAATTTTGGAGTTGTGCAAAGCAAAAGAACTTACTGTTGCCAGTACCAGCGCCGCTCTTATAGAAGATGACGGACATTTGTACGGAAATTATGCCTCGAAGGATTATCTACGAAAACGAAGTTTCTCTTAGAGCCGCCCCAATTAGAAACACAATACATGCCTAGTTGAGTATATCTACAGTTGATCTTCTTTGTTGCAAGGCTGAATGGGGCCTTGTTTAAGGGACGCGGGACGCGGGACTAAGATCTGCGATCGGTAATCCTTCGTTTCGTCCTTTGGGAGACGAGTGATCCTGTAAAAACTTTAAAGTGCTGCTATATTTTATTCTATTTATAAAGAAATCTAGAAAGGATCTGAATTACTAGGAAGCAAGCAATGCCACATGTGCAAGCGGGTCAGGAGCTGCGCTGCCCCTGCGCTAGTGGCAACCGTTTTTTCAGGGACCTACGACTTGTACCTAATCTAAGTGGCCTACAAGCATTCAGAAATCTCTGTGAGCTTTGCTCATGAGTCACGTCTTCGCAATAAAACCTCGCATAGTAGACTCAATCAATTCTCAACAGATGCAGACCATGCTACGTATGTCCCAAGGTGCCATGAACGAAAGACCCGATTCATTTAGTGTAGTTTACAAAATCTACCTCAGTATAATTTAACGGGCTTCATGGATGAGTGCATTGTTGTAAAGGCTGAATCATTACGAGGTACACAAACAAGGCCTTTCAACTATGGATTCGACCAGTTGTTTGCATTGACTTGCCTACATTCTGAGGAAAGATAGTGAGAGCAAAGGTACTAATTATATACTAGATCCACTATTTGACGGGAGTAATGGTAGCCGAGTTTCAAACATATTAGGTGTTCTATGCCTTTGGCATGTAGTGGTTCTGGGCATCGCCTTGTCTTGGCCCCTCTGCTGCCCACCCCTACCCGCCCCCACGCGGCCCCCGAGGCTGAGACAGCAGATCCACATGGATGCGGGTTCCGCAGCCTCTGCCGTGTTGGCGTCATTCTACCATCTGCTCCGAGTCGCTTTTTAGGTCAACAGCTGTTTTCACACAATCACGACTTATACTACTCTCCTATATTCTTCTTCCCAAACATGTTAGATCATCTAAGTCCCAGGCTCCAGCGGTTTTCCGCAAATGACCCTGCACATGTGTTTTATAAGGAATTTCTGGAAAGTTGCCAGCGAGGAGATGTTGCCCAAGTTCAGCAGTGCCTTGCCCAACAAACTCAGCGCGGCCGTGAATGGGTAGATTCTGGTAGGGAAAGGAATGACTTTCAGAAGCAACGGAGGACATGGTGGTTGGCTTGTGGCCTTGATGAAGCCACCAGGAACGACCAGATCTCCGTCATGGAATATTTGCATTCGAAGGGGGCACCCATTAGATACCATACAGTGGAGGCGGCCAAGTCAAGAGAATCTTGGGAGTTTCTGTTGAACCATGGCTTAGATGTGAACAACCCCATGCCTGAAGCAAATGTACCACTTATGTGAGTCAATCCTACTGAGCATCGATTGTTTGGGTACTTACGGAACTAATGAATTCATTTTAGGCACATTGTACGCCTCAACAATCCAGATATCTTGCGTTGGTTCCTCTCGCTTGGTGCGGATCCTAATTACGGTCGAAACGAGAGCCGTTTGTATTTTGAAGAAGGCGCTATACAGCCATTTTCACGTCCCGAACACAACTCAGGTGCTGCGTTGGAATTGGCGGCTTGGAAGTGCGACATGGAGATTCTGGATATCCTGCTTGAGCATGGTGCCAAGCTAGAGAACAGTTTTGCACTGCATAGGGCCATGATGAGAAACCCCGATGAGCAAATTCACCTCGCGGAGCGTCTGCTCAGCTATGGAGCTGATGTCAATACTATCGGATACCTTGCTCCTCCAATATTACAGGGTGGAACTCCTCTCTCGGTGGCCGCCAGGGCCTGTGCGGTGGACCAGGTGCGGTGGTTGTTGGAGCACGGGGCAGATCCTTATGCCTGTGGCCCTCAGGGCATAAAGCCAATCGACTATGCTGCAATGGGCGGGATCACTCCAAGGGTTCAACAGGTCGCACAGCTCTTGAACCAGTGGAAAAAGCCACAGGTCTGAATAACTGGACATCACAGGCTTGGCAAACAGAGATTGCATTGGCATCAGCCACTGCAATCCCTGCAATGGTGAATTGGTCGGGAAAGCAGTTTCGGTCGTCTTTGCCTTTCAACCTTTAAATTGAGCTATTGCTTTCAATCAGAATAAATTGTTCAATCTCTTCCGGTCTAGATTACAGCCTGCCAAGTGAATAAACATGATCACTTTTACCAACTCTTCAGAAAGGGGCATCAAACTATAGACTAAATAAGCACTGATCAATTTTCCGATGTCTTAGTATGTTACAAGGAATTTAGGATCCCCGAAGATATGACTACGAAGGTTGGCGTTCGCGCTCTTCGTCGATCTCGTTATATATGAGAAGGAGTTCAAATTAGAAATACCGACCACCTAAAGCAAAAGGGGTATGTTGAAACGGGGGGTTTCAAAAGAAGGTCATGAGAGGAAACAATTCATGGCGCGAAATGCTCCTTCAGGTCTGGATTTAGCGTGGGCTGAGTGCTCGGTAGAGGCGCTGAATCCTGATCATTCAGGCTAAAAGTGCCTCAGGCTACAAAACCCCACCGCTTAGTCAAACCGATGTGCATCAACAAGAAAGCGACTTCATTCCTTACTTGACATCAAAGACTCAAAGACAGAGGACCACAGTAAAGGCTTAGTCAGTATAAAAGTAACGTGCAGAACTGTGTGGATGATTTGAATTTCATTTCAATTCTGCTCTTCTTCCCCACACACCTATCAGTTCAACGTTATCAGACCATGGCCGACTCCTTCCCCGCGACCATGTCGGGACCAACATCTAAGGAACGAAAGTATGATCGCCAACTGCGATTGTGGGCAGCAACCGGCCAACAAGCTCTTGAAGATGCGCGGGTATTGCTGGTGAACTCAGATGGCCCTCTCGGCTCCAGCAGTACCGGTGTCACGGGTGTTGCAGGCGTGGAAACACTCAAGAACCTGGTCCTACCCGGCATCGGTGGATTTACCATCGTGGATCCGGCGACAGTCACCGAGGCTGACTTGGGGGTGAACTTCTTCCTTGAGGAAGAGTCTCTCGGCAAATCGCGTGCTGATGAAACATGTCGGCTGCTGAGAGAATTGAATCCCGATGTGCAAGGGTATTCGTATTCCAAAGTACGTACCTATTGAGACTTTATACAGATATTTAACAGAACAAATACTGACCATTTACTCTAGCCTATCACCGATCTCCTCACTGATCCGGATTTTCTCCCCCGGCACAAGCTGGTCATTATTTCTGGTCCAACTAAGCGCTCCACTTTAGAACCACTCTGCCAAAAAGCGCAGGAATTAGAGATTCCAGTGTTGTATGTCCATTCTATCGGATTCTGCGCGACCTTCTCATTGCAATTGCCTACTGAGTTCCCCATTGTGGAAACTCACCCAGACCCTGAGTCAACACAAGATCTGCGTCTCTTGAACCCATGGCCTGAGCTCGCCGCAGCCGCCGAATCTTTAGGCGACCTAGAGCGCATGGATGACCACCAGCATGGCCACATACCTTACATCCTGCTTCTTCTCCGGTTTCTCGCGCAATGGAAACAAACACATGGAGCTATGCCAGACAACTATAAAGAAAAATCCGCATTCCGCGAATTCGTACGCTCAAATGCACGCACCAAGAACGCCGAAGGTGGCGAGGAGAATTTTGACGAAGCAGTCGCCGCCGTACTGAAAACCATCTCACCCTTCAGCCTGCGCAGCCCTATTCGCGAGATCTTTGAGATGCAACAATGCCAGCAGTTGACTACACAATCCGCCGATTTCTGGGTTATCGCCTCTGCCATTCGCACATTTTACAATACGCACGGTGTTCTACCTCTGCCGGGCTCACTTCCAGATATGAAAGCCCAGTCGGCCGACTATGTCGCTTTGCAGAATATCTACAAAACCAAAGCACGAAAAGACGTGGAGGAAGTAGCTGCAACAATCCGTCAACTTGAATCGCAACTCGGGCGCACAACTCCTATCCTCGATAGGGAGGTTGAGGTCTTCTGCAAGAATGCGGCGCATATCAAGGTCGTCCGCGGACGGGGCATCGCCCAAATAAACGAGGGCACCGATGCTGATACATTGAAGGCGTTGCGAAGTGGACTCGCTATGCCTGAATCCCTGGCATCTATTTTCATCGCGTGCCAGATCATTGATGCGGTCGTGGATGAAATCCAGAGTAATCCGGCCCAAAACCAACTTTCTGTCGATGACGACGGTCTTTGGATTGCGCATAAAGAGCGTATCCTCGCCCTCTTGACCCGTGATGACTCAACACCTCTTGACGAGGAAGCACAGGATAGCATCGACAAGGCTATTCAGGAGATTCGCCGTGCTGATGGTGGTGAGCTACACAATATCGCGTCGCTGGCTGGTGGTTTGGTCGCACAGGAGTCGCTTAAGGTGCTGACGAGACAGTATGTCCCTCTGGACAATACTTGCGTTTTCGATGGCGCTCGAAGTCGGAGCGAGATGTACCGCTTCTAGCAACAGCTACTGAGATTATTCCCACGGTCATTATATGATTTATGAGGCGTGGTCGCCTGGTAGCCTAGCACAGCGCATGACGAGAAATGAAATGCATAGTCTAAATAAAAAATGCCATAGGCTTTAGAAATTCATATCTATTTACAGTAGGTGGCGAAGATCAGCCGGAGGTATTTCGATGCAACGATGTTGTACATTCGCCACAGCTCAAATTGAGGGGCTTTGGCACTAGGTCTGACTGACGCCGCCAGCCACTGATCGAGTAGCTTGGTGTTTCAAGACACAGCATAAGAGTTCAGAGCAGAATGCTCTAACAAGCCCAGAATCGATCACCGAAGCAGGCCAACACCAGAACATGGCGTTGACAGGCAGCCCAATGTGAGTCCAACTTTTCAAGATTGATGAATTTGACAAGAAAATCAATCACCGCCTTCTCTGCTTGGAAAATCCATGCTTCTTACCACCGGATGGAACATGTTTAGCATCAAATAACTTCTCCTTCCCAAATGCAGCATCTCCAATACGTATAAAGCTAGTGACGCCTTGATCCACAACCGCCAAAACGACATTGCGATATCCATGACGCAAACGCATGTACATCAAGCGCTCCATTTTCTCACCAGATGGCGGGTCTAAAGGCGTGCTTTCTAACAATGCGCCAAGTTGAGGAAGTGTTGGGATTGATGTTTGTTCACGAGTATTCACGACGGCGATCCTGAAGTCCGGCGCCGGAAGAGCGGTCTTCTTAATCAGGTTTGTAGGCTTGTAGACGTGGAACACGACTCTGAAGGGAGCTATTGTGTCTAGAGGGTCCCGCTGAGGCGCAAGAACGGGGTCGTACCATGGAATCAGTTCCATTTTGCGGTATACATCGCCTAAAAATCAATGTTAGCTATAGAGTAAGGCATGCGATAGTTGAGGATAGGCGCACTGTAGCTGCGATGAACGCCGCATCCAATGACAGGACCAGCTGCCGTGGATGCTGTGGACATGGGATCATGAATCCAATCCGAAATGGAGGCCAGGATGCCTGCGAGCCCTGGACCGCGGTGTCTCAATTGTCTCAGTTGTGCGTATGCATCCTTCTTCTCATTATTAAAATCATCGGCCTTGGCAGAATCGTCCCACCCAGGTGCCCGGAAAACTGTATATCCCAACCGCTTCAGTCCTGTGAAGACCGAGTATCGCTCGAGAGTCAAACCGCCCTGCCCCATGAAACACGCGTATGCTGCTTGCAAGCTCATCGGAATCGAAAGCTCGTCCTCGCTATCGTCACCACCCCCTGCCGTGGTCCCTGTCAACGAGGTCGGCCACCTAATATCCAAGCTTCCTCTTTCAATCATATACAGGGCTTCTTCGGGTAATAGCCACACGCGATTCCACCGATCCGTCTGCCCAGTATTTTGGAAGAATTTGCCCTTGGGATTTGGAATACAGACACAGGCATCCGGCGAGATGTTCATAGCCTTTCCTTTATCCTTAGGAGTTTCGACATATTGTGGTGGCGGTGCGGGACCATCAGGCGCATAGAAACCTATGACTCGGTTTTTGGGATTGTGAATGCGCGGGTGAGAGAGCGCATTATGCATCGCCTGTCGGGAAGCGGAGAGAACATCAGCCTGGAACTCGGTCGGGTTGGGCTCGAAGTCTTTTTCGCCACGCTTGGGTAAACTCGAAGAGGCTGTGTCGCCCAGGCTGTCCGAATTTCTTAGTAAACCAAAATTAGCATTGGTAGGCGGCGCACGTACAAGCTTAGGTGGTTTAGCAGGCGAAAGTCCTGGGTCTCGTCTGACAGATCAACCTCGATCTGAGGCGCCTCAGTCGAGGTAGAATTAATGACTTCCTCATCTGCATCAGCCATTGTGGTGGGGTGTGGGGTGAAAGGAAGATGAGTTGAGTCGCGAGACTGAAGTCCAGAAAATCGGGCTTATCGATAAGCCCACGATAACGATAGTACCTCCGCTCCAGAGAATCAATCACACATGCTAGATCATATAGATGAGCATCTACTCCTTCCCTTGAATACTCTTCAAAGTCCACCTGATTGAAAATTGCCGCCATATCATACATCTTCTGATTTGCAAAGAGTTTTTTTTGGACCGAGTAGGCGGGAGAGAAAGCATGAACAAAAAGGCGATATATAAGCGCTACAGCTATCATGCCAACAAGAGTTATGTACTTTGCTAGTAGGACCAATCCAGGCAATGAGGCCTCTGAGGATAAATCGTATGATGGGCCTCCAATTCCCAAAATTCTTCAAGCAGAACGCCGATTACGAGAGATTACTCAGGGAGTACGAAATGCCAACCCCAGAAAGATCACAAGATTAAAGAGATAGAGTAGGAGCTCTTCGATCTAAAATAGGAATATCTCATAATCGAATCAAAGAGGTGTCAATTCCTTGAGGAGTTACACCATGGAACGCTCATCAGTGTCTTTGGTCTATAGCGATCTAATCCTCAATACCTACATCAACGCTCTCAATGCATTGTGCTGATAGAGACGGATGCTGCGGTCGAGGCTGTGGATGCTGCCGAGCTCGTAAGCTCGAAATTCTACGCCAGTTTGAAGCTGGGCACTGTGCCGTGGATGTTGCAAGAAGACTTGTGGGTTCGTGCTTACTGATCAAGCAAAAAAACCTTGCAATATTTATGTCAGCTGAATGTCGATTCTCAATCGCCAATACTACGGAAAGGTCATGTTAACTTCAATATACGATCTTGGTGAAAGTCGTACTGAGAACTCCTTTTGGAATCCAAAAACCTTCGAATGATGAGCAGAGTGAGTCAAAGAATGTTCCAAGGATCCAGCATCAACACTAGCTACCGACATTCGAGGATGAGGTGACGAGGCTTTTGTGGCAAGATGCATCACATATGTGTTACAGTGTTCCTATAGCTCCGACTTGCTCTTGAACCTTTTGTTTCCATGTCACGTGAAAGTGAGCTGGAATAGGAAATGCCTACCCGTCAAATCCAGTAAAGCTACCTACCTCCTCTCTTTTTCATCTGTATATATCAATTTCAATGGAATCACACTCGAGACAGGCGGATTATAATGAGACGTTGCGCAAAGTCAGTTGGCTAAATATATGATTGACGTCAAATTAATAGGTTGCAGGTTTCCAACAGTCTAGAAAATACGCTCAACACCTTTGGGCCCTCCTCGATGCAGTACCATGCTGTTCTTGAGATCCTAAAAGAATGCCTGCGAGATATCGAGAATGAGAAGGGAAAGCGCATTGAGCAGGTGGTCGATCCGGATATGTTGAGCGTTGCAATGGGCTTTCTGGCGATCAAAGAATGATGGCGGGGCTGGAGTTGTTTTCTGATACCCATACTTGTTACGGCGAAATCGCTGCGATTAAACATTTACATTTCGATCCGCTTAGCGGGATATTATAATAGATGAAAGGTGGAAGCGTCTCTCCACATACCCTGGGATCAAACACTAAGGTATCTTGTAGACTAGGATATCTCGCAACACAACGCTTCCGAGACAGTCATCAACACCCCGTTTCCGACGCTAAGAATGAACAAGTTTCCGTTGCCATGCAACAAACTCCAAGCTCTATGCAATCATAAGACATGACAATGATGTGGGCTTCTGGATCAGGACCAGGGCCTCAAAAGATGACTGCCGGGGGCTAGTCTCCTCTGGCCTTGAGCTGTGGCGGAGCTGGCCACAGGGTGTTTCTTCCGTGTCAACACGGAGAACCAATTAGAGAATACTCCTGTATTTGAGAGTATTTGAAGAATCAGGATTCATATCTCGTCGATGGCGTTTCAGTCGATCAGCAGTTTCTTCTGGTTTGCAACCATGGCGACGCCAATATGGCTGAGGGCATTGGGGTCATTGGGTCGCACAATCGACGGAAGTGGCAGCATCGGGTTGTCCGGATTGACATGTGCAGCGTCTCGGGCAGCTTGCTCAATTGCCTCCATTTCTTCTTTACAACCAGCATGATCAAGCGGACAGACCACGATTGGCTGTCGGATGGTGATGTCTCGTGCAGATGTCAAGTGAGCCTGGGTAATGGTTAGATTAGAGTTGCTTGTGATCTCACCAAGAGACTTACGCGAACAGTGAGGTAATACTCAATTTTATACAACGAGCCAGTGGTCGTGAACCCACTGACGCCATACATGGGAAATGCTGTGCGATTCCGCGGTAAGATCCCCTCCGAGTCTCGCATGTCCTTTGCAGGGAACACAAGTCCCATATTCGTCAGGTATCCTGATTGGGGTAGCCGTACACCCACGGGGTCAGTTTTTTTAGCCAAGGTTTTGACCTTGCGCTGAGGCTCGTCACCCTCATGGTTGTAGATAATCTCCTCATCAATGCCGATTGTGATCTTGTTAATCGTGACCTTGCGGGCTTTCCCCATCCAATCCTGATTTGGTGACAGCTTTACATAGACACTGACCGGGTCTAGGGGTCCGTAGGACCATCGCGGGAGTGAGATGGCCAGTGTCACCAAATGGTCTGATACTCGCTCTGCTGACTCGGGCCGGTTATACATGCCAAAGGTAGACAGAGTGTCGTAGCGGGCAATCGGGACTGGGAACGTATATTTCCTTTGTTCGGAGTGACCCTGCTGGACCATCACCATCATTTCGTAGAATGTCTCGGCAGTGCGGCTGGGCAGCTGTAAGCTCGCTGGCGGTACCCGTCGTGAGGAATCGCGGCCCCCACGTCCAAACGGGATAAATAGTACAAACGGCAGATCCATAGCGATGACCTCTTCATGTTCCTTGCCAGCAGGACATCGAAAAAGCAGCATTTCCTTGCCAACGATCTCTGTGATTTCTTTGCGAGGCGGAGCAAGGCGCTTCTTCGTGACGGAGTCGGCGGATGGGTGGATGGTCTCGCGGCGGAGGAGGGCAATGGTGACGAGGGAAACATTGACCGGTGCAGATATACCAACGCTCGGGCGGATCTCAACTTTGCCTTCAATCCGAGGCTAGATAGGATGAGTGGTTAGATCTGTTGGCCGCCAAGGGAGCTCGAGTTTCACTCCCCGCAGCAAAGCTGGTCGTGTTTGTGGGGGCGCTTACCATGGTCGCAGATATGCCCGGGTAGCCGATCAGAAAATTACCATTCGCTGGGCCTGAAACGCGCACAAAGGCGGCCATCTCGATAGCGGTGTTCGCGCACCACCATGGGCACGCGGAGGGGGCGCGAGGAAGTTGTGGGGAACCTGCGAGCGAGACCGGGGCCGTGTCGCACGGTTCATATGGGTCGTTGCAGCTGCTCTTTGGGCTCGATGTTCTTTTGTCTCTGCTCAAGGGATGACAGGAAAATCCCTTGAGAATCAGGGTTGGGACAGGAGAGGTGTGGAGAGCGGTCGGGAATCGCAGATTAGCTTAAATGGTTCATGTGGGGGGGGAAAGAATGGTAAGAAAGACGATCAAAAGGGCAAATCCCAGCCCCATTTGACCGCCGCTAGTTTGAGCCTCGATTGCATCATTGTTCATTGAGATCAATACAATGTCATTCAACCGCGGACCGATTTTAAAACTATCTGTGTTGACATTGATTTCGGGAGGTTTTTTTTCTTCTCAGGAACCCTGGCACGTCATAGTCTAGCAAACTAGATCCACCAGCTATCTCATGTTGCCAAGACTGGAAAAAGAAACCAAACCAACTGCAAGATAAATTCCCGGACTCAAAAACAAACAATTTGAGTTTGATTCTGTGTATACATTTGCATAGATCTGGGCCCGGAAACTGTACCATGGACGCTTTGGCCAACTTGACTTTTCGCTGGTTGCGGTTGCCAGGCGACAACTCCACTTCCCAACCTCATCTACACCCCACCGTCACATCATCGCAGATCAGCCACATATCATCACTTAATCCTGCCACTTCAACAAACCGCTATGCCACCTCGTCGCCGTGCAGCTGCCAATGCGCAGTCCCGTATTACCTTCGGTACCCAGTCCCGGGTGACCAAACCGTCAACCACCCCAACTACACTGCACAAGGGGAAGGACCTTGATTCCAAAGCCCCACGAACGACCGATGAATCCGCATCTGCCACTCCTGAGCCCGCACAGGTTGTGGCCCCCGAGCTATCCAAACCTCACATTACCGAATTAGCAGTGCGCCAGCCTGAGCCCAAACAGATTCGAACCCCAGAAGAGGAACAAGCGTTGAAGCTATCCTTGAAAGACCTGCGGAAATATTGGAATGAGAAAGAGCCGGAGAAAGATAGAGATCGGCCATTCCGATGTGAGTTCTGTTGGACCTGCCCAGAGATGCCAGGGACTCCACTGACGGTGCGACGTTACTACAGGGCATCAAGGAGGCGTGAACCTAGAGGAGAAGATTCTCCGGAATTTCGATCAGTCTAGTCAATACGGGGTATGTGGTTGAATCGTGACCATTTTCACTGGGCGTACTAACGAGTTTCTAGCCATGTATTGGTATGAATCGGACCCAGCGGTGGCGGCGTGCGCAAAAACTAGGCCTGAACCCGCCGATCGAGGTTTTAACCGTCCTTCTGAAGGGTGAGGATATAGATGAGATGTCCCATATGGAGGCCTTGATCTCTCGGTGAACACAAGCCCAAGCGTCATGTCTTGCATGGTTTTTGAATTGTACGATTAGAAACGAGATACCAAGGGGATTTCCCCAATAGAGATCACTACGGGTCTGAGATATCTCAACTGTCAAGTCTTGACGGACTATTTGATAGTCAAAAGCTAGACCTGGGGGACCCCCTTTAAGTCCAAAGTATTACTCGAAAGATCTGGCAAAGGGAATTTCACGAATATAAATGTTCAAGCAAGTAGTGTAGCAGTACCAATACTCCCCATATCTATCCCTCCTACCCACCCCTAAAACGACCGTCACCTATCGGCTATCTATTCATCACATTCCCATATACCCCCCAGCTTCTGTAACTTAACCAACCTCTCCGCATTCCATAATTCTCTAGAACAACGTGCCCACTCAACCGGCGCAGTCCGAGAGGCAAAGGCTCCGAATGTCATCTTGGAACAAGAGGAGCGACTGCGGGAGCTTTTGTACCTTTACAAACCTGTACAACAACAACACCAGGCAGCGACGGACAGTCCTGAGGAAATGGGGATTATCCTTACCCAGATCCATGGTGCTATCAATACTGAACCAGATTTCTCGGTCGCGCTGTCTGAAGAAGGCAGTTGGGCTGCCTTCATCGCATCCGAAATTACTCAAGACGTAGCCGCGGTGGCAGCCGCAGTGGCAGCCACGCTTTCGATCATCAAGGAGAACATTTTGATGGACATGGCTGGCGATGGCGATAACTATTTTAGCTTATGGTAATCCTGGGTACTGCTTGCCGGGCCAGATTCGAGGCGTTATTTAGGCAATTGTGATTTGATCGATTGGCGCAGTTATGTGGAAATTTGGACAAGAACTCTGGGCGAACTAGCAATTGAATTATCACTTAATATGCCTCAATTCCAATTTGTAAACAAGATGACTGTGAGAGAATATTCACCATAACTTTGAATTGATAGGAGCAATGGGTCTTTGGTAGGTAGGGAAATTAGTCCCAAGACCGTGTTGGATAGTGGATCCCCTCATCTGTCACATCCCCGGATTCCCCGCCATCCATCACCAAGTATCCACAAACTTGGAATGCAATGAAAGGATCAACCCTGTGAGAAGGCGAAATGAATCTGATTGCACAATTACGCATGTCACAGAGGCTGACTTTGCCTCCACCCTTGCTTCCCTGTCGCCGAGTGACCGTTTACCGATGCCTTCATGTGATTGCTGATTTTGTCCCTGACGCCCTGCGACGCCAGTAGCTAGCGTATTTGACGTTGTGTCCACCGACTCAATCCCCAAGGGTCTGTCGCTCCCTAAGGGTCCTGGAGCCGAGACTGCGGAGCACAGCGCCACAATGTCTCACCTGTGAACTCGGTGGCCTGATCCCAATTGAGATTCAAACCACCAACACGTTTCGCCCAAGCTTTCATGATATTAGACACAACCCACAGAAAAGCGGACCACGGACCCTTTCTACATGCAGGTACAATGTCGCTGTATCGAAGTTCTCATCTGGGGGGGCACACAATATATCGCCAATGAGACTGGTGGGGTCCACGCGGGGTATCCCGAGACCAAGATCCACGGATCCAGATGCTCGGGGGAGTTCATGCCCCCGCAAGTTCTACTCTTACAGTGAATAAAAAATACACCATGGAATTCTGCTGAGGAAATTCCTTTGAGAATGGGTATTCTGCATCTCCCCTGAGTTTGGACCGCATTGTTTATCTCTCAGTGCAAGATCTTTGAAATTGACAATAAACACCTCATGCAACCCTGAAAATCAAATATATTGATGACACAGGTGGGCCGGAAGCATCGGATCAAGTCCTAATTTGGGATAGTCAGATGCTACGTTGCTGCAAGTCAGGGCCTAGTGCCTTTCCCCAGATTTACCGGCCCTACGTTTCCGTGTTACTCAATTACCGTTTCTCCAAAGGTCCAAAGGAATTTCTCCAGTTTTTGGATGACAGCAGCCAAGGATCACTGCAGGTTTGTCTGGAAACCTGTTTGAATATCCCAGGATTCACCCTTAGGTGGCTCATTCTACGTACTTGGGGTGTTGCCTACCTGTGCCATGCATGCCAAGGGCCTAACTACGTACCCTGCTCAACTTTTGTTCCACGGTCAAAATGATCCTTGCATAATATACCACGAGTTTAATTACGTACAAGGTGCTCAAAAGAGTGGCAAACTGCAGCTTCGATGCAGCGTGTGCTACATCTATACCGTTCGGGCTTAACGCGGTCTATACTACCATGCTTTGATAGGCTTTCCAGAGACTGTGGAAATTAAAACAAGGCACCCCGGTCCCGCTGTGCAACTAGCCATGGAGGAAGATTGCATGACACAGCTGATTGGTAGCACTGGACAGGCTATTTCGAGGGAACAAGGCTCTTACGCAGGTCTCACTCAACCCCGACTTTGTAGAGCCAATGACCCGTGGCGGTTACCTACCCCGAATCATCTTTTAATTAATTTTCGACTCGAGCTCCCGGGACCAATCCAGGATCCTGCATCAGCCATAGCCTTGGCTTTGCAGTGGGGGTTCAGAGATTCTGGCTGACAGCCACAAAAAACCTAAGTCAACCGCGGCCCTGTTCCATTCTAGGTGCCCATTTCCCTATTCCGAAGGAAACATGTGACAAGAGGCATCAGTACGACCCTAGAAATGTATTGCCAAGTGGGAGTATAACACTAAAAGCAAAGCTTATAAAAGGCCATTGTATCCTCTGTCCGACCCTAGATCCTCTTTTATTCTAGACCATCGCCTCCACTCGTTAAAGAGCCTTGACAGTCGCTTCCGACATTTTAAACCTGTTTTATCGAAAGTTCATCAGCAAACATGCAGTTCTCTCACGCTTTGATTGCCCTCGTTGCTGCCGGCCTGGCCAACGCTCAGCTTCCTGACGTTCCCGCTTGCTCGGTATGAACGTTCCTTCCATTCCATACTCCATTCACTAACAATAGCCAGCTCAACTGCTTCGTCTCTGCCCTGACCAGCGATGGTTGCTCGACTCTGACCGATTTCGCCTGCCACTGCGCGAAGACCCAGCTGATCTCCGACATCACCCCTTGCGTTGAGAAGGCCTGCAAAATCGCCGACCAAGCATGTATGTATACAATATCTTCCAATCATATCACATACTAATGTACCTAGCTGTTTCCAACATCGTCGTCTCCCAATGCTCAGCTGCTGGCGTCCCTATCTCGGTCGCCCCAATCCTGACCTCCGAAAGTAGCAGCGCTACTACCACCAGCTCCAGCTCCAGCTCCGGTCCCGCCTCGACCTCTGCTAGCGAGACTGCCAGCGAGACCGCCTCCAGCAGCGCCGGTACCACTGAGTCCTCCGCTTCTGCTTCCACCGGTACCCCCTCGGTGCCCACTGGTTCCACCACTCCCAGCTCTGGCGCTGTTTCTGGCTCTACCCCTGCTGGCACCTCCACCCCGCTGGTTTCCAAGACTAGCGGTAGCACTGCGGCTACTACCTCCCCTGCCTACAACGCCGGTGCCAATGTCAAGGGTAACCTTGCTGGTGCTGCTGTCATGGCCGCTGCCGCCGCTTACATCCTGTAAATTATTTAGCTTAATGTGTTTTCATTGATGTGCTCGAGTTATGGATTGAGCACCCTTGAAATGACACCGATTGTCTGCTACGGCCGATTTGGGGTTAATATGTCGAGAATGTTGCGGTGTTGATATTGTATATTTGAGTTGTCTAATGCAATTGACTTTGGAGGATGTTTGTACGTAATAATTTACTAAGGTAGTTAATTAAATGTTGAAGCAGCTTCATTGAATCTCAAGGTGTGGTTTGATCAGTGCATTGAAATACAAATAACGTCAGAAAACAACAACAATTAGCCAGCATCATGGTAAGCTAGGGAAAGCAGGTCCCGGATCCTCGCCTAGGAAGATACCCTTCTTTCTACAAAGCATTCAGACTCTACAGCAGGAATTTAACAGAAGGCAAACTGTGGGGAGCTAAGCTCGGGACCTATTGATGCACTGGATACTTCATAGGTTCATTGTAAATAGCCTTACCACCATCGGCCTAAGTTAGTCAAAACTTCTTTCCCGCATCACAAACCACATACAAAAAATGAAAAAAATGAAAGGGACTATTTTCATTTTTGGATTCAGCTGACTATATCTAGCTAGCTAAACATCCTTTAAGCAATTATCCATTTCAGAGGCACTCCCAAGATCGCAGTTTTTTCTGCTGTGTTTTGGTGGTCCCCTTGGTCCTATCTTTCCTGGTCTACATATGTATATACAGTATTCAGGTCCCAGAGGGCCAACCAAATGCACTCCAACTGACTATAGAAGGGTTTAGCCGACTCGACCGCGTATTGAATGAAATCTTTCGGGACCTGGAGGTACAGTGCGTCTCCAAACTCTTGCGACTATCTTCACTGAGGTCTTCAATTGATTTTTTTACCCCAAGTCTATATCTGTTAGGAGTTCTTCCGGAGTACCCCTACTAGTTGCATGTGTATTTCCCGTACGTCAATTACATATCAACCTTGGGTACCTAAGTATCGGATTTCTGCTGATGGGTTTTGCTTTCCCGTTCCGTATTAGTGCTCATACCTCTCGCCGCTTTTGCTCACTACGTAGATCTGAGCATGTAACGTATTTCACAAGCGAGCGGGACACCCGGTCGGCCGGGACACCCCAACCAAAACGCGTCAATTAATCACACCTTTCTTATTCAACCACCCACCATGCCACCAATTCGCTCTCAAAATTGTCAGAATTTAATACATCAAGAGGGCCGGATTTTGCTTGCTATCTAGGCTCTTAAAAAGCAAGATAACCTATCAATTCGCGAGGCAGCACGTATATATGACGTTCCAAAATCAACACTTCATGCCCGTCTTGTTGGACGCGAAAACCGCGTCGAATCCCGCCCGAATTCGTTTAAATTAACCGAAATCGAGGAGAATTCACTAGAGAAATGGGTGCTTTCTATGGATAACCGAGGAGCGGCATCGCGACCTAAAATAGTATAAGAAATGGCTAATCTCTTACTCGCGACACGCGGAACGACCCCGATTTAAACCGTCAATAAGAATTGGGTAACAAATTATGTTAAACGATACCTAGAGCTAAATATACGGTTCTCGAGACGCTATAATTACGCACGCGTAAAATATGAAGATCCAAAAATCATAAGAGAATAGTTAAATCTCGTTTAAAAGACAATTCATGATTACGGGATTGATCTAGATGATATACACCCACACCACTACCTTCTCGAGGGAGCGAAAGTAGCGCGTGGGAGCCAAAAACACTATTAAATTATAAATAACTCCAGAAGTAAGCTTCTTTAATCAAAAGGCTCTTTAAAAAACGCTCTAAGAGCCCACCATGCCCGTTGAATTCTACTATCAATTAAGTGCTAAAAGCTTACCAAATCACAATGTAATCCACCACTTTTCTTGCTCAAGAAAACGAGCTTTTACGTGCTGGAAACGAAAAAAAGAAGCAGAAAAAGGCAAGATCAAAGCAACAGATAGCTCTTCTAGAAGGTGTTTCTGTCGCTGAGCTCAAAGAATTAGCTAAAGATCAGCATATTCAACCTCCAGATGGTGAGCCAACCGGTCAAATGAAGCACAAGAACCACGACGTCGGGCTCCACCAAGGTGCTCGGAATGTAATATCCAGGGGCATAAAAGAACGCATTGTCCAAAATTGGTTAAATAGCTTATATATTCAATATCATAAGGGTGTGCTTAGATTATTCTATTTGAATTGTAAGAATTCGGTTGGGGTGTCCCGGCCGACCGGGTGTCCCGCTCGCTTGTGAAATACGTTAGCTAGCTTACATCATCTAATATGCTGACAGGAAGTTAGAAACCTAACTCAAGATACGCTCGGTACGGATACATGAGACTCAGTGTAGGTCAATATATATTAGTCTAGCCAGGATTGTTGCTAAGTATAGAGTGAGATATCTAGACTAGAAATAATTTGGGTGGGTCCAAAAACATTCCAAGGCTTTACCAGACTTTTCTTCTACTGAATCTTGACTCCTTCTTGACTCCTTCGTCTCCTCTGGTAAAACCGGGAACATTTTATCATGTCGCAACACTCTCGGAGAGACGTTTTAATCAACAATATGGGAGACTCGAGGATCCTTGTCTGGGATGAGCTCCAAGTACCTCCTAATATGGAGTCCGATACCGATCAATGGGTTAGAGATTTCCAGCCATTGGTCCAAATTGCAGGCCCTTTTAAATGCCACTGGGCAAGGTCTCGCGAGCGGCCTGATACGGTTCTTCTATTGACATGTGAGTCCAGACTGAAGAAGGATAGAAAATTTGTCAGATTTAAATTGCTGATCCATCTACTATAGTGTGGCGCTGCATGTTAAAACTAAGGGAATTCGAGGACTCCCCGGACGCCCAGCTTTTCTGGGAGAATCTTGCCAGTAAAGGGATTTTACGCCTAGCATCCCACGAGACTGTTTACCGCAGTAACTGGGCCAATTACTTGGATAAATCCTTTATTCAGTTATTCTGGGTCTATTTCCCCGCGTCTTTGGATGAAGACCAGCTGGCCGAAATCACAGAGTCTAAAGGTATCAATCCACCACCAATGGGCTTTTCAGTCCCCCGGAAAGATTTGCTTGTGGCACGTGCCCCTGCAAAAATATGGGCAAATAAAACGAAAATTGTGAATGGACAGGAAACGCAGTTAATGATGTGGCCACATTTCTGGAGGAATGAAGAAAAGGCCGAGTATCGGAATATCCAACGGGGTGGTAATATTAGCTCCTGGACCGTGAGGGATAGGTTCATTTCAGAGTTGGAAGATTTGAAGCCAGTGACGTGGAAGGAGGAGTTTTTTACTTTTACCTGCTTTCGTTTCGTTTCCGAGAATCGTTAGATGAAATTGTATACTAGGTTTCACGTTTAACTACCTCTTCATAAGTGAAGTTTGGGAATTTTTGAATTTACATATTGCTCATATTATAATGATCATTTTAAATCCCCCCCCCCCCTATACCCCTTTCTTCTACTCCCCTACCGATATAGACACCTATTATTATCATCGAGCCTAGGGCTATATTAATATTATTAGTTCTATAACTACGGAACTTAAATAGATCTCCCTAATTCATTTTCTAGCTACCTATATGACATATCTATATAGAAACCTTCGCACCGACGCCCGATTTAAAGGTCTATCTAGCGTCCCACGATGTCTGTTGAAAGTACCAATATCCCACACAGAACCAGACATAGGTTTCAGGGTTTCTCTGGTAAATCTGCTCCCAACTCATAGTACTATCCTTTACCGTTTCCCCTAAAGCGTACCCTGGGGCTGTTGGTTTCTTGAGATCTTTTGCCTGTTTTTTCCATTCGTCTTCGAGTTGTTAGAGCCTTGGTCTAAGCAGGAAGGCGTGGTAACTTACATGAAACATCAGGAGTATCCTCGTTTCCGAGGGCGAGATGAAACAGCTCGTGGTAAAGGGTAGCACTCTTAGGCTGAACTTTCTGAATCGACAGGAATCGTGAGGGCACTAAGGCTCCGAGAGTGTCTGGAGAGTTGCCGTTAAATGAAAGAGGACATAAAGTGATCGTCATAGCTTCTGTTTGATCTTGTGTGGCCCCTAGGTGTTCATCAGTAGCGGCAGCAGTGGGGGCAGCGATGGTAGCTCTGCTGACGACGATGATGAGGATGATTATAGCACTGAGACAGCGGAAATCTGCTCGACGGCTTGTGTCGGGTCTGACTGTGACTTTGAATGCAGCACGACAACGGGATGCTCTGTAACACCATCTTCGACGACCATGGTGGGCACACCCGCGCCAGCTATCGCGGTCACATAGCAGATAATACCAGCATATGTTACGATCGATAGCGACTACGAGTCCAGCATCGCTATCTCACTAGAGTTGGTCTATTCGTCATTGTTCGGTCCATTATCTATCATCGCCGGACCTGGAGCCGCAGCGGCGACACCCACACCCACCGGCCCAGTTCCCGGAGGCTCTGAAGATCCTACTTCAGATTCGGCCTGGAGTGTGAGTATTTATTACTGGCAAGACGAACATAGTGGCGATGGCCAGTGGGAGCTGTATCAGATTGAAGGAGGGCTGGTAGACGGCGGGTGTCCCGAGGTCGTACCGCCTGATGAGATCATAACGGATGGTTCGTACAAAAGATTGGGAGATGGATATTCAGGCTTCAAGGCATTCGGTTCAAGTTGTATCTATAATGGAAAGAACCTGCCTACTGGTGATGTTAATGCGGAAGTTGGAACCCTTTCGTGTGATGGGTATCGGGATGCGATTTGTTATACTGGCGCTGGTGATGAAGGATCGTGTGTTGAGTCATATTAGTCTGTATTTTATATCGTTAAATGTCTGTGGTAGTATTTATGATATGAATGAATATTTCTACTAGTTATAGCTATGGTACCTGTACTGGTTTAAGCTAAGCGTAAGTAAATCCGTTTTCGAGGATTTTCTAGTTTACTCTGTTTCTTGGCAGACTAATATAATCAGCCATAATCCTGTGTTGTCCTTAAATTAGCACCTAGATTTCTAGAATAATGTTAGAATAGAAGTGCTATTCTAGTAGTGATATAAACAAGAGTAGTAGTGTAAAGGTACCATAGTGATTGTGTCTAATTGTAAAGGGTATATGACCTTGGCGGAACAGTAATTCGACGAAGTTACCCCGCCGAATCACGGTGTGTTCGTGGTCGGACCCCTGGAGATTCAACACAAAAAGGGCCGCCCGAATTAAGTCTTTACCGATGACTGTGTCAAAGCCCATCGCATCTCCTAACAAAGCCAATGTAAGCAAGACATACAACCTTTGAGGAAGCGAAGGCTAATGCTGTGGCCGCGAGACCCTAACTAAACGGATCTTTCGGGGGCTATGGTCGGCTATACGTTCAGATGATGCCAACACTACACGCGCAATAATCCAAAAGAATGAGTCTCTAGTCAATCACCAAAACCGCTCGTACGGAAGTGCTCTTTGTGTTGCGGCCCGATATGGGACTCCGGAAATGATCAATTTGCTGACAAGCCTGGGTGCTGATCCTAATCTTCTCATAAAGTATGGACCGTGCGGAAGTGCCCTCGTTGCAGCCTGCTCGACTGTCCAAGGATTTTTTAATTTGTCGGCCCTTCTTCAAAGTGGAGCAGATGTGAACCTGAAAGTCACTCGTGGAAAATATGGCAGCGCACTGGCTGCTGCCGCTTCTCATCACAGTTTGAGCGCGGTGAAATTTTTGATTCATTCTCGGGCAGATGTTAACTTGTAGTTGACATCCGGAGACTACGCAAGTGCTCTTGCCGCTGCTGTCAGCCACAAACAAAGCCAAAACGTCGAGGCACTTCTCTAAGCAGGTGCAGATCCTGGTATTGCTCTTCTACATGGAAAATATGGGGATGTCATCTCAATAGCTATACAGAACAGTGACTCTCGCTCCCTCCGTATATTACAGGAGGCTGGGGTCACGCTCGGCCCTTTGGCAGTAGCAAAGCTCTGCGAACTAGACAATCAAGAAACCAGCACGCTCTTCAACCTTCGAGAATTCGAATTTGGTTTACGAGATATACAGCGTACCGAGATTGAGTGTGAGCTTGCTCTACTAGCCAGAAGTCGAAAGGACCTATCTTCCTGGCTCCCTGATATGGAGGTCCTCGTGAGAAAGGAGAGTACAATAGAGCTTGCTCAAGTCGATGGATTTCTTCTGGCTAGATACGGTACATTGTGGATCAATTTCTTGCGGAGCCTAACAAGGGCTCTGCAGTGCCCGGAGGCATGCTATGGTAAGCCTCCTATTCTTCAAGCCATTGTGGACTACTCTCTGAGGCTCAGTCGCAGTGAATCGAAACATGGAACTGCTGGTCGGTTTGCGCTCAATTGAGCTGAAAACTGTCGCCAGACATGAAACCAACAGCTTCACGATATATTGAAATGGATTTGCCTCACGATCAGAAGTAATATTTCGGGAACGACTTATCTGTCCACCTTAGTCATCGCAAGGGCAATGACTTGCTTTCAACCCTTTTGGTGCCACTTCCCAGATCGTCCGACAGCAGTGATTGCTGGCAAGAGTTATTTGAATTCGCAATAGTTGCTCGCGGGCCAGGGGTCAAGCAAATTGAAGAATGTCGAGGATTGGAGCTGGACTGCTACAGAATGATACAGCTAGCAGCCGTTGAATATCCAGTCTCGGTTGGAGCCGGTATCGTACTGGTCGGCTACTCAACTGCTCTGATTCCGGTTCGAGAGACCGAAGAAGGGACAATTCAGTGGCATTTGGAAGTTGCGAACCATGGTCGGCAAATCAAACCTTCTGATTTACAAGCAGTACAATCAGAATGGTTTCAAACAGAAGATTTGAACTATATGCTCTCAAAGAGAGCGCTCCTAGGGTGGTGCTCTCAAGCAAAACTTCGATTGGGCACTAGCACCAACGATCTCAATGTGACGTGGTCTGGTTCGAAATCTAAGCCTTTTTCATCGGAACTCGCCAATATCAACCTTCAAGCTCTTGCACAGTCTGCAGCGCCAGCTCAACTTGGCATTCAGGCGGGGGCGTCTTGGCGGCGGGTCAGCAATATAATTAGGTTTACTCCTTCGGGTGAATACCTGAAGTGCTTGAACGACAGTAGGTCGCAACAAGTTGTTCTCTATGATGTCAGTGCCACGAGAGCGTGGCTGGTTCCTTTGATCTCGGTTTTTCACCACATGCTGTTAGTCTATTGGAAAAGGATTCCGGAGCAATTCCGAGAGAGAGATGTTCCTTTAGCCGACACTTCCTCTCTCCATCAGAATGCATCATATGAGGCTTTGGTAGACAAGGGAGATATGGTGATTCAAAATTCGGAGGGAAGCCGACAATCCCTGATTGTTCGCAACCTTATCATAGGATTTTCGATCAATTTGGCGAGGATCTCGTTGCAAAAACCAAAGGCAAGGAAGTCTATCTTTGGATATGAGTTCATGGACTGTGTGAACCTCAAACGACCGTTCTTAAGAAGACAACACTTGAAAAGGATGGCCTGGCATGGTTGCCGCTGCTTAATGAAGTCAACTGTCTATTTTGCTCCAACCTCGGAGATGTAATCGTTGCTCAACGCACATCAGAGACTTCTTCGCATTGCAACACCTTGCCAGAAGGCTACGACCTACTGGCTGCCTTAATCCGGAGTATCGATGACTTGTCAGAGACGAAAGGTGGCTGCCATGAGGGACATGCCCGTCTGTTATCTCATGATAGTGCCTGGAGACTCACGGGCTCGCCTTTCGAGGCATGTCAGCATGACAGCCACGAATCATGTTGGAATCGACCAAAGTTTCTACAACATATTGCACCTCTACGACCGGCCGTGAAGAGTTGCACTTTTTCTCTTCGGGACCATGCTAACGGTGCCGTTGTCTTTGGTGGACAATTGAAAGCTCGATGGTTTACATCTTCCACTCAAGTCTCGGGGCAGTATCAAATTCGACAAGACACAATTCGTGTGCCTGTTAAGCAGGAGCAATTGGAGAGCAACACTCAGATGCTCGTACGCTTAGACTGAAAAATTCTCATTCCACTCGATAAGTCGGGCTTTCATGTCTTGCCATGCTGTTCTCAAGTTATCTGTCATCTGTGGTGCCCGCTCGTTAACACTCGTAATTACACAAAATTATCATTGTTTTTGTCTCATTCTTTTTTCTCAAGTAGACTTCATATTCCCATTTGACTCAGTTTCCCACACACCCACATATGTGAAAACGGCAACATAACTCAAAATTTCCACATAACGAGTCCGCAAGTCGAACCACGCAATCTGAAGCTACAAAAAAGAGGGAAGTAAATTATAGGGATGCGCCAATGAGATGAATAAGAGGTCTGAATTGCCATCAGGCCGCTAAGCAGCAATCTAGATGGGCTCTAATATACAACTTATCTAATTATGGAGATAGTATTTTCTGCCGCCGGGCATCCACCTATCTTTGTTGTGTTCCAACACAAGTCCTCGCTAATATAGTTGCGAGACAAAGCATCGTATTATTTCAAGTCACGGTATCCAGGGTGATTCAGAAATATGATATTCCGTATTCATTCCTATTATAGGCCAATGTCTCCTGGCGGTGGGGCGAGAGAATCTTCCAAAAGAGTGGAAGAGGGTGCACCTGTTTCGGGGGGTACGGTAATACTCAAGGGAACATCGCTAATCTCCCACTTTTTGCTTCAGGACTACTCCATACAAGAACTTAACCGGTCATTGCTTAGACACATGCACCAAGACCTTGCCCCTAGCTCTTCCTGAACGCAACTTCTCAAATGCCTTCACAGCATCCTCAAACTCATACTCACTATCCACTTGCACCTTCAAAGTCCCTTTCTTCAACATCTCTCCAATAGCAACAACATGCGCCTGCGTATTAGCAAAAAAGAAAATCTTGTACTTTCTCCTCCCACCACCAAGGAAAGATGGCCACCCAACTCTCGCCACATGAGTATCCATGATATTATTACCACCAACCTGCAAAAAGGCTCCTCCAGGCCGCAAAAAGTGATGACACTGGAAGTAAAGATCATAAGGCAAACCAATATGATCCAAAATATGATCAAAGACCGCACCTCGTTCCCGGAGCGTCGCACTCAAATTCTTCTCAGCAGTATAATCAATAACCTCATCAGCACCTAGCCCACGACAGAGCTCAATGTTCCTCGTCGAACAGGTAGCAGTAACATGGCAGCCCATCCCCTTCGCGATCTGAATTGCGAACAGGCCACAACCACCCGAACCTCCATTAACGAATACCTTGTCACCAGCCTTCACGTACCCATCTAACGACTGCAACGCCGTCTGTCCCGCAATCCCGATCCCAGCAGCCTGCTCGGCCGAGACACTTTCTGGAACTGCCGCAATCAAATCCGCAGAAACGGACAAACACTCTGCCAGCGACCCGAACTTCACCGGGCGACTCAAACACCCGAAGACGAGCTGGCCGGCTATGAAGCGCGTTACGGATGATCCTGTGGCGATTACCCGTCCACAGAAGTCCATGCCTGGTGACGCTGGTGTGCCGATTACAAGCTTTGCGGCTAGGCCGAAAAACATCTCGGGGACCTTATAGTCTGCTGGGTTTAGGGATGCGACGAGGACTTGGACGAGGACTTCGTTGGGTTTTGGGGGCGGGGGCGTGCGTGCTGATGGGTCCAGGTGCATGTTCTTTTCTAGACCGCCACTTGTGCGGCTGTATAGCCATGCTTTCATTGTGGGTGCTGAGGCGGTCATTTTGATTGGGTATAGAGCGCGAGGCGTGGGTTCTGGTCTGTGTTTTCAGGGGTGCGCGATTGGGGCCGAATTCTGCGTATGTAGGGTGATGTGGTGACAGGATTTTTTGTCGGGGTGTTAAGAATGGAAAGTGATCGGCTGGTGGGACAGTCGTACAATTGCTGTGGAGCCTGGATATTTTTGGCCGTGCTGCTGTGAACTCCCTGTCAGATCTCTAACGATTTTGGGAAGCTGCTGCGAGGTGAGATCATCGTAAGGTTTGGCGGTTGAGGTGGTCATAGCTCCCGATGTGGGGACAAACAAAAACATTCGATGAATTAGTTGGTTTCGATGATTTAATTGGTTGAGATTTTGTCCATAGCTCTATGATGCTTGGTATTGCTTATCTGTTAAAAAAACCTCTACCTTGGCGATACCTGTTGTATCGCGTAAAAAACGCAGCATAGCCCCAAACCACATGGTGCGGTGCATATGTACATTTTTCTCCAGTAGGCCACTCTGGTAGCAGACGAAACATGTAAATGTGGACCATAAAATTGAGTATGCGAACATGCCGGGGATATCCTCTGGAGATTTTGGATCCGTTGAGCCATCCAGGGAAAGAGTAATTGAGTAAGGTATTGTCTCGGCGATCTCACCCGTCAATGTGCCAAGTATGTCGAGACCTCGCTCCTCGAGCGCTGGGACATTGATCACAGATTGATTTCGACGTACAAGTTTTAAGATCTGAATCCAAAGTCGGATGCGGGTGGCGCGATACATGTTCCAGTCACTTGCTGCTAAGGGTGTTGAGTAAACGTGCATATGATCAGGCGAGCCGGGCATCGTCAGTAGTTTTCTGGCCCAATCCGCACGTTTTGTGTGAGTCATTGGGCTTCTTCCAGCATATTTCCGTTCCATTGGTAAGTCTAAGGTCCATTGTTGAAGCTTGTGGTCGATTTCCAGAGCTTCTTGGAGGTCTGAGTTAAACTGGTGCCCAAAGCTTTCTTCTGTACCGCACTGCTCCTTTAGCCTGGCACAAATGGCCGCAGTGGTGGATATTAAGCATGTCAGTCGCTTTTTGGGGGCCGAATCGAAAGGGATCTGTTGTACCCAGCTAGCCAGGAGCAAGGGTGGAGATTTGAGATCTGTCAAGTACCATACTATCTGCAACAAACTTAGCCACAGCTGTTAACCTGATGAAATCAAAAAGAGCTACCATATGTGTACATAGCAGTGCAAGATGATTATTGCCGTCCTGGAGAGTAGAACCGTCTCGGTGTGCAATAACGGACTGAGCGCCATGCATATGAGCCAGATACGACCCATCGCGCGTGGATGAAGTGAGCATCTAGACCCACGTTAGCTTCAAGCATAAGGAAACCTCAAGGAATTGATTCACATACTTCATACATGCTCATAAGGAAGATTACCATCAGATTATCTTTTCGTTGTATTTCCACCGGGTCAGCCATCATAGCCGCAAATTTTTGCAATGTTTTCCCATAGTAGACAGCAGCCGGCTCCCTAGCTTCTTCGGATTTACATCTGCTGCGGAAATTGGCGTATGCCACCGCAGCCACCGCAGAGCATAGACACGAGTCAGGCGTGCTCTCAAACAGCAGCTGAGGTAGCCTGCTCAAAGCTCCCGGGAACGGGGTGACAAAATCGTAACAAAACCGACGATATGCTTGCTCGTAAAGCGAGAAGCCCGAGCTTGGTGAAGATTCCGCCGATGGATCTTGTGGTGAGTATTTCTTTATCGGATCAGCACGCTGACGCCATTTCATTTCCACGGCTTCTTTAGCATGACTCGATTGGTCCCGATGAAGCCTATCAAATTCATCCTGATATCTGCATTCTTTCTGCGCCTTGCGACAGCGTTGGCAAGATATTTTATTTTGGTCACACTGGACCTGTTAGCATTGTACCCCGCATGCCGAACAATTGGGGGCAAAACCTTCACTTTCAGTTCTCGGCATCTAAAACAGCCTTTGCTAGGGCCGTGGTAGTTGGGCATGGGGAGGCAATAATTCTGATTGGCTCAGGCGTATCCAGATGAAACTGGGGATTTGCGCAAATTCCGCAACAAGGGTAATTGGGATGTTGTGGTTAAGCTTCACAGCCCCGATCGGCGGTCTTGGCGGGCCTAAAATGGCGACGAACAGATTACCATAGATGTATTAGCCCAGGCCCCCAATAGTGACGGTCACTACGCAGTTTGCTGGTGTGTTTGAGGTAGGTTATTGGTTCTGCGGTTTTCTTTGATTAGGGTAGGGCTGAGTCCGCGTTAGGGCGTTATGCGACTCAGCCGTGAGATCAGTACATTGCGAAGGATCGACAAGCAATTGGGCCCCAACAGCTTCCAATTTCCTTTATTTTGGCTTAAAATAAAGCAAAAACTCCGACCTCCTGTAATATAAAGATCCCCGAGATTCCTAGGCCCGGCAAACGTTTTTTAAATCACGATCACTCTACACGAGAACCTTGGCTCTCCCGAGGCTTGGCTTTTGCTTAGCATATACCTTGTTTTTGACATTGAAACGGGATCTTTCTTCCATCATGGGTCTACCCACCGCTTCTCTCTTCCCTCGGGGGTCGATATCGGATTATTTGAAAAACAAGACATGTCCCATGCCGGCTCATCTCACCGAAGGTGTGTGCCAAAAGTATGAAACCGACAATGATTCCTCCAGCTAATGATAGCAGTCGAGGAGCCCTTTTTGGGGAATATGACTTTCTACCATTTCAACATGATTGTCTCTGGTGCATGCACATTCATCACCTGTGTATTAATATTTAGTCTCATGGCAGAACATGCCTGTCGCTGCAGCGTTCCCAGTGAACAAGTCAAGTATGCACAGATATACCTAGCCTTAGGTAGTATCCGAGTCTGTACGCTAATAGATCCAGGATTATGAGAATCATCCACATGCTACCCGCCTTCTCAGTCCTCTCCTTTTTAGCGATCGCCTTTCCCAACTCATACGTCTACCTAGAAGGATGGACAGAAGTATTCCAGGCCGTTGCGCTGTACGCGTTTCATATGCTTCTGATTGATTTCGTCGCGCCGACCGAGCGAAAACGAGACGAATTCTTTCAGAAACTGAAGGTGAAGAAGATCTTCAGAAAGAATCAATACAGGGAGGGTATTTCCTGGTTGAAGGTAGGCGATATTCATCTTCTTGAGATACAATGCTGACAACCGTGGTAGCTTAGCTACTATTCCACACTACAATACCCCATTGTTGTCTTCTGGGTCGCTGTGGCTCAGAGCGTTGCCGCGGCCTTGGACCGTTATTGTCTTGACTCTAATAAGCCGGCTTTTGCCCACCTTTGGGTACGTGAAATTGATTTGATGATAGAGACTAGATGACTGATGGGTCCACAGCTCGAAATTATTCAAGAAGTCTCCGTCACAATCGCGATCAATGCCGTAATTCGATTCTACCTAAATACAAAGGATTATATGAAGGAGCACAAACCAATGTTGAAGCTGTTGTCTTTCAAGCTCATGGTCGGTCTCATTTTCCTCGAACAGGTTGGTCATTCGTCCCCGTCGATTAGGCCAGCAGTGGACACTAATTCGATTCAGATCGCCTTCATGATCCTCGAATCCTCAAAAGTCTTCAAAGAAACCGCAAAACTCAGCTACGCAGACGTCCACATGGGGATTCCTACAATGGTAATCTGCGTCCAAATGGTCCCCTTCGCAATCTTCATGCGGTATGCATTCAGCACAGATGTCTACCGCGTGAAGAAATCCGGCGACTCTGAAGAAAAGCTCACAGAGGTCAATGAGCATGGACGACCAGTGCCACGGTGCTACCAGGGTGGTCCATTCGGGTTCCACGCCTGGCTTGCATACTATAATCCGATGGAGTTTGTTCACGAGGTACAGTCTATGTACAGGACTCTGCATCATGTTCATGTGCGGGACCAGAAACGCATTTACAAAGAGGAAGTTGAGGGAGAAAGTGAACCGAATTCTGTTGATCAGAGTTCATCTGGGTTAGAGCTGGTTGCCAATCGGCAAAGTCCGGGGCAGAGTGGCTATGGGCATAGTGAGCCTTTCGAGCAGATTCAGCTTGCGCAATCCGAGCCTCTTATTAATCAGGTGCAATACCCAGCTCTGTCGCATTATGGACAGGAGAGATCTGAGTACGCCCACGGGAGTACGGGAGGGGATGCGCAGTGGGGTCAGGATCGGGAGTATAGGCGAGTGTAGAGATTAAGAGCATTGACGTCGGAAACAGTGATTCAGAAAAGGAGAGAGAGAGAGTCACTGCCGAATTTTGAGCCCCCGAACTTTGCGTTTTTAGAAATTTTTGAAGGTAGTTGAGGTACCTGGGCGAGTTTCATAGATATTTCCTTCGCAACCGCATTAGAATCTCAAGGCCTTCACTCTTACCAAGTGGCGGTAATTGAACAAAATTATTTTTACAAAATTATTTTTAATCAGAGAATGATAAGCAGAAAAGAAAAGAAGACCTACCTCGATCTTTACCCCAGCTGTTGTCGAATCCCGTCCACCCAGCCGTAGCATGAGCCGCTGAAACTAGGCCCGGAACCATCCTAGCCAACGAGCATGTCCCAACCCAATTTGCTCAAGCACCGCTGGAGTAGAAACCACTACGCCAATAGGGCTCATATTTGAAAATCTTTCCAGGACGTACATTTCAAGGTTTATTCATTAAATTTCCGAACTGCACTCTGTAACCACACTGTGCACCTACACCTTACACATTACAGTCTGCACGTTCTCTATTCCCAATTGGTGTTTCTGCTCTAATAGTTTGCATTGGAAGTATGTGATAATCTTCAAATGCAAGATGAACTGATCGCACATTTATACTCTTGATCGTAGACCCGGTCTCACAGAGCAGAGTGTTTCCCCGGCTGATCTGACAACGGCGAAGAGTAATCTTCGTCATCCAAATCCATCATCTGAATCCGATGGTTAGTCATATGATCCTGAGTCTGCGTCTCCACCTGCTTCTGCATCCGCGCCTCCTCCCCAAACCCATCCTGACTATTGAGGGTTTCGCGTGCAACGGATGATTCGCGGTCTGTCACGCCTGCCTCACGCTCGTTATTGGCACGCTCTTCTTCTTGCTTCTTGTCTTCAGCCGCCAGTGCAGCTTCTTCACGTTCCACTTCGTCTATATCGATGTCTTGCAGTCCAATGGATGAAATAATCTTGCCAAGCAAAAACTGATACCGGAAATGGCCGCTGATCATTTCGCTGACGTCGAGATTCTCGACGCCGGGGACATTTTCGACCTTTTGGAGTCCAGCGATTCCAAGTTGGAGACTGCTGGTACGGTAAAGGAAAGCTAGGACAGAGTCATTCTCTGAGTAGACGTTGACTACCCGACCGCTGACCACACTACGGATGCGGCGCCAGTACTCTGCATCCGAGGGTGTGGGCGATCCCATTAGAATAACCGATTCGACAATTCCGTAAGCTCCTCGCTTGGCCAGGTGCTGGAGACAGGAAAAGATAAGACGGGATCCCAGGGAATAGCCAATCAGAGTCACAGGGCGCTCTCCCTGGACTTTGTTGATCAATGCATCTGCTAGAACCTCACCTGCCTTGTCGGCTCGAGACTTTGCAACGCTGAATGGGTTATCAACCACCCGGGCAACCTTCATAAGACCAAGAGGCAACATGACTGCGCTCATTATCGCTGAGAAAAAGGTCCGAGACAGAACTTCCCTTCCAGCAACCGACCACGCCGCACTCGTTACCAATGAGGAGATGGCATTTCCGAGATTCATCAAAGACTCCATCTCCCAACGTAAGGCAAACACTTCAGAATCAGCCCCGATAACCCGCCAGGGAATCACAAAGTTAGATTCTTCAGTCACCCAGCCAGTGACACCAATAGTGACTCGTAAACGATGATCCTGTCGAGCAGCATCACTCTCCTTCGCCGTTCGCTTGCGCGAGCCTCGAGCAGGGATGAAAGCAAAGTCTTCAATCTCCCGCGCATACTTGTCCATCATCCGACCCGTCATCCGTCCTCCATACGCGCCGAAAAGTCCACCAACTACCACGCCGCTACTGGCCAGAACACCGAGATATCCAGCAGCAGCGGTCGCACCCAGTCCAAGACCACCCATCATGGTACCGATACCTGCAGCTACCAACGGAGCAGCCAGACCACCGGTAATGCCTATCAGAGCAGCACCAGCTACCGATGCAATACCGACTTTCCATTTGCGGGAATCATTGCTTTTCTTCGGCGGCTGTTGGGCTTCTGGATCTGATAGTGCAAGCGCAGTATCGAGGAGTCCACGTGCAACCTTGACTTCGTCTTCGTTCAGCACTTTGATGTCTATACCGAGGCTCGATGCGGCATGGAGCATCAGAACACGTGAATAGGCATTGTAATGCTCAAGGCTAAGCAATAATAAGAGAAGAGAGTGCAGAATAAGTAGCCTCGTCGCTTTGGGCAGTTGCGCCAATGGGGATTCGATGGGGTGATATATATCCGCAAGTTTTTCCATCCGCTTGCTATCCTCGCCCAACGGGAGATCGTCTGATTGAGTCGCTGCGTCTTTATCTGGCTGCTGTACTTGGCTGTCATCATCCTTATTGACAACCTCGCCGATCCGCAGCAGAACAGCATCTCTCCAGTCTTCGTAGTGCGAGAGTGCCCTTTTTTTGGCCCGCAATTTCGACGCATTCTTTCTCAAATCGGCTCTGGGAGCTTGTGGGCTCTTGCTCTCCACTGGAGAGGAACCATCCGGCCTCTGGGGCAGCGGTGGTCCTGCATCGTCGTGCTCCTCCTCCTCCTCCGCCTCCTCTTTCGGTGTGGGAGGGGTTGAACTTTTATTCAAGCTTGCTTCGGTATTCTCGAAGATCTCGAGAATGCTAATTCTCATTGACTCGGCTATTTCTGCGACAAGTACAGTGAGGTCGGCGCGTTGCGACCGGTCCAGTATTGACGTCAGATCTTGACCGCGTTCGCTAGGCGGAGTGGATGCATTGGGCTCTTTTGGCTCGAAAAAGTGGCCATGTTTTTCTTTGAGATTCTTGAACATTGCCGGTAAAAAGCAAAGCCCAATCTAAACTGCAGATATTCGAAATAGCGAAAGGGGAGGGAGTGATGGAAGTTGGCAGAGATGAGGGGCCAACATATGCTTGGCTTTCGGTTAGTTGCCTGAGGCATGAACTAACCAGAAATTACGAAAACGTCGATGAACTCGTATACATTCCGCTCAAATTTGCGAATTGGAATAGATGTATATGGTTAAGTATATGAATCTATTACATATGTGTAGATCTATTGGTGTTCTGGCGAGATCATGGTCTCATGAACGTTGGAATCGAGACCCTGCGGCTCTGCGGGGGTCGCGTGTCCTTGTATCCACATGCCCTTGATGGGGCACGGCTATTTCCGCCGAACCTTGGTTTCTAACACAGACTCATTTCCGCGGGGAGAGGTCCAGATTTTGACAAGTTCCAGGCCCACCGTATCGAACAGGCTCTTCCATTGAGAGACTGTTCTCTCCAGCCCCGCTGTGTGAAGCCACATGAGAATATCCATTTCCGCAGCTCGGAGCTCAGCCCCGGTATCAGGAAGAACATAATCATCGATAATCAGAGTTGAGTACTCTGGATCCATAGCCTCAACGATTCGAGATAGGATCTGGGCACTCTTGGTATCCGACCAGTTGTGCAGTACATCTCGGAGGAAGTACAACCGGGAGCCTACAAAACCCAACGTGAGCACAAACCAAATGCAAAATTGCGGAACCATCGTATACATACCTTTGACAGGCTGCGGAGTGAAAAAGTCATACTCCATGGCGTCAATCCCTTCTGGTAGCTTCTCAATGCGGCTCAATGTAATTGGAAGATCCTGAAGGACAAATCGACCCGGAAGATTGGGGTACCGCTCCTTGAATCTTGCCAGTTCTTGTCCAGGGCCTCCACCGACATCAACCATCAAAGCTGCACTCGGGTATTCCCGAAGCGGGCCCACTTCCTCTGCTGCTGGGTAGATTTCGAACCACTGTGGCATGTCATCTGCGCGACGTGCAGCCATGTAATCGTCGAAAGCTTGTTTCTGCTCCGGGTTCTGCTCCAAAAGACCGAAGATGACATCGGTACCATGGGCATATTTAAAGAGTGTGATAGCATCGGGTTGGTCGGCGAATTGTTGAATTCCAGGTCCGCGCATGTAGTCTACTAGTCGCCCGCCCTGTTATACAGATCTGGTTAGAAGCAGTTTTGGCTCGAGTGGCGAGTTCTTACCATTCCGAAATCGAGATCGAAGCTTTTGGAATGTCAGTCGCTTGCACCAGGGTAATCAACAAACCTTTGAAAAGAAGCCACTTACTGATGTTTCTCGGCTGCAACTGATCCTGGAAGGATCTTGAAGCGCGTCTTATCGTTAGCAGCATATAGTTGATAGCCGACTTCATCGCAGAAACCAATGGCCGTCAACATGCGCATTACTCGGACTGTCCATTTGTCAACGACTTTGAGCTCAGATTCAAGGAGTTGTCACCAACCGATCAACAAAACATCCACCCCCGTCTCCTGAGCCAGTTCCGTAGCGGAAACGTGCTTATCAAGGGCAACGAGGATATGCAGGAATCGATGCTCGATAGCGACTCGAATAGAGATATTTTGCAGCATCTGCCAGTGGAAAACTAGAAGTTAGAAAATTGATACCACGCTGTTTTCCTTGCGCTCACCTGAAAGTTCACTCGAGAGGTAGTCTCCAACGGCGTTTCGACGGCAAGCTGCAGCTCCCGAATTGCCCTGAGAAGGTCTGCGTGAGCATCTTTGTTTCCTGATGCCTCCTCTGAAATGAGATTCTGGACCTTCGCGAGGGCCTCTGACACAGGCATGGTGGGTGGATTGATGATTCTGAAATTGGTGTTCCATGGATCCTTTGAACAGGGCAGAGGTAAGCGGCCTTGGTGTGTTTGCTCTGATGTCAGCGCTAGAAATGGGCAATCATGCACGTTGCCGAGCACCTCCGCCATGCAAGGAGTGTTTCGCGGGGCAATCAATCGCTCACATGGCCAGTCGGGCCCTTGCTTCGTGTTTGTGAGATTTTACTGTGTCTAAAATCTTACACGTCAACATGGATTGTGGATTACTGCTAGACTCTCTAGAAACCTTCAAGGGTCAACCTTCTCGATCAAGTTCTCGATCAAGTAACTCATTATTGATTGGAAGCATTTAGCTATAGTCGTGATCTCGAGACATGTGTTTCAAAATGTTCATATTATACAGGTCAATTCAACCTCCGACGTCACGGTCTCACTTGATACTCTTCAGAGACAACTGTGTTTTTTGTGACCAATATCTGCTGGTCATTCGGTTCGTTTTCCTCTGTTCTCTGGGCATCCTCGCTATCGTGGGTTGCACTTGTGACGGCGGTTACATGTGGATTCCAGGAGCCTGGTGCGCGGTCATTCAATTCAACCCATGACTGGCGAGGTTCCCTGTCGCTCATATAGCCCCCGGTGGATCGCTTTCCAGAACTCCGCGACGAGAACCCGGTGGCGCTCTTCAGATCCTGGGTGAATTTGATAAAGAAAAGACGGAGCGTAGGGATAGAGCCAAAGATAATGATAAACCACATTTCGGTCAAGACCCAAGTATTCAGTTTGTAGATGGCGTAAGTCAAGTCGTCAGTTTTGGTGATAGAGGCGATCGCGATGGTTTTGTTGATTCCAGCGATTCCTGCTCTATTGCTGGGTTAACGGGTTATGTTAATTTAGGGTCAGCGCGCTTACATTAGTCCACCTCCCATGATTAGACAAAGTCCGATTTTCGTCGATAATTTCATCACTTGAAGTCTTCCAATGACGTAGACCGGATATCCGGCCAAGAAAAAGTCAGAAAAGGCTCCAATGCCTGCAATTGTTAGTATTGTGATCATTAAGTGGATGTAGCTCACGTACTTCCTTGAGCAAATCCCACCTGGGAACAAATGACTATCCCATCGCATGTTCCTGGTCGGTTGCTATCCCACAGCTTCTCCGTTGGAGTGCATTGTTTGAAGATCAAGCCAACCTCGATCACATTGATGATGGCTTGCGTTGCGCCCACGGCGTAAAGAAGGTATCTGCCCTTGCTTCTCGTGCCGCTTTGTATGGTGAGTAGAAAAGCGATAACCGCGATGCGTGCGATAACCAAATCCAAAATGGCGATCACCTGCGCAATCCAGCTCCACAGATTTGTGTTGACAATTTGATCGGGTGGAAGTAGACTCTGGTGAGTGCCGAGTCCGTAATGGACACTCACTGTCATGGTTATCTGGGCAGCCAGAGCAACAGTCTGTAGTGATGCAGTCAGAATTGAAATCACGAGATCAAACAACACAAATCACATACAAAGGCAATAATCACCCACACGAAATCCCATCGTAACCCATACAAACCCGACGATAGCTGACGTGAGGGACAAACCGAGGCTGTTTTAGCCCGAAGGATAATCAGAATAAAGGCCAATCCCATTTCCGCCCAGGTGACACCCAGAACCACCGGGCCTTTTCCTCCATTGGACATGGACAGGCCATCCGTCATGGTTTGGACGAGGAGAGCTGGAGGAAATAGGAATTGCCTTGGGGGTCTATGGCCGTTTACATATAAGACCAACATTCCCCGTCACAACCCCAACACGAAACATCCTCCGCCTGTGTTACAATGTGACCGATTTGCCCTCAGCCCAAGCCGATGCAGGGGGACCCACTCGAAACTTAATACCCGGATGATCATCCGATCTACCTTATTTATACATATGGACCCTACGAGCTTCGTGTCGGTCAGATTCAACGGATTTCTAAACGAACCTGGTCCACGTCGGACTCGGGTCATCATGTCAATGCCATTGAGATGTACCTGTTCGTGGGCATTTCGTCCAGCTTTTGAATATTTATTGGTGCAAAAGTACCGGGCTTCGGATCCTTACTGAGAATTGAGACCTATCACACGCCGTTAGCACTTGGATTGCCCCGGCCATGGACACCTGTGGCGTAGGACGCGGTTAATGAGGTCGCTCAACCACTTGCCTGTTCAACCCCTAGAATGAATACGGACTGCAACCACCCATGGAATACGTCCAAACGGGATGTTGCCAATTTGTTGATGATATCGTTTGAGTGTGGATAGAAATAGCTCCAATTTACAGGTAAGCAACAAGTCAACAGGAAAGTTCCAAATCGACTTGTCCAACGCGTCCTCACCCGCCAACATGGACAGGTGAAGTGAGTTTTCAAATAGCTGAGCTCCTATTCCTTGCCTGTACCACCTCTGACAATCCACATCCTCTCTCCAATTCCTCTTTGCTTTTGTTTCTCTCGTCACCCATGTCTTGATCCTCTTGCTCCTTTCAGAATGTCTTCGACTGACCCCAGAAAATCCCTTGAGGGTCTTGGCGTCGACGAAGAGGTCGAGGCTCTGGAGGGTTACGTCGTTGATCCCAGTCATTATGCAAGCAATGCAGCCAGACTCAAGACTACCTCCGATGGCCGTTTCGTTCTCATTCCCCAGCCGCTGGATTCCCCCTCCGACCCGTTGAACTGGTCCGAACGCAAGAAGCTATGGATCGTGGCTGTTATTGCTTTCATCGCTCTGTTGGCGGACTACACTGGTGGAACAGCCATCATTACTGTTCTGCCGCAGTCGGTGTAAGTGGGATTTTTTTTACCAGACCCCAGGGTAAACATGCCCCTTGCAGGTCCTTGGCTGATAACATGCAGGCAATGGGGTCTCACCCAGGCGACCGTTCAAAAGGCCGTTGTGGGGAACCTTTTTACGATTGGCGCGTGTGGCTTATTTGTCGTTCCACTTACGAGCTACTTTGGTCGTTGGCCAGTGCTACTGGTTTTCCAATGCTTTATGCTCGGAACGTGTGCATGGTCTGCTGCCGCCACCAGTTTCCCGTCTTATCTCGCTGCACGTATCATCAATGGCTTTTTTTGCAGTGTCGGCCAGGGAGGTGCGTTGATGTGGATCAAGGATTTGTTCTTCTTCCATCAGTATCCACAGATCATCAACTATGTGGAGTTTTCGATCATCCTCAGTCCATATTTGGGTCCCTTGATCGCCTGTTTCATCGTTTCGGCAGTGAGCTGGCGATGGGCTTTTTGGGTTTGCACGATCCTTTCAGGCATTAGTCTGGCTCTTGTGTTTTCTCTTGATGAGACGCTGTTTGATCGAAAGGCGCCGCCTAGTTCTCGTGGTTCTTATCTTTCTCGTCTTGTCGGCGTTCAAGAGGCTCGAGCTTCACGACACAAAAGCTTCATTGGGTGCATGTCCCTCCCAGTGGTGGCTATTACCAAGATACCTGTGCTGACGATCTTGATCTACTATTTCCTCAATTTCGCCTGGGTTATCGGAGTAAACACGACCCTTAGCATTTGGCTGAGCAACAAGTATGGGTTTTCAATTCAAAGCATCGGTAAGTCCTCGGCCTCACACATTTGATATCGGGTTAGACTAACTCATCAAGGCTATTTTTACTTTTTCGGCATAGTCGGTGTTCTTGTCGGCTGGTTCAGCGGCCACTTTCTTCACGATGCAGTTGCGCGATACTATGCCAAAAGACACGCCGGCCGTTTTCATCCAGAAGCCCGACTGCTTCTCACATACCCAGCCACTTTACTTTGCGCCGTGAGTCTAGTATTGCTCGGGCTCGCCCTTGAAAAACACTGGCACTACATGGTAATTGCCGTTTTTGCTGCAAGCCAATGTGTCGGTGTCATGATCGTCACTACTGCCATCAATGCTTATCTGCTTGATTGCTATCCCGAAGGTTCGGGAGAGGTCGGTGCATGGGTTACAGCGAGTCGCAACTGGGCGGGGTTCATGGCGACATTTATCCAGATTGAATGGGTGGATCGTCTTGGACCTGCGAAGACGTTAGGTATCCAGGCCGGCATCACTGTTGCATCGCTGTTTTTGATCGCGTTCTTGCAGACTCATGGAAAGCGGCTGAGACAGTGGCAGGGAAAAATGATCTTTAAGAAATTTTGATGAGGCACGGATGATGATGATGATGATTACGAGAAAGTTATGAAACATCCATAGATGGCTTTGATGATGTTTATGAGAAACTTATGATGCATCCATAGATGGCTTTGATGATGGTTATGAGAGACTTATGATGCATCCATAGATGGTTTAATGAATACATAGGGAATGCTTCGCTTCGATCCCCGCGTATAGTGTGAACGTATGTAGATAGACTGTACATGTTTATAGATGTTTTGATGTTCAGAGTATAGGCTCATGATCATCATTGATTCAAAAAGGGGGGAAAACGAATAGAAAGCAGAATAGCTGCTTGAAGGGGTATAAGTATAGTACATCACCAGATTTTATACAATCAAAAAGGCAAGCTTCAGCTACTGCCAGTCTCAACAACAAAGTACTTCCCCTTCGTTTTGGATGCGTATCCAAGAGCATCGCCATCCCAAGCTGATCCATCCGGATGACTATTCCTCTCACCCTGGATACGCTGGATCCTCCGCCGCCGTCCACTAACCTGCTCCTTGGCCAGTGCATCACGGAGTTGGTCAAGTCCAATGGCTGTTTCCTGTGCAGCTGCAGCAGTTTCGTCTCGAATGCTGCGCAATGGCTCTATGCCTGTAGTATCAACAGTCTGCATCTCCTTCACGAAATGAATTTGTGATTCCAATGTTCGCAACATGGACTGCTCTTCTTCCGCGCTCGCCGGTTGTGGTAAGGCTGATAGCCGGAGGAGGTGATGAAGTTGTTTCGGCGTGATGGATGGCGTAGATGGCTCCGAGCTTTCATCGGGAAGCAATGACCGTACGGACCAGCTTGGTTTGGCAAGGATTGACTCGAGCTGAGCTGTTTGGGAGCTGGAGTAACCGCGGAGAACCTTTGCGTTGTATCGAATGGACTGGGAGAGTCGCGAGCCTGCGCGGAAGGATGCCATTTTTAAATAGTGATTTGGGAAACTAAGGGATGAATGTTTTGTTCTTCTTCTTCAGCTCCAACAGGCATGAAACGAGCCTTAAAGATTAGCAGTGGAAGGTGAACGTGGAATACAAAATGCGGGCAAAGGCGGTGGGTGTCCCGATCGACGCTTCATGCGATAAACCGATTGTACTCCAACCACGACACTTTTGTCCAACAACTCCAATCCATATCTAATCAGGGCGGAATAGAAATATTCTTTCCAAGATCACCATGGCCCAAGATCCCAGAGTTCTTCTACAGAAAGTGAGCTCATTCACCCTCTTTTCGCCCCCTTCCCTACCTGAAGCTAGGCAATGACGAAAGCCGATAACTGATCATGTCTGCCGGGTATTTAGGCCGACAAAGCGCTCTCTGGCGCCTCGGGTGGCTTTAGCTGGTTCGGAGGACGCACTGAGAAATACGAAGCTGCTGCCGATCTGTATACTCAGGCTGGAAATGCTTTTCGAGTACAGAAGTTGAGTGAGTTGCCCCCCGCATCGTCACCTCGTGCTGTGGCCACCTCGTGCTGGTCGCTAACGGTCGGTATTTTAAATAGATAAGGAAGCTGGACAAGCTTTCGAGCGTGCCGCCTCTATTCAGACTCAGAACCTTAACGAGCCCGATGACGCTGCCAATACTCTCCAGGAAGCCTTTAAGGTCTACCGCAAGTCTGACCCGGAGGATGCGGTCCGTGTGCTTTCCAGCGCTATTCAACACTACGTACTAAAGGGGAACCTGCGTCGCGCTGCTACTCAGCAGCAATACCTGGCTGAGGTCTACGAGGTTGAGTTGGGAGATATGAAGAAGGCGCTGGAGGCGTACGAGAAGGCCGCGGAGTGGTTTGAGAGTGATAATGCTGAGGCGTAAGTGCCCTCCTAGTCTATGACGGATTGTATTTGAAGGTCACCTACTAACAGCTCCTGGCATGATCTAGTCTCGCAAACAAGCACTTCCTCAAGGTTGCCGACCTCGCTGCTTTGGAAGGCGATTACTACACATCCATCAAGTACTACGAGCGCATTGCCCGGCAATCCATGAACAACCATCTCATGAAATGGTCGGTGAAGGACTACCTCTTGAAGGCTGGAATCTGCCACCTTGCTACCAATGTATGTGAAATAAACACTCTCACCCTCTCGTCTCATCAAGTTTGCTGATCATTCTTCACAGGACCTCGTTGAGACCAACCGAGCCTTCGAATCCTACCGTGAACTTAATCCTGCCTTCGTCTCAGAGCGCGAGCATCAGCTCCTTGTGGACCTGCTTCAATCTATTGAAGCGAAAGACCAGGACATGTTCGCGGATAAACTGTTTTCGTTCGATCAGCTCAGCAAGCTGGACAAGTGGAAGACAACCCTGCTTTTGCGCATCAAGAGCAATATCGAGGAGGAAGAGGAGGACTTCTCCTAGATGGCGATTGCGTTAATTTTGTTATTGATTCTGATTCCCCCGCCTTCATTGAGCCAGGAAGTTTTACGTGGGATTTCCCTTGGGTGACTGTTTCTTGCCTCTCATTAGCTCTCATTTGTCTGGCTTGGAAATGAACACAAGCCTTTTGATGTTGTCGAGTTGATAAATTCTGAAATCAAGCACTGAAATAGATAGTGCATTTGAAATGAATGTTTAGACGATCTTTATATACCGTTTCATATACTTCCAGTGTCTACGGTAACGGAAATGGACATAAAAATGGAAATGCAAGGAAAAATCGTAATTCATTATGAAATGTCTCAAGCCTATCTACTTTTGGGGGTCTTTTCATGACACTAGTTCCCTGGTTGGAAACCAGTTTTCATCATCTCATGTACTTCAAATCACAGATCACGTCCATCTTATACGCCAGAAGAATTGCATATTTACGCACACACCTGCTCCAAAGCCCGTGCCTTGCGAGGGAAAACACGCTTGTACAGACTGATACCAACGGAGTCTTGCGGGTTGATCTTGGCGTCGAAGGTAGCCTTGAAGTAACCGTGCGTACCGAGACTCTCCTTGATGTATCCACTGCGTCCACGACGGGTCCAGAGCTGCAGAGCCTTGAACCAGGCAACATCCTCGGAGTTGAAGAACATGTAACGAACAGTGACGACGTTCTTGTGAATCTTGTAAGGGTGACCAGCAAGGATGGCACGCTTGGCAACAACACGGGCTGGGTCGGGTGGAATGACTGTGCCGGTACCGATGAGCTCGAGACGGTCCAGGGACAGAGGCTCCTGCTTGTCGTCTGCGGAATCGAGGACCTCGGGGTCTTCTTCGGCCTGCTGGGCCTTGAAGACAAGCACCGGAACGGCTCCCCAAGTCATAGGTCCGATCCAGGTGGCGATAGCACTGCGGCCGGGGTGCATGAAGCGGTCGAACTTGTGCACGTTGTTTGGGGTGTTGTCCGCAGACGAGAAAATGGGGTTCACTACCATGCGGCGGGGACCACACTGGATGATAAGCTCCTCCTTGGCCTTGATGGGCTCCTCGAGTCTTCCGCTCAAAGTCATGTTGATATTGACCACAGTGTGCTTGTGCTCATGACGTAGCAGCGAGAAGAGTGAGACGGGCTGGGGCTTGTTGCGAAGGTAGGATGGTACAGCGCGGAGGTGGACATCCACGCGGATACCAGGGTTGACGCCGCCGATCAGAGCCTCTCGCAAGATGCGGTTCTTGGTACCCTTGAAGTCGCCAAACTGCAAGAGCCTGCGCCAATCCTCGGGCTCAAAGGGGCGATCTTCGGATGTCTCCCAAGGGCTGATCTTGAGGTTCTTCAGACCACGGAAACGGGCCAGGCGCTCTCTGGCCAGCACGTTAGGGTGAAGTTCGATCTCGTCGGGGAACTCGAGGTCCTCCTGGGCCTCGTTGCGTCGGCTGGCGCGGTAGTCTGCGAGTTCTTGTGACTCATCCTCCGGGGATGGGTCAAGGAACATCTCTGACTGGGGGTACTCGGAAGGTCCACCCTCAGTCATAGCATCGGCGTGATCGGGGAAAACGCCATCCTCTGGCGCGCCACCAGTGTCCATGTCCATATCCTCATCCTCCTCTCCATCATCAATGTCAGATCCAGAGTCGGAAACGTCCGCAAGATACCAGGCAGACTGGTACTCGGAGGTACCCTTGGGCAACCGCGTAGGCTTCGCGGGAATGTGAGAATCGTCATCGGAAAAGTAGTGGTGGTCATCGAGCAAGACACCCTTGCGCTCAGTCTCGGCAATAGAGACCATATCGTCGTCCTCCATTTCGATCTCTTCGGGGGCTACAATGGCCATGTCATCCTGGTCTGCAGTAGGGGTATCCAGTATTTGAGTGGTTTCGTTGGTGTCGACATTCATGGAATCGTCTCTCTTGTTCTTCGTGGTAGCCAGAGGAGCCGCAGTGATCGAGGCGATCTGGAAATCACCCCAACCAGGAATGTGGGTGATCCGGTCGGCCTTCAAGCCCTTTCCACGGACAACACCGGTGATAACAACGTCGTCAACCACCTCGGTGTCAACATCCGGCCACTGAACATTCTCAATGAACATCCAGCTGCGCTCGTCACGCCAGCGGATACCCTTCGGGGTAGCAGTGCAAAGGGAACGGATGGCATTGGAGCATTCCTGTCGCGAATCCAGAGACATGACCTTCTCAACGGCCGGGAAGAAATGGTTGATGTAGGATTTCAACGAAGAGGCCACCTGCGGGCGCCTCTTGGGCGGGCTGATCTTATCAAGACCCTGAACAACAGTCATGACATTGGAAATACCCTGGCTCTCAATGGAGCGCAGCAAGAGCTCGCCCTCCTCCTCCACCTCCACCTCGGGGGACATGACCAGGATCACAAAGTCGGCCATGCGGCAAACATCCAGAGCACTCAAAAGATCGTATTTGGAAGGAACGTAAAGCAAGCTCTGGCGGAATCGGTCGATTCGCACGCGGGTGATGCTGTCGGCGGAAACCTCGGTGGAAACATCGACACTTTCGTTCAATGAGCTGATAGCGGAAGCGATATCGATGTCAGTGGACAGCGGGACGACGGCGACATGGCGGGGAGCACCATTTTGACCGGTGAAAATGCTATTTGCCTGGGCCTTCTCCTGATGCTTCAATGCTTGTCTTTGGCGGGCTGTGTTGCGGCGATCGAGTTTCGACTTCAATTGTTGGTGGGGGGTTTTGCGAGAGCCCCGCTCCACCTCAACTTTGCCTGGAAAGGTGTGAGCAATTTAAACGAAAATCAAAACGGCAATCCGTCTTGAGTGTTTCCATACCCTTTGCCTGCTCCTTCAGAGCACCCTTGGACGCATGCTTGGTCTTGAAAGGCTTGTTGGCGCTCTTAGTGGTGGAGCGGTGGTGGTGCACCTGGGTGGGCGCCATATTGGCACTGGACCCTTTGAAACGATATGGGAGGGAGTCCAGATTGAAGAAAGAGATGAATCTCTCTAGAGTTATTCGACAAGTATATCAAGATGAACGTGCACTTAGAGAAAAAAAAAATCGCGATAACAAAAATTCGATAGTGGATAGTGGAGAGTTTATGTAAGCGAGGACCGTGACAGCGAAAATTGATTCGCGAATCGCAACATCTATACGGAAATCCACATGATTCTTATCTTTTCGGGACCGATGGGATACTTGCGTCTAACCGTATTATTCATTGCTATCCATACAGGGAATCCGATGAATGAAACATGGAGAGGCGCTGGGAGAGAGGACATTTGTTATCTCAAAACTAGGGCTGGATGAGTCTCCCGAAAAACCAGCATTCTTGACGTACCAAAACAGTACGCTTGGATGCAAGCTAAAACTAATCTGCGTCAATCCTGGTATCAGGCCAGATTATCTTCAGTCTCCTTGATAGCTGCAGTGAGATCAGCCATTTCCTTAATGACCTCGTCATAGGGCTGAGTCTTCTCCCTTTCACGCAGTCCAATCTCGAAAGGTGAAATCAAACCTGCGCGTTCCTTGGCCTTTTCGATCTCGATGTGTCGGCGGGCATCAACGAGGTTGTCGATACCGAATCCCCGCGGCAGGATAATGCTTTGTTCTTTGTGTATCCATTCATTTTCGAGAAGAGCCAATTCCCATTTACGGCGCTGACACCGCCAAACACACATATGATCGCTCCATTCCTCCACGCGTTTGTCAAAGAGCTCTTTGCGTTGCTTCAGTAGCGAGAGCACAGCTCTGGTCAGACCCTTGGGACCAGCGTAACCCGGATAGAAGTTCAATCTTTCCCGTTTGACGCTGTCTGGGTCCAAGACAAACCCATCGGCAAAGAATTCAAAGAATGGTTTGGTCAACCGAGGACGAATATACAGGTCAGTACCAAAAGGTACTGTCTCCGGCTCCTCATCTAGTGCATGATTTCTGTGGCGTTTCATTGAGGTGGGAATGTCCTGATGAAGCATACCGACCATCTCATGGGGTCCCACAATGTCCTCCCATACTGGCAAAGTCCTGAAGTGAGGGTAATAGTCAGGGACGGAAGAAGGTCTTCTAGGATCGACAAGAACTTGGCAGTGTGCAGGCAGTAAACGAATGGCGTCTCCAAGGACGAAGTGTTCGGTCCCTTCGCGTCGCTCCGGTTGCAGTTGCCCAAGGCTAATAACGGTAATAGCCCGTGTCATAATATCATCTTTGTAACGCAGCGAGACATCATCAAGAAACTTTTGACTAATATCAAGGCCTTCCAGCACCATGTTGGCGGGGCATGAAGTGGTCAATAGTCAAGCAAAGGATGAAACTGAGGAAATTGATGACAGTGATGGGAAATGTGGGGTAGAAGGACAGTCACCGTAATGGTTGACTGAAAAAGGGTGAGGAAGTTCATATTCACGAGGGGCTGTCAAAAAGGAACATTAGATGGTGATATTGACGCCGAAGGAACGTGTATCAAGGTCACACTTGGTTGGCCTTGGAGCCTGGAGGGGGTTCATGTTTGTTTTGCGCCTAACAGCCATGATGCTCTACCACTAGTTAGTCACTTGTATCATGTGTTTCATTTATAGGTGTTTAGATTTAGCTTAATCTACCATGTGGCTGATATCCACAACACATTCGCTCATGCTAGTATGTACTTAGCTGACTAACCTAAGTTGATTATTTTCCTATGATGTAAGCAAATGCCCATTTTGCCGGTATGACCATACAAAATGGTCATAATTTTTCAGAATATGGCACCCTAAGGTTTTAAATGAAACACCGTGTGAGTTTTTACAAGTTCTTCTCATGAGTTTTCCAGATGATGGGTAGTCGTGGACTGGTGGACTAAGTATAAGTGGCCAACAGCTCACCGCTTAAGCGGACCGCCTTCCCATGTACCAGCATGAGGCGGGAATTTTTTTTTCTGCCACGGATAACCAACAGCACGAGTTATACGAATTTTTCCCCAAAACCAACATTCAAATAAAAGACAATGGCTGATCCAGCCTCCAAGGCCATCGTTACGGCCGATGACCGCGCAGCGAAGTTGAGATTCGCTGAAGCCGAAAGAACTTACGGACGTGGCAAGGCAGCCTCGACAAAGAATGTCCGCGACAAGAAGCTCCGTGCCACACTCAAGGCCCAGGAAGCCAAGCAGAAGCAGGCCATCTTGCAGGCAAAGGATGCAGAGATCTTGCTAGAGCACGAGGCAGGATTCCTCGAGCCCGAGGGTGAACTCGAAAAGACATACAAAGTACGACAGGATGAGATCCAGCAAAGCGTTGGAATCGAGACAGCGAAGAAGGGCTTTGAGCTCCGGCTCAATGACTTTGGTCCCTACCGCATGGACTACAGTCGAAATGGCCGCAATCTGCTATTGGCAGGCCGGAAGGGTCATGTTGCGACAATGGACTGGCGTGACGGCACACTGGGCTGTGAGCTGAACCTGAATGAGACTGTTCGGGATGCGCGGTGGCTACACAATAACCAGTTTTTTGCGGTTGCGCAGAAGAAATATGTTTACATTTATGATCACCAAGGTGTCGAGTTGCATTGCTTGAGTAAACATTTGGAGCCGCTCTTCCTCGAATTCCTGCCTTACCACTTCTTACTTGCCAGTGCTGTAGGTTTCCCATGGCCTTGTACCAACCTTATTTACCTTTGGCATAAATCTGACATCTTTTCTCTACCATAGCAAATCAGCGGTTACCTCAAATACACCGATACCTCGACCGGTCAGACTGTTGCTGAGCTCCCCACTCGCCTTGGAAGGCCAACCGCCCTTTGCCAGAACCCATCCAACGCTATCCTCCATACCGGGCACCAGAACGGAACTGTGACTTTATGGTCTCCCAACTCCCAGACCGCCCTTGTCAAGGCGCTTGTGCACCGTGGACCTGTCCGATCCATGGCCATCGACCGCCTGGGTCGCTACATGGTCTCCACCGGCCAAGACCAGAAAATGAACATTTGGGATATCCGTATGTTCCGCGAGGTTCACTCATACTCCTGCTACCAGCCTGGTGCATCCGTGTCCATCAGTGACCGCAACCTCGTAGCCGTTGGCTGGGGTACACAGGCCAGCGTGTGGCGGGGTCTTTTCGACGCCGCCCAAGCAGACCAGGGCAAGGTGAACAGTCCCTACATGGCCTGGGGTGGTGACGGCCAACGCATCGAGAACCTGCGCTGGTGCCCATATGAAGATGTCCTTGGTGTAGGACACGATCAAGGCTTCGCCAGTCTCCTCGTCCCCGGTGCCGGAGAACCCAACTTCGACTCACTGGAGGCCAATCCCTACGAGAACGTTAAGCAGCGACAGGAGGCCGAGGTGCACGCGCTGCTCACAAAGTTGCAGCCGGATATGATCTCTCTCGACCCCAATGTCATTGGTCGCCTCGACACTATCAACGACAAGAAGGTGCAAGAGGCGAAGAACACCGATGTCCGGCCCGAGGATCATATGGAGAAACTCAAGAACCGTGGTCGTGGTCGCAACAGTGCGCTGCGGAAGTACCTTCGCAAGAAGGGTCGTACCAATGTTATCGACGAGAAGCGGGTCAAGGCCGAGACTTTACGCAAGGAACATGCCGAGCGCCGGAAGGAGAAGCTCAAGCAAGAGCGCGACGATCTGGGACCTGCTCTGGCTCGATTTGCCAAGAGGGATTGATCGTGTTTCTTTTGCTGCTTACATCTGTTGTCGAGCTGAGAAATATGTTATATCACGGACAACCACCAGATACCCAGCCGTGACATTCTATGGGAACTTGGAATGGGCTTATAGAATACTCGGGGACCCCCTGCATTTCAGGCGTTGGGACGGAACGAATCATATGTATGTATAAAACTTTATGGAAGGTCAAAAAAGCAAGTTTCTTCGTATGAACCGATTCCAGTATAAAGCCCAAGCTAGTTTCAACCTTGATAGCAGTTATAGAACCTTGTCGGATATATGGGTCCGTATATAGTAACCCTCGGTAGTAGTAATCTACTCTTCTATACTCCCCGAACCACGGGGCGCACCCTCCTTCCACCGCTGCAAACTAAGCTCATAAGCTCCACTTCCCTTCCAAGCACTAATAATCAAGTTCACAATATGATCCAAGCCCTTTCCTTCCTTAACAACGGCAAAAACGGTGGGACCACCCTCCCGCATTTTAGCCGCATCCCGCTCCATTACCTTCAAATCAGCACCAACAGCCTCCGCAAGATCAATCTTATTCACAACCAGCAAATCACTGCCAGTGATACCAGGTCCACCCTTCCGGGGCACCTTATCACCACCAGCAACATCAATCACGTAAATGATGAAATCAGCCAGCTCGCGACTGTAATTCGCAGCGAGGTTATCACCGCCGGACTCAATCAGCAAAAGATCGGTGGAGAATTGCTTCTGAAGTGTTTGGAGAGCGAGCAGGTTTGCGCTGATGTCCTCACGGACAGCAGCGTGGGGGCAACCGCCAGTTTCGATAGCGCGGATACGGTTGGGAGCAAGGGCTTTGTGGCGGGTGAGGAATTCAGCGTCTTCACGGGTGAAGATATCATTTGTTACGGCTGCAATGTTGTATTCGTCACGGAGAGCACGGGAGAGAGCGAGCATGAGAGCTGTCTTGCCGGAGCCGACGGGTCTATATAGGTTCCCAGGTTAGTATGGATGTTTGTATGTTCATGTATAGGTCCACAAAGTCCCGGGAAAGAAAGCCGAGTGCTTAGGCGGGGAGAATGGGCTATTTTCGACTGCAAGTGCGACATACCCTCCAATACCAATGGTGAAGGCGCGGTCCTTCCAGTCTCGGCCCTCAATCAGCGGCATCTCGCGGTTGACGTATGAGCCTGGGCCATCCAGAATGTCATGGGAGTGACCGTGGCCGTTGAAAGGGTCGTCATGGGAGTGGCCGAGGCCGCCATCGTGAGAGTGAGCCATTATGTCGTGAAAATGGGAGAAACGTGGAAAATCTGGAGAAATTGCGGTTTGCGTGGGTTGGAGGGGCATTTAATGCAAGAAGTGGGGAACTGATAACCAGAAAAAAAAAGATGCCGAGTTCCCCATATGCTGCATGGCGGAGTTCCCCGAGACAACTTGCCATTGACCTGTTACTTATCAGCTGAACATGAGTAGGCATGACTCTACAGTCTACAGATAAATGGGATATCTAACGTCCAAATTTCCAAAGTTGTTCACGCAAATTGCTGGGATATGTATGGATTCGTCAAATAACGGCAAAACGATGAGCCCCGAAGGGAAAAAGAGTCATTAAGATTCTCAAGAACCAAAATAGAACCCCCACATAAATGCACGTAGACATATTTCCAGGAAACACAAAAAGCCTGACGCCAGGTACGATCGCCAACACGGATATCAAGATTTGGGCCATTCATCCAGGAGGCCAGAAGCAAAGGGCAAACGCCCATATAAACACACCAATCCAGAAATCATCAACCCCCGGGGCAAAGAACATCCCAAAGAAAGCACGTGTAAAAAATCAAGCAATGATTTCCGGGCCAACTAAAAGAAACGCTGAAAAGGGAGATAGAGTACATTAGTCGGAGCAGAGGTCAGAATCGATGGGGCATAGGTGCCATCACTCGAGGACAATTGAAAATGTCGTCGATGGGATAGGCAATCGATTAAGCCTCATCGGAGGTAGCAGATTTGTTCGTCAGAGTACCGAAAGTGAATAAGAGCAGATAGGACCTTCTGATAGAACACCAAATAGGCCGGGGGAAAATAAGATGGACAGGAAAGACAAAAAATGGGGCGAATAGAAAATGCCTCGCCCTGGTATCCAATCGTGCGCCGATTTCCCTAATTCTTGGAAATGATGAAACGTTAAAAACAAAATGATGAGCTTGTCAACGCGAAATGCTATTTCGGCTGCTTAGGCTGCTGCCCCTTCTGCCGTTTAGGCACCCGGGAATTCTTGACCTTGCCTGATCCTGGCGCATTGCCATTCACTTCAACCGAGCCATTGTCGTCGTTTTCTTGCTTGACAGTGCTGGCTCGTCGGCGCTTGTTGCCACCAACGTTCGGACTGTTGTTCACACCGACTGGGGATGACTGAACTTGCATCCCAGGGGGGCCAGCAAGCTGACTCTGAGCGGGGCTTGCATGAGCTGACCCAGTCAGATGAGGCGAGCCTTGAACTCCCGGTAGGCCAAGGTGGGCCATTGCAGGAGAAGCAAATTGCGAAGGAGGGCCCATATTAGGGCCACGAGGCATAGGCTGCATGCCAGGGTTCATTGGGGCAGCAAAGCCAACACTGGGGTTCGAATTTTGGTTGAAGTTACCGACAAGACCTCGGAGCGCGTCTGTCGCCGACAGCTGCGAGTGTTGGGCGGAAAAGTTGAAAAGCATTTGCATCTGTGACATCGTCTCGGCGACCTCTAGGAATTGAATGACCGGCGTAGGAAGGCCATTAGGAGTGACCATAGATTCGGGGAGTGTTATTGACTGTGCCTGTTTCTGCGCCCTCTTGGCAGCACTTTTAGCTAGCTTGGGGCTCTGCTTTTGCTCCATGGCTTCCAGGAGCTGATTGCGGGGAATGAATTCGTTGTGACTGGTGACAGTTATGTCCAGCATCTCAATCTTATTGTTGACGTCGAAGTGGGCGCGTAGATGTCCCTTGTGGAAAACCTATAGATTATCATAAGTAGCATGCCCATGGTTTTCGATGAAGAGAGAGACTCATACCTGGCTTTCATTCGTGTACCAATATATGAAAGATGCGCGTTGACAATCAACAATATGCGCGCCATTGGCACCGGGGGGTTCGCGCTCCCGGGGTCCATCCAGTACCATTTGTATATGATCGATGCCACTGGTGAATTGGGTAAGGTAGTAACGTGCCAGGGCCGGGGTCGAAATTTCGAACTGTTTTGATCCAGTCTGACTGCTCCAGACTCCTTGACGTAACACACCGATTGGTGAATAGAATCGGTCAACAAAAGCCGACCAATACGCGTAGTCGGTAGTCTCATCACGACTCTGCAGAATGATTAGAATTAATGCCCGATGAGCCGCCCGAGCATGAAGTTATTACATACCTTGAATCCGCTCAAATTTTCGGCGTAGCTAGTAAGAATCATGACTGGAGTGTTCTGCTGCCGTTGCTGGTTCATTCTTTGTAACATGATGGCGTTCTGTTGTGCTTTAATTTGAGCTTCCTGGGTAGCCATTGCCTGTTGGGTTTGCTGAGGAGGTTGCTGGCCCGGGGTACCTTGCTGGGGCTGTTGCTGAGACGGTGGCAACTGCTGTGGCTGAGGATTGGGGGTCACCTGGGACTGACCACCGCCCTGCGACTGAGGAGGTTGAGTTGAGGGCGGTTGGGATGTTTGATTGGGCTGAGGAGTTCCGCTCTGTGGTGGACCATGCTGGGACTGTGGAGTCCCTACTGGCGCTTCGTGCATGTTTGGTGGTTGTGCCGAGGAGCGTTGAGGGGTATGCTGGCCCGGCTGGCCATTGTTCGCTTGCGCTTGCTGCTGCGCTTGTTGCTGCGCTTGCTGTGCTTGTTGTGCTTGGACCTGTTGGGCCTGCTGGATCGCAAACATCTGCTGCTGTTGAATATTTTGTGCCTGGCCATGCGAAACCTGTTGTCCCATGTGCATTCCCATGTTTACGGGCCGCATGCCTGGATTTGCTTGCTGCATGGCAGCCAGTTGCGCAGGGTTTAGCCCCTGAGTACCATTGGGTAATGATACCGGTAGACCCCCATGCTGTTGTTGTTGTTGCTGCTGCTGCTGCTGTTGTTGTTGCTGCTGCTGCTGTTGCTGTTGGTGTTGATGTTGTTGTTGTTGCTGCTGTTGGATCAGCATTCGCTGCCGCATGAACTGATGTTGCTGCTGTTGTTGTTGCTGTTGCTGTACATTGAATTGAGGGTTGTTCACGACTGGATTTTGGGTAACAGAATTAGCATGCGCATTGAGGAGACATTAACCCATCGGGGTACGGCTTTAGGGGCTATCGATCCGATGTCGGGGGGTATTGCGCGCGTCCTGGAAGAATCGCGATCGGCTTTTTATCAGGGGCAGCGACTCACAATTTTGTGGGAACCCCTGTTGCTGGAATAGATGCGCCTGCGCAGGGTTCAAATGGGAAAGAGCATGAGCATTCGGCATTCCGGGGCCACCCTGACCACCGTTGGCGCCCGGGGGCATTGCACCCATCATAGGCCCTGCCTGGCTCACCTGAGGACCACCAGGTCCTGACACCCCAGGATGCATTTGCTGGACCATGCCACCGGGATGTCCAGCGCTAGGGTGCTGGCTGGCCATTGGGTGGTGAACGGGGGGCATACCATGCTGCGGAATGCCTTGGGCGGGAAACGGTTGCGCCATCATCATTGCTAGCAGGCGGAAGTCACCGCCAACAGAGTAACTCCAACAAAGAAGCGCGATGAGGAGGCGGCTGGAGGCTGGATTTGGGGGACTGGGGTCGCGCCTGAGATATGGGACGAGCCGGTCTTAGCGCTTCGGAGGAGGCCCAGGCGACTTTTGCAGATGAGGGAAAAGGCCGAAGCATGAGTCGGAGGCCTCTTTTGTCACCTGCCCTCAATGCAGGCCGGGTTCTCCTAGAGGCCAGGTTAGTTGGGAGTTGGGCGGTTGGAGGTGATAAGAGGGTAGAGTTCTCTTTGGGGGGGGAAGAGGCGGGAGGAAAGAGAACGGGGCAGGTGGTAATAGCGTATGGTACAGTAATAGGGAGGCGTTGGAGGGGCTGGGGGCAAAAGATATCGGATAAACTCACTATCCTCACTGATCCCAAGACCTCAGTGCTCTTCTCTGTGCGATTAACACAAACAGCAGAAACCAGGGTCTTGTCTCGATCGCCCATATAATGAGTTGAGGATGATCGCCCGGTTGGGAGCGAAGAGAGAACTGGGGACGGAGGAACCGGCTCCGAAGAGTGGAGGATGTAACCGAGCAAGAACAACGCGATGCGATAGATAGGTCAAAGAGATCACCACGAGATCGGCATGAAAAGGATAGAGTAGATGATAGGGCTCATTTAGTTCCTGTTTTTTATCTGAAGAAATTATTTCATTATTCTCACACTTTTCTCCCATCTTCTCTGTGCAGTTTTCTTTTTCCGTCTCAATTTCAATGGGGGACCACGCTAACCCTGATCAGGCAGTCACGTGCAGATGTGTATTTCAGCGTTTTTTTTTTTTTTCTCTTGCCTTCAGTTTCTTCTTCGTGCTTCAGCTTCGCTCTTCTCTTTCTTCTCTATTCACAATCAAAACCTTGCCTCGGGAGCACCATGCTGTTCATCGGCTGTCTCTCATAGACCGGTAGCACCATAATAATGTCTTATGATGCTCCGGTCTTGCCACTAACACAGGTCATCTCATCCTTGCAGGTTGAGCAAAAAGACCAACCAAAAATCTCTACAGGGTGAGTTCTACTGCTTGTTTCTATGCGTTTTGCTTTTCGTTCAAGGATGTCAAACACTTTTTCACTTCTTTACCTTCCAAATCGACCATGACGAGATAATTCGGATCTTCCTTTCCCGGTTGGTCTGCTACTTGCCAGTATTTTTTGTCTGAGAACACTTCAATATATGCGATTGCATCAACATGAATTGCAAGAGACATGGGCTGATTGCATTTCCACTAGGTCACAACATATACGCTCTCGGAAATTACCGACGTCGATAGTGATAGTCTTAGGTAGTGGCAAATGCATATATTATTCTGTTCAATATCTGAGTTTTGTTTTCAAAAAAAAAAAAAAAAATACCGAAGTACACCGTACTAGCTACTGTACGGTACCTATCGTGGCGTAACTTTGATCCACCAAACTTTGTAATCCTGGCCGAAGATCAGTCTTGAGTAGCAAATCAGCTAGATCTATGGGCCTAGAGCCAGTTCCAAGTGGTCCTCAGGTCTGTCTTGGGGTCATGAATGTCAATACTGTACATACAGTACCTTGCCATGACAGCTGGGAGAATAGAGAAGCGCAATAAAATATACCTGGCCTGGATGGTCGTATCACGTGAGTCTATATTTCTCCCGGAGGCTCATCAAGGTTGCGTCTGTACTTCTTGATCATCGATGCGCCATACTGTTCCCCGCGACTTTGCGCTTTGAGTTCTAGTGGCATATCGTGCCCTGGATGTTTCCGTCAATGCAACAAGCCCGGCTGTTCGTCGTACGCCCGTGTCGTTTGATCGCTCGTCGCCGCTATCCGGCGCATTCGTCCACGCGCCGATTTCATTTGTCGCAACGATGGCGGTCGGCTCCATCACAAGACCCTCATGATGGCTCATCGCCGCCATCAGATGCGCTCGATAATTGCCAACCCCCGAAGTTCGAAGATGTCGTCCCGAACAAAAGCTCATTGCCTGCCGATGACCAGAAACCTGCCACAAAGCCATATGGATCTGCGTTGCGGAGAGCCATGAGGAGCCGCCAATTGGAACAGGACAAACTGAAGGAACCGGTGGCTGCAATTCCTAGCTGGTTCTCTGACCAGAACATAGTCACTCGGGGTTCGGAGGATGTCGTCCAGGCCCAACAAGTCGAAATTACAATGTCGAAACCGGCGCCCTGCCCAAACATCGCGGAAAAGAAAGAATCTCTGGCTGGAGGTGGTGGAAACAACCCTGCTTCATCTAGCGATCCTATTGAGCCCGATGAAGAAAGCAGCTATGCTGTGCCTGAGGAACTTTGGGGTGAACTGCGAGCGTCAGTCAAAGCGGGCCTGAGACTGCCACCGGTGCAGTATGCCAAAGAACCGGCAGCAAAGAAGTCACACCTCATTCTTCAATACCCCGGAAATGATGGTATTCCGTTCTTGGACACCGTGGTACGACAGTTGTCAAATGACCTCAACACCGACCTGATCACCCTCAATGCACAAGATATTGCCCAGCTATTCAGCGAGCAAGACCTTGCTGAAACCGGCGCAACCACTTCCATTCGATCGCTCGGCTACGATGTTCACCGGCCTCCGGTTATTACTTGGCCAGAGCCTATTGATGGAGAAGGTGAAGGCGAGGACGATATGACTGACATTGCTGGGCCCCCAGGCGTGCGTACTGAAGTCAGCACCCCCAGATTCATCACTATCGAGCCCAGCAAAGATTCAGGTGATGTGCCGCTCCCGAACTGGCTTGGTCTGAAGTCAATTGTGGCTTCGATAAATGGCCAGGGGGATCAAGAATCGGGGTCATCACGGCTCTTTGGCCCTCGTATAGAGCAGCGCTGGACCCGTCTATTGAATGAAATAATAACTTCACTTGGTCGACCAGCAAAGCCCGCGCCCAAGGAAACAGAGGATTCAGCTGAGCCGGACGTCGCTATTCCTGTGCTTCCTCACGACACTATTGTCCACGTCCAGGATTATCGTGAAATTCAAGGCCAGAGAGAGGGCTCCAGGGTCATTTCATTGCTGCAAAAGGTCATTCAAGAACGGCGAAAAGCTGGTTCCAGAATTATCCTCATTGGTAGTGTTTCCCAGGAGCTTCGTCATGCTCCATCACACGATGGTTCCAAAATTCTTCAAAACGTTTTCGATGACGGTTTCTCTAAAACATTGGTTATCACACCTTCCATGGAATTGACGGCTGCCGAAAAGAAGTTTGCTCAAGACCAGAAGAAACGAACCATGGATATCAACATACGCCATCTTCAAACTATGTTGAAGTTCCGACTCAATGAGACTGCTTCGGCCGTCAAGGATGATATTTTCGGCAACCGTGCCTGGCCCCTTGACCCAACAACAATCAAAAAATCTGGTATCAAAGAAAAGTTCTGGTCCTACAACCAAGTTCACTGGGTTACAACACTGGCACTGGGCAGTACAGAAGCTGGTGAATCATTTGGCTTTGAACACATTCGACGTGGGATTGAGCTTATGGACAAGGGAGACCAAGTAACCAATGATTGGTTGCAGGCAAAGTCTCCCAAGGCGACAGACGCTAGCAGTGGTCAGACCAGAGAGCAGTTGTTGAGCTCTTTGCGCAAGACATGCACTTCTCACGAGAAGAAATTGCTCAATGGTGTGGTAGACGCAAAAAGTATACGAACAACTTTCAACGATGTTCAGGTTCCGCCTGAGACTATTGATGCATTGAAAACCCTAACTTCTCTCTCGCTGGTTCGGCCTGAGGCTTTCACTTACGGTGTGTTGGCAACGGATAAGATTCCTGGTCTTTTACTGTACGGGCCTCCCGGCACAGGAAAAACACTTCTCGCTAAGGCAGTTGCGCGCGAGAGTGGGGCAACTGTTCTAGAAGTGAGCGGTTCTGAGGTGTATGATATGTACGTGGGCGAGGGTGAAAAGAACGTGAAAGCCATCTTCACACTCGCCAAGAAACTAAGCCCATGCGTCGTATTCATTGACGAAGCAGATGCCATCTTCTGCTCTCGCACAGGCTCCAGCAGTCGGACCTCCCACCGTGAACTGATCAACCAGTTCCTCCGCGAGTGGGATGGAATGAACGACCTCTCCGCATTCATCATGGTCGCCACCAACCGCCCCTTCGACCTCGATGACGCAGTCCTGCGCCGGCTACCCCGACGACTCCTCGTAGATCTGCCAACCGAGGCAGACCGCCTCGCAATTCTGAAGATCCATCTCAAAGAGGAACAACTAGATCCAGCGGTCGACCTGGCCGACCTCGCTAAGCGCACAGAGCTGTACTCCGGCTCCGACTTGAAGAACCTTTCAGTTGCCGCAGCCCTAGCCTGCGTGCGGGAGGAAAACGACGCTGCAGCAAAACACCAAGGCGACGAGCCCTACGAATACCCGGCACGACGAATCCTTAACAGTGCCCACTTTGACCGCGGAATGGAAGAGATCAGTGCCTCGATCAGTGAAGACATGTCTTCGCTCACTGCGATTCGGAAATTCGACGAACAATATGGTGATCGCAGAAGTCGGCGCCCTAAATCTAAGGGATGGGGCTTTGGACCTGCTGCCGATGCACCTACTACTGAATCCGTACGCGTCCGGACTTGATCTTAGCCGAGTGTTCTTTTGAATTTCAATTGGGCTCAACCTCTTTTCTTCTGTACTTTTAGTGATACGATAGACATGTACCAATAGTTTGTTTGAGATTATAGATACACACACTTATGCCCTGTGCAAATTTATCATGCCGCCGCAGTTGGTCTTTTCTCCCCTTACAGAATAGATGGGATTACATATCTTACAAAGAGGGAATCAGGGTTGCTCTATCACTGGGCTTTTCGCTTCCCCGATACTGTTGAATATCAAACTTGACTCTCGTATCTTTCTTCTTTCATCTCTTTGCAACTACAATACTATATTTGCCCGTCGGAATCAACGGCTCTGTCGATTTTGAGTCCGTCTAAGGATCTAGTATTAATACCTAGTCACAACAATAACTCCGCAACAACAACACATCATTCAAAGCTAAATTCGTATTCATAATATTTTCTCCCCATCCATACTAAATCCCTCTCACCTTCTATAATGGATTGATGTTTTACAGGTACCCACGGAAGCGCCGCTCAGAGAGGTTGGATCGGTATTACCATGACTATCGTTCCACTATTTTTCAGAATGATTTTCCTCTAGTATTGCCTGTTAAACACTTATCGATGCAGTATGTCGTAACCAAGTGTTCCTAAGGTCGTGGATTGCATCTCTCAGTTTTTGAAGATCCACAGTATATATATTGCACTCACTCAAACCTTGGAACCACATTCGACGTCAGAATTGAGTTTGGCTGCTAAGTATCATCGCAGCACAGGTGCTAGACATGTGGGTGCCTTGTATTGTCTACATAATATACACATACATTATTGAAAGCAGGAAATACCGCTTGTTTTCTGCATTAGCCCTAGGTGGTGATCTCTGGGAGGGCACGTGCCCGATGACATCGGATCCGTTCTCCACCCGCCACTTTCAAGCTCAATTTCTCAAAACCCCGCGTGTGGATTTAGGTGGAGGATTCTTGCGCCTCGTCCCTTTTCTACCACCTGGGCACCGGGTGAAATCCCCGTTCCTCGATCTTCGAGTCATCCCTTCCGTTAAATTTCGATATCCCTCCACCATGGCTGACTCTCGTGACATAGCCATCCGCGACGCCAAACTCTTCGTTCGCGAGGTCGTTCGTAACGACTGGGAATTCACCGCCGATCCGAATGGACCAAGCTACATCTCACTACCCTATGTGGACGTGGACTTGGTCGGCACCCTCCTAGACAACCGCCAAGTCTCAGAATGGCGCTGCCGAGAATTCGACAGCTCAGGCTCAGAGCTCGAACCACCATCATCCGATGACGACTCTGAAAGCGATGCCCCAAAGGCGAATGGCGACCCCGCGATAGAGTTGCGGCGCAAACGCCGTCGTCAGATGGATGAAGAAATGACCTGGAATGAAGGGCTGCAGATGTGGATGGCCAGACGCGACGTGTGGTCTGGAGCCAGGACACGGCGACAAATTCGCGCCAAAGAGAAGAAAGACAATCTTGTGAAAAGCCAGACGGACACACCAAATCAAATTACGGACAGTCGTGCGGATTCTGGGGTTGACGCGGGCGCTGCATCGCTGCAGCCGGGGTCAGCTTCCCCGCATTCGGATCGCCAAAGTCAAAATGACGCGGCCGAGGCCCCTGCCTTGGCAGCAAAGATGGACACATCACTGTCAATTGCGGAGCGGGAGAAAATTGAAGAGACCACACGTCGACAGGAGCAGGAAGAAGAGCAGTCTACTGCCCCGGAGGACGAAACGAAGCGCAAGGAGTCTACCGACACCAGCATCACCGAGCCCGAGGCGTCTGCCAACGCACCTGGCTTTACCACATTCCCCGCCATAGACGATGACAATGATGATACCGAGGAAGAGCTCGATGAACCTCTTATTCCTGTCGCTCCGCCGTTCCTTTCACCCGAAAATCCCATCCGCGCAACCATCAACTCATCCATCTACCCCTCTATCTATACCAAAGTGGTCGTACAAGGGATGACCCCTACTGTGCCAGTCAATTTAGCTCATCTGACTAAAGCGATGGTTCAGGGCTGGAAAGCCGATGGACAGTGGCCGCCCAAGCCAGCAGTGTCGAACATTGTCCTCGCTGACACTGCGTCGGTACCAAAGAGCTCCGATACTACTGACACCCCCCAGTCAAGGCGAAAGAACAGTATCACAAATGCTATGCGCAAGGTGTTTCACATGGGCTCTCACCCCTTTCACCGACGCGGATCGAGCCAAGATGGTGGGAATGGTGCAGGTCCCGTCATTTAAAATACATCATGGCCTCGACACATCTTTGCGATAGGCTCATACCGGACGAGTTTTTTTCATCAATGATCAATGATTACACGGTCATGTCTCCAACGTATGGGGACTCTTTCCCTGCGAATTGCATCTGGTGTTTATCCAGGAGGTTCTTTGGATTTTGTTTTTTTTTTTTAGTTAATATTGTTGGGTGTATGGAGGGTTTGTATTGAAGTATTCCAAGGTTATCATGATTGATTCCCATAATTCATGTGCGTGGGCTACTTGCACATACTGAGAGTATTCTTTTCGACCAAACAAGCAGGCCTTGATGATTCTTGTTAATTTGATCATATCTGATTCTTCAATTTCCCAACCTTTCTCTTGACTTAGTGCTCATAGACATGAACTGATCATGTGTTTTCATCCATGAGCCAACTTTCTTTGAATGATCATTTTGGCCCCCAGTCGCATCCTTCAGTCCCAGTGCCGCTATAAGAAAGTGCTGACCTATCAGCGATGCTCACCTAAGCCCCCTCAAATGCATCTTCTTAACATCCTTTACAATAGCCGCCTCATTTCCAACATATCCTCAATTGAAAATGGTCTCTGGTGAAGGAGAGATGCCAACTCCAGGACCGAAACGGCCTCGGGCCCGAGTAGCCTGCGACGAGTGCCGACGCCGCAAATTACGGTGCGACGGTCGGCAGCCAAGTTGCAGTCTCTGTCATGAGTCGGGGTTAGTCTGCGAAACCACCGAGCGCGGGTCTCGCGGTCCAAAAAAGGGCTACATTAAAGCCCTGAAAGATCGAGTTGTATACCTAGAGAACTTGTTGGAGAATCGCTTGGATGTCCAACAGGGACAAAGTCAGCATCATGATAGCACAGAAAGCCGAGATGACGAGTTACCCACGCCGCCTGTTGATATTTCAGATCCGATAATCACGACCGATGCTCAGGACTGGATGTCAGCGGCCGTTGCGTCCATTTCGGAGCCCGATATGCTCTTACCAAATGATCTCCCTGATCTCAGGCTACTTTCCGCTTCGTTGGCTCCTTCTGTTTCATTCAGCATTACCAGCGCTATACAATCGGAATTGTAAAGATTCCCTTGAGTACAGATTTACGCTAGGTTATAGCTAACGCTGTCACCAGGGACCAGCTCTATTTTGATCGCGTGCATGCTTCAATCCCAATTTTGCATCAGCGAAGGTACCTGTCATGGGCCACATCTCCTATCAAAAATGCCTGCTGCAAATGTCTTCAGCAGGTCATGTGGACCATAGTCACACTTATGTCGGTACAATTCAGAGATTTGACCGAACCTCTTTACCAAGAGGCCAAATTGACTTTGAAAACGCTCGATACTGGTGATGTTGATGGACATGAGACAGAGCTGGTACAAGCATGGGTTCTTATTGCAATGTGTGAGTCCATGCGGACTCAGCACCATCAAGCATGGATGAGTGCTGGTCAAGCATTTCGGATACTGCAGGGCAAACACTTTCACGAAATTGATAGCCCGAAGACAATCAGACAATCCACTGATGATCCGATAGAGATGGAAGAGAAGAGGCGAGTGTTTTGGTTGGCCTATTTTCTGGATCATCTTCTTAGCATACGCAATGACTGGCCTATCACGCTAAATGAGCATGTGGTAAGTTCTCACTCCAGTGCTTGCACACAGGGAAGACATGAATTGAATCCCATGGAACGCAGATATGTACCCGATTGCCATCCCCTGACCAGGAATTCCAAAACGGTCAGCCCGTTCTAGGCGGATTCCTATCCGAAGTCATGACAGAACCTAGCATAACAGTGCAATCGCCTTTCAACGAATGTCTCATTCTACTAACCATCTGCGGCCGCAGTCTCCTCCAAGGTCAGCAGCTGAAAATATCCGAAGTATACGGTCACACAGCATCTGGCGATCTAAAACAATGTCACTGGCTTGAAAAGCTTCTCAAAGCTCGACTCCAAATTCTAGCACAGCTCTACCCGTCCCCAAATAAGGGTTACGATCCGCTGCTGTGGTTTGCCAACATACTAAGTCACTCAGCAGTGGTATACTGCTGCAAAAGCCTAATGCAATCGCTAGGGGCACCCGGCGGAATAGAAGACAATGCAGCTTATACGGAGTATCAGAGCCGGGCGTTGACTGCTGTTGAGGCTATTGTCGGCCTTGCGCAAATTTTGCCTACTTTTCATTTCTCGAAGGTGGGCTGGGTCATCTTTTTCATATTGTTTTAACTGATAGCGGAAATACTAATGATTATGTGGGTTTTTTGTCTAGGTTCATCCGCTTATGCCGCTTCCGTTGTTCCTGGTAGCGGAGTTTCTGTATGATAATGTGGGGGAGAACCAGGCTTTTGGGTTATATTTACAGGAGCTGGTTACCGTCGCTCAGAAGCTCAAGAACGTCAATAACCTTGAGCAGAGTTATATGGATCTAATGCCACAGTCGTGTATATCCAAGACAACGGAGTTGCTGAATAGCCATGCTGGAGTTGACTGATATGGAAATGACGAAATATTATGACACACCGAGTGTCAAAGACTTTACTATTTTGGAGAGTGCTATTAGGTCTTTGAGAAAATCTCAAAATAGTTGCCAGGAATTGGAATTGACTTGCTGTAAAAAGATTCTATGTTACGCACATCTCCCCTGCATAATGTCAGCCATTATTCAGAAAATGACTGTCCCGCGTGTCCAGAAGCTAGATTGGTTCAGAAAACTTAAACTGTCTGTTTGATATTATGGGTACTTAAGGCTAATCTCCAGGCTAATTAGCAACAGGAGGTGAAACGGCTATCCCTTCTGCGATCTCACATTTGGAATTGCTTGATGTTGTTGGATGGGACTCGGAAAAAGTTGAGAGGTGTGATTATAGTGGAGCGCATTTGGACTCATGGCTTTTGGCTTTTGATTACTCAGTGCAATGTCAATTAATCATCTATTTCAATATAGAAAATTTGTGAAAAAGTTTGTAATAGTAGCTGATGCTCATGTTCACGGTAAAACGTCTCGGAGAAAGGTTTCGCTGACTAACACCAGTCGCCCGGAACCCTAACCTTGAAGGTCAACTAGTAAAGACCAGCTAGTGTATGCACGGTAACCTGTTTTGAATTTGACGATTCTTGGCTTCCTCCATTTGAGTATTCGCCTGGCCGCTTTTGCTCGACTGATAAGTGCCTTTCAAGGTTGCACCGATCATCGAGCCTTACATAAGCTCCTAGCTTTGCATACTCGACCAAGAACTTTCTTGTTTCACTGAAATCTTAGGAGGGGTCGACGTCATATTTCATGTACGAAATTATTTAGTTGCATTCATTAACTAACGAGGCTCAGGTCTGATATCAAGTCAACTGGATACTGTGGCACAAGAGCCTCATCATGGGCAGATATGGAGTCCAACTAATCCAGCGGTCTTTTCTAAACTGTTTTCTATCCAAAATGAAAGCATGATCACTGCCAATGCAGAAATTGTAACTTTTTCGCTTTGAAGAAACATAGTCACAGAATAGGAAACATTAAAACAATAGCCGAAAATAAATTTAAATTTGACCCATCTTTCACATTGTTTGCCCGGAGCATTTATGGATCTCCGCCTTCGCCATGCCATACCCACGGTTGAAATCTAGACGACGGGCATCCCCGGCCGGGATCTCCTGAAGACATATCTGCAAGCACTGGTACTGCCTCCGAACCAACGATGCAAGGCGCTCACTGCTCTTTGAACAAAGCAAGCCGGAATTTGAAAATTCTGATACCATCTCCTGTAATTCAAGAAATGCCATGGACATTCCCAAAAGCACACCGAAGTTTTGAATGGGACTGGAAGCTAATTTGAGCATTGTCGTGGCAAACTCGGACGGCCATCGGGAGAGGAGATCATGGAGGCCTTGAGGGGCGGGAAGGGAGGCTCGTCGGATCATTTCCAGACCAAACTCAATGATACCTCCATTCTCTGCTGCGCGAGGCTCGTCTGCTCCTGTCACAATCAAGTCCTCCGCTTCGAAGCCGGACTGAGCCCGCAAGAAACGTACCACAGCGCAGCCGATCTTATCGCTCGTCCTTCCTGGGGCATACAAAAATGATTCCAAGAGGCAGCACTGGGTAAACCAGAGCGGAAATAGTAAGGGCAAATTGAGTGCATCCTTCCCCAGCTGGTCATTAAAGAGGAGGCTTGCTGTTTCAGTCTCACCAACGGCGAGGATAGAATTATCAGTCTTGTCGGTCTGTGGTTCATTGGATGTTTGGCTCAGTGAGGGAGCTGTTGGCTCGATGAAAGAGTAGTAAAAGGGGTTTCGGTCATAACCAAGGGTATTGATCCAGAGCTCAAGCGTCTCGAGCTCGCTCTTTGTAAAAGAGCCGTACATTTTGCCTCCCCATTGAAGCTCTTGTATCAATTTGCTCTTTTTGCTGTCACCTGGATATACCCATGGTTTGCACGTGCTCAGACTTCGAAGGAACTCCAACTGCCATTCCTCAGCCGAGAACGCTTCGGGATCCAGCCAATCAGCCAGCGAGCGCTTTCCAATCCTCACCCGGCTACCACAGTGCAGTCTGTGAGCAGCCTGAATTTTCGAGCCGAATATCGCAAGAACCTTGGACTCCAATCGATCACAAGAGTCGTCATTGAGCTGTGCAATAAGATTTGTTGGTTGATTTCCTTGTTGAGCTTGCCATTCGCTGAAAATATACCCTGCCTGAATTCTTTTCCACGCTACCTCAGCAGCAACCTGCCCCTCACTCTCAGCAACATGCTGAATATAGTCTGCGGCACTTTCCATGGCCATGGCAGCGTGCCCCGAGTGGCTATTGTCAATCGAAATATGAAGCAGGAAATAATATGCGCTGAGTCGCACTTCGGGTAATTCCTTCGACGCTTGCATGGTATCCAGTTGCAGCGCTTCAAAATGCATATTAAACCCGAGAATCTCAGGCAGAAACTCTTGCGGGAACAGAGCCACTAGTAGTTGCGCCACAGCTGCTCTCCAATATTTGAGACTGCCTAGCTTGTATCGAGGATGCAGGATAGCTTTTGTTGTTGGTGAGGGTAAGTCTGGTTCAAATTCCCCCAGAAGGTCTTCGAAGACCTTGACATGATGTTGGTCACGGTTCCCATTCCCTAGCTCTTCTGTAAACACTTGCCATGTCTGCTTCACTATTTGTCTCAACGAGAAAGGCATTGTGATCTTGTTTAAATGCCCTAGCCAGGCGCCGTCTACCAATTTTAGCGGTGCAATTTCCCTCAGCCAATTTCCAGCCGCCTGGTGATCTTGAAAAAGCTCACGCGGACCCCCCGACTGTCGACGACTGATATACTGATGGTATCGACTTGTGACATCATCCTGATGGCTCTGGAGAAAGCGGGCAAGCTCCTCTTTGTCAAAGCTTTTGATAGACAGTATGTTGGTGTCGGGTGTTTTGACGTAATCCTCCAGTGCCTGCGAAAGTAGAGCTAGTAAAGCTTGTCGTGCGATCGGTATTGTATCGGAGTGCTCCTCCAGATTTTGAAGCTTGAAATAGAGCTCTTTGTAGAATTCTAATTCCCTCGACGATGTCCATTCTGAATCTGCCTTGACTGTACGTGGCGGTCTCAACTGTTTCCGCCCTTGCGCGAACGGAGCATCGGATCTCTCAAGCTTCGGATGACTTTTGAAACCTTTTAAATAGAAGAAAGGAATGATGCAAGTGCAGATGAGAATGAAGATACCAGAGAAGGCGACATGATGACTCTCAATGACCTCGAATTCCAGAGACATTGTTGGTATGAGAAGTTTTTACAAGGGTAGTTTGAGTTTGTTCGGATTGCTCTGGAAGTCTCCATGAATACGGGTAATATACTAGCGGTGGCACAGGCTGAAGCACCACGCTGCATATATTGATTTGCTGTTATTCTTGTTTTGGCTGCGCACATCTACTCAGGTCAGGTACAATACTGAAAAAAATACACGTATCTGTTAGGTCATCTGGAAGATTCCAAGTAAAAGAAGGAAAAAGTCAAATCGGATTGAGTAAGGCAGTGATTTGATTTTCCATGCTTCTCAGCTTGTAGGCTCCACTTTTGGGACACCACACCCCCGTCCGGATACATCTGCTCGGATGGAGCTGGTACTCTGCATTTTACACCAATTCGTCATTCCTGCAAGTTCAAAGGTCCACAGCTTCAAGTTCGGTGTGTCCGGGTGGCTGGCTGAAATTGAATCCACGTGCGACAATAGGCGGTGTGGTTAAGTTGCAGATGTGATGAATGCAGATCACGGTGTAACCTGTATTACATCGTGATGCAGCTCCCGCATACATATATCATATGTTGAATCGAGGAATCAACGGCGGGGCTGCTTGGCCGCCGGTCTTGCAGGTTGAGGTGCAGCCCTGGCGGCACCAATTGTGTATGACTCGTGATTGGATGGACGTGGTGCTTTATACTTCGTATAGAACCGAGTAATCCCACAACTACACCGACTAGAAAGCGTGAATTTGATCTACATCTTTTAAGTTCCAATAGTATAGTATATTACTGAAGAGCAATGACAGCTCACACCTGCATTGTCTACCTATTATCGACCAATTGAGCGTCCTGAGCCGAATGTCGCCGGGAAACAGGTACGTCCCTTTGGATTCTTGCATCGAAAAGATCTGTGCAACACTGATTAGCCTGAATAGCCCCAATAATATGCAGCTTGTCTGACAAACACCCGACACATATCATTTGTAGATGTCTGCCTCAAATTGGTACGGTCGGAAAATGCATTCGGTAAATCTATTACGGACATGTGATAGTGAAGAGGCGTCCTCCAAAACTGCTTTGTCGGAGGGCGATATCTCCTGATCCCCTGGAAAACTATCTAGATAGGGAATCCTGGGTCGTGAGAGACCCATACTGGCGATAATTTTCAATTGGGTTGTATATGAGAATGATGTTCCGCATCAATAAGGGTTTCCCGCTAGATACACCCGATTCGTTCACAAGATAATGGACGCCAAGGATCTTCCCTAGAACTGGTGCGACGGTCTCAAGAAATAAGACACAAAGTATCGGTCCTCTACACCATCAGTAACCTGAGTTACGCGATGGACTGGGGAGTGCAGGCGACCACCGGTCCGGTTTTGTAGATAATTTGCAAGGTTGACCACAACACAGTCGGGTTTAGGATCAATCCATAGCCATTCTTTCGTCTCTCGGGTCTGCATTTGACTGGCCCATTTCTCACACCAGAGCAAGGTGATTGAACCGCCATCCGTGTGGGTGGTGTCGGGTACATCAGCAAGGTTCGCCTGGGTTGGACCAGAGACGAACTTAATTCCTGTATCGCTCGGGGCATTAGGGCGATGAGCCTCTTCCAGATCAAGACCAAGGCTATCAGAGAGACTGCGGAGGCAGGCGTTAACCAAGTTGTCGCAGATATTGGCAAGATCGAGGATTTCGTTTGTGTGCTCTGCGAAGGGGCTTGGTAAAGTGATGTTGGCGTGTTCGTCTCGAGCGATCTGGCAGGAATTAGCCACTGTGTCATCGTTGTTATATGGAAAGACCTACCTCGAATGATTCAATCCCTTTGCGTTTGTAACTATCGCCGTGTTAACGTCTGCATGATTGGGCAGTAGGAGCTGACATACCCGCGATCCACATCCTCTCTGAACGCCTTCATCTTCTCCTCCTCAGGCTTGGCGAAGTACTCATGGCTATCTTGGTAACAAATTTGAAGGTAGCTTGAGATCTTCGCGGCGAGTTCGTCGTCAAAAGTGAGATAGAAAAACCCCTCGGTCTCGGCGGCCTTCAAAAGTTTCGCCGTCTCTGCTGGGTCTTTTGCAGCAAGTCTTTCCAATTTGATTATCTCAAGGTCGGCGATGTCCAAAGATCGCTCTCCCACGATCCTGGTGGTCTTTGAAAGAGGGGCTGTCATAGTTTGAGACATGGTGAGCTGGGATATAATATTGAGGATAAGTCAATCGTGCTTTCAAGTTCCACGTCAATGAGAAGTGTGTATGAGAAATAAGTACTTCGTCATGAGTCTTCTCCATGACACACCAGTCTCTCCAAGCATAGCGCATGGAAGGACATTCTTGGGTATTGATCGGCAGCAAAGGTCCAAACTGACCGCCATATTGGTCTCAACGCGACTTTGCCCGTGCTAGAACTCTCGAGAAAATGCATTCGGGATTCACGTTGATCTAGATTTGCCTCCTACTGTACGAGCCCCGAGGAGGGCCGAGGGAAACGCAATGTGATCAGTCGTATGCAAGCCACGGTGTCAAATGCAGGCTTCATCCAAATCTTACCGGGGCAATCACCACTTATGCAGTGATGAGGAGATTTATTACATTTGCCAAGATCATGAGCTGAAAGTGGGTCCTTTGTACTACGTAGAGCCCCCACGGGTCAGCTCGGGGCGGGGAGCAGCCTAGCGGTTTCCGATCGGTCACATCGGACAATATATTACAGGGTATTGCCTTGGCGATCTGGCCCCACATGTACAAGCGCCCAGGGACAAAACAATCGGGATGCGCCAGGTGCGGGGATATCGATATAGTTGCAGGTTGTGATCAGTCAATGCCTTCACACATGTACCCGGGTCCCAGTTGCCAACTGTAGATATGCACCTGTAGTACTTCGTCACTTGCATTGTACAGGATGTATTTACAAAAATAAACTTAACCTGGTTGCTCCAGCCCCAATTGTAACCAACCGTTAGTTTCAATTTGTCGCACGTTTCAAGAAAGAGAACTCCCATCAACTGTGAATCAATCATCCATCATGATGCCCCCCAGCGAACTACGTGGACCTCCCCTTCCAGATTCGGGTGCGACCCTCCACGATGTGTTTTATCAGAATGTCGCCAAGTACCCCGATGCTGTGGCTCTCGTCTCTACCCAGCAAGCCCCTACTCTTTACGGAATCCCGAGTGTGCCCCGCGACAGCGACAAGCGTGAGGCGGACTATCTACGATGGACCTACCGGGACCTGGATCGCGCTGTACAGCGACTCGTCACTGGTTTGCAGAGTCAAGGGCTGAAAAGAGGTGATCCATTAGTGATTTTCATGCCGAATACCGCTGAATACGTTATTGCTACCTGGGCTGCCTACCAAATGGACTGCGCCTACGTTCCTATCAATCCCAAAGGTCTATCCAACGCCAGAGAGATGCGGCATATGTTACAGACTGCGATGAAAGGATGCAATTCAGATCTGATGGGCATCATTGCTGGAACACCTGACATGTGTGCGCGGATTGAAGAATACACGACTGGAATAAACAGTGCAAAAATATTGGTAGAAGGAGAGATGGATGGCTGGACACCGTTTAAGGAGTTGATGGAGAAACCGGCGAATGTTCAGCAGAATCTATGCAGAGATCATGTTTTAGGACTTGCCGATCGGTCGATCTTCTTCACGAGTGGAACGACATCTCTCCCGAAAGGTTGTGTTATGCCTCCTGCGTATGGGTTCTCGGCTGCCTTGTGCTGGCGCCAAAGCAGTGTTCCTATGCTGCCTGGGGATCGCGTATTATTCACGTTGCCGAATAATCATGGGTTTGGCTGGCTTTGTATCATGTCGGGCTTCCTGAACGGAGCCACAGTTGTGCTGCCGGGTCCAAGGTTCATTCCAGAGGCCGTAATTAAGGCTATCCGGGAGGAACAAGTCAGCCACGCTGGATTGGTGCCAACCATGCTGCATGCTTTGAGCAATATGCCACTCGTATCTGGGAAGCTGAGCTCTCTTCGGCGGATTGTGATGGGAGGTTCTCCTCCAACCGAAGAGGTCATTAAAATTTGCCTTGACACTCTCGGTGCATCTGGGGTAGAGAATCTATACGGTATGACGGAGGGCATTCTTGTCTCCTCTGGAGTGGTAAGCCAAGCCAGCGATATTGTCAAAGGCAGAGACGTTTCCATTGGAACGCCACTTCCTGGCATGACTGTCCGTATATACGCCAAGGATAGCAAAGCGACGGTTGGGGCTGGAGATGCTGGCGAGATCCATTTCGCAGGTCCAAGTCTAATTGATGGATATGTTGGAGGAGCTGATAATAACTTTTATAATGGAGATGATGGCCGTCGTTGGTTCCGCTCTGGTGATAAAGCTTTCATTGGCACCGACAACCGTCTCTACCTGATTGGCAGGTACAAAGATACCATTATCCGTGGAGGCGAGAACATTGAACCATCAGCTATTGAAGCGGTTCTGGGCCAAATTCCCGATATCAACGTTCTTCAGCCCCAGGTGGTACGCGCACCTGACAATATCGCCGGGGAAGTTCCTATTGTCGTGGTGAATCAGGAAGTCGATGAGTCTACGTCAAATAACATCAAAGACGCCGTCTTGGCGCAGATGGGAGCTCTCTATGCTCCGGCAGATGTGATATCGATACAGGCTCTGGGAAGTCAAGAATACCCCAAGACCATGGCAGGAAAAGTTCAAAAGACTAAATTGGAAGAGCTGGTCAGGACATACTGGGAACAGCAAGTGTCCACAGGCTCAAACGGTCACCGTATCGAGGGACCTATTTCAGGCCCTCAAGTTATGGAATCATTGTGCACGGCCATCGAAAAAGAGAAGGGAAATCCGATAGACCTCTCTGTTCGGATGATTGAGCTAGGAGTCGATTCAATCTCGTCTATCGCAATACTCAAGCGCGTTCAGATGGAAACAGGAGTATCACTGCCATCATCTCTATTCTTCACCCAGGCAACAGTTGGTGCAATCTGCCAGCAGATCAGTTCTGTTTCCGACACCGCAGAATTTCTTACTTTCATACCAATCATGGAGGACGCACCTACAGACACATTCTCTGCAGTCTTGCTTCAAGGAACCCCTCGGGCAGGCGTTCCATCCCTCTTCTGTACTCCTCCAGGCTCTGGAAATGCTTTCGTGTTCAAGACGCTGCCCAAGTTCGCCAACGACCGTGCAGTCTATAGCTTTGGCTCTCCATTCCTCATGACCAAGTCAGAATCCACTTGGACGGTAGAGGATACTGCCGCCATCTACGCAAAAACCATTCGCAGCATTGATCCCGAGGGGCCCTATATCCTATGCGGCTGGTCAATGGGAACAGCTACAGCATATGAAACGGCATACCTGCTCCACGAACAAGGCAAGAAGGTTTTGGGAATAATCATGCTTGACTTGGCATTGGCGCGACCACCTCCCAATATCCCGGAGGCATCTGTCGAGCTGTTTGAAATGATGGGCTTATTCCCTCCGATTCGTCGTGAAGGCAAGCCTGACGTGGAGATTCCCGCGTTTCGGAAGAAGCATCGAGTCGCAGCTTATTACGCGAAGAATAGATATGTGCCCCGTCCTTTCAATATGAACGATGCAAGCCGACCGCAGATATTTGTTATCTGGGCTGGGCACGGCGACCATGATCGCATGATAGGCGCGGTTCTCGAAGCCCAGGATCTATTGCAGAAATATGGACCGGGGACAGACCGGAAGATCAACCTAGACTGGCTCCATGTTCCGCGTGAATCTTTTGATGCTGGTGGCTGGGATGAAATGGTTGGACCAGAAAAGGTTGAGTGGGATATTGTTGAAGATGCAGATCATGACACGCTCATCGAGTCAGAAGAATTGGTAAGTAATGTCACTTACCACTTGAGCTCCAGCTTCATCTGCTGACCATTGATAGGTAATAATAACCCAGGGTTTGATGGAAGCGAAAATAGATAAATGGTTGCGAGGGGAGGACAAGGCGAATGGTTCAGCTTGAGGCGTCATGCCAGGGGTGGCGGTCAAGAATCAGAGGCTGGTCACGCCTACACCTACAGACTACAGATTACACCCCGATCAAACTACCGGTTTTCAGAAATCAGATCGATACTTTGGGACCTTCGAAACAATATCACTAATGTTCAACTTTCCGGGCCTCAGCGGCGAATCTTTCTAGTTGTTTATTCAAATAACAAAACACCCCGTCTTGTCCGTAATGCCCATGGCCTATGTACCAAGTGGAACTTATCACCTGAGCAAGCCTGACCAGGTTTGTCTTCGGTTAATTTGCCTCTTCCAAGATTATAGTTGTTCCTATATCAGCGTCATACATGTACGGGGATATAGGATTGGCTGAAAACAGGACGAACGGCACTCTGTACTTTCTGCCCAGACTCAAGGTTGTGTCTGTGAGCACGCGCCAAGTTGACCAATTGCACGGCGCATACGCGACGGATCGGCCGAACATTGATACGTAATGAACCATGAACTATGCTCCGTCGAACTCCGTAACACCCGATCATTCCAACCCCCGGACAAGGGTAGGCAATGGCATTTTGAACCCAACGCAAATGAACATACTTTAGGCTCATTTCCAATGCTGGGAACGTCGTCGGGACGGAGACATCCGATCGAGAAAGTACAGTCCAAAGCGGCCACGGAAGGCTATCCCTTGCATATCGAACAGATCAATTACGCTTTGCGGAACCTCCTCTTTGCTTTTTATTCGGCCTTCACCGCAGATCAGCTGTGAATAGTGTGCTGCATTTGAACGCCTCAGTGGGCCCTTCAGCTGAAAAATCTTTTAAGAAAAACGCAAGGGTGTCGCACAAATGATCTACTCGGCATGAACTATTGATTGTCGCAGCCAGATCCTCCATCCTTGAATGTCGCTTACTTTCTCCTTGGTTCCTATTTCAGAGACATAGCTTCTGACCAAAACCCTCACTCCTTCCTCCCAAAAGACTTGAATTCATGCAGGTCACCATGCCCGATGAGCGGACTCCTTTGGTGAAGGATGCAGAGTCCCAGAAGTCCAAGCCACTTGGCATTTCAAAACTTCTTGCTGGGCTGGTTGGTGCGTAATCCCTTCGTTCTTTTGACGCGGTTACTCGGCTGACTTTCCATTCAGGCGTTTTCCTAGCCAGTGCAGATAAATCTATTCTGCTAACGACACAAACCCAAATTGCATCTTCACTACATTCTCCTTCTAATGCGGCATTGTTGTTGGTGTCATACAATCTTGGGTTTTGTGTTGCGCTACCCGTGGTAAGTATCGTGCTTGACTATTTCTTCCAGGTTAGCGCCCACTAATCATCAATCTTAGTATGGTTTCCTGAGTGATATATATGGCTCTCGGAACTTTCTTTTAATCTCATATGTTTTGTTCTCGGTGGGATGTGCTATATCGTGAGTCTAAACGAAGCTTTAGAACGAACTCTACATTATCTTCGTACTGACATCGAATTCTAGCGGCGCTGTCGATACATTATGGCCATTTGCTTTTGGTCGATTTGTGGCGGGTATAGGAGGTGCTGGTATGACGGACTTACTTTCTGTACTCGTTAATGGTATGATTCACCTTTGGTTCGACTGGAGAGAGAAGGAAGACTCAACTAAACCCATGACCAGAGGTTTTCGACGTCTCAGAGATCGCCTATGTGCGAAGCTATATCATTGCTGCCGACATCTTTGGCCAGGGGTGTGGAGGACCACTGGGGGGCGTTATTACTGACAGGGTCGGCTGGAGATGGTAAGTAATCCTCAAATATTTTTGGGTTCTGAGAGTAGCTTCCATTGACTTGAGAAATTCTAGGGCTTTGCTCGGCCAATCGCCAATTGGAATGCTTTGTTTGGTCCTAGCATATTTCCAACTTCCGAAAATTCCCAAGAATCATCATAAGGAGTCTAAGCTGAGCTTATGGAACTTTGACTATTGGGGGCTTGGAGCATTCACCATTTCAGCTACCACATTTGTTCTGGGGACCACTGATGGGAATTCAGCCTTGGATGATAATAAACCAGCTTTATTTGCCACTTCGGCTATCTTTCTGGTGCTCTTGATCGTCATTGAAAAAATGTCGTCTAGACCGATTATTCCTCCTTCCATTATTGCTGCACCCAGCGTACGAGGCATTTTCCTGGGACAGTTTTTGTTCTTCATAAATGTCAGCACAGTGAGTGGAATTTCCTGCCTCGCACCCCGAGATGACTTGGATATGGCTAATAAATCACAGTTTATGAATAATCTTCCACCCTACTTAGCCCACATAGACCACCTCACTAATACAGAGATTGCCCTGCGAATATGGCCAACAGGACTCGGTTTGATTCTTGGCTCTATGATAGCTGGAAAGGTTCTGAGAACGTGAGTTACGAGACAGTCGAGCATTCAGCATTTACTAACGATTTCAGGTCTGCAAGATATCGCAGGGAGTCCCTCATTGGGGTAGGAATTTGTTCTATATCCCTTATTATTATGGTCATTCGCTGGGCAAATGGCATCAAAGGATTCGAGATCTATTATTCCTTCCCCTGGACTGTAGGAGGTGGAATCTTACTCTCGGCGCAGTTTGTTGCGCTGGCCGTACGGTGTCCTGACCAAATGGCCAATGCTACCGCAATTTATTGCCTAGTGCAGCAAGTTGGCCAGATAGTCGGAACCAGCGCTAGCACCACAGTCCTACAACAGCTCTTCGGCCTCCGGCTAGGCGTCAATTTGAGTGACGCTTTACCCGAAAAGACTCAGGTATGTTTCACGTCCAATTCTTGTACTTTGGTGTACTCACAGGATCTATAGATCATTCAAAAACTTCTCCAAAACTACGGCTCTATTACAGATTTGCCTCAAGTCCTGCAAAACGTCGTTCAATCTAGCTATATCGAGGCTTTTCGTTTAATTCCAGGTAAGTCGAGTCCTTGATCTTACGAATTTGAAACAACAGACATTGACGGTTGTAGCTTTGTCGGCGATCTTGACCATTACCTGCGGCGTCCTTATTCTCTTCTCATAGAAGAAAGTGTATACTAGGAATCATGAGTTTGTGATATCCAACTCTCAAATCCAAAATTCAATGTTTATCAATTTCAGGTTCGGGCTACAAGATGGACATATGAATTATTAAGACAGAGCATTTAAAGAATAGATCATCGCATGTCAAAGTTTCAGAAAAAGCCTGTCCCTCAATTACCAAACATCAAGTCCTGTCGCGTGTTTCCGTGGTTCTATCTTAAATACTGTAGTGGAGAAATTTCCACAAATCTTATTAAATAGTCCTCTAGCCACGCTCAACCAAGTGTGTACTAGTCCGTTCGTAGTCATTCGAGCCTCCAAATCTTGAATCTTGACCGGTGTGGCTAGCGCGCGGAAGAGATAAATTGCCATATGTGTGCCACACATGTGCATGAAGCCCACGAGGATATGAATCATTTCAATTTGACCTGGAAATATTCTGCGGGTCTCTGTTAACACACCCTGCAGGTTGCAGCCTGCAAGACAATTGGAGACAAGTTGGAGTTCCCTTTGTGTACATCACGTGCATCCCCTAATAGTCTGGCACCCCCACGGCTCTACTGGACATGAAGGAAACATTCCAACCTCCGCATCCGTCGCATTTTTGGCGCCTTATTTAGTATCCACTCAAACCAGAATTGGGGTCGGGCCCGAGCCAGGAGACCCCAGCCCCATAATTCGGGTCGAGGCACATAACTCTTGCGCCCAGGAATGTCGTTGATATGTCAAGTGAGAAAGGAGTGTTCAGCCAGACTGAAATATACTCGGCAAATCTGAGCCCACCCTTACTAAAGCGGCGGCCTACTACAACCGACCTAAATTTGCCTTAACTTTAAATCATCAACGTTGTTCCGCCGGAATAAAGTTAATCTACATTTTTTATATCAAGCATTAACTAAACGTTTACTATCACGTCTGCATCGGCTAAGAGTGAAGCCGCAAAATGTTGACGCGATGGATTTCGGGATTGGGAGATGGTTCCGATTCCCGATCACCATAGATTGAGAAACTTGAAGTCTTCTGTTATTAAGGATCGATTTCCTACGTTGTATCGACGTCTACGTCAAGGCCCTCTTTGGATCGACATAGCCTCCTCGACAGCACAACATTGTCTCCAGCATTCAAATAGTGAAACTTGTTTATTAGCTTCGTTGCATCTTTTTGATATACAATCACCCGTCGACGCCAGTGACCGAAGCTATAATGGGCATCCTAGCACGAGCAAACGATGCTCTAAGCGTCAACCCTCCAACGGGAGTAGCTGAAGCGCTATCCGAAAATGGGTCCGACTGGTTATGGGCAGTAACAGCCATTTACGCTATTGCCTTCGTACGACCTCACTTCCACATTCAAATGAACACAAACTAAACTTATCTTCCAAAGTTCGCTGCTCTAGTCCCTTGCTTCACCACACCCCCAAACAAAAGAGTCTTCCACTATATCTTCGCCTTTGCCCTCCTAGCTGGAACGACTACTTACTTTGCCCAAGCTTCTGACCTGGGCTGGAGCGCCATTTCCCAAGCCGAGAACCTCGACAATGGCATCACCCGCCAAATTTTCTACGCGCGCTACATAAACTGGGTGATCGGGTTCCCGGCCCTGGTGTTATCCCTCGGTCTTCTAGCAGGTGTGTCTTGGACGACGATCTGCAGCAATATCTTCTGTGCGTGGTTTTGGGTTCTGGCATACCTTGCTGCTGCGTATACAACTACGGTGTATAAATGGGGATTCTTTGCTTTTGGGACGTTTGCTTGGATTATTTTGGCTATGAGTACGCTGAATGAGAGTCATGAGTCTGCGGTTAGGGTTGGAGTTGGAAAGGATTATCTTATTTTGTCTGGTATTGTGAATGCGGTTTGGTTTTTGTATCCGATTGCGTTTGGGCTAAGTGATGGAGGGAATGTCATTGGGGTTACGGGTGGGTTTGTTTTTTTGGGGATTTTGGATGTATTTATTTTGCCGGTTGTTAGCGTGGTCTTCTTATTGTTTACTGGGAAGTGGGACTACGAGAAGTTGAATCTGGCTTTTAGTGAGGTTCGAGGAGTGTGAACAATTTCGTGACTTTCTGGTATTGGGGTGGGAATGGTGATGGTAGGGGGATATAATCGTGAACAGAGGCAGAGAGGCATGGAGTCATCGATAGATAGTATCATTTAATGTCTCACATAGGTGAGCAAGTATAATGCAGTGTCTATTTATCCTGAATCCAAACCACAACCGAACGCCAAAGCTACATGCAACGAACACAAATTACCAATAACAAATCTCATTCCTCATTTTTCGTTCTTCGTCCCTCTCTCAGAAAGAAAAGAACCCATAATGCTCGACCAAAGCTGAAAACTCGGCGCTTGCATCTTCTAATGCCTTCTTCGCTGCAGCCTCGTTTTGAATGACCGCAACTACCCCAGGATCCAGAGACACCTCCTTAGCGTCATGGCCCTGACGAGTGTAATAGTATTTGTCATTATGGAGTGTCCAGATTTTGAGATAAGATTTATGGTCTTCGAAAGCGAGGCGTCGGCCCGTCACAAGATGTTGCGGGACCGCAGCCGCAGATTTGTCCGAGGCTTGTTCTGGCGCTGGGATGGCAGCAATACTTGCGTCAGACGCTGTCCCTGGTTCCGAATTGTCTAATTCGGATGATACAGCGGTGGAGAGATCGCTAAACCATCGGATGTAAGAAATGACATCCCCTGCGTTATCGGTGACGCGGTCGATATAGTCAACAACAACAAGTGAAGAAGCAATCATCTCAAGAAATTCGGCAAACATTGACAAGACAGCAGGATCCTTGAACCGTCGCGGGCATGTAGACAAGGGCCGAAGTGCACGATATGATGCCTGGAAGACCGCATCGAATATTCTCAACATAGACAATACGCAAGCTGAGTCATTGATGTCAAGGCTGAATAACAGATCCCTGAACACGAGCGAGATGCTCAAGATGATCGGGCGGCTCAAAATCCAAGCGGCGGGGGCACTGAAAGCCAATTCAACATATGCTGGGAACACACATTGCAAGAGGACAGCACGAAGAGTAGGCTTGTCAGGTCGCCCGGCTTCATAAGTATTTTTCATAGCAGTGTGCAGTTGATCGACCAGGTTACTTTGCTGACACTCCACAGTCGCTCTTTCGACGATACTTTGGATGAACATCGTCAAGGTCTGAACCTCCTTGTTGGATCCGAGCTTAGGCTCGTAGCGTTTCAACTTTGCAACAATGTATCGCGGGTCTGTGGGTGGCAGAGGGAACATGGTAGGGTCTGTAAAGAATGGGTCGACGGGTTTGATGTCGCTGGTGAGTTCCTGCAGGAATCGAATGATACGGTGCACGAATTCGACATAGGCACCCTGCGCAGACTCCGCTGTTCCATTGCCAAGTTCACAGTAATTGTCTTTCATGGCTGTCATTAAGCGTTGAAGCAGTTCTGAGTAATCCTGCTTGGTGACGGACAAGTTTCGACTCCCCGAAGCTTCTAATTGCAGGACATGCTCGCGCATGTTGGACAAAAGACTCGAGAGAAGCGATACTCGACGTTGACCGAGTTCTTCCAGAGGTATGTGGTACTTGTCGTCTTTCTTATCCGTCGTGAATGGGAGATTCTGCAGCAACGGGTCCTGAGGTCTTCCATTGAGTACTGCTGTTGTGAGACGATGCTGGAACTTGAGCATTGATGACCGCTCAACCAAAGATGATATCCATGTGCCCATCACAAGGTTTCTGCTTTCGACGAGGATCTGCGGGTCTTTCTCGATGCAGGCAGCCAGAAAATGACCTGTATACTTTCGGGTCTGCATTGTCTGTCGAAGCTGCGACCATGATTGATTCCCGTACGGACTCAAGTAATCGTCCCAACGTTGCAGCCCATGGCGAACAAGGACATAAGCAACTGAGGCCCAGCAATCAACAACGTCCATGAGAATCGGATCCTCGGGACAATTTTCTTGGCCAAAGCAGTTGGAAACTAGACGAAAAACGGTGGCGCGAAGATTAGTCTGCACGTACTCTATTTCTTTCGGTGCTGTGTCTTGTTGGACCAGAGCGGCATCAATATCAGTCCAGTCATCGAATCCCTCGAATTCCTGACTGTCTTCGTCAAACGAGGTCGTGGCCACAGGAGCAGGAGCAACGGCAGTTGTAGCAGGTGAGACAGGATCCTTCTGGACATAAGCTACTATCACATGTAGAGCCTCGGAAATAACGTTGTTCACTCGTGCACGCTTTGCATCGAACAGGCTAATGATGGCATCAAATGGGGTTTTTGAGATCAACCTGTGGGCATGTTCCAAGGACGGAGCAAGCGCCACGGCAGTACATAGTCCCGAAAGAGCCACATCCAACGAGGTTTCGATCTGTCGCTGATTCTGAGAGATGGTGCTCTCAACGAGCTCCTTGGAGGCGAATTTGTCATTTTTACTCTGCGCCTCGATTTCGTTCCGAGTATTTGTATGCTGCTGCGCAAGCTCTGTCAAGAAATGGCTGTGCCAATCGGCGAATGGTTCCAGACCTGACACATCCTCATCTGTAGACAGCTTAAATCGAATAAGTCTTGTCCACGACTTCAAATTGATATTGCATGTTTCTCGGTGAGAACTTGCAGGGTGCACAAGGTTTCGAATTGCCTCTAATCGAGGTCGACAGCCATCTGGAACAGCCCAGTACAATGTACATAGCAGATCATGGTGGTTCCTTAGCGCATCCAGGTCCTCATGGCGCAATGGCATTTCCTTGGGGTAAACGCGACCGTGGTTCGGAAGAAGGCGCCAAGCAAAGTTCCGAATTTTCTTCTTCTCATACCTCGAGGACAGGAAGCGCAGGCCACTTGCAATGATCTTGAGCAGTGTGTGAAAGCATGGCTCCCCAGTTAGAATGTCCAACGACGGCGTTCTGTCGAGTTCGTCAAGGAAAGTAGGGGATCCACGACTTTGCTCGAGCTTCAAGTTATGAAAAAGTTTGCGAGCAAAAAAATCATAGAGAGTGTCGAGAATTGGCTTGCAGTCCCTCCAACCCCACGCGTTGATAAGCAGATAGCATCTCTGAAATAGCGTACGACAATATGAATTGTACGATATGGGCTGGATAGCAGAGTTGGTGTCGCAACTATCCAACGCAGGGGAGAGAAATTGTTTGACCAGGTTCCAGTCGTCATTCTTCGTCTTGTACCGGAACTCACGTCGTGAGATACCTCTATCATCGATCTCATTTAGTGGTAAGGTTGTGAACAAGCCACGCCATGCAAATTCCAAGATGGTGATATCTTTTTGGTTCCGAAGAAGACATTTTGTGTACACCTCACTGTGCAGATCGGCAAGCAGTCCATTAAATGATTCAGAGCTGCGCAAGAGTTGCACAGTGATGACCAAAGCAGTTGCCGATGGGAAGTCTTCACGAATGCCTATGTCTTGCAGCGTCGAGTTCTTGGACTCTTCTAACAGATGATGAAGCTCTGCAATTCCGGCTTCGCTTAAGACCAGTGCAGTAGCATCTTTAGCACAAGCTTTGACGAGATCTAAGACATCACTGGCAAGATCGTTGCTGACAAGCGGGTGAGAGGAAATCTGGTGTATTTGGTTTGCAAAAACCAGGTTATAGTACGCTAGTCTTACTAAACCACTTTTATTGAATTCCCCGTTGGTTATGAACGCAGTCACTGATTCTCGGAGCCGAGACACCAGTCCCATTGTTCGCATAGCAAAGCTGTTCCGGTCAACTGGGTCAATAAAAGATAAGCCATCAGTCACATAGGCAATTAATGAACGATATGCGAGAGATGTCGAGGATAACGAAGGGTCTGTCGTCATTTCTGGAGAGGGAGAAATGCATTGCTCGGATTCAATGGTGATCATGTCAAAGACAGATCCCATCTGCGAGGATACTGTGTCATCCCAAGCGCCCCAACGGTATGTCTTGTCCTTGAAATTGATTGAAGATGACTTTGTTTCGTGATCTAGGTCTCGTTTTTTAAGTTGTAGCGACTTGGAGAAATCTCCGCTTCCTATAAACGTAGATTCATGGAAGAAAGTTCCATCCGGCAAGGGCATTATACCAAAGTCGAGCGAGTACGAGGGTTGCCAGTTGAATAACCCTCCTACGCTGAAGTTCGAATGGCGCATCGGCGCGGCAGGGCCAATGGGAAGAGAATCCAGCTCATCAACTGGCTCTTGAATTTGACGGAACTCGTCTGCGTCGACATTGATTCGATGAGGCATGGACTTTTTCAACCGACGCCGCTGGATTTGATGTTGGGAGATTGGTGGCTGGTGGCTGGGGTTGGCTTGTGTTTCTGCTGTTGGGAACGAGTTCGGTAGCGCCGAAGATGATATGCCCACTGGTCCAGTGCTGGAAAGGTATCGGTTCAGTGTAAGACTGTGGTTGAGCTTGTTTTTTTGCCGATAATCCCTGTTGAGTAAAGTCAAGGATCGGCTGAAGTTATCTTTAGATGCCGCTTGGCTCCCATCAGGCTGTACCAAGCTTGTTGCAGCAGGGCGATGGGCGCTTCGTCTGAGAGATGAAATCGCGACGTTTCTGCGAACAATCCACTGATGTCCCTGCCTTTCTGGCTGCTTCGGTTGCACGGCCGCTGTGTTGTGATGTGCCGATAATGTATTCGGCAATGCAGCTGTCCCTGTTGATGCATTTTCTTCGCCATTTGATGCTTCATCATCCAACATAATGACATCAGGCCGTGTAGCAGCAGCGTGTTTTGAATATTGAGTCCTTGGGACAGATGGTGCCGCTCGATGTCCGTTTGGAAGGGTCGCAAGTGGTTGTCGCTTGCGAGACTTGGATTGACGTCCAACCACCCTGGACTGCTGAATCTTTCCTTTTTTCCATTCTCGCAATGACTGGTTGGCATCTGCCGTGTCAAGCTTTGAGCTCAACTGGACAAACTTGCGAGTTGGGCTTCGTCTTCCCGCATCTCGACGCGAGCGAGTAACCCTTGCAGCAACTCTGAGAAACTGCGGTTGTTCCTGACGGGGCCGAGAAGCGACATCAGGTGCATCGAGAATGCCCAATCTGGGTGCTGGTGTTGGTGCTGGTCTCGATGCTGATCTCGATTTTTGTCTTGGCGCTATCCTATTTGATGCCTGTTTTGTTCGTCGGCCTCCATATGATGCATCTGTGAGTCTGGTTTGCCTTTTCAAGCGAGCTCTTTTTGCTTCTCTTTCGCTCCGGCTTATACTTTGTCCCGACTTTGGCCGTTTCAGACCCGTTTGGCCATGTGAGCTTGAAGTTTTGCGTGGGACAGTTGGGAGCATATAGTCGATGCGATTATCCTCCATGATATCTTGGTCGTCGTTAAACAAATTATCGGGCGCACGAACAGTTTCCTTGTCGGTTGCATCTTGCTCGGCACTTTCATGATTTTCATTCTTGTTCCCGTCATCACTATCGTCAGAGTCTCCAAAATCCATCCAAGAGGTTGTTCTCCCAAGCTGTCCGCGTTTTCGAACAATCTTCTGCGCGATACCTTTACCATCTATCCGCTGGGAGCCATGGCTGTGATTGCCTTGGATTCCTTTTTGTTTTTCTAACCGATTCTGGGTAAGCCGAATATAAGAAGCAGGAAGGACTCCACGGGTTTGTCGTTGTATTCTTCGTATCTCACGGTCTTCGGCGGTTTCCTCCGGTTCTCCGGATGACGCTTGAGACGTGTCCGAGTCTTCTTCATCATCAGAACTGGTATCAGAATCTGGTCCTTCAACATTAGGTTCATCTACTCGCAGAATGGCTGGTTTTGATTGGACAACTGTGGTCGTAGTTGAAGGTGGTGTGAACCCTGGAGGAAATCGGAACCCATCTGAGGCGCGCGGTGTTTGCATAGCTGATGAAGCACCTCCTGGATCTGGTGGACTGGATGGGAGATCGAAAATTGAATTGGCTGGCCATGTGTCGGGACGTGGAGTGGGAGGGGTCCTTTGGATCACTACTTGAGGCCTTTGGTGCTCATTCGGACCAGCACCGTGCCAAACACCAGATGTCGACTTTTTTCTTCGTTTGGTTGAATGAGTTCTTTGGATTGGAGAGCGGTTCTTCTTATGGTTCGGATGTCTATCTCCATTTGTATCTTCGTCTTGGCGACGTTCAGGTCTCGCGGGAGGAAGAAACTCTTCTGGGGGAGGGCTTGAGCGAAATGAATCGGGATTGAAATCATCCTGCTCCTGGCTGTCATCTGTTGTTGGCGGAGCTCGTTTCCTCTGTTCTTCAACGGGCATTCGCACTGGTCTAATGCCTCCTTGCTTCATTAAATTTTGATACTTGGCCATTTCAAGAGCATAAGGATGGAGCTGGATGGCGTTGCGCTCGCGGAAACTTCTTTGCATAGGTCGGGCCTCTACTTGGTCCAAAACTTCCGGGGGTATCTCAATTTCAGAAGGGATTTGCAGGACGACTGGTTGGGGTTCCATGACGGCCATACCAAGCCCTTGTTCCGCCTCAATGGCAGGAGAATGAATGGACGACGGCGGCGATGATAACGGTGAATCATTTTCGGAGCTGTCCGGCTGCGGTATATCTTCATTTCGAGGTTGATTGACACTGGTAGTTTTCACGCCAGGCAGTTCGACCAGATTTAACTCGTCGGGTGAAGTACTCCGAGATCTGGTAATACCGCCCAGTTGCTGCAATTCTTTCACTTTGGGCCTTCGCGCAACAGAAGATTGAGAAAGCTCTGTGGGAGTTGAAGCTTTGGGTGTCGACTCGCGATCCTGGCGTCGTGATTTGCGTGCAGACCAATCGTGTGTAGCTGGCGAACTAGGGATATCCCATATCCCATCATCTTGCTTCTGGGAGATATAATTAAGATTTTTCTCATAGTTCTGGTGTGACTTCGTTGATTTCGTAGCTGAGGATCGTTTCCCATATGTTTTGAGTCCTCCCCGGCGTGGCTTGGGTGTTTGTTCGTCGATAGAAGAGCTGCTTGGATGATCCTTTGGACTTTCCACTGACCCTCTGGTTTGCGAACCCGATTTTCTCATATACCGTTGTCTAAGCTTAGGATTCGTCACAAGTTCCACTGAGCCTGCTCGTGACTTCTCGCTATCAGAAAGGGCTACCGAACCGACCTCCGGGTCTGCATCGTGGTTCGCTGGGGCTGGTGACGTGACAACTGCTGTTGATGTCGGAACGGGTAGGTATTCGAGGTCGACATCCTTATCGCTGGTACCAACGTCAATGCCCTCTTTTGATTCGAGGCTATCGAGTTCGTCCTCTTCGTCCGAGTCTGGGACAAACCCTCGTTTCCGCCATGGTTCCATTTGCATTCTCGGCGGTGCTCGCCCATATCTTCAGCGAGTCATCGAAATAGGATAATTTTGCGTATCGCGAGAGACACGTCGTCCAGAGTCGTGTTCCACAAGAATTAAAGGTCGTGACCGGCAGAGTGGTTTTCCTGCAGGGACGCGTCGATAAGCAGAATCAATTTGGCGACGCGCCGTAATCAGCTCGATAACGGATAGACCCGCATTCTCCGACCTCCAACTCCGATCATTCTCAATTGCCTTACTTTCACTCAATTGTTGCTATAACTTATTCTCTCCGCCAATATGAGTCGTAACTTCATTACTGCTGCTCTCACAATCGGCGTTGGTGTCTTTACAGGTACCTAGGCTCTTAAGCGCAGCTCAAATTCAACCCCCGGGCTACAGTGCTAACACCAAATTTCTCCAAGGCTACTACACCTTCCAACCGGCTTTACAAGAGCTTGCAGTCCAGAAAGCTCATGGTCAAGTGCCTGGTTCCTCCCCCGATGAGTCTGATACCAAGAAGGATACCAGCATTCCCGTCAACCCTCCGGCCGCCATTTCCAACCCTGCCGCCCCAGGGTCCGAGTCAAGCAAGTAGAATGCACCTACAACATCATGATGGAGACAACGACTACTCGAATGTGCAAGGCGTACTTTCGGAGGATAATTATCTCTGATCGGAATTGGCGCAGGGTGCGCATTCAGCATCGGCGGTACTTTTCAGACGCCTGACGCCGGCTCCACAGCAGCGGAGCATCCCAAGAATCTCATATATCTTTATGTGGCTCACAACCAACCTGCCAGGTGGGCCACATATAGTGAATATATCATTTCGAACAGTCTGTGATGAGGTGTGGCTCAGTACCTGCTCATGAGTGATAGCCATCATGGCACAGTCATCGGGGATCAAACAGTCAACTGGATGGTATACAATGCCTGTCATGTGACCAAGTGCGTGTATATAAGTCTCATGCAGCGTGTATTCACTAGATAACCAGGCAGTTTTTCCAAGCCTCCTTACATCCCTGTAGCCCCACTACCCCACGATCTCATTCCCGTCTTCAATCTGTAGCTTTCTTACTAGACTTTCTTTTGGCTGGCATGTCATTCACATTCAAGATGCTGGTTTTCGGAGGATGCTTATAAGCTTGGGAGTATTTCTAAAAGGCAAATTATCCTCTACTCTCGCCCTAATGGCAAATAGAAGATCTGCGCCTTGGGGCTGCATTCCAGGTACATGTCTCGTGCATACCTACTCCATCTTCGTGCATATTCTTCACCGACCTGGGTCACATCCCTGGTCTCAGCTCCTACACATTGACACATATGTACACGTACACGCCATGATCCTCCCTCACCTCAGTAGCTTTCCTACTTCGGGTGTATTTCTTTTCTGTGTGCTGAATATTCATATAATATATTTTTTCCATCGGGTGCAGCCATTATCATACAGACCAGCGTTTCTTCCGCTTGATCTAATCAAAGCTCGCCCAGCAGCAGTCTCGACTCCATTAGAGAACACGTCGACAAATACCCCTGCTGAAGAAACTATAATCACAAGATTTGTGAAGCAATATGATGCGGATTTTTATACCAAACTTGCAGCAACAGTTGCAGACCTATGCCAGCAAGCCCTTTTGCAAGAAGGCGTAGTGCACTCCGTTGCCAGTCGAGGCAAAGAGCCCGAAAGCCTACGAAAGAAGCTTGAGGAGCGCGAGCCAAAAAGAGCCCATCCATACAGGACTAGCCAAGAGATAAAAGACGACATAATCGATTTTGCTGGTGTTCGAATTATCATTGATCACTGGGCAGACCGAGGGACGGTCAAGAATGCCATACATAAGATTTTCGACGGCAAAACGGACTCCGGTAACCATATAAAGGAGAGGTGTCATGACCATACACTAGGCTATCGAGCTGATCATTACCTTGTCTACTTAGAAAGTAGCGAACTCCCCGGTCACGAGGATGATTTACCTGGGAGAGAGATGGTTGAGATACAAGTTCAATCTACTCTGCTCGCTCGATGGGCGGAAAGTGATCATGACTCACAGTACAAGCCAAGTCGGAAACCGAGTGACGTCCAGATCATCGGTCTCAAGGCAGCTCGTCGGCTGGTGGACGTCTTAGAAGACAACTACCCGTGTTTGGAAGACGATATGGTTCTTGAATCAGGGCAGGCCAAATCACTAATCAGTATTCCCGAAGTTGGGCGTGGAGAACTACTGTCATGGATCGAATATGATATTGAGGCTTGGGCCGGCAGCGAGAATCGAAGGTCCTCTTGTGTCTTAACGGAATATATGAACTCCCAATATTCGAGAAGTGACGAAAGTCTTCATAAGTTCCTGCAAGATATGATTGGAAATACATCAGAAGTTGAATACTCGGCAATCGCAAATGAATACAGCGCGATCCGGCTGGACCTAGTCATTTACATCATGGATTGCGAGCTCGTGAAGAAAATGGATTATAATATGCCAGATCTCCTATCTCGTACTTGTCAACGGGAACATCTAGACAAGATCCATGTGATTATGAGCACTAATATCTGGATGAATGGGCTGTTTTTCCCAACAAGGGGCTGGTATCGGCTGTTCGTGAGTCATGAAGACCGGACAATTCTCCAGAAAGACTTTTCTTCGCTTGCAAGAAACACTCGGCAGAAGTACATGGAAGATTTCAAAGACGGATATCTACTGAGTGGAGATAAAGTTGGGGATCTGAATGCGCTTTCGGGTTGGTTCGAGAGGCGTTGTGAGCGACCGATCAGATTAGTCTTCACAATATCCAGGCAAGGGGTGATTAAATACATGTCATTGGGAAGTAAAGAGCTTTTTAGTGCCCTGGAGCTACTCATCGTTGCACTGACTGCGCCTGTATGACAATGAATTCGGAGTTCAGTTGCTTCAAAATATAAATTTTATGCCATAGTTAAACTGCCTACTTCAGGTTATTTTACCAAAGACTTGTAGGTCTGGTCTTGGAAAAGCGACAATTCAAAATCATAGTGACACCTGAACAATATAAAGCACATCGCTGTCTAAATTATCAGAATGTATTCTTTGGCCTCGATAACAAAGATGCAACGCCATGCCTTAAGACTGATGAAACAAACGTAGGCTTCATTAAATTACCCTGGTCAAGCCCAATTGCTCGGTCCCAAATAAATACCCCATACGCCCCGTTTCATAAAAAGCTCATAATACACAGCTATAGTTCTTCCACAAGCTTCCCGCTTCCGTTGGCGGGCGTTCCGAACAGCCGACCTGCTTGTGTACCAAGCCATTCCTCTGGTACGCCAACTTTGCAGCCATTGGCATTGCTGACCCATCGAACCATGAGAGGGTCTGCTTTTTCGGCTTCCGGGGCCTCTCCATCGGCTGGTGTGGATTCGGCACCCTCGGCAGCCGCTCGGCCACGGCGCTTTGGGGGTTGCTTGCGCAACAGACGATTGATGGTATCCATCTAGAAAACGTCAAGGTTCCATTTCGTTTCTTTCATCGGTCTTTCAGATCTAGTGTTTCTTGCTTACTTTTTCTTCCTCGTTGCGCTTCTCGCTCAGATTCTTCCTGCGTCGAGCCATTTCAGCTCTTCGCATGGCACGCTCCTCGGCCGTTAGATGCTTCTTGACTTGGGGTTCTGCTCATGCGTAAGTTCGAGCCATTTTAAATCGAACAAGAGAGAACCAGTATCATCGACTTACCCATTGGGAGTTGAAGAAAATCATTGCCCAGATTCCCACGCTGCCGTTTGGTCTGTTTGCCCTCCATGGCAAGCGCATCGCTGTCCATGTCGTCATCCAGTTCGTCCTCCTCGTCTTCCTCGTCTAGATCATCGACATTGACGTCGGGAACGGCACTCTCATCCTGATCATCGGGCTCGCCTTCGGCATCCGAATCGGTGTCCGAGACGTTTTCGTCATCTTCCTCTTCCTCCTCCTCTTCATCCTCTTCCATTTCCATTTCCTTTTCTTCCACGCTCTTAGCAGCCTTGCCCCGTGTAGATGTGGCCTGCTTAGCGTTCCGCCTTACCGGCGGTTGCGGGGGTGCGTCGTCCATATCGAGATCGCCGTCAGCATCGGCATCTTCATCATCCTCGCCGGGAGCGTCTTCATCGTCGACCTCGTCTTCTTCTTGGTCTTCGATTTCCTCGTCTGATGTAGCAATTTCCACGAGTTTCTTTCTATTGCGGCTAGTCCGTGGCCCAGAAACAATGGGGTTGTTTTGGAAGACATTGACGGAGCGCCGGCCGGAGCGGCCTCCAGTAGCCTCTCGCAATTTCCCAGCAGGCATTTTTAATGTGAGACGGAGAGATCTACGTCGATCTCCGGATGAACTAGATGGGGATGGAGATGCTGATACTGATTCAGGAGCAGCAGTGGCGCGAGTTTGTCTCGTGGACCTGGTGCTGATGTTAGCATCGGGATCTGAAAGGTCATCCTGAGCTCGTCGCGATCGACCGGAGCGCCGAAGAGGCGCCATGTTGGCGGTGATGTAGAGATGGTAGCAGTTCACAGTGGGATTGAGAAGCGTGTTAAGACGATTGAAATGGGGAAAGCAAATTAAAGACCCGAGGAGAAAGCGGGGTGGTAATAGATTCACGGGGACACGGTGTGTGGCAGTACAAGGTAATCAATCCACTGGGGAGGAGAAGGAAGATATTGAAGCCAGTGGCAGACGCCAATCGTCTCCGGGTAGGATTCAGAAAGGTGAATCAAGCCGGGAAGGCACAGATCGAGCTTGTCTTTGACGCCACGTAGGGCCATTCACAACCAGTGCGAACAAAGCGCAAGTGCAGGGGATCTGGAGTGCCAGCCGTGTTCCCCGGGGTTCGGCCATTGGGAAGGGAAATAAAGGGGGTCCGAACTGCATGGCAAAGGAGGACAAGAGACTGGGACTAGGGGAGTCACTTACAGGTACCTTTACTCCCAAAATTTTTCCAAATTTCCTCTTGTCGCTAACTTCGGATGAACGAATGAAGTCACTCTCATAGCGATTCTCCCGTTTTGTGGGCGGTGAGGCTCATTCTCCAGAGTGGGTCCTTATATACTCTGTTTCTAGATACCATTTTACCACTTACTGTACGTTTCATAGAATTATGTACAATAGCATCTACCCTTACTGCAGCTATATCTACTGATCATAGACTATCCAGAGTATGCTTGGCCTGAAATGTACGCTTCAAACAGTCCCAGGCCAATGGGGCGAGGGCATCAGGTTGTCCGCTTTCGTTTGCTCTATTTTTCGAGATAAATTTGGGGCTGGCTGAACATAAAAAGTAAGACGGCTAGCACGATAATGTGAAAGACCAAACACCGGTCACATCGGTACTGAAAGTGCTTCGAAATCCCTGGAAAGTTGGCCGATAATACTATTACACGGAGTTAAATTGCCCGATGTAAGCGTGGGGGGCCTCAATGCTTTAGCTAGTCGGAGTATGTAGAAATTGTATTTAAAGACAGCTTGCATTGGTAACAAACATGGAGGGGATATTGGACTGGTGCAACGACTAGTTTAAAGGAAGTTAAGGCGAAGTACATACGGAGAGCGTAATCAAGTCTGAAGTTCACTAGTTGATAGATCGGCCGCAACCGAGCGAAACAGCCGAGGTCGGGCTCACATGGCGAGTCCGGGGAAGTTCTGCTCCAACCTTCTCCCTCCACCTAACTGATAACCACATTGTCAAACCTACCTTAGACACAATGTCGGACTCAAAGAAGCCACCATCCATTCCAGCTTGGCAGCGACAGGCTGCCTCGCCACCAGATCAATCTCCACCCCAGTCATCCCCATCGCCGAGCTCCGACGATGCGCCCGCACCCACCTCACGCGAGGACCTCATCAATCAAGCATCTCGATTTCTAGAAGATGAGTCGATCCGCGATTCCTCTACAGATCGCAAAGTAGCCTTTCTGGAATCTAAAGGGCTCAACTCCGACGAAATCCAACAACTCCTCGGCGTTTCCCGAAACCTAGAGGCGACCAGCAACGCGAGCACCGATGACAACGCACAGGACACGCCCCAGACCTCCCCTGCTTCTAGTGAAATTGAAGTCGCACCTTCGCCTGACACAGCACAATCTTCATCCCCATCCCCATCGCCATCTACCACCATGTCTCAACAGCGCACACCCACCGCCACCACCCCCTCGCCAACGAAGCGCGATGAACCCCCAATAATCACCTACCCTGAATTCCTCTTCGAGCCTACCAAGCCCCCTCCTCTGGTAACAATGCAAAGCGTTTTGTATACTTTATACGGCGCCGCCGGTCTCGGCGCCAGCATCTACGGTGCAAGCGAGTACATCGTGAAACCAATGCTAGCAACTCTTACCAGCGCACGTCAAGAACTAGCAGAAACTGCCCAAGAGAACCTACAAAAGCTAAACGAGAAACTTGAAAAAACTGTCTCTGTTATCCCACCTCATCTTAAAGCCCGCAAGGACAACGACGACGAGGAAGACGAGGAATCTGACAGTGTCACCTCCGACCCGACGGAGCTATTTCACCGAGACATGGGGACGCAGACTACGCCCGACGTCTCGTCATCTCATTCGCTCGCGTCTACGAAAGAAGGCGAAGAGAAGCTTGCCGATGCGCCCTCTATCGCGGTCTCGAATCATATGAGCCGATTGGAATCTATTCAGTCGCAGCTGAAGGAGGTTGATGGTCTTGAGAAGGAATCCAGTACGTTGGATGATAATTTGCGTTCGAAGATGAGTGATTTGCATCATTATCTCGATGGGTTGATCTATGCGGCTCCCGCCTATACTGCTGCTGGGGGCTCGTATGGTTTGTATGGGAATACTAGCTCTGGGACGGACGGAAGCTCGTCTGGTGTGCGTAAGGCGGAGGATGAGGCGATTGCGAGCTTCAAGGCTGATATACGCGGTGTTAAAGGTGCATTGTTGAGTGCAAGGAACTTCCCTGCTAGTCGGAGTGGTAGACTTGGAGGGTACGCTGCTGGTGCGCGATGATGCTTTTTCTCTTATACTTTTATTCCTTAGAACAGCAAACTGTTTGTATCTTATGGTGTTAGTGTAAATATGTATATAGTGGAATGAATATGAAACTTTCCGATACATCCTATACAAACATAGGTCCTTGCCTAGGTACACCTGCGTCGCAAGTTCCCCTAGCCAATAATCTATTCTAGGCATGAAACCTATCTATCCTAACCTAATCGCCAACACATAGCCTAGAAACCTTAAAAAATTTCATCTCACAACACGGGTGATTTATCAAACTAGACCCGCAAGGAGCAGAGGAAGCAAAAAATACGCATCAATAATAAGAACAAAGAAAAATTCACATGAGTCCAAACGCTCTATATCAAGGATCCTAACCAGCCAATATCCGGCCAGGAGTACATATTACCATGCCTTAAATAATCTGCGACTGGGAGGGAGCCTCAGGTCGCCAAGTAGCCGAGCACATCTGGATCAGGTACTTCACACCAATCTGTATGGCAAATTGTTAGCTTGAGGAAGGCGCACTAGATTCATCAATGAATGCCTACCTGCAAGGAGCTGAACTCATCGCTATTGTTGACCAGGAGATCTTGGTGGAACTTGAGAGCAACGTCGTATGTGCGCGCCTCGACCGCTTGCGCCAGACCAACGAGCTTCTGCACAGTTTCAGGCTTGAAGGTCTCGTTGTTCAGGCGATCGAAGATCTCATTCAAAGAGGTTGCGGATCTTTGGGTTTGCTTCTTGAACTTCTCGGGGGCGCGAGGCTCAAGGAACTGAATCTTAGGGTTGAGGATCTCGTAGATGGGCAAGGCGTGGGCAGGAATGTGAGAACGATCTCCCGCAGCTTCAATATGTTAATGAAAATCCATAATACGAAGGGAGTTTTACGTACGGTATTTGAGTGCCGCAGGCGCGGGAGGGGGAGTGGCTGCCTGAGACTGAGCGGTACCCGGACGAGAACCTTGGGGCGGGGGAGGAACCGCAGCGCGAGGTGGAGGAGGAACAGCAGCAGCTGGCGGCGGAGGGGCAGATGCATATTGGTTTGGCGGCGGGACGGATGCATATGGGTTAGGCGGCGGGGCCTGAGCTGCCGCGGGGGCATATGGCGAAGCGCCAGACTGGGGAGGAGGCATCGGGCCACGGTTCTGCATTTGAGGGCTTGCAGCCTGAGCAGCTGGGCTGGGGGCGTACCGGTTCGTCGGTGGTGGCATGCTTGGCGGAGCATTGTAAGGCGAAGGTCCTCGGGGAATTGACCCAGGCGGAGGAGCCATATGACCTACAGGCGGAGAGGTGGGAAGAGCGGCGTAGGGATTGACTGGCGGTGGAGGAGAGGGGCCAGGAGCCACGTTCGAGGTCAAAGGCGACGACACGCGCGGCGGAAGAGTACCGGCCTTAGGTGGAGGAGGAACAGATGGCGCACGCTGGCCAGCCACCGGTGGAGGGCCCTGAGCGAGAGGAGGTGACTGGTTGGGGAATGGGGAGCTGATAGCAGCAGGGGCAGCAGCGGGAGTACCACGACGCGACACCGAAGGCTTAGAAAAGCCCTCTGGAAGATCATTCCATGCAGGGAGTCCGGTGGCAGTTGTGTAGGTGGTGATGGTGTTGGCGGGTGATTGGTTATTCGCGCGAGGTGGAGGAGGCACGCCGGTGACCGCAGGCTGTGCGCCAAACTGGGATGGCGGAGCGTACGATGTAGGCTTTACACTTTGAGCTGGCTGGTATCCAGCAGGGGTGTATCCACTGCTGCCGGAGAGCGAAGCGTATGGGTTGGCGGGTGCAGCAGCTGGGGGAGCATAGGGGTTCACTGGTGGCTGCTGCGGCGGCGGCGGCTGCTGCTGCTGCGCTCCGAATGCTGCCGTTGATGTTGGAGGAGCATAGGGATTGCTGACAGGCGATTGAGTGGGAGCGTAAGGGTTCTGCGGCACAGCAACTGCAGGGGCTGCAGGGGTGAAAGTTTGCTGTGGCGAGTAGACGTTCGGCTGCTGGGGCAGAGGCTTGAAGCCGCCGCGTGCTGTGGTGGCAGCAGCCTGTGCCTTTTGCGGAACCTGTCTCGTGGCGAGTCTGATGCGGTTGCGAGCCACCTCAGCTTCGGGGTGCTTCTCTGGTACAAGGTCAAGGTACTTTTGAGCAATTTGGAGACGACCATGGGTAGCGACAACGTCCGCATACTCAATATACTTCTCGTACAAGTTGCCAAGACGCCAATCCGAGTCCTTGGTTCGCTCCGTATCTTGGAAGTTGGTGACCTGTCGGAAAATGGTAACCTTTTCGATCAGACCCTGCAAAGCGCGGACGTGGATAGAGAAAGTGGAATTTTCCGCATCATTCTCAATGCCCTTCTGCTCGTTCTCCCGCAACTCCTCGACCCAGATAGCGACAACCTTCTCGAGCTTGGAACCAGCAAGGTAGCAGAATGAGGCATCCTTACGGGCACTCTTGTCGTCGCTGCTCTTGACCAACTCCTCAAGACGGTCTCCGAGGGCATCACAGAGGTCAGGGAATTCCTTCTGGTCAGCGAAAGTGCACAATGCAGCCATAACCTCTTTCCAGTTAGAAAGGTCGGCATTGTACACAACATCCCAGAGGTTCTTGCCTACGATGGAAGCAAGGAGACGCATGTAGTTGGGTCCACCGGTCTGCTTGCTGAAGTAGTACTCCTGGGCCTTTGCGATGCATTTTTGACCACCACAGATAGCAATCATGAAGGCATCCGACATGCGGTCCTCTTGAAGAGCAATATCAAGGGCCTTCTCGAACTCTCCGAGGAGCAAAGATCGAGTGATCTTCTGCTCTGCCTCACTTTCAGAGCCACTGAAGATTTGGAATGGATTGTTGGTCTGGGCACCCTTTGATGCAGCAAGCTCCGACAGGAAGTTATCAGTATCGGGGGTACCTTCAAACATAGATTGAAGACGCTTGTGTTTCTTCACTGCAGCCTTGGGCTTCTCGGTGGTGCCGTTAGTCTCCTCGTCTTCCTTCTTGCCCAAGCCAAGCTTGGACAAGCTATCGGCGGCTTCGTCAGCGGATTGATCCTGGAAGCCCAAGTACTCGACTAAACCCTTTCTAGGGTTCTCGGAGAGCAGAGCTTCAATAACTGTCCAGTCAGCCTTCTCCTCCTCAGTTGAAGCACCCGCGATACGAGTTTCACAGAGGCTCCGGAGGTCACCCTCCTTCAGAGCAGCCTCGAAGGTTTCCGTAGCATTGCCAACGCTCTCGTCGACCTCGAAAGGAGTTATCTTGATCTTAGAAGCACGCGATCCACTTTCGGAAACGCCAATGGAGACGACGCGACCGCCAAAGCCAAATGAAGCACCACAGGGACGCTCAAGCCAGCGAGGGGGCTTCGGGAGGGAAAACTTGGAGACTTGAGGTTGGGTCTGGGCTTTGGCAAAGAAGTCCTCGCCATCCAGCGCCTTGTTCTGGTCATCAATGGCCTGTGACATATCGGTGCGAGTGTTCTGGAGAGTTTGGACCGAGATCTTGCCGTCGAATGACGCAGTAGCGAAGAAATTGGGGTTGTGGGGGTTCCAGCGGGTCTGGAAAGTCCAGTTGGTGACAACGGGGAATTCGCCGTAGGCTACGCCAGTTTGCGGGTTCCAGCAGATGTTGCGATTATCTGCGCCGGAGGAGAGGAGGAGATCCGGGTCATGAGCACACCAAGAAAGTGAAAGCACTCCAAGTTCATGGCCCTTCAGGGTCCGCTCGGGAGCATGCGAGTTACGCAGATCCCAGACATAGATCATGGGATCTGTCTCGGAGGGAGTCGAAGTAACAAGCTTAGTAGGCTTCTCGGGATCCCAAGCAACGGCGCTAACAGCCTTGCGTCCCATGTTGTTGAGGGTCAAGCTCTCCTTCTTCGTCTTGACATCCCACACGGTCACAAAACCGGCACTGCTACCAGTAACCAGAATGTGAGCGACCTTCTTATTCCAGTCCAAACATTCAATATCGTCTGTGCGGGCGGCATTGTTACCCAATCGAAAGGGGTTCTCGACATTGTTCAGATCGGAAAGGAAGAGCTCTCCTTTTGCGCCACCGGTGGCCAGGAGGTTCGAGTGCTTAGGGTTGAATTGAAGGGCCTTGATGGCACCGGAGTGTTTTGTGGTTCGGGACATCAAAGAATCGCTGCAATCTGTCAGCCAAATACTCAAAATATCCATGCACAGAGGCCACCCACCTCGATCCAGCAAGCAGCTTATCGGCGCTCCACAGATCCAATGCACCATTCTCAAGACCACCCGCAATAACACCACGTTTGGTATCGTCATAATCGGTCCATGCTAGATCGTAGAAACTAAACAATTATTCCCGTTAGCAAACTTAATCCTTCTTGAGCTTTACAACACCGTCATACCCAGCATCGGTATCGATCTTAGCCAGCGGTTGTAGCTCCTCGCTAGCGTCCTCGCGGTCCAAACCAAGATCCCAGAGCTCAAGGCAAGTCTTGTTGGAGAAATCGACATCAACAGCACCTGCCCGGGTTCCGGTGGCAATCAATGGAGATGCAGCACCAGGTGACCAGGCAAAGGTGGCCGTCCTTGGGATTTCCCTTAGACGGACCATGATGACGGTAGATGGATGATGGTAGTGGGGGGGGAGGGAGATAATTAAATTTTGGAAAAAGAAACAAGATCGTAGACAGTCATTCAACGAAGATCAACAAGTCCAGATCCCACCCCTGTACATAAATTAGGACAACGGGGGTGCGATGCTCTACTAGTCAATACCAAGTGGCCTCCTGGACTCTTTGGAGGGACCGGGGAACACACGCTAAACTCAATCGGGCACTCGCCAAAACACCCCCGATGGTCGCACGTGATTGATATCAGTTGCTCTTTCATTGCGACCCCAGGACTGAACCAGCTTTATCCGCTAGACCAAGCACTTGGACGCCAATTCAACAAGCTGCAATCTCGCTAGCTGCACCTTATACATTGAGCAGTCCGACATATTTGCCCGACCTAGGCCAAGTTTAGAAAATCTCCTCGGCATCATGAGTGAAACCACCCGGCTTAAGAGCACCATTTATGTCGGTGGCCTCGATCAGGCCGTCACGGCTCATACACTAGCGGAGGCATTCGTGCCTTTTGGTGAGGTTGTCGATATCTCTCTCCCAAAGCCAGACCAACCGAACACGGATGACGTCCACCGAGGCTTCGGATATGTGGAATTCGACCTCCCGCAAGATGCCAAAGAGGCAATCGACAATATGGATGGCAGTGAGCTCTACGGGCGAACAATCAAGGTCGCTGCAGCAAAGCCACAGAAGGACGCCAACGAAGGCCTAGGCAGCAAAACCGCAATTTGGGAGCAGGTACGTGGCGTTCTACATCTGAATGCATTGTTGGTGTCGGATCCGTCGCATTGATACTAATTGAAAATTGTTTTACAGGAGGGATATCTGGCCAAATACGCAGTCAGCGAAGAAGACAGACAAGCAGCCGAAGAAGCCCGAGAGGCAGGCAACCGGCCCCAGGACCCCATGCAAGGATTGGAACAACTTGATGTCGCGGGGCCAAAGCCCGAATGATATGCGCAATCTTGATGATGGCCATGACGATTATGAACCACGAACGACAATAATATTGCCGAAAAACACACCAAATTTCACCGCGAAGCTGGACTATGTACACATGCTCCGGATCCGAGCACGTCTTGATTTTCTCTCCACTATGTTTTCTGGGCTTCAAATTGTTTCAAACAATACAAGCGACAATAATTTAAAAGGAAACTGGGATCGCATTCGCGGAGCTCAAATAGAGGATGGTACATTTAGTGCTCGCGGCTCTCAGGGCTGTTGCGGTAGAGACGCAGAGTCTTGTCGGTCATGAGCTTCTTGGTGCTCGCGTAGAAGGCGGCGCCAAGGGCAACACTGCATTGATTTGGTTAGCCAGGGGCAGAAAGAGTTGGGGCGATAGCGAAAGACGGTTGCGGGCGAAGGAAAAGCGAGGGGAGGGGGACATGAAAAGATATGTAGGCTTCGCGGGAGAGACCGGGCAAGTCATGTAAGAGAACATACCCAAGAACGATACCTAAGTGGCAAATAATTGTTAGCACATTGGCCCTCTATCATGTAGACTCATGTCTTCGCAAAAACGTACCGAGAGGGATCAACTCTGGGGGACACTTCTTAATCATGCGGAGGCGCTGGGAGATGGTGTGGGCTAGTAAAATCCAATCAGTACGACAGTTCTTTCTCAAGAACCCTCCATGCGCCGACACGAATCATTGACTCGTGACTCCATGAGGTCACGGTGATGCATACCGCTGTGAGCCTCCTTCTGCAGACAGGAGTTAGTACTAGCTGAAAACCGATCGTATGATCCTGAGGTAGGGGTATTCGACTTACGGGCGCCGGGTTGAAGAAAGCCCGCGAGGGCTGCATACGCAGAACCTGAGAGGGGTACATGTTGTAAAAGGTGGTGGTGGTGGAGTATAGAGGATGAGAAGTGGGAGAAGATGAGGTTGGAGTCGAGCTTTCCAAGAGCGTCGTTCTGAGTGGCTCGGGTGTGTTGGGAAAAGCGAGACTCTCAGTGGCCCTCGCTTGACCGCCCGCGGTCATACCCGGCACTTCACAGCTTCGATCACCCAACGTCCACTCGTCCTTTGCCCTCTCCCACCCTCGCTCTCCTCTCCCCACTCCCAATTCACCTTTGATCTTTCCGTGGTCTTCGCTCGAAGCTACAAATCGCCAAAAATGGGTGCTATTCCTGAGTACGATCCCGAGGAGCCTCAAGAGACCAAGCCCTTCAAGTTCGTGACTGGTACGTTCAAACCCCCTCTCCCGCGATAACGGGAGGCCAATAGTCGAAATTGGGAGTCAATGGCTAATGTATTTGCAGCTGGTACGTATATCATCGATTTTCTTGCGTTGGAAACCGTTTCCGGGATGCTTCGCGATGAGTGTCTCCGATCGGCCGGGGTATCATACGATTGACATTTTTCGATGCGACTACAGGTTACGATGCTCGTTTCCCCCAGATGAACCAGTACGTCACCTATCAACACACATATTCGCCTTGAATTTTTTCCTCTAATCTCCACCTCCAGGACCAAGCACTGCTGGCAGAACTATGTCGACTACTACAAGTGTGTCAACGCCAAGGGCGAGGACTTCCGTCCCTGCCGTCAGGTACTTTCGCTCTCTAAACTGTTCAGCAATATAAGCAGCTCTAACTTGACTATCAGTTCTACCACGCCTTCCGTGCTCTGTGCCCCAAGGCCTGGACCGACCGCTGGGACGGTCAGCGTGGTACGTCTTGACAACGCCCCTGGAAATTTTTGCTTTGCGCATACTAACCACACATGAGCAGAGGCTGGCAACTTCCCCGCCCACCTTGACCGGTAAACAACCAACAGCTGTTATGTGTTGGTTGCTTCGGCTTTGAATTTTCTGTGTATCGACAACTATCAATGTACTCTACCTGGTCATGCGGGGATACATTTCCTTTCTTCCTGATGTAAACCTTCTGGCTATCCAAGAAGGGGTGTCTATAAATCGCCGTTTCGCAAAGAGAAATTAGTTTGATTATTTGCTGTGCCGACGTAATCTCGTTGTTGCCTTCCTAGGCTATCTCGAGTCCTTTTTTCATGTTTCCTGACTAATTCGTTAGATAGCCCGATATGAAGCTTTTATTCTGTAGGACTGAGTTGCTATTTCAGAAATTTGATAGTTGATTCAAATGATTCCTCGCGGGAGATAGTCTAGATGCAATTCTGGCTTGTCTAAGTCTATGGCGTTTCAATCTCCAAAAACAGCATGCAACAAACCCTGTACACGGGAGATCCAAGCTCCAAGATCAACAGACCATGGCTTTGTTCCATGGCCTGTGGCGGTAAGAAAAAAGCATTCCTGTCTGAATGCAAGATATGTACAAGCGCAATCGCTCGTGTGGGAGAGCTGTTCCCGCCCAGTATAGTCATAAGACGGTGAAAACAAAAACAAAATGGCGTATATGCGAGACACAGTGGGTGAAAATCAGGTAGTAAAAACTCCCCAGTGAAGAAAAGAAGAAGGCAGAATAAACAAAAACAAAAAATCGCAAACCTCTATAAATCGCATTCTAATTCCACTTTTTAAATGCCCTTCAATTTCCTGTAGAGCTTCTTGTGCTCCTCCAGGAAAATGAATGTAGCGATAGTATGAGGACCCAGACGAATGAAGCTAGGCACCCAACCACGGAAAGTCCAAGCGAGACCCTCTTTGCGACAGATATCACGCAGTAGGCCAGCAATGCTGTGGCCACGACTCTCGGCCGGCGATGCACTCATGATACGAGTCTTGATGACATCCACCGGGCTACAAACAGTTGTCGCGACAAATCCAGCCATGAATGAGGCCGTGAAGTGGGTGCCCACGTTATCCTTCATACCGACCTTTTCAATGCACAGTTTCTTAAAGGTATCGTAGGAGGCGAGCTGCGAAGCGGTCATGAGCACAGCGCGAGTGGAGTTCGGCCAGACGCCGCGGAAAAGGGAGCCGAAGCCTTCTTGTTTGGTCATCTGAATCAGTCCGTGGAAGGCATTGCGGTAGTTCCGGCGCTGCTCAATTGGCAGGGCGGCGTCGGACTGCATGCGCACGTTCATCACGTCAGCGGGATTACCGGCGACACCACCGATGAAGCCTGAAACGGTAGAAATTCCAAGTAGGGTGAGGAGACCTGGTGGAGCAGGTGGTGTAGAGGAAGTTGGGTCGGGTTTTGTGAGGCGGTTTTTGAGTTCTTCGTAGATACCGAAACGGGTGGTGGAATAGGTTATCTGGCGCAAAAGGGCAGCAGAAAGCTGTTATTTCCAATCAATTGACGTCTGGTCAGCTTTTGTGTCTTCTCAACTCGATGTAACTGGTAAGTTCCCCAATTTCAAGGGTACGTACACCACTGTATAAGCCTGTCACGCCATTATGCCTGACGATATGTCCAAAGGTTCCCAGCATAGACTTGGGAGCATCTGGCGCACGTGTTTGTAACCGGACCTAGAATGCGACAAAACTCCATGATCAGCGATGTGAGTCTGGGGGTGGCGATTCAGGGTCTGGGCCTGAACTGTGAGGAAGCTGGGATACCTTGACTAGAAAAGGTTAGCACACAAGGAATGGGTCAAGGATACGACGGCACTTACCAAGATCTAACGGGTGTGTCACAGCGGCCGCAAAACATGAGGCCGAGCCTCCAAACCAGAAAGGGTAGTGGACTTTTTGCGACTTGGACGGCGTCGACAGAGGCGCCACCCGCGAGTGAGCCGGAGCCTGTAATAACTTGCTGTCTGCCATATCCTGCTTCTAATTCTCAAGAAACAAGACTCCCGTGTAGGGCAGTGAAGAGCAAGGGAATAACGAATACAAGGAGGGGAGAGTGAGGTTTCAGAAGCTCAATAATTTTGCGAGAAAATCGCCATTTTCGACCGTGACCTTTTTTGACGTAATTTTGGATCGCCAATACCGACGGACACAAATCAGGTCGCCGAATCCATGGCTATCCACGGCGTATCGTGGCCAATCAGGGGTTGTGCCTGTGAAGATCCTGGCGCTCCGCACCAATCAGAGGCTCGGTTTTGTTTCTACCCCGGTGAACCGCCTTCCTGTAAGGAACATACACCACGGTCAGTTTAAGCATGAACAGGCATCGGAGGTAAAAAGTAGTCCCCGAAGGTCTATCGTCATTCGGAAAAAGGCACATTTATGCTTATCGGCTTAAAGTAACTCAGATGTCATGTAGCCTGTATACGGCTTTATTCGGTGGAATTGCGGATGTTTCGCGGGCGCAAGGATCGATAGTCGGATTACCGAGGGACGAGGGGTTCTCAAAGTTTCACCCCTCCAAGCGATTATCGGAGGTGGAGAACTAGATTAGAATTGGGTAATGAGTGAGCTCTTAGGTTTTAATAGCCCACTATTTCGTCCTGCGGTGTACTTCCGAGCCTTTTCATGGGACAGGTCGCAGACCATGTAGCCTATTGTATGCAGAGAGCTGCCATGTAACAAGCGGCAAATCTATATCATAATACCGAACCTATAGGATTAAACTGAATACCAAATCCATGAAACTGATAAGCAAGGATTTAACAATAATCAATCAATGTTCTAAAACGCCAAGCCATATAAAAGAGAGCGTAAACTCATGTACCTCCGAAGTGCATATGCGCTAGTCTCAGCGAAGTATAACATCGAAAGTCACGGAGATTAATCCATAGCTGAAAAGGTCAAGGGAAGCAAACAACAAGTGATCCTTTCAGAAGCATGGATTGCTGGGGGTTTTTAGCCGATTTAGATTTTAATGGCAGTAGGATGTGGTTACGCACAGCTTCTGCATATGTGGTCGATTATGCCCTATATTGTCCAAGTTGGTAAAAAATACACTACCGGTGTGGAGAATCTAGGAATCTAACATTTCCACTTCATGCTTGATTGCCAAGACACACATCAATATGGACAAAATCCTTACCTAGTTAAATCATCTATCTTTACAGATCGGTCAGTCTGGAAATTTACTCTGTTAGTTGGCTTTCGGAAACACATACCAAATTCGTGAGAGAGCCGTGGCGAATCACGGACGTTCCCAGTATCTTTGGCTTCCATGTACTTCGTCTAAAAAGGCTTCACAATGTTTCTGGGCAGCTGACCAGATAAATGAGAATTGGGTGAAGGAATATGTCAGCCATCGAAGAGTCGTAAATTGTTTCTTTGGCCATTGTTAGCTGCCAATGTACTAGTCAATTCCCTGAAGGCGCAATTCCAGCAAGGAATTGTCATGCTTTCCAAAATTCCCGCATTAGCCTAGTAGGTTTCGGAGCCTTTAAAAGTCACAAAACTCATAATTTCTAGTAGCTATCAAATTGTGTCTTGCTATTAGAACACAGCCTTGGATCTACCAAAATGAGGGTTTAGGTACGATGGATACACGAATATATGTTTTTGCCCACCACGGACAAAATTATTGTTAGCCCGGGAGGTTTCAATGTTAAGGTAAGTACGGCTTGACAGTAATAATTGATCCAGAACAGCTAGCAGTTACCCAATGTAATTGAAAAGGTCAACGGAGAGCCTTCAATATCCTCGCAGGAAGTATAGTACGGAGCAAAGGCCCACAGCGGAGATGGTGATACTTCGGCGACTCATTTCCCCGGCCCCGGGATGTTTTTGAGATTCCAACGGTCCATACAACTCGACGCAGCAAGAACCAACCAAGTTCCAGCCATGCGATTGTTTGCCACAGGACGAGCCCTGCGCGCCAGCAGCGGCCGTTGGTCTATCGCTGCAACTCGCCCACGAATTCCAATTCGTATCTCCCCACTCGAAACCATCCCAGCTATCAAGCGAGACTGGAGCTCCACGACAGCTCTCCGAGCAACAGACAACAAAGCCAATGCCCAAGCATCCGCTCAGACTCCGCAAACAAAAAAGCCCAGCCAGACAATTGAAGGCACAACCTACCCCACCGATGAATGGACCAACACCCCAGACCAAATTCTCTCCCATGTCGGCCGCCGCCTCTACCTCGACGAGAACCACCCTCTAGCAATCACCCGCAAGCTAATCGAAAGCCAATTCCCCGCCCCAGTATTCGGCAATCACTTTGAGAAGAGCCCCGTCGTATCAACGAGACAAAACTTTGATGTCCTGGGTTTCCCACCGGATCACCCGGGCCGTAGTCGCACGGATACATACTATATCAACGACAAGACGGTTTTGCGCACCCATACGAGTGCCCACCAGCAGGCGTATTTCCAGCAGCTCAATCGGAATGAGCAGACGCGCCCGAAAGAGGTGGGATATACTGTTATTGCAGATGTATACCGCCGTGATGCGATTGATCGTAGTCATTACCCGGTTTTTCATCAGATGGAGGGCGCCATGCTGTGGAAGCGGCCGGATAGTGATCCATTAAAGCACTCGGCGGAAACTGCTGCGAAGATCTGGGCTGATGTGGAATTGATTCCGCGTCATGATGTTGTTGTCGAGGATCCGAATCCTACCATCCATGCCCAGCGAAATCCGTTGCAGGCCGAATATCACAGTGAAGAGGAGGTTGAGGCTATTGCGGCGCACCTTAAGCGGTCTTTGGAGCGGATGGTCATCAAGATCTTTACGGAAGGCAGCAAGGCAGCAGCAGCTAGCTCTGGTGGTGCCCCTACGGAGCCGTTGAAGGTGCGCTGGGTTGAAGCTTACTTCCCCTTTACTAGTCCTTCGTGGGAGATGGAGGTGTTCTGGCAGGGCGAGTGGCTTGAAATTCTTGGATGCGGTGTCATCAAGCAGGATCTCTTGATCAACTCTGATGTTCCTAACAGAGTTGGCTGGGCGTTTGGATTGGGCATTGAGCGTATCGCTATGCTCCTGTTCAACATTCCTGATATCCGTCTCTTTTGGTCTCGGGATGAGCGCTTCCTCTCGCAGTTCCGGGCTGAAACGATTACTCGTTTTGAGCCCTTCTCTAAGCACCCCGCTTGCTACAAGGATGTTGCTTTCTGGTTACCTCCTGCCGCTGTTACTGGTGGAAGCAGTGCTGCTGGCGGGGGAGTCCCTTTCCATGAGAACGATGTTATGGAGATTGTTCGTAGTATCGGAGGTGATCTTGTTGAGGATGTTACTTGCATTGACGAGTTTACGCACCCCAAGACTGGGCGCAAGAGCATGTGCTATCGCATTAACTATCGCAGTCTGGAGCGGACTTTGACGAACGAGGAGGCCAATGAGATGCATGACAAGGTTCGGGCTAAGCTGGTTGGTGACCATGGTGTGGAGTTGAGATAATTGGAGACGTTTTAACTTGTACTATATCATCCTATATACCTCTCTTTGTATCATGTCTAACAATGTACAACTTCTCATCTTGGAATATTTGCTATACCTACCACCCTTTACAGTGTCAATTATTTCTGCCGTCACCTGGGCGTACGATATCCCTACAAAGATCACCAAAACTTGAGCCAATTGAGATCGATCTGAGGCAAATATACGCCTCTAAATATCCATGGATGGTAGTTTATTATACAAGAGATGAGGAGAGAGTTATGAGAGACACAGATTGTGCGAAAACAAGGGGCAAACACCCTAACACGAGACAATCCAGACGCCTCCAGTCACATGCAACAAAGGGTGTATCATACAGATCCAAGCGACAAGCAGATATAAGGAAGAAACGTTTTCCGGACCCAACAGCCAGCAGAATCATGCCAATCCCCATCGTGATCATGACGTATGATATATGGTACAGAGAGAAGGAAAAAGGGAGAAATAAGGGAGATTATGGAGGAATGAGATTTTAGGCGTTCTTGACGACACCAACCTTGGCGGCCTAAAAAGAAAGATATGCTGTTAGCCAACGTCTTGCATCTGCGTACAATACGGGGGGAATAAAAACCTACCCGAAGAACCCGTCCGTTCAGGCGGAAGCCCTTGCTTTGAGTGTACATAACGTCACCGTCTTCGAGATCCTTAGACGGGGCCATGAAGGTAGCCTCGTGCAGGTTGGGGTCGAATTTCTGGGCCTTGCCGTCAACCTGCTCGCCGGGGTCGAAGCGCTCCAGACCGTGCTTCTGGAGGGTGCTCATGAGGATGTTCTCGGTCATCTTAAGACCGGTGACGAGGTCAAGAAGGGCCTTGTTCTCCTCAGTAGGGGCAGCAGAGAGCTTCTCCGCGGGCACGGCCAGCAGCGCGCGGTCGAGGTTGTCAATGCTGTCGAGGAGATCCTTAGCAAAGCGCTGGATAGCAAAGTTGCGGGCACCGTCCATATCGCGCTTAGTGCGGTCCTGGAGGTTACGGAAGTCGGCGACAGAGCGCAAGTATTTATCCTAGCACAAGAGACATTAGCGACTGAAACAGCGCCTCGATGGGGTGAAAGAGAAAAGTCAAGTTAGCAGATGGAAGTAAATACCTTCAACTCAACAATCTCCTTCTCCTTCGCCTCGAGCTGCTTCTTGACGGGATCCTCAGCCTCTGCATTTTCGGAAGCTTCGGCCTCCTTGTTCTCGGTAGAGTAGGAACGGGTGAAGGGCTGAGGAGCGAATGGCCGCATGGCAGCGGGCAGACGTGTTTGCAACTGTGATGTTCGGCGGAGAGCGAACGGCGCGGAGGATGTGGAGGAGGAAGCCAGAACCGACCGAGCAGCCTGGGCTTGTCTGATGAGAGTCCGTTGGAACATTATGAAGGTAGAATTGCAATTGAGTAATATGCAAGATTATGGACAAGAAGGTGTTCGGATACTGCAATCATCGGGCAAAATTGGATCCATCATCACCTGACCGCGGGAAAATTAAAATGCTGAGCCGACCTCCTGATTGGGTTTAAGATTATGGATATACTTGGATGCTCATGGAATACAGTGGCCACGAGATGTACATAATGACTATCCCGCCTCGCATTGTTCTAGTTGGAGTCTAAAGCATCTCTTTCCATATTTTGAATTCCTATTTCTTGATTATTCTCATGATATGGAAACGAAAGCAGGGTACTCACCCTTCAGGTACCTACTTTACGGTCTTTACCCAGGGCTACTGCGCCTTAATTCACAATTCATGACCAAGAAATGTACTTGAAACTTGCTAAAGCTCATCATGTTTTGAGTCAAACTGCATGTCGGCTTTTCCATCGCACTCCAACGCATCATACAGAAAGAAAACCTGACGAGCTCCACCTTTTGCTGCCAACGCATTATCTAGTTCCGAGTTACCCCCAATGATCTTGACATGCTCACCAACGCTTTTCTTGATCGCCTTCTTCACAAGTGGACGATCACAGAAGTTCCCGAGTACAATAATTCGATGAATAGGGTTAGAGCGCACCCCATCTTCGTTCCCTCGTCCTGTACAGTCACGATCAGCATTGCTTTTGCCAAAGGAAAAGGCAGACGCATTTGACTTCTCACCCTGTATACAGTCCAAAGTTTCTATCAAGATATCCGACAATTTATCGATATACTCTTCTTCAGCTGCTTGCACATCCTCCCAGCGAAGAACTGCTCCCTCATCCTCTCCAACCCACCAGTCCTGTAGATCAAGTGGCCACTCTTCGTAATGATCCTGGTCTTCATCTGTCTCGGTTGCTTGTTTCATGGCGAACCTGGCTCGCCAAACAGCTTCATGCAGATCATCCCTCGACGCGCCATTTTCAATCTGCCTGCTCAGCGGCCCATCGACCGAAATAACCCTGTGGTAAAGATTGTACGGAACGCGAGAGCAGCTCATTGAATCCAATGCACGTTTCATTCTGCACCTGCCGCTTTGGGTGTGAATATGAAGATACCGTAATCCATAGTCAATTATAATATGGTTTTGCTGCTCCGGTCGTGCATCGAGCCCCAAGGGCTTAATGACTTCATCTAGAATCCCGTTATACGACTTGATCATCTCCTGCGGGCTTTGGATCCCAATGGCGTGAATTCCAGCTTCGAGGGCCGCATCTAACACGAGATCTCGAATTCGATCTTTGAAAAAGTCTGGGACAAGAATGTGTGCACCCGAAATTTCAATTTCGCTGTGCTCCCTTGACACGTCCTTAATGTATTCAAATGCCTTCACAAACCCAATCTTCATATACTCATCCGAAGGAAGATTCAGCTCCATTGCAGATTGCGAAAAGGACTGGAAATAAATCCAGATCGGAGACAGGGTGTTGCGAACTGATTCTTGAATCATCTCACATCGCAACAAGAAATACTTGGCTCTGGTCGAGCCAGAAAGCTCAATCAGTAAGCTCATTATATTCGCCACAGACGTCTTCATCGTCGCCATAGCATCAATCACCGGTGAAACAAATGGAATGCGCGAAGAGGAAGCCTCCATCATTCTATTCAGGTTTTGTACCCAGAATGCATGACGAAGCTGTTGTGTGGTTTGTCTGTACTCTTCCAAAGATTCGTTCGCATGAGGCACTGGGATTCCTGCTAGAATGCTAATATTATTTAGGGAATATGCATAGGCCGCTGTTCTAGACACATAAACAACCCGTTAGTAATTCTGCAGTGAGAAGCGACTAGACTAACAAACATGGAGTCAAGCCCAAAATGAATGCCAATAGGCTGCATAATTGAGCATGGCGAATCGTAATCGAAAGCGTGCAACGGTCTGTATAATACCGATAGTAGGAGAAGCCTCCGAAAGAAGGAAAACAAACGCAGTTTCATTTTTTCTCCCCCTAGGGTGGTCTCTGCTGTTGAAATGTGGTTTATATGGGTCCTAGAGTCCCAGGGTCCAGGATTTCAACGAGGCTAAATTAGCGCCGAGCCTCACCGGCTCCGAACCTCATTGGACTAACAGTGGGGCCCGTTTACACCGTCGCAGCAAGTAAATAGCTCCAGGGAGAGTCAGTAGGAGGGTTCTGAAAGGTCAGTAAGTAGATGGAGAAGTAATAGTGCATAGGAAGTACTAAAGAACTTGGAAATATTCCTCTCAATCGTAACTATAGCTTATAGGCTACAGTTCTAGGATGAATCATGTTGAGCTGTCCAATAATTTGGCGCATACCTCGGTCATTGAAGAAGTCCCAAATCTATAGTTCAGCATGACCTAAATCTCTGCTTGTCATTTTAATTCGCTTCGTCATCCGTTCCCCGACATTCGTCAGCTAATGTGTGAGGTGGGGAAGAAACCCATGTACAGCATCGGGATGTGGGGTTGAAGTGCCCACGGATAGATGCCCGCACCTTCACCTATTCAGCAAATACTATTAATCAAGATTCCCCCGGATGTTTTAACCACATAATTCATTGACAATTGATACCTTCATTGACCGAATACTGAGCTTGATACGCTCAAAAGCATAGAACTTACGAGGGCTATAAATATCCAGCGCATCATTATCATCAGACATCCTGGATTCTATAGCAACAAAGCGCCTTCTCCAGCTCAAACAGACACTCGCAATGTCAACTCAGACTCTATCCGGAAAGGTGGCCATCGTCACAGGGTCAAGCTCAGGCATTGGTGCCGCCATTGTCCGCGAGCTATCCTCCCGCGGAGCGAGCACAGTAGTCAACTACCCCTTTGCCGGCCTGAAGAACGAAGCCAATATAGTGGTATCATCACTCTCATCTCCTGCAATTGCTGTGGAAGCCGACATGTCCCAGATTGCCTCGCCCCAGAAACTGGTAGATGCAGCAATGGCAGAATGGAATCGCATTGATATCCTGGTCAACTGTGTTGCATTGGCTGTGAATAAGCCATTGGAAGAACAGACTCTTGAGGACTGGGATCTCCTGGTCAATATCAATGGACGTGGCACTTTCCTCTTGACCAAGGCTGTTCTGCCCCATCTCACCAAGGGCAGTGGACGGATTGTGAACATTGCTAGTATCTCGGCCCGGGGTCCACCGCCCAACCAGACGATCTATGCTGGAACTAAGGGCATGGTGGACTCGTTTACGAAGTGTTGGTAAGTGCTATTTAAACCTTTAGGCAAATTTGAGATTCTGACTTGGAATTTAGGGCAAAGGAGCTTCCTCCGAAATATGGGTGCACGGTTAACGCTGTCAGCCCTGGCCCGACTATGACGGAAGGGTTTGCTGCCGCTGGTGAGGAACAGATGAAGATTCTTCAGCCTATTATTGATCAGACGCCTGTGGGACCTCGGATGGGACAGCCCGATGAAATCGCGTATGCTATTGCATTTCTATGCGAGGAGCGAGCGCGGTGGATCAATGGAACACATATCATTGCTTCAGGAGGCTTGTTCATTGATTAGACATAGATTGTTTAGAAATATCTGAATATAAGGTCCAATTCTATAAATACTTTGTCGAAATGTATTCCATGAGGGATCTAGAGTCAGAAATATCTAAATGGCGGTGATGGCCCGTGACCATGGCTTCTCTCGGGTTATACGTGGCAAAGTAGATATAGACTCAGCTATTCCATGCTGAGTGATCGAACACATGCCTACAAAAATTTCTTCGAGACCCGCTCCTCAGGGATAGGAAACACGGGACGGTCAGCTTACCCAGAGGCGTACTATGGCCCCTATCACGCAACGCGTGTCAAGGCTAACTCATGCTTACCTGCAAACTGAAAACCCTGATAATTTGCGGAAAGATACATGGTACTACCCGGCACCTCACGCCTTGTTGAGGCAGGACTATGACATGGACACGTGTCTTGACGATGCATTGTCACGAAGTCTCCACATAGCGCACGAGCGCGACTTTAGGCGGAATATTGGAAAACGAGCACTGTAATTGGCAGCGGAAGCGCAAAGTGAACAGTGCAGCCTTGCGTTAGGCATAGCGGAATTATGCTCCCAGTAGGTTAGGTACCTGTCGAAGCGAGTGTACCTTGATCAGTCTCCGCAGCGGCACTGCCCGTAGCAACCAAGCCCCGCGATGTGTATTCAGGCAGAACAATAAACGGGGTCATAGTCCCTTGGAGGCTGGGGCGGAGCGCGGATTTGCCCCAGATATTTGCGCGGTAGAGTACCTGCTGGGCGGAGTTTGGGTGGAGGCGGCAAACCCGACAAAACAAAGCCCATAATAAAGGCTGTGGCGTATAAGGTGTGGCGCACGCAGGTGAAATTTCGCAAATGCATTTCCTAAAAAAGTTTAGGCTGGTGGAAGGGGCTCAGCCAGTACGCGGTGATGTGGACGTGGAGTGTGGATCTTTCCAGGAACGGCGAGTCGGTTTCGTGCGGATCGGGCTGTGCAGGTGTAGAACTACGCAAACATGGCGATTAACACACTAGCTGCGCCTCGGCGCGTGAAAACCAAGGGTGAAACGTTGTTTAAGGGATCAAGATAAATACTTCCTTTCGCCAAATGATTCTTAGTTTGTCCCAAAATCTAGACTTTTCCTCTACTCTACTCCGGTGGCAAACCTTCGCCTTCCCCTTTATCAAAGGCCTTATCCACCCACCGCTTTTCTCTCCCACTTGAACAACCATCAACACCACACTGTTCTACACACCTACAACAGAATGGCGCAACCAGTATCTATTCCCGCTTGCTCTCTAGAACCTGTCTTTGAGCCAACTCATTCCCGCTCTCGGCCCTCTCTATCTATCGACCTGGACAGCGTCCCCCCGCTTTCCCAGCCATCGCCTCCCTCAAACACACTTTTGATCACCGACCTCAACGATCTCGTCATCTTCCAACCCTCCTCTCTCGATGAAATTCGCAACAAGATCATTGCAGCTGTACCTCTCTACTCCTTCTCCCCGCTCCCATCATTCCGCCGCATCGTCTGCTCCTTCTACTCCGACAAAGATGCGATCACCGTCCGCAAGATGCTGGAGGGCAACCTGCTCCGCCACACTACACCCCGCATCTACTTCGGCGAGCCAACGCCCATCTTAACCGAAGAAGAAATGCAGCGCACAAAGCTGCTTGCCGCGCCTCAGAGCGACAAGCTCTTCTTTATCTCCCCGCCGCCGAGCCCCCCGCACGGATGGATGATGCGCAACGAGGACCCCCCAAACAAAGAAGTACATGCTCAAGATCTCGCTTATGCGCTGGCAATGCTGAAGACCGATCAGCCGGAGCCGGAGCCTATGAGCGTTGATCCTGCTACGCCTGTATCTATCTCGTCAGACCAGAGAACGCCTAGCTGGCCACTTGCGGGATCGCAGCAGCGTAGCCGCAGCAGCACTATTATCTACAACCCTGAGGATCATGGCCATAGTCCGAACCTGCCGGCTGTTATGGTTGAGGATGTGAGCTTGCCGGCTGATGAGGACATCGACATGGACGACGTTATGACATTGCAGAAGATGCCGCCCAAGACTTCCCGGCCGCCTGTCGAATTGATGGAGTAATGGGATTGAAAATTTGTTTCTGCATTTGTCATTAGCGGTGGTTCTTCATGCATAGATTATATTGGTGACTATCGTCTGGCGTTGGGGTATGGATTCTGCATTGCCTGGATCTGGGATTTGACATCTTTCATTGTTTGAGATATTTCTACATAATACAGCTGCATCTTATTTTCAGAATTCTTACATGGTAAATGTTTGGTCTGTAAACTCTGTAAATTACGGCCATGGTTGGCATTGATTGAAAACACAAAGTTTTATTTGGAGGTTCCAGAAAGCCTTACCGTGATCAACATCCTCATGGCACATATCCATCATCCAAATTCAGCAGCCCCATTGGCCTATCAAACACCCCAGATTGTAAATATTTAGTCTTCAAAGCCGGTCTTGATGATAGTGCTCCTCAACCTCCACCGTAACATCCACCGTCCTTAGCACACCCCCTTTCCCTTGATGTTCTTGCGTCAAATGCCGCGTGCTCTCCGCTCCCTCGCTCGAATCGGACTGCCTACCACCCTCATAATTTTGATTTGGAACCTGACCCGATGAAACCTCAGTGATAACCCCGGTCTCACTCTTCAACCACCCACGCGACTGCAACCGTGAATGGGACTGGTTTGCCCCTGAGGAGGACTGTTTTGCCCCCGAGGAGGATTGGTTGATATAGCCGCTGAGCTTAGTCTGCGGGAGCTCGATCCCAATCCCCTCAGGTATCTGGGTTGTGGTCAGGCCAGAGTGCAGACCGGCAAATATGTGATAAAGGGTTGGAACACAGGCTATTACGACGGTCGTGAGCATCATTGCCTGACCGACTGTTTCCCAGTCCACTATGTCCCCTACATAGTTGTCAGATCAATTGCATGAGGCGTTGAAAGGAGTTAGATCGGAAATGGGGTATCACGGACAGGAGACGTTGGTTGAGTGAACGAACGAAGGTGTGAGGGCGAGATGGGCAATTCCGAGGCCGACGATGCTATCATGGGTCAGTCAGTGGAATAGCCCTGGATTTGATGCTCAAATACCTTAGGCGCGAAGAGAAGGAGCATAGGATCTTCACCCGCTTGTGCCAGTTCATTTGGACATTCCGCATCATCATGAACGGTAGGACAACAATGATTATCTCCGTGAGGACGTTGAAGACTGCGATCAGGTAGAAGAAGACTCCCTGCTCTGGATTAGATGTATTCAGTCAACTGGCCCGGTGTCTTGGTGTATACTGACCTCTCCAGCACATTGCTTGGGGGAGTATAGCCACGGATCCGGCAATCCACACTGAAAAGCTATACTCGACACTGCGAATATTGACCATGCGACAACTATACCAGCGGTGAACGCACAGCTGCGACGCAGGCTCTGACTTGGCGTTAGCTTCCAAACCAGCAAAATGGTTGACATTTTTGAAAGCGCCAGAACAACGATGAACAGAATGTGAGCAGCGAAGGCGAACTTGCTCCAGGCTTGGATATTGCCTTCGCTCAGCTGGCTCTGATGTCTTCCCAGTCCATGGTCAACTGCCTTCTGTAAGGCAACGACCTGGACAATTGCAAGGACTAAAGCGACCCAGATGGGAGTATTGACCGCTGTCCGTCGCTGCTTGAAATAAATCGCCGAACAGAACTTGGCGAGCACAAAGATGATGGCCACAATCAGAAGGGATACCGATGTCAAGGTGATTATAGCACCGCGGTCATCGCTTGATAGGGTTTCGAAGGCATTCTTTTGGTCAACCATCGCACCATGACATCGTCTTCAACAGTCTGAGAGCTTGTGGCGATGACTGCCACCATATAAGAAAAGCCGGCCTTTGCACATCCCTGATCCTACAGTTAATTTCCATTGGAAATTGACAAACCTTGTTGTTTCTCTGCGCACTGCCAAGCATTACACGAGGTGGCGGTTGGTTTGTGGTGGTGGCACCACTGAGTCTCCGTCGGTGCAAGGATACGAATTCTGTGGATCCTCTACAAAATCCCCAGACTCCGGGGCCGAATGGGCCAAGGGTTGTTTGACCGCGTGGAGTACATTTCTCCGGGAGAGTCCAGATCCCGCACTAAACGGCACTAGACGGCACTAAACTACGCTAAACAGCACTAAACAGAACCGGTCTCGTTACTAGATTGCGAAAGACAAGGGTTTGTGCCGAAGCGAACTGTACCGTTGCAGCGCGGCGCAATAACTCGCATGCGAGGTGTTGGCTTTCTCGTTTCGCATTCATTGCGCAATCAGGACCCCTGTCTAGCCCTTGTTGACGGAGATGAGGCAGAGGATGCCAAGATAGGTCTGTGTAAGTACTTCTTGCCGTCTTCAGAAGGGTCTTTTCCTGTCGACTTGTTTTCTCCGACTTCTCTGGCCTCAATAGTTTTTCAATATGCAGGAAGAGATGGAACTGAAGAGCGAGAGCGCTGTGCGGTCAGTGCCCGCAGGTAATTGGAACGGTGCCTATGAGAGCGCGACAATGCGACAGAAACAACAACTGGAGGTAAATTTCATGATTAGATTGACCCGCGGAGATACTGATCGTACACTAGAGATATCTCAACTTCTTCTCATCCGTCGCATTCTCCGCGTGTCTACTTGCCACATGGGAGTCTGCCGGTGGTAGTTTGCTCGCGGGGCTATACAATGGCGGCCCTGCAGCGATTGTTTATGGGATTATCTTGAGTACCCTGGGCAATCTGGCTATCGCGTGCTCTCTAGCCGAGCTGGCCTCTCTGTACGTCCATAAATTATGGGTGCAATGTGGCAGTGCTGATAAGATTGATAGACACCCAACTGCAGGTGCTCAATATCACTGGAGCTATTTCCTCGCACCTCGCGGTCGTCGATTCATCAGTTTCTTTCAAGGTGAGCGCATTCCCAATTTCTTTTCGGTTCTAGTATCACGCTCAACATAATAAGGTTGGGTCACTGTCTTCTCCTGGTCCGCTCTCGTCTGTATCGCACCATACTTCATTGGTACCCAAATCCAAGGTCTGGTTGTACTGGCGGACCCTGGCTACGAGCTTCAGAGATGGCGAGGTACGCTGCTCATGTGGGCAGTTGCAATCATCCCGATTGTCATCAATATATTTGCGCGTCGTGTTCTGGGAGCCATTGAGGTTGCTGCGGGTATCATGCATGTCGTCTTCCTACCTGTCACCATCGCCGTCTTCGTTACTCTCGCCCCTCGAAACCCGGACTCATTTGTCTGGGACACATTTGTTGGCGGCTTAAGTGGTTGGAAAGATTCTGGAGTTGTATTTTCCATCGGTCTCCTTGGTGTCATTACTCCTCTGGCTGGTACGTCCCTCTAGTCTCTACCATCAGAATGTTCCACAATCTAATCCACACAGGCGTCGATGGCGTAATCCACATGGCCGAAGAAATCAAAAATGCCAAAGTTGTCGTCCCTCGCTCCATGATCTATGGGACTTTGATCAATGGGACTCTCGCATTCGCCTACCTGATCACAGTCCTCTACTGTATGGGCGACTACACAGAAGCCCTCACTAGCGCAACAGGCTACCCTATCATCACAATCGCCTACCAAGCAACTGGATCTAAGGCAGCCACCTACGTCCTCATGGCATTGGGTATGCTCCCCGGCTGGATTGCCCTCTTCAACGGCCTTGCCTCTGTCACGCGTCTCACCTGGGCTTTCGCTCGAGACAACGGACTCCCCTTCTCCGAGTTCTTTGCCTTCGTCGACCCAACCTACAAAATCCCCCTCCGTGCTCTGCTTCTAGTTGCATCATGCATCTTCGTGCTCTCGTTCATCCAGATTGGGTCTACGGCTGCGTTCAACGCTATTCTCTCGCTTAGCACGCTCGGCCTCTATATATCATATCTTATCCCTCTCGTCCTCCTTGTCCTAAAGCGCTTCATGGCGCCCCAGGATATACCAAGGGGAACATTTAGTCTAGGGAAATTTGGCCTCCCCATGAATCTTCTCGCCATTCTCTTCGCTACTTATTTTGTCATCTTCCTTCCCTTTCCGGCAACGGTCCCGGTTACCGCGGAGAACATGAATTATGCTGGACCTGTTCTTGGGTTTGTTATGTTGTTTGCCTGTGGAGATTGGATTGTTCGCGGACGGCATAAATGGGAAGGTCCAGCAATGAGGCCTTATGCTAGAAACGAGTAAAAAGCGGAAGGAGTGAAATGAAGATGGAAGAGAAATTGGAAGTAATGGAGCAGCCAGTATTTGCTGAAAGCTTTTACATTAGCAGGGATTACTGGATTTTAATATACATCTCCTGACTAGTTACCCCGAATATACGAGCTTTCGACTCCAAAAGCCTTCAATAGAGATTACATAGAATGGTTTGGCATACGAAGAAATGTGAAGTATTCATGCCTCTCGAAATTGAGGAGGAAGAAAAGGTATACTATGCATGATCTACTGTGTGGGACAGTCCGGTGGACCTTCATCTGTCTCGTTCTCATCCGGATCTATCCCATCTCGTTGTTGCCGCTGTCGCCTCTCCAAATCAGCATTCATTCGCTGTCCCAGTCGAGAAATATCGACGGTACCACCAGGCGGAAGATCTAACATTTCATCAACTATGACTGCCTCCCGATCTGCACCATTTTGGCGCAGATAGCGCCGAAAGTCCCGGAGCATGAATTGACGAAGTTCCGCATTGATCGGATTTGACTCCGAGGATGGGGCAGGCATGGAGTTTTCCGCTGCTTGTGATCTCAAGGCTGGCTGTGGTGCTTCCGTCGGGGCAGTTGAAGATGAAGCATTCCCAGTTGCAGATTCAAATGTTGATGATGTAGTCATCCCCATCTTACGCTTTGCATACTCCACCACTTCTCGCAGAATAATCCAACGCGCCGCATTCTGCTTCCTCCATAAGTAGCCCTCTAGTGGGGTCATTGAGCCAACGTATACTTGGTTTGGATGGTCCATTGCCAAGGGCCAAAGGTCGTCTAGTGATACTGACTGGGACGCAAAAAGAGCGTAGAGGTCGCCCCAGATGAGACTTCCAAGGATGCGCATCTGGCCAGTGTAGCCAGGAGATTCGTCCGGTCGCTCAATTCCCTCTTTGGGGTCAAATTCGGGATCAATTGCAAGAACGAAGCCACTGAAATCACCAGGCAGAACTAGCGATGTTGCAGCTCGGTAAGAGTTCGTGGTATAAGAAGCGAATGAGACTGGGTCGATGGCGATGAAGACATTATCTTGCACCTGCAGATTTCCACTCTCACCAGATTCCTCCCTACTTTCATTTGCCTTGTTGAAGTGTCTATGCGAATCATTAGGTGTGTGTAAGCGTAGAAAGGGACCGATACCGACCGTTTAGCTGCTTCAATATCGCCTTCCGCAATATCAATTTCCTTCCCGTCAACCCAGCAAAGTTTCAAATGTGGTTTGAGAAGATGACAGCCCGTCTGCCCATCTCCCCAGTTCGAAATATGCGCTTCAAGCTTCTCAACAAACCCGGTCCACTCAGCCTCCGACTGCCCATACGTCAACCGATAAATCGTCAGCCCATACTCAACCTTCTCACCTGCTGGGGAGTTTTCCCTAGCTGAAAGACAATTACTGATCCAAGGCTCCTTTGGCAAAGGCCCAGGAACCCCTCGCATCACCTCCCGAGTCTCATTTTGAGCCTGGATCTGATGCATAGCCAACCGCCGATAGTGCTCTCCAGACGACCTCCCCGACTCCCCAGTGCCATCATCATTCCACGGCATCGCATTATTAAACATAATCTGATGACTTCGCGCCTTCAAACGCTCCGCATACGCTTTCCCCCGCCTCTGATAATCACCAACGCCCAACTGACCCAGAGCTGCAGCTGCAGCGATTCGCTCCGGATAAAGCTCCGCATACCCCTTGTACCCCTTCATCGGAATCATAATCATGTAATCAGCCATAACTCCAAGCTCCAACAATACATGCAAGTGATCCATAGACCTCCACTGCAACCGATCCGGACCAGTCAATCCAGCCGGCAGACGATGATCTCGTAAGCCCTGTAACTGCTGAGCCCGAAGCGCATCCACATGTCTCGTAACCCAGGCATGCGCTCGGTGCGTCATAACCTCGAAATGAGTCGACATGTACAACGTCCATAATTTTGTGATGCTTACACGTGGCAGACCATTTTGGACTCTACCCGCGTTGAGTAGGGTATCTGCGCTGGCCCAGTGATCGTGAATAAGGTTGTAGGTGTCGCGGAGATATTCCCGGACGATTGGTGTATTTAGGTACTCGAATACAGCGACCACTGATGTAAGATGTTGGCATGCGTAATCGAAGTTCTTTGGGTCATCTAATTGCTTCTCTTTCCAGCGTGTATCGCTTATTGGGAGGATTCCCTCCCATAATCGGGATTTCAGGGCATGGATGTTCTTCCCGACGAGGCAGAGACGTGCATTGTCTTCTTCGGAGCCGATGCGGGTTGACACGCGGTCTAGGATTGATTTGCCGGTTGAGTTCGGGGGGAAGTTTGCCTGAAGTTGGGGGAGTTCAGAGGTTTCTAAGCGGATTATGGATGCGTCTGGTTGGGTGCCGTTTGGGAGAGGGTTGCCGAGGGCGAAGCCGAGAAAGTTGGCAATCGTTTGGGGCTCTAGGAGGCGATCGACTTTTTTTTTCTCTTTGAATTAGCCGAGGTTCTTTCATTTAATTCCAGTGGTGATGCGAACCAATTGGTAGGTCTTCTTGGGCTTTGCAGTGGGCTGCTGTCACCGTGCTACCGCGATCTTCGATATGTGAATACATCTCCAATAACCAGAACTATTATTGCGTGAAACAACAAAGGGACATGGAATGAAGCAGGGAAAGGGGGCTATATGATTTTTAAGAGCCTTGGGCTTGAAAGTCTTGGAGGCTCATTAGTGGACTTTTGGTTGGTGGTGTTTTACCAAGTAGCGTGGATTATAATTAGATCTAACAAATTTGACTAGATTGGCTAATTGGAGTTTGGCTTCACTTGGAATTCAGGGCCAAGAGACCCTGACAGGGTCTTTGGTGATCCACTCAGCGCCTCCGGGCGATTTAGCGATGCTCTAGTGCCTGAATGGCTCCGCAAGCCACTCAGTTGACCAATTGGATAGCCCGGGATCAAGGCAACCCCGAGAGTTGCCTTGACTTGGTTACCTACTCGTGGCTGCATACTTTTCTTTGGCTATGGTGTTTTTGGCTTGATTTAGGTTGATACGCAGAAGCGACTTGTTTATAGGAAAGATTGAGCATCTGGCAGATGATCTAGGGTAGAATCCTACATGTTTTCCTATATACATAGAGCGGCATCATTTGCTACATCATGTCAATATTGAAATTTATAGGAGCAGACATGGTTTTCTCGACTTAGAAACATTCTTATCTGTAAACCAAGAGAGATCCCCTGGAAACTGAAGGAATCCAATCTGCTATTCAGCTGAGTCATGGGAGTCGCCATCACCGCAGAACCTCAGGCCCCAACGGTGACAAAGTGCGTCATTGATCTGTTTCCCCAGAGTCTCAGCAACCTCTGCGAGTGCTCCAATGAAATGAGAGATGGCTTTCTCGAATCTCGTGTTAACTGGAGAACTCTTTGGCAAATTAGCCAATCCACGGATAGCGATCGGATCCACCGGCCTAGATTAATCCCGATGATTATCAATGATGACGCCGATTAGAAACCTCGCGACTTCGGTCAAAAATTAGAAATCTACGAAAAGATTTCATCCAATTTATAACCAACATATATCAAGAAGGATAACATCTATCTTTAAATCACCTTTACTCTCAGTAACAGTTCTTTTACCAACGGCTTCCGACGCGAATATGTCCAAAACAGTTCTGATCACCGGCGCCACCGGTAAACAAGGCGGCAGCGTCATCAGCGCACTCCTCAACCAAAACGCAGATATGGAGATTTTAGCCGTCACTCGCGATGCCAACTCTGCTGGAGCGCAGAAACTCAAGAACAAATCGTCCCAAATCCAACTGGTCGAAGGCAATCTCGACGACCCCGAAGGAATCTTTGCGAATGCCCAGAAGATCACGTCGCAGCCCATCTGGGGTGTTTATAGTGTGCAGGTAAAGTAAAGCAATATGCTGAACTATATGCGTTAGCTAATGCATGGATATGTATAGGTCCCGATCCCGGGCTCCTCGGATCAGGGAGCCGAAGAACGGCAGGGCAAAGGGCTTATCGATGCGTCGTTGAAGCATGACGTCAAATTCTTCGTCTATTCATCTGTGGATCGAGGTGGTGACGCTTCGTATGATACTGAGACTGAAATCCCTCATTTCATTAGCAAGCACCATATTGAACATCATCTGGTGGAGCAAACAAAGGGTACGGAGATGGCGTGGACGATCTTGCGCCCCGTTGCATTCCTCGATAACCTCACCCCCGATTTCTTTGGGAAGGTCTTCGCTACGTCCTGGAAGGACGTGGTCAAGGAAAAGCCCTTACAGGTCATCGCTGTTGCCGATATTGGATTTTTTGCAGCTCAGGCTTTCCTTCACCCAGAGGAATGGGCGAACAAATCGCTTTCCTTGGCTGGTGACGACCTCACGTTTGAGGAGATGGCTAAGATATTCAAGGCGAAGACCGGTCGGGACGTGCCTCTGACTTTCAGCTTTGTTTGTTCCTCTCTGTTGTGGATGATGAAGGATTTTGGATACATGTTTCGGTGGTTCCATGATTCGGGCTATGGGGCCGATATCTCCACTTTGAAGAAGATGCATCCCGAGTTAAAAGACTTTGAGACATGGCTAGTGACCGAAAGTGGATTCGTGTCCTGATCCTATCGTTTCATGTGCTTCTTTATCTTTGGGAATTTGTAGTAATATTATGGGGTAATGGCATGAACTTTTGCACCTCTCGACATCTTTTCATGTCGGTCACACGTATTAGGTTTGCGCGAAATTGAACAAAACCTGTATTGAAAACAACATCGTAACATCGTGCTATCCATTGAACATGCCATTGAGAAGAATAATGACAATTCAGATTGGAAACCTTCCTATCTTCCATTTTTACGAGGCTGACGAGGCCTTTAGGTAATGCCATAGAGTAACTGGGGCAAGCTACTCCGGTATCATCTTTCAGATAGGAAAAAATGGACCGATCAAGACAGAATCAATCAACATGCATAGGTTGCGCGATTTCCATTCTGGAAGGTGGTTTTTGAAACAATCTTGGCAGATGACTTGCAGACCAAATAAAGCCCAGCAAGCCTCCTGTTCAGGGGTTCATCGACCCGACGCCCGATAATTGGCTACAGGTAAGTGACCCCAACCGGGTCGGACGCCCGGTTGCTTAGAGCCACACCGGGAACCTAACCCGGTCACGGGCACTGGCCATTATAAGGACCGTTCGCCCATAGATTTGGAGGCGTGGCCTGTTGGATTCCAACCTGCATCAGTGGGAGTATGCCCGGAGTTCAGCTCGGAGTGACGGGGCGCTTGATCATGAGGTCATCGTCGGTATCTTTCCGTATTCTATCTCGGCCGTTGCGACCCAACCTTCACCACGCCACATTTTCTTAAAGGGATGTTGGAGTCATTCGTATATATTGTAGCCGAGAAGGTACAAGCAGAAGAGGCAGTTCTCTCCTTTAGGCAAGCCACCGCGCTTATGTAGGGCAAGATCCGAGGGTTGGCTGATAAGGCGAAGCTTCTTCTGATCAATCAACCGGAAAGGGTAAACCATAAGGCCGTGCATGGATGCGGCGCAGTATCGTAGACGGTGGAAACTAGCCGTTGCTTTGCGGGATTTAGGAGGAAACGACGTAATTTGCATTTCCCCGCACTCAAAAAAGTGGGTTTTTTACGTACTCAGAGCGGTCCATTTGCGGGGAGTGAAAGCGATCTGCCAAGTGAAAATCTGGGGTTGTATCCTCCCGTACAGACTCCACGTTACATGTAGAATTGAAAGAATCTAGAGAAGAAAAATAGACCAAAAATAGTAGAAACCAATGTATTATCAGATCAAAACTCATAGATAAAGGAACTTCTATCTCTTATCTCTGGTGTGGAGACTCTTGCAGATCTAGATGCGATCACCCCTGAAGCCTTGGCCCCGAGATAACGCCTCCCGTGGCAACTGGTATCTGTGGTATGGTATTGGTACCTCCGGTATTAGCCGTGACACCTTGAAAAGGTTTAAATATTGCCCTTGGTCCCATAATGTAACCCCAGGTTTCTTTTCCAGTTCATGTCTCCAATTCACGATGTCAATGCTCGAGAAGAAACAAGAGGAGGGCGCCATATCGCCAACAACGTCTAATGTTGGTCAGATTACCGATGCATATGCTCATGATGCCGTATTTGGCGAGATCACCGAAGATGGTCCGAATTATCGCAATGTACGCTATCTCCTACCGATCGTCGCTTGACTCACTAACATCTCACTAGGTCGGATGGCTTGGGACTGCTGTTCTCATGATGAAGACCCAAATCGGTCTAGGTGTCCTGTCGATTCCTGTGGCTTTTGATGCCCTTGGTATCGTACCGGGTGTAATAGTGCTGTGCGCTATTGCTGGAATCACAACGTGGTCTGACTACATTATCGGTGTCTTCAAGATTCGCCATCGTGAAGTCTACGGAATTGACGACGTGGGCGAGTTGTTATTCGGCAAGCCGGGAAGAATCATTCTCGGTGGAGCTTTCATTCTCTGTGAGTTGACCTGAATTGAAATAATTACACATTTCTGACCTTCTATAGGGTGGATGTTCACCGCAGGCTCCGGAATGCTGGGCATTTCCATCGGCTTGAATGCCGTGTCCGATCACGCCACCTGCACAGCCGTTTATGTTTTCGTTGCCTTCATTGTAGCATTCGTTCTAGGCAGCATCCAGACGCTAGGACGCATTTCGTGGATTGCATGGGTTGGCTTGACCTGCATTCTTACCTCAAGTGAGTCTTCCTCCAAGCTTCTGCTCAAACTATAACCCGATCTAACCATCCATAGTTCTCATTGTTACCGTTGCTGTCGGTCTTCAAGATCGTCCTGCCTCAGCACCTAAAGATGGTGTTTGGGTCTCCGACTACAAGATTGTTACCGATTCATCCTTCTCTAGCGCCATCTCAGCCGTAACCACCATTGTATTCGCATATGCCGGAACCCCAGCATTCTTCTCCATTGCATCTGAAATGCGCGACCCCCGTCACTATAACCGATCCCTTATGCTCTGCCAAAGCGTCGTCACTTGCTTTTACATCGTAGTCGGCGTGGTTATCTATTACTACTGTGGCTCATACGTCAGCTCGCCTGCCCTAGGCTCTGCCGGACCGACCGTGAAGAAAGTCAGCTACGGATTCGCCCTTCCCGGCTTAATAGCCAGCACTCTACTTTTCGTCCACGTAAGATCGATCCTTCCTTCCTACTGTCCCAAGCGCACAAAAAGCCCCACCAATTATCCTCGTACTAATAATCACCTAGATCACCGGAAAATACATGTTCGTTCGCATCCTCCAAGGCTCCCGGCATCTAGTCGCAAACACCGTGATACACTGGTCCGTCTGGCTCGCATGCACCTTTGGCACCTCAATAGTAGCCTACATTATCGCCAGCGCTATCCCCGTTTTCAGTGACCTCGTCTCGCTTGTCGGCGCTCTGCTCGGCACCCCCATGTGCTTCCAGCCCATGGCCGGCATGTGGCTCTACGACAACTGGAGCCGGCCCAAGCGGGACTGGAAGTGGACTGCGATGGTCTGCTGGTGTGGATTTGTCATTTTGGCTGGAACCTTCCTGATGATTGCTGGCACATATGGATCGGTTATTAGCATTATTGACGACTACAAGGAGTCTGGAGGTTCGGCAGCCTGGTCTTGCGCCGACAACTCATCCTAGATGGATTAATGTATACTATTGTTTCTCGTGGACACACTCCCACCATAACGGCCCTGAAGGATATTGCTCAGGAACTATACCACTTTGCTACGCTCTGTTTTCGTGACTTGAAATACTTGTCGTATTGGACCTGAAGGCTTCCAGCCTCGATGAGCTGATTCTGCTTTGTTGATTCATTATTCAGAGTTTCATATCGCTGTAACGAATGTTGGACTCGGTTTGAAACACAGTAGACGTATGCATCCAGGAATTTAGGAGACCCAGCCTCCACATCAAAGGTTCCTAATCCGTACCCTTGCTTAAAGCTATACACTGCACTCACTGGGCGGCCTGGGGGCAACATACTTAAGCCATGTGAAGCTTCGATGGACAATAATGTCACTATCACTGACGATTAGTTGAATTCGGTCAAGTCAAGTTATGTCTTAACATTTTCACCCCAACGCTAGTTGACGGTAAATTGGGCGCTGTAAATGGCTACCTGGTCACGTGGACACAACACTCTAGGTGGCAACGTAGTCAGTGCCTACCGCCTTCCTTCCGTCTCTCTTCTCTTCTTACACCATACTGTTCTATGCTTCCTTACTTTTGGACTACCCATGGCGTATTAACTCTTTCTCTGCACCTCCAGCGCAACGTCCGGCGTTGACAATAAACGATAAGAACAATACTTGAACCCGAACCTGAATATAACAAATATCCATTGACCATCGTCATTGACAAGCGCCATGAAATTCAAATTCTTGAAATGAATAAACTCCTGATAGGCTTTCTACTATTTCAATTTATCTCCGTTATCGATGCCTCCTACGATTGTGGTCGCCCATGGTGTGAAACATGCCTCTCCACGCAGATTCACGATGCTCCCGGGATCGGCTTTGACCTGACCCCATCATATGGGTGAGCAAAGGATGTTTTCCTGTCAACGTTCTGACTCCTCTAAAATTTGAAAAAGGACAGCCTCAGTACACTACTACAACGGAACCGTCGTTGAAGTAGGCCATGTCCAGGGAAATCCCGAATACCTCGAGCTTATGAAGCGACTTACACGCGACTCCAGGCTATGGTTCGACAGAACCAAGAAATCTTCCATTCTTTCTCGGTTCTCTCTGTCTGATACGACTGCATGGGGCGCTTGGTGGCGTTGGCTTAACAAGAAACTCGGTTCCCCGATCAAAGCGCACAACGATGTTGAAATCATCAGCGAATTACTCCAAGTACTCCAAAATTCTACTGAGAAAGAAATATCTCAACCACTTGATAGAGTTGCGGTTACAACTCCTGATCTCAGCTCTATCAGTTCAATAGTCAACGCTGCACTAGGGGACTTAAATCTGCGCACATGGGTAGGCGACAGCGGCTTTTACCCCAGAAGCTTAGCGGAGGCCGATGCTGTTTTTGCAGCAAATGAATATGGACTGTGCATAAACTATCAGGATCTTTGGGAGTGCGAACAAGAGTTTGGAAAGCCGCCCTTTCCCCAAGTTTTCACCATCTTCTACAGTCGGCATCTTCTATACACCAGCATCATGGCCCCAATGGGGGGGCAGGCTTTATCTCGATATAATTTTGATGACGCACAGCTTCTGGATTTTAATCTCGGGCTAGATAATCTTCTCCAGACAAACAGGTCTCAGGAATCATTATGGCCCCACCTCCGTTCGCAATTATTGGTCCTTCCTCGAAATTACTCGCGTTCTATTACGCATAATTTTCTAGCCGGGGAGAGTGTTACCCACCCGCGCTTTCTAGCTACTTTGCGAGATGCCATGGCTGAAATAATGCCTACATGGCCTGGGAATCTTCAAACGAATATCCCCGATCATGCAGGTCCTGCTGTCGTCTCCAAAATCGTTGATCCAACATTCGCCGCCTCTCGAGGTGCAGCACTATATGCCCGAAGGAGACAAGAGGTGCAGGCTGACTGTACTGAACGCTCTACATGTGAAGCGACAAGGAATGAAGAGCGAGTTCCTCTTTCAAAGAAAGAGGATCTACGTTAAAGCAAAATGACACATCTTATTTTCTAAAGCCATTTACTTATGTGCATGTCTTATTCGTTCAAATGCGAGGGCTTGTACTCGACGTTCTTAGTGCTGGGATCAGGGCCCGTTGCTAAAGACAACTTGATACTTTGGGACTGTCTAGGTACTAGCCCTATCTTAGTATCCCCGAGGCTGAATCAGTCTTAGTATTGAATTGACTTTGCTATCTTATAGGCATTTTACAATACCAAGACGATCTTCTAGAAGCTTATGTCTATATGCACGCACCTGGTTTCAATGCCCTACTGAATTTGGGATTATACTTTTTAGTAAGAAAGTGCAGCTAGTATCTCCCTGACATGCTTGGTTAAATATGCACCTTGTAAAATGAATCAAGCAGTGACTCGTCTTTTTGATTATAGACGACTGGCATCTGACCGCTAATACTCTCGAACCCTTTACATCTAGTTAGAGCCATGAAAGAATTGGCGACAGAGACCGAAATACATTACCTCAGTTAGTCCTAGTCTCTCGGATCTTACCTCAACTGTAATCAATTCCATACCGGCACCTCCTGTGCTCTCCCGAGATCTAAGCCACCCTCGTGCGGGGTTTTAGCCAGGAACATATCAAGAGGCTTAGTATAATTCCTTGAGAATCTCATTACTTGCTATTCCCCGCATAACGTGATCTGCTTTCACCACCGATTCCGGAACCCCTCACGGCGGCTTTACTCCTCACTCGCTTAGCATTGCTTGGCCCTTGGCCCTGTGGACTGCACTTTGTGCTATACGGAGTTCGAGAGGTATTAGTGCGCAGGCTATTCAGTCGAGCCATTGGATCTATATGTGATCAACAGTGCGAGTACGAGCTTAGGATTGGGTATAAGGAAGGATCTTTTGTGTCAGATCTAGACAACAGGTGAATAGGACGTTGAATATTCGTCTGTAGACTAATTATGGTGGGTAGTACTAGTATAACAGTAGGTACCTAGGGCAGCAGTAGTGACACATAGATTGACTTGCGTACCTATCTTGGAAGCCATCTGGGTAGATGGCCCCTACGGACAACTAGGCTCAGCCGCGTACTTGTAAAGTTGCGCGCCAAAATCCCCAGAGACGGACGCATCAGTTGGGCATTGGAATTATTAGGAGACAGAGATACGATCTTAGAAGTAGGCTCAGGGAGGCAGTCAATATCGCTTACCATGATGGCATTAAGATACTCGAACTAGTACCATACCCCCAGCGTTCTCAGTATCACCAGAAAAGAACAAGAGACATCTTCAGGCTGCAAAAGGGGCAACTTGACAGTTTGAATCAAGGAGAAGACTCGTCAACTAGCGTTGTGATTTTGTAATGTAGTGTAAATATGAACAAAGCGGTCTCGAAACCAGTTGATCATCAGCAGCGGTATTGTATCGCACGAAAACTCCAGGTTACGCCGCCAAACCGCCAAAGGATAAGCTAGAAGATCGAAAAGAGAAAGGAAAAAGACAAACTCCAACCTGCATGCTATCGAGCCTCCTGTTTTTGTAGCCTTGCATCCACCCCGGTTCTCACCCATTCTACGATTAGAATCCGTACGCACTCTGTCCGTAAGGAGTGGCGCCATACGGAGTCTGTGCACTAGCACCCCAGGCACTGGCAGCACCGTTTCCATATGAAGTCATGTTTCCATCAATACCCTCCGGAGGCTCGTAGCCATCCGCATCACCGCCGCCCATCATATCGGTGTCATCATGGCCTCCGACGTGGCCATCCTCACTTTCACCCTGGAGAACGGAGACAGTGGTGGCCAGCTTGCGCTGCAGGCAGATGATACCCTGCTGAATAATCATATCTGGTTCGAGGTTTCCGATGCTCTCCACGTCCATGTAGAAGGTGTTTGGCTCGGCGTCGTAATCGAAAGGCTGGTCGGGGTTGGCAGCAGGCTCCCAAGCGGCATTCTCAGAGATAGGCCTGAAAATGCATGGTCAGCATGAAAGGGTCATTTCACAAAGGATTTGCAATAGATATACATACCACTCCTTAATAGGATCCTGCTCGTACCAGTAATCGACATGGCGCATGTTATTGTGAGGATCATACTCAAAGCCCACAGCAGAAGTAGGTGCCCATTTTGCATGCTCCTTTGCCGTTCCCTTCTTAGCCAAGCAAGTCATCTTGATCTCCTGACCCTTCCGCAACTTAACAATCAACGGTCCCTTTCCTTCAGGATCCGTGATAACGGGATCTCCGATGGTGTCATTCACGCGCTCGCCCTGGACGATCAGATCGCGCGCGTAAACAGCCATGATACCGCTTCCGCAGCGCGCGTGCAGTGAAAGCGTTATGCTACACCGCACACAGTGGTCCTCGCAGTCGCAGTCACGGGTGTACTCCAAGTCCTGATCGCAGTTCTTTGCGACAAGAGGAATCATACCAAGACGATGAGCAAGCATCTCATCAGGAAGAACGGATGTGTTTGCTTCAATCTCGATGAGGTCAAGTGCGACGGTTGGCACTTCGGCGAGAATTGTGCGGCGGAGGGAGTTGGCGAACGCGAGATCGACTGAGCTTAGTCTGAAGTCGACGCGGTAAGGTTCCGCCTAGAATGCGCATGGTCAGTTTACTTCTTCGTTCATCTGTTGAATTGGATAGAACAGACTTCACGGACGGTGACTTGAGGGCCCGTAGGCTCCTCCATGTCGACCATGTCGTACTCCATTGTGTAATGCGGGCAGCGTTGATCGCCGCCACCTGATTCCGTGGCTAGGTGTCTATATGAAAGCCCGCCTAAATAAAGACGTTTGAGGCAGAACGGACCCTTTGCCGGGAAATGGAGATACGGGGAGAAGCGTGGAAGGTTGTGAGGTTGGATGTGTTCATTGGTGAAGATCGCGCGGATTTGCTCTCGGAGCAGCATTTGGCGCTTTTCCTAATCGGGAACCGCCCTGAAGTGGTGAAAATCACATTCTCTTAAGTAAATGCGAAGTCGGCGTATATGATGGAAATTCGATAAGTTTTTATAGATTTTCTACATAAAATTGAAGGAAATTGCTATTGGGAAATGGAGGGATTGGTTCAGATTGGCATTCAGATGCTAGTCATCGTGGAAAAGGGTATACTAGCGAAACCCAGTTCATTTAGGACAAACGAAATCTTCTCCTTTTTCCGATATCGAGAATTAGGGAATATCGGATTTCACCCACGAATCTGAACAGTAGAGAGGGGAATGGGAAAGTGGAGCCCTTCAACTGCTTCGGGTCTCGCACTGGGGACAAAAACAGATCTTCTATGAGGTGGCCACAGCAAGGAGGCAAAAAACATGAATACTCCGGGGAACGAAGTGAACAGGTGCAGAACGGCCTGGCCACATAGGCAGCATATGCGATGCAAGTGGAAAAAGGAAAAAGTAGGAGGAAAATCAAAAGCAACGACAAGCCGCCGGTCTCTCTTTTTTTCAGGGTCGTGTCAAGTCATCATCGGGATGGAGCAAATCACACCCGAGTTTCCATGTATGAGAGGGTGTGTTTTTGAACACTATGTATGAGCGGCCATGGCTACCGCTGTAAAGAGCTTCGGTTCAAGGCTTCCAGAAGCTCAGGTCGATTGGCCAGGGCATGTGCTGCCTGGGCATAAGTGACCCATTTTCGTTGGCGCTTGTGCCTCTCAGGCCAGTCAGCCTCTTCTTTTTCAACAGTGACTTCGAAAAATTGGTATGACGCCTTGGGCGCATTGGAAGTCAGGAGAGTGTTGGGCCGCATGTCTGGGATTAATCCCAGATCCCGCTGCACAGTGCAGATGACACCGGCTTCCTCCCAAGCCTCACGGCAGGCGGCCTGTTGTGCCGTTGACTCATCGGTTTCCCAGCCGCCTTTGGGAAGGACCCAACCTCCGGGTCCGGCGGACTGAATCATGAGGACTCTGGACTTGTCATTTGAGAGGGGGACGACCCCCGCGACGAGACGTTCACCTTTTGAGCCATAACCTGTGACGCAATGGGATGTCAGCATCGGAATTACCTCAAGAGGTGAAACGAAGCATGGGGCGAATTTCGCCCCATGCGTTAGGTCTAATTAGGTCAAGACGACACTCACGTTGGTTCTTTCGCCCGACGCGAGCTTCCATAGAACGGTTTTGAGCCATTGTGATGCGCAAAAATTACCCGATCCGGTCAACCGAGGATGAATGGGTGAATTTTGTTCTTGGTGATACCGGTGAGGAAAGAGCAAAAAAGAGCGAAATGGACCAGGTGAAAAAGATTGGAAGGAAGAGAAGGAATTGGGTCCAGGTCGGAGATAATGCAAGCTTCAAGCTCCCGCGGAGCCTGGGCTGGTCTTCGGGGGAGCGATTTCAGAGAAGCTTTCCCAAATCTGTGGCGGGCGGCGGACGGTGAGGGCGGTCGGGGAAGGAAATTTTTTTTTCCCTTGAGAAAATGCGGGGGAGTGAGGGCAAAGTGAAAATTAAGTCTTCCCATTCATTCCCGTAGGAGACGGGAACCAAGATGAAGGAGTAAAAAGAGGCATGATCGTTAAGGGAAGGTCTTGAGAGAAATGGGGGGGAGAAGGTTAGAATTAGAAGGGCAAATGAAGGAGTGGGTGAGTGGGCAGTGGAGGGGCAGAGGAACCGGCGGCGCAATCCGGAAACTGGTCCAGGACTGACTAATTGGTTACGGTACCACTTTACTCTTTTTTTATTGATTTAATGCTTTAGTTCTAGTCAATTGCATTGGGGTAGAGGGGCGTGAATATAAAGATTTCTTTTCTTTTTTTGGGGGGGGGGGGGGACATTTCTTTTTCTTCTATACCGGGTCATGTGACCTGGGGGGTCTTTATACAAGTGAGATTTCCAACCCCATGACCCTGGAAACTCAGAAATCATCAGACAAGTCAGATCATAATAACCATAATAAGATCCCATACGAGGATAGAAACCAGGAATCTGGAAAAGCCCTGGCTGACTTCATCCGGGTACCAGACCCTAAACTCCGGTACCGAGTACTAGGCAATTCGGAGCGATTCGATACATCCCCGCCGATCTGGTAATCAGGCACGTTCTAACGATGATCCTGGTTGACCCTCTTGAAAATGATGGCATTTGTATATAGTGAGGTAATTGGGCACATCAGTTCCAAAATAAACATTTTTAGAGCCGTAGGGACCATCCACTCCTGCAAATCATAGGTGCAAATACCCAACCCCGCCATAAAACATCTCGAACTTCGCTTTTTCCTTTCCCCCTTCATCCACCTAAGACATCACACAGCCCGCTACGGTTGGTTTTTTTGTGTACCATTTTGCCACGATCCACTTGGGCTTGTTTGCCTGCACCTCACATCCTACATTTCTTGCTTCCGCCGGGACCGCCAACCAACCCGAAGGCCTAGAAACACCATACTAGAATGGAACCCGTTGACGCCGAACGCGCGCGACAGCTGTCGCTCTTTCGGCCCTTAGGTACGTCCCACTTTGCCCCTGCAGCGAGCCACTGAGGTAGGGTTCTGTTACCCCGTGGCGCTTCCACTGGCCCTGATGGCTACGGGCTCGGGGGCAACATTGGCGGGGGATTGTCAATCCCCTCCATCATACACGTCGAAATAATTTACTAATCAGGTAATCAACAGGCTATCAGCGCAATTCCTGTGGCTACTGCAAATCGAGTGATGGCAGTGAGTCTCCAATTTAATTTATTTGAATTTCTTTTTACCCACGGTCTGACACGTCATGCTCTAGGCGCATCATATTACACCAGCTCAGTGGCCGTGCGGCCCGAGCACTATGGGGAACTTATTGATCGAGGATGGAGACGGTATGTCATTCTCAAAACTGTCTGCCCTCTTTGTTATTCACGATGACTTACGATCTCCCAGATCGGGCACTCTGTACTACAAGCAGAATCTCCAACGATCCTGCTGCCCTCACTACACGCTGAGGTTGGAAGCTTCGGCTTATCGCCCCCGCCGTGATCAGCGGAAGGCGATCAATCGCTGGAATAAATTTATTCTGGGGCCAGAGTATATGCGCAAGATCGCCAATCTGTGCCCTCGGACTCGGGAGTGTGTTTTTCTCTGGTTGGCACGCGTAAATCATCCTAGCTGACAATCCATGCAGGGAGAAAAAACATCGCAAATGTAACTTTGATCTGCTCTCGGCAGTCCATGAGGCCGAATACAGCAATTTGAAGCGGCCTACTGACCCGGCCACAAAACGGGTGCTGGAGCCAGCCCATCGCTTTGAGGTCAACATCGAGGCCGATTCCGTTTCACAGGCGAAATTCGACCTTTTCGTCAAGTATCAGACAAAGATTCATCGTGAGGACGTCTCTCGTTGGAAAACGAAGGATTTCAAGAACTTCCTGTGCCAAGGGATCAAACGATCCCCTGCTACCATCACCAAAAGCAATGAATCGGAGAAGAAACTGGGTTCGTGGCATCAGTGTTATCGCTTGGATGGAAAGTTAATCGCCGTTGCGGTGCTGGATCTTGTTCCAAGCGGCGTGAGCTCCGTCTATGTCTTGTGAGTAAAACCGGAGCGCTGGCATCGATTGCACTGACCCTCAATAGCTACGATCCCGAATACGAGCAATGGGAGTTTGGGAAGCTGAGCGCTCTACGTGAGATTGCCTTTTCAATTGAGCACCAGTATCCCTACTATTACATGGGTTGGTTCATACCTTTATCGATGTTTGATTACTATTTCTGACAGTGGCACTAGGATACTATATTCACAGCTGCCAAAAAATGCGGTATAAAGGAAACTTTCGCCCTCAGTACATCCTTGGTAAGAGATGATCCGGATCGATCAACCATCCTAATCTGCAACCCAAGTTTTTCCCAGTCACTTACCACCCTCGCGCAGATCCTGAGTCGTACACATGGGACCCTCTGGATGGTGAACTTACTGAGAAACTCGACAAACGCCCTTATGTTTCTCTCTCACGAGACCGCTCCTCCGGTACCGAAGACTCAAAGTCGACGCCATCCATCGAGTCCGATGTCAACGAAGAAGAACTTTCCCTTTTCGATCTTAAGATGCCGGGTGTCCTTACTGTGGCGGAAACAAAGGCATTGAAGCTGGAAAATTGGTATCTACTATACCACGGGACTTTTGTGCAGATGAGTGTAGGTTTTCAGCCCACGAGCACTGTTTTGTTTTCATTTTCGCGGCGATTTCTGACTTCTTTTAGGACCTTGTCGGCTGGGAGGACATGCCTATGAATGACCCACAATCGTTGAGAGGAATTATATCCGAACTGGCGGCGGTTTTGGGCCCGTCAATTGTGCAAAACAGCGCAGTTGTTTTATTTGATTAAAATAGACTGAGCCAACATAGATGAAGCCTGAACTACTTGACTCGACCGTGGGATGTCGCCACGGCTAAGAAATTTGGATGGAGAAGCTCTACTATGATTTTCTTTTCTACAGGTTCAGAGATACAGTCTCCGCCTATGATTAGGGGACAAGCAAAAATTAGTGCTGGGGGTCAAAGAGGGACGATAGAATGCAAAACTATCCGCACGTGAAGCGTTGGCTGTCCATCCGCGGGCGCATCTAGTCGCCATTCCAGGTTTCCAACCACGGTGCCTAACACTGCAACAAGAACCATGATATAGCGATCCACAAACAGACATATGTAATGTCAGCGATAACCTCAAAGACAATCTCAAATATCCAGATTATCCAGCTCTATCCCTACGTTTCCCACTGTGTGTTTTTAGCTCATCCTAGCGCCGATGGCTCGTCATAGGCGTTAGCGCAGATCCTCAGCCCCCAATCGGATTCTCAATCTAGTTCTTACCAACTCAGGAAGTGGCACTTCCAGACCAATCTAATATTAGATTCAAACGACAAGAATCCTATCTAATTCTCACTACAACTGAAAATGGCTATCATCGAATCAAGCGCTGCCCTAAAAAGAATACTCAAACTCTTCCCAAACAGGAAGGGTTTCATTAACCGCTCTGCTTTGAAAGCGTGAACATTCAACAAACAAATAAAATGCTCCTCACGGATCTTCGTCTTTTATTAATTTCTGCAGCAGACAATCGTGTTCTCCTCTTTTACCTTTAATATCGCCCAGATTGAAGTCCCACAGCAAACATGTTCGTGGCTGCAGCCTTAAAAATGGTATGTATCCTTCCAAGCACGCAATTTAACGGACCTGACCTCATATCCTGGGCAGTTCAACAAAAGCAAGCCCGATGAGAAACAAATCCTAGTAGCTATCCCATATGAGCATTATCTCGGATTTGACGATGAAACGGACGGCTTGATAAACGGCGAACAAAGCGAGCGCCAAAGAAAAGTGCGTTATCCGGTCGGTCGGTCGAGATCACAAAATGGGAATCGGCGGTTTTTCAGACGCCGAAGCTATGCTAGGGTTGAGGAGCAGAACTTGCTCATTTAGGATCTGCCAGGGTATGGTCTCCGCCCTTGGACCTACGTTTTGTGGCGAGCTGAAGGGTCTTTTGAGGCTCGTCTTTTGAATGGAATGAAAGAATCTGCGGGCGGATTTAGCATTTACTGTGGCTTCTCTTGATGAGAAGTGTTTGATCATATTTATGGACGGGATTGGCATGTCCTCTGACAGTGTTGCTACAGCAGTCTTTTAGCGCTGATGGGAATGATTCTTCTTTAAAGCGTTTTACGAATTATGAATATAGTCAGTTGCTTTATTTACCATATGACTAAGCCCTTCAAATTGCCTAAATTAGTTACTTTCCAAGCTTTGTCCCGGACGTGACGAAATGCCCGAGTGCAGTCGGGGTATCTGGTAAGTCGACCAACCAGTCAAAAGTACTGCCTTTGACCAGTTGGCCAACCCCGGACAAAAGGACCGTGTTGTGCTCATAACCTTGTAAATTAATGCATGAGCTGCCGGGAACTGTGATCGTCGACTTCGCAGCGACTAATCAGGGACAAGGTAGTTTTCACCGAATTCAGGAGGCTACAGCGACGAGCATCAGGATTCTGCAGTCTCATTTAAATTGGGCCAATTCGAAGGAGCGGGGGAATCCTATTCGCGGAACGTTTCTTCAGGGCCTGCACGGCCTGCATATTTGATTTGACAGGCACAGTAGTGCCGGAATGGCGGGTCGGACTTTGATTGCCAAGCGAGGCATAGCGGATGTCTTCCGAGGCACAAAAGTCCTGGAAAATGGGCCATACTTCCAGCAGCCGTTAGATTTGGACCATTGTAATCAATTTTCAATTTCAAGTGACCCATCATGGTTAAAGTAAACTCAGGGAAAGGTATCCATTCTCGCATCATACGCCGGGGGCGGTCTCCACTTCCTGCCATGTGTACAGGGCTCGGATCGGCATGAACAAAAAGGCCCGTACTCACCACCGCCCCTCATCAAAATACTTCCCCTGACATCTCCGTGCAACTCTTCTACATCACTCAAATCACCAACGGTCGCAGCCATGCCGTCCGACACAATCGATATCGTAAAAGATGACCCCAGGGCTTGAGTTAAGGGGCTTCAGACTGACTCTGCGGACAGGATCCAGATTTCTATACGATGCAAAGGTCGTATGAGGATGATGATTGGAAGTCGTTAGTGGGCCTCCACAAACCATAATTCCGCTTGCTGATCGACGTGTAGTGATACCACTTCTCTTGCCTCGGAGGTTGCCAGAGGTCGTGTGCAAAATGGTCGAAGGTAGGTCATCCCTTTTGAATGATGCACAAGGTATATGCAAGGTGTGACTTAACGAAACTAGATACCAATCTTTGAAGTCTGAGGACTACTGGTCCCCATCTGATGAGCTGCAATTTGAAGCTTATGAGACTGGGTATGAATATACACCTGATGTTAAGATTAAGCTGTTTGTTAATGGACGATCGCAGTCACATTATTTACCTCCTGCTGGACTACAATCAGCAAAACCCACTCCACCGCTCTCCCATCAAATCGCCTAAAGTGAGACATACATTTTCCTACTCTAAAGAACCATGCTAATTTGTTTCTAGCACATTCTGGATGTCGGAACTGGAAAAGGAAGCTGGGCAATGTAAAGTCGATCCCGTCTATTACAAAAACCTCGCTAATGCTTATCAAGCGATATGGCGGATATGTACCCCGATGGTAAGCACCCGCATTTCTTCCTTCGCTTAGTCCAAGGCTGAATGATCTTAGCAACCGTTCGTGGCGTAGACCTATACCCACCCCCTCATAGCTGGATTCCCCCAAACTGTGTCTTCGAGGTAGACGACCTTCTTCAACCATGGACATGGACCGAGAAGTTCGATCTCATCTACTTGCGTCATATGCTTGGCTCATTCGGCAGGGAAGAATGGGCTACATTGTATGACCAATGCTACGAGTAAGTTCTACTCCCCACAGGCGACATCGGCCAGACAGCCCAGCTCACAACACTGTGCCCCGTCCTAGAAACCTCGAACCGGACGGTTGGATCGAGGAATTTGAATTCGATATCCGAGTGTATAGCGATGACAACTCCTTGCCAGAAGACAGCATCCTCGCCAAGTGGGGTGATATATGGTTCCCTTGCTCTGAGCGAGCTGGTCGCCCCTTCCGAATCGAGGATACTATGCGAGCTAGCCTGGAGAAAGCTGGCTTTGTTGATATCCGGGAGAAGGTTTATAAAGTTCCTCTTGGTCCTTGGGCTAGAGATCCGCTGCTTAAGGAACTCGGCTTGCTTCATCATCAACATTGGTCGACTGGTCTGGAGGGATATTGTATGTTTTTGCTCACTAAGTTTGGAGCCCCGACCCCGTGGAAACCGGAGGAGGTACAGGTGTTTCTGGCTAAGGTGCGGGCGGAATTGAAGAATACAGCGATCCATGGATATCAATTTGGGTAAGTATCTATGTGGAGTCTATTGTGTTATGGTGGCTAATGCTGGTATATAGGCGGCGGATCTGGGCTAGGAAGCCCAGAGAGGATGAGATAAAGAAAGAAGTAATCGATCGACCGATTAAACTGGAGCAGTCACCGTAATATCTCCCTGATGCATCGTGTTGTCGCTACTCAGACCACTAATGCCGAGGCAGCTCAACGGGTCACCCGACGGGCTTTTTTTTCCTTTGAGCTTTTACTTTGGCAGCGTGGAAAATTTACCGTTCAGCGTCTCAGGGAGAATGTTTTCGATATTCAAAATTCGGTCTCTGCGGGCAGTATGTTTTGCAGTCTCATGTTTCATATATTCATATATTCAATCATCTTCATCATTGATGGCCACCTTTGCTCACGATTAAATCTAAGACCAGTCAACATATTCCCTTCCTAATTAGGAAATATGGCACATGACACAAAGAGAGTATACAAGTGGAGACGAGGATATGTAATGATTACCACATTCCTTTAAGAAATGTTCAATAGTGTATTGTTTTTTCCTTTTAGGTACTTTGTCATTTCTTATTTCGTAGTACTCACAGTCCCAGCTACAGCATCTACCTTTGCTGGCACAGTCCTCGAAAAGCTCTTGCTAAACGAATTAATTGGGTACCCCACTACTAAAGAATAGATATTCTTTCGATTCGACTCAAGCAACGCCTGTTATGCTTCGTAGAGATCGTACTGGAAAGTTGCGGGCCAATAATTCTTGCCAAGATTCGAGCTCCTTCATTTAAGGAGATTTGGTACTTCTGTCATTGCTGCCTGGATTCGTAATGCCCGGAGATTGCTTCCTCGCCCCGGCCGCATAGCCGAAGGCGTTTTTGGCTTAAATGACACTAATGCACGCTTCCGCATCTGGCCATGGAGACTCCTCCTCACAACGGTCCAAGCACCTGCATAGCCTTCAAAGTCAGTAGTGTGAGTAAGTCACGGTTTGTTAGACATATTGTGAGCTTGGTGTACCCAGGCGGTATCGCCTGGGAGATGGTATACCGTGTTGAAATTATTATTTGCTGGTGAAAGGGAGACGAGAGCTGGTGGATAATCCGTAATGCTTCTCGCCTTTGACTGCGCATCCCTAAATAATTAGGGCAAGAAAGAATATGAGGGGTTTTAGGAATCGCGCTAACAACACATCCGGGAAGCTGTGACTTCGGTTGTCTCGAGGCCAGGAGGAAGCTGGAGACTAAAGAATGATGTCTGATTGTTAATCGAGGAAGAACCCTGACTACTCCTGGTATCGATATTCATTTCAAAACTAATGATAATTCTAGGAATAATACTATGCCTTTCACCCTAGGACCCTCAAAACACCAATACCATTCTTCCCTTTCTGCACGAAAACCTTGAGACCTGCCATTCTGCCTCGTCATTCGTGACCAACAATGTTCTTCTCTATTTCCTTCGTCATTCGCAGTCAATACTGGGTCCTCTTTTACTCGATATCGCAGATGAGAGAAGAGTAGAATAGGTCTCAGTCTCTGGGGTGACCATCATGATGACCATTCTGGGGCTTTCCTCTGTGGGGAGAAGGAGGAGGAGGGCGCGAAGCCTCCGTCTCAGTTGAATCCTCGCGCTTGGGGTGGCCACCGTGGGGTTTTCCCTCGTGGGGCTTGTCATCGTGATGAGGCTGCTTGCCGTGCTTTCGATCCTCAGTAGAAGATTCCTCGCGCCTTGGGTGTCCGCCGTTGGGTCTTCCGCCGTTGGGTCTTCCACCATCAGGATGTCCACCATTGGGATGTCCACCATCAGGATGTCCACCATTGGGATGTCCACCATTAGGATGTCCACCATCAGGATGTCCACCATTAGGATTTCCGCCGTGAGGCTGGTTGCCGCCATGGGGATTTCCACCTTGGGGTCTACCGCCATGAGGAGGAGGGTTGCCGTACTGAGACTCCTCGGCAGAAGACTCCTCACGCTTAGGATGTCCACCATGGGCCTGGGGAGGGGGACCGCCATGTTTCGGTGGGTCATGATGCTTGTGGTCCTCCGTAGCAGCGACCTCACGCTTGGGATGAACATCATGAGGACCGGGGTGCGAGTCGTGAGGTGGGTGCGAATCCTCGCGCTTTGGGCGACCTCCCGGAGGATGTCCCTGCTGGTGAGGCTGAGGTGGACCAGGTTTCTCAATGCCATTGGAATCTGTAGATCCTGTCAGTCATAATGCCCAGTGCTTGATTCCAGCATTGAGAACAATGATTCTTACCAGGTTGGGCGATGGGAGCAGCACCGACGAGGCCAGTGACCATCAAGGCCGAGAGGATAACAGAGAACTTCATCTTGTTGATTTCGATAGTGGCTCTTGAAGCAAGCCTGGTCTGAACAAGCTCTGGGAAGAGGATACTGGTGATGAATACTTTTTCTCAACGGATACGAAGCACCTTTTATACCTCATCCAGCCCTCCCCTGTTCCATCAACATATCGAAAATGTCTCAGACGTCGTCAGCTTCCCTGGTCTAATCCCCAAATCTGCAAGCCAGGAAACCATCGCATGCTAGCTGACGAGCACTTGCAGCACATCTTCTCATTCCTGTGCGCCAAAGCTATTGCATAATTGACGTGGAAAATGTGATCTAGCCACTTCCGCTATACAAACCCACGATCAGTATCACGCGATGATCGCCGCTAGCCAGAATTGGCTTCCAAGGGAGATCTCGAGAGTCTGGTTTCCCTCTTTTGTCACCCCCTACGAAGGTATATCCAATATTGATCAAGGCCGCGTATGCTTATTCCTAGGTTGTAGACATCATGAATTGTCGAGGCCAGGATGCAAGGGGTGGCAGATGGCGTACATACAGCATCGAGTCGGGTTTATAACGCAGACAGTCTGGTTTGCTGCATTGCAGTCGGTAGTTGGTTAAGAGCAGCAAACGTGTCGGTTAAATCTACTCTTTCAAGGTTTGTTTCGAATAGCTTACTACTTCTCGCCTTTCCGTATAATTCAGCTACACATGCAGAGATAATTTAAGTGACCTTGACCTGTACTTCGGAGATATGAGAGTCAAGCCAGGAGTTCAAGTCAAGAAAAGACGGATATAACTTCCCAGAAAAGAGAATACCCCCGAAAGAACATTCCAAGGTTGTTTCTGAGAATCATGACCTGGGTCTCTGGCCAATCACGTCAGCAAGGAGAAGCGATGTTGGCTCTAGGCATTTGTACTATAGAAATGAATCTAACCACGAGAATTACGGTCCGATTCTAAACTCACCCATTACGCGAGCCACGTAAGATCATCACTTGCAGCTAGACAATCGCATTTCGCCGAGAAGCTTGTTACGCCATTTGCCCCTGCTTACCCCCCCAAAAAAAAACAAGAAACAAGACAAAATAAGCAATCCCAGACATATAGGTGCATTGTTAGGGCTTATGTATACTCCACCCCCGGGTAGAGTGGTTGATGTATTAAAGGATAAATTGACATCCTTGGAAAGGCCTATCCGGAATCACTGATGTTACATATTCACGATTTCAACTGTCAGCAAAGAGATCGGGTATGTGCAGAAGGTTAAAACCTACTCATTCTGGATAACTATACTGTGTGACCCCCAATTGCAGTTTGGTTGTGTCTTGAATCTTGCCCGATGGAAATTGTCCGGGATCTTGGGCATATGTGGATGGAATTCCAAGGTTGGCCGTTAGCTCAATTTGCATTGTGAAGCGATCTTTCGCATTCTATCCGGACGGAATTGAACAGTGCACGTGTGAAAATTTCCAGAGGATCAGAGCTTATGGGTGAGAATATAGGTTTTCTACTGTTCAGTTGATGTTACCAAGGCTCGGAATATACCTATGCCACTACGCTCAGAGTACCTGATTAAAAACCCAAATAGTCGTATTTAATGCATTCCTGATGCCAACAAGTCCTATCAAAAGACACGAAAGAAAACAAAAACGCAAAATAAAATCAATATGTACCACCATGTATCTATCCCTTTTGTCTTGCACACGCCGTCCTCCCGATTCGCCGCAGATGTTCTTGTCGAAAGAGACAGATCAGCGGCCAAGACGGGAAACGCCGTTCCATATTCATCACGGCCATTAGGGGACTCCATGATAACCGAACCGGTGCCATAAAACGCCGAAATACATGAAAGGACAACGGACACCAAATCCATGCTGAGAACGATTGGTTCAATGGTGAGGAGGTAGGAATGGAGAGAAGAATCTTCGGTAAATATGAGTCAAATAGGGGCACGAGGTTGCTCAAAACCGAGCTATGGGCTGGTTGTTTGACTATGCCCCCTCAATCCCAATGTCATCTTGTTCATCCATCTCGCCAAACATGGACCGGGTTGGTTTCCGGCCGGATCCATATACCATCTCCATGAGCTTTGCTTTCTGGCGTTCACGAACAGACCGGAGATAATCGTATGTGCCTTCCAAACCACGGATTTGACCGTCGATTACAGACTCGACGGGTCCAAGCATGCGTCCTGCAGAATGGGAACTTGCTGCTCCAGCGGAATTGCCGTCCACGCCCATGAAGCTGACAGAATCATTACGGCGCACGAGTGGACTTACGAGTTTCCGTCGCAATGTCTCCAGATTAACTTTCAGTGTCAGCAGACGACCGCGGTGATCAACGAGGAGATGTTTATTCGCGACTGTGCGACTGCGGACGTTGGCGAGGAGGCGCTTGTTCTTTTCATATTTGCGAACGGCTACTGCGTCTGGGCCGAGGACGCGGGTCCATAGGGAACTTAGCATTTCGCCTTCAGCGCGCTCTTGGGCGTCTGATTCGCGGACGACAGTGCGTTGGAGATTCAGGAATTGGCGGTCTATGGACTCGAATAGGGCGAATAGGGCGGTTGAGTGGGTGAGTTCGCTGTTTATGGATTCTTCTAATACGGACAGGAACTCGGTGAATGTGCGGGTTATGGTTGCGCGGGTGCGCTGAGCGGATGTTGGACCTAGGACAGCCATGACGATGTGGCCGAATGCCGTTGTCGTTGTCGTTGCTGAGACACTGCCGTCTGAGACTTCACCGGTGCGTTCGAGGGCACCGAGGCGGGATAGCATGTTGTGAACGTTATCGAAGACGATTGTCGGTAGAGTACTCGGCGGTTGGGCAGAGAGGGTTTCTAGTTCGCGTTTGGCCCAGTCCATCACGATCAAGATCGAATCGATATCGGAGTCAACATTTGCGAAGAATCGAGTCAACTCTAGGGAGAGCGATTTCAGAGAGTCGGATAACTCGTCGAGCTGGCCGACGATGATAGGTGCACTGGTCATGTTCGTTCCGCGCACCGATTCGCTCAGATCCCAGACCGCAACGCCTGTTTCTTGCAAGGTCCCAATCTGTTGCACTCCATTCTCCGAATAGTAGATTAGTGGTTCAAATGAGCGCGCGAATCCAGAAAGCTTCACCAAATCCGGGATAGCTTGTGGCAGACCGGGCAGGAACAAGGCGCGCATGAATGCAACAGAGAGCAAGAAAACAACGATGGACAGTGTGGTATTGGATTTGGTGCTGGTAATGCGATCGAACTTGTTGCGCATGTAGTTGCACAGGGCAGCAATGGGTTCGCGATGCTGAACTTCAGCGCGCACTGCAAAACGGATATCTTCACAATGCGCAAAGAACAAGTTAGTGTTTCCATGTCTGTAGATCATACAACCAACATCTGACACCGAGATTCAGGCAGTGCCTACAATTACTCAGATTTTCCGCTCCAAAACTTAACCCCTCCTCCTCAGCATGGGTATGCGCCGCCTTGTTCTGCGGTGGGGGACTGGGGGATCGTCCGGTCTGTGGGGTTCCTGCACCCACCGGGAGGGGCACATTGACAGCAGCCGTAATATCAGGATCCTCATCATTTGATTTGCCCTTCGTCGGGTCCTCGACCGCATCTTCATACTGTGGGCTAGGCTCGCGCGACAGCGATGGTGATATGCTAAGACCCATGCTTGGTCGCAGTTCTAAGCGCTCATTCAGATTGCCTTTGCGCTGATAGGGCTGGTGACGATACCAGCCACTACTGCGAACGTAATCTTGCCGGCGCACGCCGGGTGGCGACCAGCGCTCGTTTGCGCCTGGTTCCTCGATTTCATCGTCGGATTCTTCAGATCGAAAGCCCGAGTGCTGTGAGGGCATACCGAACAGCGGCGAGCGGTGCGCATTGCTATGCTCAAAGTCCTCGAGTGACGCATCCAGCGACGGATGGTCGTCGAAGACATTATCTAGCTCGTCCAACATGGCGGACGGCGTAGACCGGGATTGACGCTGCAAGTCGGTGTTTGTCGCAAAGACGCAGCGCAAAGCGACGTCCTGCGATTTGGTGTTTACTAGGGACTGCTGGACACAGAGCGGTTAGTGGAAGCGCTGGGAACAGGTCTCATGCGCCGATACGGATTGGATCAAAGAGCAAGTGGAAAGCCGGGCAATCGACCCCGCGCGGCAAGCGAGTGCGATGCGACAGAATGCGATGTGGATAGGTTCTGGAAACGAAATGTATTGTAGCTGCGGAGAGATGCAGTAGATTTGAGTTAAGATATGAGACAGGATCATATGGGAAACACCATGAGATAAAGGTAGTTCATGGAAGAGAAGGACTGCGCCTCGAGCAGCAATGTGGAAGTGAACTCCTCACCTCTGCAGGAGGCTGGACCAATCCGAGTCAGGTGAAGGCCACAAGGTCGATCACGGTATCATGATGTCTTGTCAAGTACTGTAGAAGTACCGTTTGGCGGAGATATGCAGGGAAAAACAACTTCGTGTGTACCTGGACTCGTGCCTGACCGCCCATTGCCGCCCAATCGATTTCCATTCAGAAGTCTGAAACACTCCACCAATACCGGTATGGTACCTGGGTAAGATGTAAGGTATCACATCTGCATTCCTCGAATTGGCCACCCCCTTTGACCCGAGGGCCAAACCAAATCCCGAGTATGCCAGATCGTACCTGCAGTATACTACGAATAGAGATCAATGAGAAGAGAGTTAAATCCAAATCTATTGCGGGTCAACCATGGTAAACTCAGATAAAATTACAAGCCCGGTCCCTCGGATGCCCGGGAATCGGCCCACGGCGCCAAAACCAATCCCAGACGTCTATGATCTCCCAGAGACGGGGTGTCAAGAAAATGAAATGGCCGTAAAGAATAATATGAAAACACGTCAAATCATTTAAGCGGTGGACTCCTTGAGGTAACTATAAAACGCTGTTGTTAGTCCATGTGGTTGGAATGGCAAATTATCGAGTAAGACGTACGTGATGAGGTCGTTGCGCTCCTTAGCCTTCTTGAGACCACCGAAGGCCATCTTGGTACCGGGGATGAACTTCTTGGGGTTCTCGAGGTACTTGAACTGTAGCGCAATGGTGGTTAGCACAAAGAAACGCAGTAATTCAGGGTCGAATTAACGTACGAGAGAGTCCTCAGTCCATTCGACACCAGCGCCCTTGTTGGCATCGGTGTAGGAGTAGCCCTCGACCTGACCGGACTTGCGGCCCATCAGACCGTGGAGCTTGGGGCCGACCTTGTTGGCACCATCGGCCTCAACGGTGTGGCACTGAGCGCAGCGAGTCTGGAAAAGCTTGGCGCCCTTGGCGGAGTCACCTGCAGGGATGATATTAGCCTGGGCCATGAATTATGCGTCGTTGCCATGTTGGAGAGCGAGCTCGACGAGTCTAGTCTCACACATGTACATGACCACTGACGTGCAGAACACATCAAAGGTCGACATGGTAAGACCAAGACACATAAAGGGCGCCTGGAATCGGTTGTAGGGGACCTTGCGGTGCAGTTGCAGTTGTTGCTATGCAAAGATGAAAGTTGTGTTGACGTGGAGCGAGTGTCATGATGAGAGCTGAGAGCTGGATACGGGGCCTTGCAATTGACAATGACGCGAAAGCCGACGAGCGCTCGCAATAGACAGTCGTCGCGTGGTAGAATTGGCAATCGCGAGCCATTGATCATTCGCTCTCATCCTCTCCCTTTGCTCGCGCGTATAACTTTTCTCTCCCCCATGAAACCGATTCCAGTGGCAGGGGTGAAGTCAGAATGATAAGCTTACCGGGAGCGAAAGAAGCCTCCTTGCCCATTGTGAAGAGTTATTGGAATTAATAAGGAAAGGGTTAGAAGAGTTGGTATAGCTGTACAAAGAAGGATTGAAAGAAATCGGGAGAAACAAAAGCAAGATTTTCTTGCGATTTTGTACCTGGAGCCCGTCGGCTCCCGTGATCCGTTCATCCGCCAATCAGCGTTGAGCTAATTCAGCGCGACGGGCGCAACCGGGATTGCTCGTCATGTTCTCGGTGAACCTGTTGTCCCCATGATTGTCTCTGTGCTCTTGCTAACCGGGCCAATGGCAAAAATAAAGACCAGATCTAGCCCAGTACACTATGATCTTGATTCTGCGCACTATCAAAGTCTCCCGGGGCAAAGAATTTGACTGTGGCTAGCAGACCGCCACCTGTCCATGATCTCATCCCTCATCATCCGCCCCAAAGGCGACTGTTTTTTTCACTAATGAGGCTCTTGTCCCGGAAATGCACACAAATCACAAACCTCTACCCCTTAGTTCAATTTTAATTATTTTCCAGATCCCATGCACACTCATTGTTGAGAGGCTGCACTCCTTTCCACCCCTTGAAAAACTGGGGGAATGGCCTTTCTCCCGGCCCACTGGGGCTGCGAAATGCATCCGCTATTATTCGCCCATGCTCCACGGCACCGAACTTGACCTGGTAATTGTGGACCCTGAGGCGGCGTGGGTACAGTGGGTTGGCATTCGGCTAGACAATTCAGTCGCCCGGCACAACAGGATTATAGTGGACCAGATACATGTTGGCCACAGCACACTGTACATAGCATTGTGGAGAGAGTACATCGTACCATATAAGTAGCATGCGCTATACAGTCGAACTAGACACCAAGCATGCTTACGAAACCTCCATACAGAGGTCTGAAACAACAACACCTGTAGTCAAAGCAACTATGTAGATCAAGGAATACTTCTTTTTCGGGCAGAATGTGACCGAGCTGCAGGTCCCTCCGGCCCGAGTGCTGTGCAGTTCAACTGATATTCCAGAAGATCCCTGGAAAAATATCACAGAATCACGTGATATGAAAATCTCCCGTTCGGGAAAAAACACACGCCAAACCAATTTCACAGTCTTGAAAGTAGCTATACAGCAACCCACCACTACCCACATAAGCTCTACAGCACAACTGCCAGTCTTGGAAGTGTGCGAATTCAAAATGCCAACTCCAATCCCCCATTTTCTCCTCCCCCGAGGCCTTCCAACAGCCCGGACCCTCCGCACCCTCCAACACCGGAGCCCGAACTCGAGCTTCTCCACAACCAGCGCGGTTTCCCGAATGAACAAAAGCAAGCCTGAGATAAGAAAGAACCGTATTCTTGAAAAGCCAGACAAGTTCCGGCCTCCGTCCCACCCGCAGCGCATTGTGAGCCCGGCTCGCACGCCTTCCGGACAACCGGTCAACTATGGACCGCGGTTGACGGCCAAGGAGCGCGAGGAACAGAATAAGAAGCAGTATCCGAGTATGTTCCCACCGGAGGGGACTGTGATGTTTAATTTCTTGACTAGTCGGTGGATTCATGTTTGGATTGCGATGGTGAGTGGTTTTACTTCCCTTTCAAATCAGGCGCAGCCAGCTGCCCAAATCCCCATGAATATCAATGTTATGGAAGATAGGATACTAGTTGCTGTTACTAACATTTGTTTCCAGGGCATATTGACCACCCTCGCTACATTCACTTTCACCACAAACTTCAAAGCAAGCTCGCCCTTCGCACACCTTCTCCCCCCTTGGTCTGGCCTCTTCACCAGCCCCTTCGAAACGATTTCTCAGGCTTTGAGCGTCTACCGGATGCATGTGCAACATGAGTCCATGCGCGTGCGCGAGAAGCGCCATGCCCGAATTGAAGATGCTGAGAAGCGGAGACAGTATCGGGTTGCGCATGGGCTTGAGGAGCCGGCTGAGGAGAAGGAGGCTGTTGATGATCAGAGTCCTATTGCCGTTGATGAGCAGAGCCCTGTTGCTGTTGCTAATCAGGGTGAGGAGTATGTTGATTTCGATGGAAAGAGGAAGCCTGTTAAGAAGTGGCTTGGGATTTGGTAGATTGTTCCGTTTCCATACGGCACGAAGAATGGATGGGTTGGCCATGCTAGTACTATAACTTGGGGAGGGTGGACAGCCTAGGGGGATGTCGATTACACAAATGTACACATACACATTGTATACTAAGCTTTCTTTTGCATGCAGTTGCGGAGACTAAACTCCAATAGATCATGAATCATGAATCGCCATTCATTATTTTGATGTGGTATCAATTTGAACTCTAGGTACAGATCAAGATCATAGACTCAGCCAACCTGAACGCCCTCCAATCCCGCAAGGACCTCCTCACCCACACCTCCCTTCTTCAACACAGTCTTGACCATACCTGCAATCACACTGCGCTTGACTCCACCCCTCCTCGGGCGCCAAACACCAGGGATTTCCTCTTCCCCAGTTGCAGGGTTCAAGACGGCCTGACTCTCGCCCGGGGCGGTCGAACCAAGCATATTCACATTTTCGGAATTAGGAACACCAGGCTGGGTAAGTCTAGACGGAGGGTCGACCGTCCGAATAGAAAGCATTTTCAAGCCTTGGGTTTCAGTATCGCGGGTAACGGAAATAGCGAGCACAGCATCCGCGACGGCAATTTCTTCGCGGTTGGGATCGAAAATGACGTTCTCGCCTACTGAGATCACAAGCAATGTGACCGGAGGACGAACTTGTAGTGATGGGTTGAATTTCAGGCCCGCCGATGCACGCGGGTACAAGTACTCTGCGACAGCCCAGTCATCGTCGAAGAAAGGATCCTCTTCGCCCTGGGACTTGAGTTTCGGAAGCTTGGTAGATAAGAGAGCGAGGTGAGTCGTGAGAGAGAGAAGAGGAAGCGGGTATGACAAAGGCTGCGAGAGGAGAAGAACCTATAGCAAAGAGCAGTGTTAGTTCCGTTCCATGTAATCCTGACCAAACCCAATCGCTGCACCAAAAGAGAAGGAGAAACTCACATCGATATACAATCTCCAATGCCACCGTTTGTTAATAACCAATCTTCCCTTCAACCCCCCAGCCATACCCCTCTCAATACCATCCCCGTCCTTGCCCCCTACCGAGCCGACAAGACTTTCCCGCATCATCTCGGAAAGAAAAACAGGCAACGCATCATCGTCCCTAAAACCCGGGATTTCAATGCTCATTTGTACCCAAGATCCATGTCCACCCGTCGCAGCCGACGATCCCTCTGTTCCCTCGCGCCCATCTCCACTCGGTCCAAGATCATTCTGTAGCGAAAGCGATCGCGCATCAAGGGTATCAGCCGTCAAAGTCGTCTTCTCAACCTCCGCTTTCACACCGACAATAGCCTGTGTTCCGTCCGCGAAGCCGATACGCGCACTACCATTTGTACCGGGCAGAATATCGCATTCGGCTGTAAGTGGACGAAACTGTGTTGGCGAGCGGCCGTCAGGGCGAATGGGGTTCTTGGCGAGAGAGAGGGAGGTGTAGAGGTAGGAGAGCTCAGCGGCGGAAAGATGGGGAGTTTGGGAGGCTGATGAAGCCTGGCGTTGGGATGTCATTTTGGATTATTCGTGGTTTCTTGCTTCGTGTGGTATCTTTCCCTTTCAGCGGGGCAAATGAGGTCCAAATGTATCGAATATTTGTAGTTGAGCTTCGGAGATCTTTTAGATCAGGTTGATGACCATCGGTTCGGGGATGTGGTTCACCTAATTCTGGTGTAATGGGGAAACTTGTGATGCGAGATGCTGATATGCAATTTCAGGTAGAAAATTGTTATCCTGACCTCGGTATTCGAGGTTGTTTAGATATCAATTGCACGAGGCTGAAAAAAGTCAAGGTAGAGCATGCTTAATCGGGAAATTCTGATGGACCGCGGATATTCGTTGATCCGACACCGATGGTCTGTCAGGCCTTCGTCATGACTGTAAACCAACCAACGAAAGGGAGTCCGAAAAGAGCACTATGTTTATTTTATCCAAGTAGATCTGGACGTTGCATCCATGGGTCCAGTTTATAGAAAGTTCAATCTGTTGGCAAATTAAAATGCTTTTTATGAATACTATACTCTTGATGAAATGTACAAATTTTGAATATGGAAGATGGCGGAGGAGATCAGTGTTATGTATGCATATCAGTTGTATGTAATGGCCATTAAGCCGCAATATTCTATATTACAAGAGGATAGATAACCGGAAGCCAGCCAGTCAGATCAGGAGGTAAGTAAGTAGTACATGAAAGAGTGAACAAGTGGCTGGCATGAAATCCAGGGAGAACCGATCAACAAGACCGGAGCAGGGGAGAGATAGGTATGAATGGATGAGTCAAGGAAAAGAGGAAAATGATAGGCAGGGTGGGTAGGATGGCAGTAGCCAGACAATATACAAGAGACAAAATATATGGACAAAAGAAAAATGAGGCGCCATGTTCGTCGAAAATGGTCAAGTAATGCAAAATGATGATGAGCAAAATAGGGAGTGGTATATAATGCGACTTGCGCTGGTATCAATGAAGGGTAAATGGGAAGATCTGTGCAAACGCCCTCTGCAACAATATTCAAAGCAGAACAGAACTGACAAGGGCTCCAGGGAAATCCGAGAGAAAACAGGATGCGAGGCCGGATCCATCTATACAAAAGGCCTATAGGGGTATGAAAGTGTAAAAAGATGGGAAAAAAGAAGGGAGGCCGTGGCAAAGCAGAAAAGAAACGATGCTCATGCGTGGAAATCAAACCCAGAAGCCACACCATGGAGAAAATAAACAGACCGAAACCCATACGCCGAACTTGGTGTGTATCCGTTTTTGTGCGCATTTCGCCAGATTTTTTTTGTTCCTTTATTCGTTTGTGTTGGAACGAAGAGTGTCTTGAAAAAAGGCCTTTCAAGATGGTTGGAGTAGAACGCACGCGTTTAGATGTAGTTGGATCCAGATGGAATGTAGTGAGAGGATGCCTTGTTATTCCACTCAGACTCCTCGTAAGGGGGAGTTGGCCATTGACGGTTTGAGGTCACATCAGGCTTAGCAATGTGCTTGTCAGGTGTGTCGAAGTAGCTCTCACGGTGGGCTGCTGTAGGCGATGGTGTGGGATATGGGCTTGGCAAAGCGCGGGAATGAGAAGTCATAGACTGAGTTTGAGCCAAGCGCCGGGCAGCCTTACTGGCCGAGTGTAATACCTCGTCCAATAGCTCATCCTCCTCCTCGGGTGTCTCGTAGCGGTGAACGGGGTGGCTGGTCATTTGCAATGCCCGCCGAGTCCGGCTGGAGATGGGCCCTGGGTTGGCACCAGTAGTCTGGGGCATGGACTGGCGCTTTGTGATGCCACTGTCCGAGTTCAAATGCACAGGCACGTTGCTGAGGGTGGACGAGTCTAACGAGTACTTCACACTCTGAAGCGCCTTGTCAAGCTCGCTCAGATCCGAGTGCTGCTTGGAGTCAACAACGTTGGCACCATCCATGGCCATGGAAGAGCGGTTGGACCATGGAATGCACCCGGCATTGGCTTCAACATCATCAGTGGCTACTGCGGCCTGGTTACGACCAGAGAGTCTGCGAGCCCGCTTACGCAGGTGCGAGAAGAAACCCTCCTTAGTAGTTGGTGTGGTACTACCAGAACCATTCAGCATTCTCTCGGCCTCCAAGCGATGTGCGTCAGAGTAGTGGTTGCCATTGGAGTTGACCGACAGCTGGCGACCAATCTTCTTGCTAGCCATGCTGGCTTCGGACTCAGCGGCCTGTTGTGCCTCGCTGTGCGCCACGGTCGCGTTAGCTTGCGCGGTGACTGAGGCAGAGAGAGGAGAAACAGGGCGAATTGAAGGAAGAATAGGCATCGGAGCACCGTTGGCCCATGTGGCCCGCTTAGTGTTGGAGGGACGAGCCTTTGCTGGCTGGATTTCGGGAACGGTGTTGTGGGTCACAACTGGGGGTCGGACGGGGCTATCATTTTCGGAGGGAACGGGACTTTCAGAGCGTCCAATCAAGGACCTGCGGAACCACGAGGGCTTGGTAGAGAGGGTGGGAGAATCGTGAGGAGTAAGGGTAGGAGACTTGAAGCTCCGGTCGGACGGCTTGCGGCCGAGCAATCTTGATGAAGTCGAGGACTTGGGACGCAGAGGATCCACAGCATCGGCAAAGTACTCGTGATTCAACGCCTGGGTTGATGTCGGTCGGTTCTTGGGATCCCACATCAAACACCAAGTCACAAACTCAGCGAGAGCAGCGGGCCACTGGGGCTGCTGAAGAACGGTATCCATTGCATGCGGCGCCATCTTGGGGAAAGTGAAGCCCAACTTGTGCGCCAATCGCGATCCTTCACGCCATTCACCACCACCAATCTTGGCACCAGACTTGCTGTACCAGTTACCAGGGCTTCCCATAATTTCACACACACGCCAGACCTGATCCACCTCGTTGCCTCCAGGGAACAAGGGCTTCAGGGTCGCAATCTCGACAGCCATGGCACCCACAGCCCACATGTCGACTGGGGCGGAGTACTCTCCAGCGCGTAGGAGCACTTCTGGTGCCCGGTACCAGCGGGTAGAAACGTAGGTGGTGTAAGGCTGCTTGGAGTGGGTCTCACGAGCGAGGCCAAAGTCGGCAATCTTAACAGTGTATGTTGGAGGGGTAGATGGAGGGGTAACAAGGTTGGAGTAGCGGCTGAAAGTCGAGTCATTCGGGGCAGAGGTCGACACAAGGATATTCTCGGGTTTGATATCTCGGTGAAAGAAGTGGTGGGCGTGGATATGGTCCAGTCCAGACAGGATCTGGTATAAGATACCCTTGACGTGCTTTCCTTCGAAGTACTTGTGGTCACGGGCCTTCATCAATTGGTACAGGTTACCATCCATATACTCCATACAGATGTGCAGTTTGTGAGAAAGAGGGTCGAGGAAGATATCGAGGGCCGGAACCAAATGTGGGTGCACCGGCAGGGTACGCAAAAAGATGACCTCACGTAACTCCAGACACGGGCCTAACGAGTCGAAGGTCTTCTTCATTGTTTTGATAGCGACCTGCGATTCATGTCAGTATGTTTGGCGGACGTTGCCGATCAACTTTCACTACGTCATTTGATCCGTACCATAGTTCCTCGACGCGCAATGTGAGACCCAGCAGTTCGGACACGCGCAAGTGCTACGCTACCGAAACTACCATCGCCCACCTCCTTCATCACTTGAAAACGATCCTCGAGGGTGGCCATTGATGTGTTGGCTGTCCCCCGGGAGGGAGAGTCATATGTGACTGTCATTGTTGTGTATGTCTCTTAGATCTGCCCGCAGATGAAGAGGTATACTGAAGGAGAGTTAGTACCCGGTCTGGAATCTTCTTGGAATGTGACATCAGGCCTTCACTCACTATTAGTCAAGAGGGGTTCAGATTGAATATCCCGCGAGTTTTGAGAGAGAGGGAGTGAAAATCAATTGGCGTCAATGCTCATCATCCGAATATGGAGGTTAATTTTGATGAGCAAGGAGAGTTCTCCCATTTAATGACGTTGGATGCTGGTTTGCTTGATGCAAAGTAAGGAGTGACGGAGTAGTTGGAAAGGGAGTTTGTAGGAGTAGGAGGGGGAAGACGATCTGGAAGAACACAAGAACGGGCGCGATGTAATAAAAAGGAAATCCCGCCAGAATAGGAGAGAACCCGTTGTGGGCACCTTAGTCGATCGGAGGCCGAACGAAGCCCCTGACGCGCTGACAGCTCGAAGCTCTAAGGACGGGGCCGTGGAGACGGTAAATTAAACCACGTTAGGACCAAGAGTGCAGATCAGTCCACCGGGGGTCTGCAGTTCTGTATGGTGAACTGGATGTATGAGGGGATGAACGGTTGCAGGTGTGATATCGAGAGGATCAAAGGAAAAATGAATCTAGAGATCCAAAGAGCAGCAACCCCCGAATATGAAAAGAACGCACGAGAGAGGGGCCACTACACTATTGGGATGGAGAAGGAATAGAAAGTAATAATCGCGAGTAATGAGTGTGTAATGGTATGAAGAATCGAATAAGTTACTAGTTGGGGTCTAAAGTCCACACAACGGGGAAATACCGTATTTCACCAATAGGAACGGCGGCAGGAGATCAAGTGGATGCTTGTGGATTCAGAGCCCCGTTCCTGATTTCCTCCTGTGGTATTAATTAACGTATTGTCATAACCGACTTTTGATTGGATTCGATTCGATTTTTGTTTTATTTTCATTTTAGTTTGTTTTTTCTTTTTTCTTATTTTCTCTTTCTCGTTTCTAGTTTGATTTTGTGGCATGTAAATCGAACTAGTTACTTTAATAAAAGAAAAACAAAAAAAAAGAAAAAAAAGAAAAAAAATTTGACACTAGGCAAAAGCAATAAATGACGCGATAAGAGCAAAGTCCCACGGGCCCATCAGTCACGATCATCCTGTTATTTGTGTTAATCACCTATAGGTAGACTCGAGATGCAGAGAGGTTGGGCATAAACAGTGTACATCTAGGGGCGGTCACTCCCGCTGGAAGGAACCAAACAGTTAAGAGGGGGTTGGGCCGCGCCCCCGTAATTTATCCTGTTCCTAAGGATCTTCGCGCGCATTTACCGCGTCCGCATGACGTTGCAAGTGATGCTGAACAGCCTGGACCAATCTATCAGATCGTACCATAGAACAGGTCACCTTTATATAACGCATCCTCGGTATCAACTCAAATTCGATGCCAAAAAGGCAAGGGAGACTCCTGTCGTCCAGTTGACGTCTGCGATGTCGTCCCACGTCGGACTCGTCGCAAGGCTGGACCTGCTCTCCACGGCCTTTCTCCTGTTTCACTCGCCATTGGAGGAGCTATTTTATTGATCTCTCTCGTTGTCCCGGCACCTTGTCTCGCCACCTGATTCTGGATCCGAGCTTTCCTGGAGGGGCACTCTTTTTTCAGTGATGATCTCCGACTGGTCCGACTATCATTTCTCCATCCTTATTCGCCATATGGAACGAAATTTAGGTTCGGCTGGACGGAGGCGTTCGCATCGCGGGCTACTGTACGAGTCACCTAGGTACGCGGTACACTAAATGCCTTGTCGATAAACTTAAGTAGGGACTTGGCTTTTGATGCATGGGGATCATGATCACGCATATGATCCGTATGTGGTCCCGTCTCAGAGGACGCCTTGCCTCTACCCCAGGCACAGGCATTCCAGTCACACCCGGAAGTATCGCCGATTGGGAACAGATGGCGCCCCGTGATTCAGTTTCAGCGCGCGACTCAAGGGAGACCGGTGTTTCTTTGTTTCTTTGTTTTGTTTCGCACTTCTCAAGAAAACATCCCGTGTGGGAAATTAATGACAGCGGTCGATCGACATCCCTGCCCCGGGGGAGGTCATCCGGACAAAGAAAATCATATCATAACTTTGCTACAGTAGGGACCATGATCCACTTGAGAAGCTCCAGGAACCCGAGCCAGAGCCATGGGAAGACGATCTGTCCATCGCCTCGTTTTTTTGTTTATTTCTATTCCTCCAACGCAAAAACCAACTATGATAGGCTAGTGAGAAATTACGAAAATACGGGTCATGTTTCATGGGGCAGAGGGATTATCTTGATTACCTGCAGGAATCGCACCTGTCAGACGGCGACGAACCCTGGGGCGACCGTTTGGCCCGCAAGGATCCAGGATTACGTCGCCCCCATTCGGTTGCCCTTTTTTATTTTTAAATATTACCGCCGGTGTGGCTGTCCGCATTTCTTATTGTCTCTATCAATCGCCTGAAGGTGGTACTCTAAGCCCCTTTTCTTTCCCCCGTTTGTTCCAAGGATGGGGACTTAAGGGCCGTACCGACGGAGTACGGAGTCCCAGATCCCAATTACAGCAGTGGGCCTTGGGGATGACAAAACAAAGCAAGACCCAGTCGTAAGAACTCCCCACTTATGATAGCGTGGACTACTCTTTAAATGGGAGAAGCTTGGGCATCATCACAGACGAACAGGGCGTTGGCGAATAATTACAAAACAACGCGTATCATGTACCCAATACAGCCAAGTACCAAGATGCCCTGGGCCCAGCCACACGTTCTCCCGGTGGAGCCGGTACTCCGCGTGTACCAGGTACCATACTGTACTCCGTACTGGAGATCCTGGCGAAGTCGGTCTGTACGCGCCAACAATGCCATTGGTGGAAGGAAGCAAAAAAAGGTGGATTTTCCATGGTGGAAAACATAACAAAGCACCAAGTGGGTTTGGAGTCCTGTTCCTTCAAAAAGCGGTGCTCATCACGCGTGTTCATTGCTCGAAGCGCTCTGGCGGTGGATCTAGCGCTACACCGTCAACTCGGGGGACGACGGAATCTCCACCGCGTGGACCTCGTCCAGGCCCGTCCCTCGTACCCGAGTGCAGCGTTGCACAGAGGGGGGATCGCCTTGCCCTCGCCACCGGGCCAAGGGCCAGGAATGGAACTATTTGGAGCGCCAAACCGCCGGGTTCCGTTATCGTCTTCTCTGGACCTTCGAGAAGGTCATCTTAATATCACCTTGGCCCTCACCGGGATCAATAACCTCACATCTGCTATATTGTGACCACTCCCGCAAATTGGCTACTCTCCCCCTTTACCAAGTGGATGGTGGCCACACACACACAGCCACTGCCCTGCCCTGCTTTTGGTTTCCCTGTTCCCCAGGGGCTCGTCCCACCCTGCCCTACCCCTTACCCACACAAAATTCTCCGAAGCGAAACTCCCGCCACCAAGGATCAGAGGCTGGCAAAAGCACATCCGCGATGCATCCGTACTGTAGGCTAAACCAACTTAACCAAGTCCCAAAGTTCGACCCACAACAAACGCCGACCAGAAATCCCTACATTAGTGCACCCCTTTACTTTGGTCGCCGGGAACCTCATAGCAACCCGCGAGCGTATCAGAAGCCAGATAGATCCCAAAGCACGTTCTCATTGCCCCTACTACCGATGCTAATCGCCGATCCGGAAAGGGGGATGACGATGTTATCGAAAAGTATCCACAACAAGCACGAGGGGACAACCACTCTACATCGTCCATCTACGCAGGTACATGTAAATCCCGACTCCGCCATCACCGAAGTAACGCACGCTCCCTGAGACTACTCGTTTCTGGAAGGTCATTACCGTGCTTCTATGGAGACGGGGAGTTAACTGCCCGCGCGGCCCCTAGTCGCTAGAAGAGAAGGCTCTAACCGTCTACGGATGCTATGTCATCAACCCAAGTGGACTTTGAAGTGGGGATAATCCCATGCGAAGTTATGTTTCTTGGCTTAGTTTATTTCTAACAGAGGATTCCATGAATTAATCTAGAATAAGGATTGCCCCTGGTTTGAATGAGGTTTCTGGAAACTTTTGCTTCCCGTCCCGGATTTGTGGAGGCCAATCAGCTTTCTTAGGAGCGGTTGGACCGGAGATTGATGCATGTGCTTAAAGGTAATGCACGAAGGAGATGTAGATGTTTGTTTGGACATTCGGTCGCCTGAGGCTTTCTCTCCTATTCCGTTGTCGGATTTGGAAGCATTGAACCTTTTTTTAGACCATCGCTGTACGTTTTAAAAGGAGTTGAATGGGCCTGTACGGAGTTTCCCATTTTGTATGAAGACCGACTCCACTCTTCTCATCATGCAGGGCACTCGGGAAAGATCAAATTCTGAATTCTGAGAGTGTCTAAGGGCTCGCAGGATTTTCTTTTTCTTCCTCGTTTGGGGCGTAGAATACTGCTCTGATTCCTGTCTGGATCATTCTACTATATGCCCATCTATCTTTTCGTCAGATGCACATTGGACTCAAGCTTTGTTCGTTCGGAGCTCTGGAATGACCATGCTTCAAGTAGATTTGAACATATCTTTCTGGGCTACATAGGCGCTTTCTTCACTGGCATGGGCTGGATCTTTCCCGCCTAGTGACCGTGTTTGATAGATGCAAAACGTAACATGGACTTCCAAATAACACTACAGACCCGCCTCCACGAGTGACAAATTCTTTCTTAGCACTTGCACAAGCGACAGGCTTGTCTAAGTTAGTCTCCTAATGCATCCAGTTGCAGTTCACTGAAAAGTGACCTGCGGGAGGTTACACATGTACGTCATTCTGGACTCTAAGCCTGCAGATATCAGTCTCGCCAGTTCCTTGTACTGCTATCATGAGCAGCATTACCGGATTGCTGTGGAGTAAAGCATTGCATAAGCTAGCTGCCGGCAGCTTTGCTTTTTGATAATGAAAAGAACCATGGCTGCCATGGACAATCCCTTCCTGTCGGCAAAGCTCGCTGGCACCAATTGCGTACATCACATCAAACTGTTAGCCCTCATCGCCGCGGCGATGCCTAAAAAGGTGCCAGCAAATTTTCGCCAACGGAGATAGTAAAAATGTTTGCCATAGCGACTCGTAAGTGAGCTCACCTCGCTTTGAATTCAGATCTTGAACCTCTCAGCTTCTTTCCCTCGTTGTGAATGATTCCCATCGCCTCGCACCCACCTCACGTCCCTTTGTGACCGATTTTCTTTACCTGAGCCACCAGCATACCATCCCAATCATGAGTGGCAACCTGTTTGCTAGGAGAGATATTTGGGACTACGCAGGATACGAGCTGCGTCTAAACCGCCAGTGAGTAGCCCACCCGATACCCCCATTGATGACTGGTCAAATTGACCGATCACCCATAGGGACCTGGACCCGAACCTGCCCGAGCAGTAAGTTATCAATACGAGATAGCCATGCATGAGCATAGACACTGATAAGTCTTCATAGAATCATTTGCTCCCGATGCTTGTCCGAGCTCCCACAGCAGTGTTTTTCGGCGACTCAGCTGGCTCACCTGAACGATGCGCTTGACACCCAGGGCACTAAGGTGCTCCATGCCGAAGGTGACTTCCAAGCCAAATGCTATAAATGTATTGATGACAGCAAACGGATCGAATACAGGTGCCGATTCTGCAATGAGTGGAAACCTGTGTGGTGGTTTGCTCGTAGTCAACATACTCGTGCATTTCAGCAATCACATTCGCAGCCAGTGAGTAGATCATCTTTTATCTCAATCCAATGTCTGTCCTTGGTTGGAGCTAATATTTGGGTTTTCAGGTCTGCATGCCCTGTCAGGACAAGAATTTCGAAAATATCGGTCTTAGCCAGCTGCGACTGTCGCCTGCACCGGAAGCCGAGCAGGTGCCGGGAATAGGACTGTCTTCTCGCACGGAAATCAGGTCGCCGAATTTGATTCTCGGTTGGGATGAGGAAGAAGGTTTTGCCAGTAGTAGCAAGTCGCCGCCCAGTTTGATTCTGGACTGGGATGAGAAGGAAGGCCGCCTTTCTAAGGGAGACTCACCCGATTCCTTTATGGACTGGGAGGAGGACAAAGACCCTTTCAGAAAAGGGAAAGAAATTGTTCGTAGGCAAGAGCCTCTTTCCAGGGAGGAGATTGAGGACGCTCTCAGGGCATCTCGGGAGACCGAAGAGTTCCTGTGATGCAATTTCTCTCTGCAGCCAGAGTTCATTTGTTTTCGAAGCTTCGTGCCCTAAGCCTGATCTACAGCCTGCTCTCGGTGGTTTATTATGACTCAAAGAGAAGGAGCTCCTTTGTTTTCTTTTTTGTTTTCGTCTCGTGTCCCTGGAACGGTCCACGGGTATTGACGGTGTTCCAAGGGTCGGGAGTCTCAGCATCCATGGTTCGTTAGGTACCTAGCATAAACGCTTCCGTTCTCTATGGTTCCTAGGGAAACAATGAACCTGTTTTATCTTGTTTCCAATGTTTGTTTGTGTACTCCGTACAGGGTGGGCATGTCTTAAAACATCACCAAAAATATATCTGTGGATCCACCTGGGCACACTTTGGGCAGCAGAAACTAAAGGGGATATCGCCGTCTACATCTTCCCATGCCATACTCGACGCACGTAGAAACCAGTTTGACAGAGGTAAAATTAGGTATTTAGCCTTTTAGAAGCGCTAGATGATGTTATATCCTGCAGGTCTACCAGCATGCACCATGATTGGCGATGAAGCGCCTTAGTAACTTTGTGCGGCTTCCATGTTGATTGGACTCGAGACCGATGCCAACTGTCGGATTAACCGACTTGCAGTCTTCTGCATGGCTCCAGATGTGAAACGGGGCGCTGGCTCATCTTGATAGGTTGAGAGGACATCGCAATCTATGCATGGAAAGATGGAGTTAATTAGATTGCCGATCAATGACGCTCCCCCGACCATAGCAATATGACATGACGGAGAATTGTGCATGTTCTGTGGCACTTGAATAGATTAAAAAGCGCCACATCAACGTGACCTGGATTCCTCGTTCCTAAGCTCCAGCGCTCGAGTGCCTGTCGCACCTGAGGAAATCCGGTGACGTTTCAGATCGCCACTTTCTCACCTTTCCCCACTGCCCCGCCATACGGAATTTCTCTGCCTTCAACTTTTCTTTGCCTTCTACTCTGCTTGTGCCCTGGTTTCCTTGGCGTCAGCAGAGAGGAAAATCCTGAAATCCTTCCTTGACTTGTTTCTCCATGGCCTACGATGGATACCAGTCACCTCCCAACTCGGGCTACCAGGGAATGGGAAATATGAACACGGATCCTAATGATAACCATGGCTACACGCCGACCCCTCCTTACCCCTCGTACTATGAATCCGATCATATCACTATGCCTCAGCCTCAGATGCCTCCCGCGTCATCGGCTCCTCCCCCACAGAGCTACGAATACCCTGAGCCATCTCGTCCAGGCAACTCCAACTCGGGCCATATCAACGACGCTGTCAGCTCAGCCGTGTATAATAACGCAAACTCCAACTCCTACCTCTCACCGGAAGTCCTGTCCCAGATCACTTCCACCGTCATTCAGCAGCTCAAGGCGTCCGGCATGAGTGACATCCAAGGCTCCCCTCAAAACACTCAATCCCAGTACCCACCTCCACCCCCACCTCGACCACAGTCGCAGTCACAGGCGCAGCAGCAGCCCTGGATGGCGCCGCCAACCGATCTCCCACTTCGCCCTCAATCCGAGTCCCCATCGGCTCCGCTTCATCAACGAAGTGGATCTATTCCGCCCCCAAGCGCAATGCCGAATAACTTTGAGGTTCCGCAGTCGCAGCCATATTCTGGCTACTCGAGCGATACACGATCCAATTCGAAAACCTCGCCGGATCCGACCCCGCGTAGAACTGGTTCAATGTCGAGTCAGGGGAGCGTGAGAGCTGAGGCGCGGCCAAAACCCCCTGATCGAGATGCGACGGTCATGGAAATGACCACACTGGAGAAGGTCTGGGGCAAACTGTTTGAAGATGATAAGCCGACACCGAGACTTGGACAATTCTTGCGCGGCATTGCGATGCATTTGGTACATTATCACTCCCATTTGTGGCGCGAGAGTGCATCGCTGATTATATGCAGATTGAAGATTACCCGCCCGGTAATACGCTTGTTATTATTCCGCAGAAGCTGCAGAAGTTCTACGCAGACACCAATGTGTCGCCTGATGCTTATCCATGGCAGGGTGGGTGATAATGCTATTCCTTGCCAATACAACGTACTAATCGCACCGACAGATATATTCGATGACAACACTTCTTCAATCTCTAGGCTATTCCGAGAAGTCAAGGCTCAGCACCACCTTGTGCAGAAGGATGATCTTTCAGAGCGACCTGATATTCCCGGCTTGACACCCAAAGGTTTCGAGACGTGGGCGACACTCATGATACTAGCCCACCCAGACCGCGAGTATGAACGCCTGCAGAAGGCTGTACTCAACATGCCGATCAGCAACCCAGACGACAAGAAGGAACGATTTCCCAAAGAGATTCCCCGACGCTTGTTCCCCGAGTTCGCTGATCTGAAGCTACGAGAGGCTACCGAGCTACATATCATGAAACACTGCGGCGTCGATCTCCCTCGCATCACCGATGAAGAACGATCCAAAGCGAGCCGCCCGAAGGCCTCCCCTCCTCTCGGCAGCGGTCGCAGCAGTGGTCTCAGCAGCCCGAGAAACGCCTCAACTGAACGAAGTCGATCCTACGAGAGGGGCCGCCCTCCACCCTCCGCTTCATCGTCCACCGCCATCCTTGACGATGAGGACGAAACTATTCCCCCAGCCCCCATCGAACGTGAGCGAAAGCCTTATTCCGCCAACCCTGGCGGTGGAAAGGTTTACGATGAAGTCGGCAATCCTCGCACCCACAGGGATTCCTTCACGCGACCATCTGATATTCCACCTGCATCCACTTCCAGCCACCGAGTCTCCACGATACCGCGCTCTCCAACCCGGGACTCCCTATATGCTCAGCGTTCCGGTTCCGGTCCAGCTCCCTATCATCGACACTCGAAAGGGCACTCGCGCACATCGCGCAGTTCCTCACGCAGTATCGATGGATACAGACACTCCGAAAGTGACCTGCTAGGCCGCGATCATACTCCGCGGTATGGCAACGTGTCTACCAACGATTTATACATGGAGCCGACCGCCATGTCACCTGATGCTGATGACGCCCGTTATCATGGTTCGCACCGTAATAGTCGCACTGATGAGGATTACTACCGTGGTTTGCTTGGTGGACAGGGCGGTGGTCCCAAGTATTACTGATATTTGCAAGCTTGTCACTTGCCCTGCATTTTCTTATGCGCCTACTATGCAGGATATTTCGTTTGGATGAAATCTTTATCTCATTTTGGATTTATTTCGTTTTGCTTGAGTCTTTATTGATTTTTGGCCTTCGTCCAGCTGGCGTCTCGTATGGCATGAAGATACCTCTCGGTTTATTATGACGATTGACGACTCTCATGTTCAACATTGTTTTTGGTACATGCGTTTGAAAATATGCAATAGAACTCTAATGAACATGTTTATGTCCCGGGCCCTTGCTAGCACCCTCCAAACAATAATGCATCTCATATACCAATTCAAGCACTCCATCCTTTCGAGGTCTATCAATTTTTTTCCAATCTGGACCTCTTCCTCTCCCAAATCTCTTTCATAACCCTAACACCGTCTTCCCTACAGACAGCAGCCTCCTTCTCCCGTTCCCGCTCCTCACTTTGATATATCCTGGCAATATGCCGTTCATCCTTTCCCTCCCTCTCAACCCTCCTCTTAATCTTCTTCCGGACTCTCTCCCTCTCCTCTGCAGCCCGGATATCCCCTTCCTCGCCCTCCCGACGTAAAGATTCAATCTCCTCGTCGAGTAGAACCCACGGCACAGAAAGAACCTCAACAAGATATTGAAGCCTTTCAAAAACGAACTGCATTTCTGCGTTTGTATCGCGGATGATACTGAAGCGTTCCAAATGTAGTTGCATGGTTGATCGGAATGAGCCCAGCGTTCCCTTGACTTTGATCATCGTCCCAGGTATCAGTGAAGATATATCGAGGATTGACTGGTCTGTTGCAGTGATATGAACTGTATCGTTCTGGATGATCTTGTCTTTTGACCTGTCACCCTCGCCGATGCTATAGGCAGTTGGGCCTGTTTCTTCTTCTTGGCTGCCTATACCTCCAGTTATCTGGGACTGAAGCTTTGACTGAGATACACCAGGACCAGAGCTGGCATTCATTGCGGTAGACTTTGAATCTGACTCCGTGTGCTTTGGGTCTGTTGAATGTTGAACCGTTATTTCAATCGTGGCGCCGCTGCTATCATCCAGTGTGAGGATTGTGCGGCGGAAAACTTCTGTTCTGGCTACAATGAGTCCTGCCACTGTCACGAAGCGGATTGGGTGGTTTTTATAGAAGAAGACTTTCTGGCCTGGAAGTCGTTAGTATATATTCGAGTCTTCAACAATATATATGGCTGTCCGGTGTCACTTTGGCAGACTGGGGATCTTGGTAATCAGGATGGACCGTTGGAACAGAGACACCACGTTGATAACAAAAAGCAGTGACCGCTATGTTTATAAAGGCCAAAAAAAAGATATGTGTGCATCCTTACCATCAAAATTCCTCGGTTTCTGTAATCGATGCACATCCGCTATCGCCATTTTCACCCAGGTGAAGTGCGTTGGCGAGGCTTTGAAACAAAATGCAGGGTAGATGATGGATTCCACATCATCAACCGTCGCCATTGGATCATTTTCTCGATGGAGGTTGGACGTTACTCGGTTTGGAATGAAGTCAATTCGGAGTTGAATGGGCGGGTCACGTGAAGACGCGACTATATAAGCAGTTGGCGCGTTTAATTTCATGTCCTTAGTTTTTTATTTTCCAATGTTAATTTGGTATCTTTGTGTAGGAGGGTACCGCTTTTAATAAATTTACATGGGTACTTACATGTGAATATAAGTCATAAGATGCGTTATCCTAGTTATCATCCAAGCTCTCTTTAACCTTAAAAAGTACAACTAACACTCACTCACTCAACTCCACTCCAACCTTGCATAATACATTTCCAATGTTTATTTTACTTTACAGGAATTCGACCAGTAATTCAATTTAATAAATGATGGTCTCGCCCTCCATCATTCTCTTCTTCGGATTCCTCGGGGCCTCCGTCTGCCTTTCGCCATCACCTCCCACCTCCCCCAAAGCCTCCTTAACTTTCTCCTCACAATTCTCATGCCCAGCCATAGCGACCTTCAAAATCTCCTTCTCAAATCCGCGCACATACTCCCACTCAATCCCCGCGCTCTCAAGCATCTTACACCCCTCACTCTCCCCCACAAAAGTCCCAGGCTCTTTAACCCCAAAGTAAACCTTATGAACACCCGGACGACCTCCCTCCCTTGTCTTCGTAATCCGTTGAACACAGGGCGCATTGCCCGACAACCGCTTTCCGCATGGCTCCATCGTGACATACATCACGAGCTTGCGACCCTCTTCTACGGGTAGTACGGAGGCGACTTCTTCCTCGGGGACGTTGTGAACGGCGGCAAAGTTGGAGAAACAGCATTGCTCGGCGTGGGTGTTACCGGCTAGTTCCATTGTGTAGCCTGTTGAGAGGATGCGGTCTTCGGAGAAGGTGGGGTCGTTGTCCGCGCGGGAGATAAGGATTGCGCCGACGCGGAAATTGGTTGGGCGGGGTGGGGATTGGGAGGCTAGGACTATGCATTTGCGCATGTAGGGTCTGTGGGGGGCGTTTGTTGCCATGATGTTGGTTTGGGGGTTGTGGTGGGTTGATATGGCGTAGCTGCCAGCTGGTGTGCGTGAGCAGTAAAGAAATTTGGTGTTGGGGAACGAAGAAAGAGGCTGCAATGGTTCTTGACGATTTTTGAACTCAATGGATGAGATTGGTAGGGATGGTTGGCTTGGAGGTTTAAATAAGAAGAGTTAAGGTGAGTTAAGATCGAAGTGGGGAAGCTTGTTGCCTATGACGGAATGATCATGAAATGGTAATGCGGTCGGCGCGTCAATTTCGCGTCCCCTTACCGCGCCGAGTCTTATCTTCACCACTATTTCTCCCCATCCTCACATACACCCCTCCGGTCCAATTTCGCTTTTAGCACTACTAGCGATCAGAGAGGAACGATGACGAAAGCCACAGAAAACGAGCGAATCCCTGAGGAGCCGCCCTCAGTGGAGGAGGACCTCTACAAGATCCTAGGTGTCGAGTCAAACGCAACCCCCGAAGCAATCAAATCTGCCTACAAAAAGAGTGCATTAAGGCATCATCCTGGTATGTCTTCGTCAGCATTCCCGTTAAGGCTGTGTATTATCCAGGAAAAATCTAACACCCCAAAGACAAGGTCAGCGAAGATGCCCGTGACGCAGCCCACGCAAAATTCCAACAGATCGCCTTAGCCTACGCCGTCCTATCAGACTCACGCCGGCGCAAAATCTACGACCGCACTGGAAACACTGAAGAGGTCCTTGGCGAAGATGGCGACTTCGACTGGATGGAGTTCTACCGCGAACAGCTCTCCGCAATGCTAGACACAAAAGCGATTTCCGACTTCCAGAAGAAATACCAAAACTCCGACGAGGAGAAGCGCGATTTGTTGGAGGCTTATGAAAAACACTCAGGTGATCTGGACAAGATCTATGAGTCGGTCATGCTTTCCAATGTTCTCGATGACGATGAGCGCTTCCGGGCTATCATCGACCAGGCTATTGCGGATGAGGAGGTGGAAGATTACAAGAAGTACTCTCAGGAACCGGAGAAGAAGCGAGAGCAGCGCAAGAAGCGTGCGCTGAAGGAGGCCAAGGAGGCAGAGAAACTAGGCAAGGAAGTTGAAGAGAATAAGAAGAAGAAGTCTGCTGCCGCATCTAAGGCTTCGAAGGGCTCTGGAGGTGGTGAGGATGATTTGCTGGCTTTGATCACTAAACGGCAGCAGCAGAGAGGTCAGGGATTTTTGGCACAGCTGGAGGAAAAGTATGGCCAGCCTAATGGGAAGAAGCGCGGGCCTGCTGATGAACCTTCTGAGGAGGCATTTGCTGCGGTTGGGGCTCGGAAAAAGTCCAAGGATGCGAAACCCAAGCCAAAGAAGTCCAAGGCGTAGGCTTGGCGCTTTTGTTTTTGTATTCATACCCCCAATTACCGCTATGGTCTTCATGATTTCCAACGAGTACTTTGTGCTTCAACTTTTCCACATGGGAGTTTGGTTTGGGATTGTACCTGGGATGGCTGATTCTTGTTTTTCTTTTACCTGCACTGGACTCCCTAGCTACCTAGCACGCTAGTGTGACGGACCTATTCAGAGCAAAATTAGCGAAAGTGCGCAATGCCTTTGTTTAAAGAAGCACATAATTCAAATACCAATATAGATAGCCGTTATATCAACCTGGTCTACGTACTCCAGGTTTCCAGTCACTTTGAGTGTCAAGAAAACTTTGTGTCTGGATAAATTGAGTACAGCATGGAATTATGGTCAAAGCATTAAGATGTTTCCCTTCAATGTTTCTGACATGGCTTGGATTGAGCGATTTGCCAGAACGGCATGGTACACATCTCAATTTGTTTGTTGCGCGCCAAATATAATGCAAATATGTATCATGAATTCATCCCTCTAGACTATTCGATGATCTACGTATATCCAATGGGATTGAAGAAACTCAATGCTGTGTAAGTATGCTGAGACTATTTATCCTCAATAGCATGAGTCTTAGCCAGGGCTTCCTCTCTCCATCCCCAACCCAATGCCAATGCTGCACCAGGACCAAGGGTGACAGTAGTCCCCACCAAAGCACATGCTGACTTCCACCACGAAACAGGTACCCCAGACTGCTGCAGCTCCCGGAACCTCAGCCCCAACCAGATAAAGCCGGCACCAAGAGAAAATATCTCGTCGTATTGCAGAAATCGCGCAATACCTTGAGCAAACGAGGTAACAGGCTGTGCGTGCTCGAACAGACCGGGTAGGAAGATTGTGGCCAAAGACGCACCCTGAGGAGCAGACCAACGAGCGTAAATGAAAGACAGCCCTGAGATAGCAGCCAATGAACCATAAGTGCAGCGGGTCCAGAGCATGTTCGTTTTGTGATTCGAGGCTGTCTTTTCTTTTGCTTCAATGTTGGATCTGGGCTTTGCCAACAAGCGGAGCGGGATTTGAATCACTGGAACTACCAGCGGGAACAATTGCCACACTGCATTGATAGATTGACGAGATTCAACTGTAGAGGCGAAGAAATTGGCAAAAGTCGGAAGGTAGTAACCGGCGAGCACAGCAGGCAAAAGTGACTTCAAGGCATCCGTCTTCATGTTTCGATTATCTCCTTTTAGCGAAGAAAGAGGTGAGCGGATGTACTCAATTGCAAAGTATATAGGGGCGATCTTTCCAATTCCCTTCAGCTGGAAAGCAATTCCAGCAACTATGGGTCTGCGTTAAAAAAAAAAATCAAAACATTAGTCCTAGCCACAAAGTCAAAACATCAAAAGTAGCATGCGAACAGTCCTTCACGTACAGAATAACTTCAAGTCCCGATTTTCCCTGTCGATGGCTCTCAAGTAGCCATATTGTGTAGACTGGGCCACAGTCGGCCAGGAACGAAACCATTTGAGAACGGGATACTGCATCGGATCCACTGATAGATGGCAGGAAGCAAGTAATCAAGGGTGAGAAGAGTCGGTCCAGGAAAGGGAAGTTGTACAACGATCTGGTTAGACTAACAGTCTCTCCATTGTTGGATGTCCAGATTCCCTTGCGAAGTAAAGCGATCAAATGCGGTAGAAAACCGTCCTTCGCAGATCCCATGATGCTTCTCGCAGCCATGGCGCATCCAATGAGGGGAGAGGCAGAGATTGCTCGTCGCCAGAGTGTGTCCTTGTCTTCCTCGGGAATCTCATGAATAGGCATGGGACAATTCAACGCTCTGGGGGGCAGCGGGACACAATCGAGCCTTTCTGCTCCAGAAAAAGATTGAGACAGGCGTTCTACGAGCCATGATGCTAGATGAGGCAGTGCGTGAATTGCCATCAGTCTATCCTTGAGTGTTGCGCAGGCTTCCAGTCGAGTCAAGGCATTTGCTTTGATGCAGACTTCTTTCGCCCGCGGCTGTCGTGCTGTCTGCCAATCAGTCAAACAGTTTTTGATGTCTTTGAAGGGAACCTTTCCGTTGGAAGAACTCTGGACAAGCCGAGTCAGGTGGTTTGCTAGCGATGCAGCACTTTCTACCGCGTTGTTACCACCTTGACCCATATTAGGAGTCATCTGCATTTTGTGCAATGTCAGATATGTTCGATAATGAATGAAGTTACACGACAGTCCTATCATACCTTGTGTGCAGAATCCCCAATGCAAACGAATCGGTCCATGCACCATTTCGTATGATAGGCTTCTTCCAGAGCCAAAAAGCTCTTGGTCACAGTGTTCTGAAGAACGGAGGAGAAAGGGACCTTGTCAGTAATCGGCTTGTTAGAGTACTGAGCAAGCTGCTTCTCCATGTCCTCTTCACTATAACGAGGAATTTCAGATCCCTTGTAGACTTTGTCCAACTTGGTGAACAAAAACCAGAACACACGGCCGTTTTTGCCTACAATGGTCAGTGACGAGTAGTCTTTTCCGTATGTCCGGTGGCATTCTCCTGGGAGTAGCCCCGGAGTGGCCGTCGATATTCCAAACACGCAGGAGTACTCGGATGACATGACTAGAGTTATCAGTATGCGCAAAAACAGCCTTCGGGATTAAACATACTGGCTTTCTCCTCTTTCACCTCCTTTTTCATTCCAATGGATTCCATGTGGTGCCACATCTGCTGTCTCACGGTACTTCTCACACCGTCAGCTCCAACAACAATATCTCCTTCTATCACCGACTGATCGTCGCAGTGAACCAAGACTTTGGTTGGCAAGTGTTCCACCTTGACGACTTTCTTGCTGGTATGAACTCGGTTTTGATTGTCTCCTAATCTGTTATACAGAATTTCCAGCAAGGCCCGGCGATCGAAAAATGATATAGCGTAGCCATGCCTGCATAAAGTTAACGCTATCCAGTGCAGTCATGTTCCTCCGGGCAAAAGAGGCTCGTACCTATTATGAATAATCCGAGGGACATCATTTTCCACGATGAATTGACCAGTTTCTGTCCAGTAAATGCCCTTCACCAAAGGCTCGATGACATCCAGGATATCATCAAACACACCTAGCTGGTCGAGGGTACGAGCACCATTGGGAAGAATTCCAATTGAAGCGCCTACTTCAGGGGCAATTTCACAGTGTGACTCTAAAACAACATATTCGATATTGCTTTTTCCCAAGCAGTGAGCAAGAGTCAGCCCCGCGACTGAGCCACCGACTATAATGACGCGGAATGGATTTTCACTCTGCATGCTGGCGGTAGGCAATGGTTTGAATTGTTGCAACTTGAACCCTAGGTATTTATACACTAGCAGCCAGGCTCTCAAAAACGGCCCCCATTCAATCCCTTTGCACTAGTCCTATATCTCTATAGAAACAAGCCTGGAGGCCCGTGGGGCTTCGTGGATGGCGTATACCGTCTCCGCCTGGTAATTAAGAAACAAACCATGGGATACTCGGCTATGGGCTATTTCGATCTTACGGGTGCCGTTGACAGAGACCCACTTGTAAAATACAAGAAATCCGAGAAACCCGAGAACACCCCCTTCAATAGAGTAGTCAATTGTGATCCCGTCCCGGCATGATCTCTGAGTCCAATTCACTTTCTCCCAAGACTCAAATTTCAATTCACTCGGCAACGTGTATCTCCACGATGGGGACGAATATGGTCACTGGTGGTCTTGGCAAGCCCGGTGATCGAAAGAGAAGAGATCAAAAGCCTCGAGTATTACAGTCGTGTACGTTGTGTCGTCAGAGAAAGTACGTTCAAATCCTAGCAAGCTTGACCTTGACCGCAGCCCCACCCTAATAATATATACTTATGTATGGTCTGAAACATAGCTCATCTATCTCATAGGCTACGATGCAATCGCAAAGTACCCTGTGACAATTGTGCAAAGCGGAATGAGGAATCATCTTGTCGGTATGCTACGGCTCTCTCAATGAAGAGTGCAAATAGGGGGCCCAATCTGCCTAGTCGGGTGCACTATTTGGAGGACAGGATCAAACAGCTAGAGAAATGCATTGGGCAGGCGAGTCCGACCACGAGATTCAGAAATGTCACTCCCGATGACGACATGCGCATGCAAGGCACTCACAAATCTAGCCCTGTGGATGGACTTCTTCTCTCTGGACCAAGCGGGACGCGATACACTAATTTTGCTCATTGGCAGACTATCATGAATGCCGTCAGTGTCACCCCACCTTATGCTTTGCCGTCAAGCCTCTATCTGATATATGGTTCTATAAACAGACCAGAGCACTCAAGGAAGGCAGTCCAGGCTCTCATACAAGTAGTGGAGCCCATATTGATGAATCTATACGAACACCCAATGGACCTTTCTTGCTAGTCGGATTGTCGGGGAACATGTCAATCAACGACCTTCTGGCAGCATTGCCACCTCGAGACATTGTTGAGAGCCTAGTCTCTATCTATCTTAACTCAAATGAACCATCTCTAAGTATGACCCCCTTGAATACGTCCGAAATATGGTACCAATTTTACTTATTTAGCTGACCACAAATTCGCAGACTTTATTCATCGTCCCACTTTCAAAACCGAGGTTCGCTCTAAATGGCTGCATCCTGAGCCAAAGATAGTATAAACTGACTTCAAAAAACCGGCAAAGTGCAATCATCTTTGGGAAGATCCCACCAAAGTCTCTCCTGCATGGCTGGCATGTCTATACGGCATTTTGTCCTGCGCAGTGTGGATTGATCACACCACAAACCAAGCCATGTCCAAGATTAATGAAGTCCCAGGAACTTTTGACTTCTATCGAAAAAGTTGCGCTCTCTGCCTGACAAGTTCAAATTATACCACCCCTGGTCGCTATAAGGTTGAAGCCCTTGGGCTTTATCTAGGTATTGAATACCTGTCCAGCAATAACCTGAAAACAGGCGTTATGGTCCTGTTGGGCATATGCATTCGGCTAGCCATCATGATGGGTTATCATCAAGATGCCAGATCATACCCCCACATCTCCGTGTTCGAAGCGGAGATGCGTCGACGAACGTGGCTATTTCTGCAAATGACCGATTCAATTGTGTCATGCCAAACAGGTGTCCCAAGGGTTATCTCAGGAAGACTAGGCAACACCGCCTTACCCCGAGATCTCTTAGACACAAGTTTCGGACCAACGACTGTTGAGCTACCGCCACCACAATCTGTATCCGAACGGCCCACCAGTATCACTTACATATTAGCTGTCTGGCGATTAACGGCAATTTCCAATGAGATGATGGACACGCTCTCCTGCAAAACATTAACATACAATGAAACAATCCAGCTAAATCACGACCTTGAAGTTGCCCGAGACCACATCCCGCCCCTCTTACGCATGCAGGCAACCGACCGCAACTGCCCAATAAAAGATAACTATATCATCATTGAGCGTCACAGGCTGGAAATCACATTTCAACGCGCTCGGTGTATTTTGCATAGGCAGTACCTATTGGCAAACAGGACCGAAAGCAAATATGACCATCTCCGCAGCACGTGTGTCAATGCGGCGCAGCGAGTAATCGAACTCCAAATCAAGTTGTTCCAAGAGATCTTACCCCGGGCTCGGCAACATCGAAAAGCTTGGTTTGGTGCTTCCGTATCCATCACCGATTGCTTGACAGCCGCCATGATCATCTGCTTTGAAATCATGAATCTGTCGCAAGCTGAACAAAGATTACATGCTAATAGAACATCCGGGCTTATCGATTTATTGAGAAATCTATATGACACCTGGAAGATTGCCCCGGAGCCGTCATTTGAGACTTCTCAGTCTGCCGATACGTTAGCCGCAATGTTAAAACTGGTCCAATCGGGCAATTCAAATGTGACTTTGCGCTCTTCGGGTCCGGTTCATTCCACCGAACATGATGAACAGGCGCCACCTGGACCTTGTTCGGAGCCTTCAAGGGAAGAAATGGAAACGCAAGATTTCTCGACCCTGGGGTGCTTGCAGGATTTGTTGAATACGGATTGGGCATTTGAGATGTTTGACTGGGTGAGAAATATCAGTTCAAGCTATTTGATATGCGTCTGGTTTCATTTGCTGATCATACTCTAGAGTCTCTGGGATCGTGAAATGCATGAACTCAATGGCAGCATTTCAAATAATGGGATGTCTTGAAAATCAACCAACACGAATACGAGAAACATGAAATACCTTATTCTGGGGGGTGTAATTATTGACTACCAAGAGTTGTCTCATTTGTGTCTTCATTGATTCCTTGATGACCAAAATATGTGTCTTCATTCTCTGCTTTGTCTCTCATTATTGTAGTTTTTGGGCCTAATACAGATACGGCTTGGAAAGAGAAGAGAGACAAAGGATGAGAGGAGTTTGCAATATATAGAAGAGAAGGATTGAAATTGTAACCAAGAGCGGGGGAGGGTTTATGCTCGAGAATCGCGCCTTCCAAGGTTCCTTATTTGGAGATCTCGTGCCTTCCATTTGGTGTGTGAATACATATAATGCAAACCAATCCAACACTCTCGAAAGCACATCTTCATAAGCCGAGCCGAACCACCTCAATAGAATCCATCCGACTTCCCCAGAGAATGTCGAGGAACGCCGAGTTGCGCCGAGTTGCCGAGTTGTTCGGTACCGCGAATCTCCACTTTAACGGTGCCAACCGATTAACGTCCAAGACGAATGACTAATTCCGGAAATTAGTGGGGATTCATCCCGCGGAACTACATAATTATGCAATCCCGTGCCGAGTTCCCGATCATGCGGATTTGATACATCTAGAATTTCACTTTCTCTTCGAGCGCAATGCATGAGTGCGATACCCAAGTAATATATCAAAAGTTTGTTGATTTTACTGTTCATTTCATGAGATCTGGGTGCCCGAGAAACGCCCTCGGATAGGTCCATCATGGTCGCAGACCAATCTGCACATTTCGAAGATGCCAAGGAACTTCAAGACCAGAGCTATATTCCATTCTGGCGATTGTTGGTTGATCAAAAAGTCATCACCAAAGAGGTGTTGCATCATCAATATGACGGTTCGGGGACTGAAGATGACCCCTATGTCGTGCAGTGGTTGAACGTCGACCCTCGGAATCCCATGGAGTTCAGCATGGCAAGAAAGGCCATTGTTACTTTTGCTACTGCCGTTGCGACCTTCGTCATATCTTTGACTTCTTCCGCGTACAGTGGTAGTATGCAGGGTGTTATCGATGAGTTTGATATTAGCAGAGAAGTCGCGACTCTTGGCCTGTCGTTGTTTGTATTTGGATTCGCCGTGGGACCGTTGATATGGGCACCGCTTAGCGAGACCATTGGTCGGCAAATCCCATTCTTCGCTTCCTTTCTTGCTCTTGCTGCCTTCTCGGCGGGGTGTGCGGGGGCCCAGAATATCCATACTTTGTTGATTCTTCGGTTCTTTGGGGGTGCTTTTGGTTCTGCGCCTCTGACGAATGCTGGTGGCGTTATCTCGGACATGTTTGTCGCTAGACAACGAGGACTGGCGATGCTTTTATTCGCGTCGACTCCTTATCTAGGTATGACCTGGCTCGGTATAAGGAATCACTTTGATGATCAGTGCTAACTGACTCACCAGGTCCTGCCCTCGGGCCCATCATTGGTGGCTTCCTCGGTATGAACGCAGGGTGGCGATGGGTTGAGGGCTTCCTGTCTGCTTGTGCAGGCATGGCTTGGATTTTGATGGCGATTCTTGTCCCTGAGACTTATGCACCGGTGCTACTCCGCAAGAGAGCCGCAAAGTTGTCCCTCCTCACAGGCAAATGCTACCAAAGCAAACTCGATCTGGAAAGAGGTAAAATCTCAGTCGGCAAGCGGCTGAAGACGGTTTTCTCTCGACCTTGGGTGCTTCTTTTCCGTGAACCCATCGTTCTTCTACTCACATTCTACGCCGCCCTTATCTACGGTGTGCTCTACATGCTTTTCGAAGCAATTCCTATCGTCTACGAGGAAATTCGCGGGTGGAATGCCGGCGTTGGCGGACTTCCTTTCCTAGGGGTCATGATCGGCGTGCTCATCGGTGTGGCCTATACCGTGTGGGATAACAAGCGATATATTAAAACCCAGGAAAAACACAATGGGTTTGCTCCACCAGAGGCTCGCCTGCCCCCTTGCATGTCCTCTGCTGTGGCTATCCCCATTGGCCTCTTCTGGTTCGCATGGACGAATTCTCCGTCAATTCACTGGCTATGCAGTGTCGCAGCCTTGGTTCCATTTGGTTTCGGACTGCTCCTCATCTACATGGGAATCGTCAACTATCTCATCGACTCTTACACCATTTACTCTGCGTCTGTCTTGGCAGGCATGTCTGTTTTCAGATACACATTTGGAGCTGTATTCCCCTTGTTCAGTTCATACATGTACACGGGTCTGGGTATTCATTGGGCCTCATCCATTCCGGCCTTCGTGTCGGTATTGTGCATGCCGCTTCCATTTTTCTTCTATAAATATGGTGCACAGATTCGGCAGCGATGCAAGTATGCTGCCCTATCGCAGAAGCGCCTCGAGACTCTGCGGCAAGCGTCTGTGTCAGAAAAGGCGCCCGTGCAATCTTCTGATGAGGGAGCCGACAACCAGCGAGGACTTTTGACAAGTTCCTAAGGACTGGGACAAAATTGGTGACTGGTATCGCATCACGTTTAGATCGGCGCAGTGCTGCACAATTTTTCGTTGCATATAGATTACTTTCCATATATTATGATAGAACATTTTCAGCGATGAATTATATAAGTTTTCAGCACCATACCCATAGCTAAATACATTCATTTTGTTGCCAATCATTGTATATCTACCCAGACAAAGAAATAGAGATGATGTGAGCTTAAAGGATCAGTGCATTGTAGATGTTGATTTGGGAAATCCGCCAATGTAAAAGAGCAAACAATGGCGGAAAGGAAGGGAAGAAAACTAGAGAAAGGAAGAAGAAGAAGAGACCGAGGAATAAATTGCTTTGAATACCCTTCAAAACTGGTACTTGCAAGACTGCCTGCAAGATTGGCGAAATTTCTGGTATATAATACCGTATGAATAGCCTCAACTTTTCTCTTGGCCACTTTTTTATTATGTCTTACCACACATTTTCTTGTGTCCTTCATCCTTTATCATGAAGTTCCATCCTCCATGACATGATCCATCCTTGATCTCTTCATCTGTCAACACAACAGCGGCGAATTTGTTTACTTTTCGTCAGGTCCATGCTTAATGACCTCGTTCATCAACAAAACATGATAACGTGTTGAATCGTTTCTGCTGGATGGCATATTTCCTTGAGCTACATCCATCAACACAAGTCTTTCACCACGTCATTATTCTGTCTTGATCCGAGTCTTTTCTGGACAGGCGTCACTCAGCTACCAATTACATCCCATGAACTACCAAGCTGAGTGTCAGGACACATTCAGTCGAGGCTTGGATCAGATCCCGTCGACATCAATAACTCGGACATGGTTTTCCTTTCAAAAATTAAGGACACGAGACACAAAATCACTCGACATCAAAGCAAAATCAAAATCAAAATCAAGATCGAAATGTAACCAAAACCGAAACACAAACCAAAACCAAGACCAGTAAACTTTGCAAGTCATGTGGACGAGCCAATGATCAATGTCAAGCATGCGGTGAGAAAGCACCTGTCCGACAACGCGCAGTGCCTCGTCCAGGCCAATACTGGTACTGTAAAGACACTTCCCTTCTGCCTGCTTTGCCCTGTCTCCTCCAGTAAAAGACTATAGCACCACGGGGCCAATTCACTACCTCAATCATCACCCTCACAAGGAAACTTGCCAAGCAATCGCCAAATTGTGCGATTAACTCACATCACAATTCTCAAAGCCCTTCTCGACTGTCATATTACAGTTGGTGGAACAGCTTGTACTTCTGCCCATTCGCGCTTCAATGAATGAGCCCGTCTTTTTTGGTCAACACCGGGCCGCCAAAACATTGATTGAACCTGGGGACATTGCAGTGAAGAATTACTCAGTGCCCGGTGACTTTAATGTATCTCATTGTTCAGTTTTCTGAAGGTCATATGGTCTTTGCATTCGAAAGCTCTTACATTCTTCAAACATTTGCTTCTTTTTTATTCCATACTTTCGACTTCAAATTCTTCTTCTATGTAGGCTGCTATGTAGGGATGCCCTATGTTAAGCCCTAGAAAGCTCCCTGTTTCCACTGGTTCTGTCATCGCTAGCGCCACTAGTTCCATTTGCATATTGATATACATAGACGCCCGTTGGGCATGAATTGGCGATCCCCCTTTTATGGGTCCCAAGTTTGGTATGGAGTCATGGCCATTTTCTTCATACCACCAGGGCAGGAAGCCGCGTCTCACAGCACCTTCCGGTTATTACTTGCTATGCTATGGTACCGTCTTTCGCTTCAAATTCTTTGACTGTCTTGCATATACCAGTGTTGATCCTCCGAATTCGACCACTATCATTCCTTTTCTGTGAGCTTATACTTTGAGCCGTGGTTTCCCTAATCATTCTGGGGTGCTTCATTGATAACTTGTTGCTGATAAACATGCATTTCAAGATTTGCGGAGTGCATAATCGTCATAAGGTAGTCGATCGCTCCACATTCCATTTCGTGGTTCCGCATTCTTGTTGGTCGAGCCGCAAACCGAGTTCCCCACATCAGGAATCATCTCCGCCGCAGGCGGACTCGCACGAGATGTCGTACCACTCTGGACGCATCTCCCCCTTACCTCCAGAGAATGTGTCAAGGGAACATACAACTACCCCAGAACAACAATCCCCCCCTTCCCCGCCAAAATTATCACACAAAGAGCAAAAATCGTCGCTGAGTCGCGCCGTCCAGAACCTGCTTAGCACCCCGCAGTCTGCAAGGGGTGCGGGCACTGTCAGCGGGGCTGTCCTATCTTCACGAGATCGTGGGACTCGCAGCCCAGTCGAGCCTCTCTTTTCATCGCCACTCCGTATCAGCTCATCTGCAATGGCGTCTGCCCCAAGCTCCCCCGAAAGACATAGGGCCGACCCTGACGATCTGCCCCGGAGATCATCCGACCAGTTTTCGAGAGAGACGGACCAGCGTCCTTCGACGGCACCGGCAGTCGGACAAGAGGAAGACTTGAGACCGGTGACCGCTCCGGCTAGCCCGGAACACGCGGTTTTCAAGAAACATAAACCACAAGGGCGGCGTGCAATGGCTGCAATGATGTCGGGCTTGGAGTCTCGCTTGCTTCCCAAGAGTTTCACTCGTGGGAGAGATTCGAGCCGCGGCTCGAGTCGGCGTGGCTCCTCCGTGGACTCTAGGTCTCCTTCAGCGGGCTCGAGGTTTGATAGATCTCTATCTCCGGGTACCCGCGTCTCCCAGCTCAATCGGTCTGAGACGGCCGCGGAGGAAAAGTCGACTGAGATCAATTATGACTCGGCGCACAGCAAATCAGAGGAAGTTTTGTCGAAATTATCCGGAACCCCTAGTCTCCCGGACTACATCAAACCGACGGAGGAGGAGCCTGGCGAGCGTCTGGCAAAAGATGTGTTTGACAGCGACAAAAATCTCATTGAAAGCAGTGACGAAGACGAAGACGTTTCAAGCGATGAGGAGAATATTCCTGGAGTACAGGTGGTCCATTCTCGAGGCCGCAAGAAGAGGCCGACAGACATCAGCTCCATCAGTCCTAGTGATTTCAGGCCAAAGGATAAATCCCAAGACACGGAAGAGCGTATGTCAAGCTCCTCACTCCTTCTACGCATCATCCATATGTATATTAACCTGCCTCCCAGAATCGTCTAGCGCCAAACCCGGCGATACCAGGGGAAAGAAACCTAGGAAGTCGGCATTAAAGGCGGTGATTCATCCTCAGACAAGTTTCGACATCCCAACTCCGGCTACACAATCGGTAGCTGGCACGCCTTATGGATCAGAGGATGAAGCAGAGCGAGATGACATTCACCGTGCGCAGCAACTTGGTATATCAATGTCTGCCATTGACAATCGTGTTCCCAATCGATCTATTCGCACGATAATTCGTGGTAACTTTGCGAGCCTTCAGGAAGAGGCCGACGGGGGACGTCGTCGCCAACGGAAATATTTGGTTGCTACCGATTTGAGCGAAGAATCAGTCTACGCTCTAGAATGGACTATTGGAGCCGTTCTGCGAGACGGAGACACCATGTATGCACTGTATGCGGTGCATGAAGATGCCAATACCTCTTCTGTGCAGGTTGGTGAGGGAGCCAAGGCCATGCAAGATGCTGCTGCTGTCGTGGGGACCCAGACGAAGGAAGCTACCCAGAACGCTAGCCGTTATATTCTGGGTCGGCTGGGTCCAGGAACTACTAGCAAATCGGGCTCTGTCGATGCTCGTGCATCGTCTCTTGCAGAAGCGGAGCGAGTCAAAGCAGTCGAAACAGTTTCCAATACGTGTGTGAAACTGCTGCGGAAGACACTTTTGCAAGTTCGCATCGCTGTGGAGGTCATTCACTGTAAAAGCCCTAAGCTTATGATCACTGAAGCTGTGAGTCTTCTCCTACAACTGGTATAGATGCGGATCAAGAAACTGACCTTCTTTAGATTGACGAACTTGAACCTACTCTTGTCATTGTTGGCGCTCGAGGCCAGAGCGCCCTGAAAGGGTAAGTTAAGCCCGTTCCAAGTGATGTTCACTTAGATCTAATATCCAAACAGTGTACTTCTCGGTTCCTTCTCCAATTACCTACTCTCCAACTCATCTTCTCCTGTCATGGTTGCCCGCCGCAAGCTCAAGCGACACCCTTTCAAGGGTAGATTTAGCAAGGACTTGCGCCTGAGCAACAATCTCAAGACCCCAAAGAGCCTCACGCAAGCTAAGGTTGACTGAGCATGACCTATATTCTTTCTTTGCACTCTTTCTTGCATTTTCATGGGGCACGCAAAATGGGCATTGTTGGATCTTGATATTCTTAGACAGCCCCTCTGGCTCTCCTCTCATCCCCCTCTTGATACCCTGGCTTTATCTTCACGACTTGATGACCCTGGCTTTTGCCAATTTATTCTTTGGAAGTCATTTAGAACAAATGCATTTTGTTCAAGAATCAAGAACTACTACTATTCCGGTGATCATCATCCAATTGTTTCTTGTAGACATGAATCTACAATATAGATACATCGCATCTATTTCAGTCAATCTCCACAGCGGATAAACTGCAAATTGCCCTAGAAATCATGTTGATAGTAATAAAGCTGATATTCATCCGAGATCCACTGCTTGTCGTCAGCCATCACGTGATGCGTCACCGCCCGAGCTGTCGACAGCTTGGCCAACCTTCGAATCGAGGCCCTCCACCTATCCCCGGAAAGCTACACCCCACCTGCTTTCACTCCCATTCCCCTACCTGCGTCTATCGCTGTGTCTGCGGAGGATCCGATTCGCCCACCATGGCCGATTTTGTCGACCCCCGGATGTCCTCCATCAAGCCCCGCATCCGCTACAACACCATTGGAGGTATTAACGGACCGCTGGTCGTCCTTGATAACGTGAGCTGGCCCATGAAAATGGCTTTAGAATATCGGGGAATATATACTGATCCTCTATGGATGGATTAGGTCAAGTTCCCTCGTTACAATGAGATTGTGTCCCTCACTCTTCCCGATGGCACTGAGCGCTCCGGTCAAGTGCTGGAGGCCAGAGGTAAGATCGCCCATTATCCTGCTCTTCGGGAACACCTATGACATTCCTTTGATACATGAACTGATATTTTTCTTTGCTTGCTACAGGAAGCCGAGCCGTTGTGCAGGTGCGCGCCAATATTCAATTCCCTCAAGCCCCCTAACGAGCTAGCATTAACGAGTCGATTCGCTAGGTGTTCGAAGGTACTTCCGGTGTCGATGTGAAGAAGGTATAGCTCCATGCAATATATGTCTATACTACATGATTGGCTGACTCAATTTCAAGACTAAAGTTGAGTTCACTGGCCACAGCTTGAAGCTGGGTGTGTCCGAGGACATGCTGGGTCGAGTCTTTGACGGTTCTGGACGTGCGATCGATAAGGGACCTAAGGTTCTGGCTGAGGACTACCTTGATATTAACGGCCAGCCTATTAACCCCTACTCTCGAGTATGTATCGCTGAATTTACATCGGAGCGTCCGAGAAGCTAACACAGCCGCCATAGGTGTACCCCGAGGAGATGATCTCCACCGGTATCTCCGCCATTGATACCATGAACTCCATTGCTCGTGGACAGAAGATTCCCATCTTCTCCGCCGCCGGTCTTCCCCACAACGAAATCGCTGCTCAGATTTGTCGTCAAGCTAGTCTGGTCAACCGGCCAACCAAGGATGTTCACGATGGTCACGACGACAACTTCTCTATTGTTTTCGCCGCTATGGGTGTTAACATGGAGACTGCTCGTTTCTTCACTCGTGACTTTGAGGAGAACGGCTCTATGGAGCGTGTCACTCTGTTCCTCAACTTGGCCAACGATCCCACTATTGAGCGTATCATTACTCCTCGTCTGGCCCTTACCACCGCCGAATACTACGCCTACCAGCTCGAGAAGCACGTCTTGGTTATCATGACTGATCTTTCCGCATACTGTGATGCTCTGCGTGAAGTTTCTGCTGCCAGAGAAGAAGTTCCCGGTCGTCGTGGTTACCCCGGTTACATGTACACGGATTTGTCGACCATCTACGAGCGTGCTGGACGTGTCGAGGGCCGTAACGGATCTATTACTCAGATTCCTATTCTAACCATGCCTAACGATGGTAGCTCATCCTTGCACCTCCTGCTGATATCAAAATGCTGACTTGCCTCCCCCAGATATTACTCACCCCATTCCCGATTTGACTGGTTACATTACCGAGGGTCAGATCTTCATTGATCGTCAACTTTACAACAAGGGTGTTTGGCCACCCATTAACGTGCTGCCCTCTCTATCCCGTCTGATGAAATCCGCTATCGGCGAGGGCCGCACCCGTAAGGACCACTCCGATGTGTCCAACCAGCTGTACGCCAAGTACGCTATCGGTCGTGACGCCGGTATGTCTATCACATGTAATAAAAACATCACAAGTCTTCAATACTAAACAATCCAAACAGCCGCCATGAAGGCCGTCGTCGGTGAGGAGGCCCTCTCCTCCGAAGACAAGCTCTCCCTTGAGTTCCTCGAAAAGTTCGAGCGCACCTTCATCAGCCAGTCCCCATACGAGTCCCGCAGCATCTTCGAGTCCCTCGATATCGCCTGGAACCTCCTCCGCATCTACCCCAAGGAGCTGCTTAACCGTGTCCCCAAGCGCGTCCTGGACGAGTTTTACGCCCGCTCGGCCCGCAAGCTCGCCGCCAAGGATACCCGGGATAACTCCACCGAGAACCAGCTTGTCGATGCTTAAACGAGCGTGTTGTGATTCATCTCGGGTTTTGTTTGTTTCGCGAGGGTGAATGAAAGAAGCGCGTGGGTTGTTGGTTGGCTTGACTGGCTTGGCTTTTGAGGAACTATTTACTTATGTTCGAGTCTTAAGTTGAGACTTTGCTGGGTAGCCAGGCCCTGCATGATCTCTGATCTTTGTCTTTGTCCCATTGCATATACTCTTCTGTGCGGCTGTATCTGATGTTATCTTTCTTTTCCTTTTTTTGATCATGATCTGGATCCTGTGGTTTCGTGTCTTCTGGTCAACCCTCAATCTACCTACTTTTGGTATCACTAGAGTATAAAATATTTCGTTGTAGTCGAACAAATTGTTCTAGTTTTGCCGACGAGGCATATGCTTTTGATATTGCTCGTTTTCAATTTTATAATGAGTGTACAGTGGTATTCCATGAATTTGAAACCCCCCACTTCGGCCCATATTCCATATTTCTGCCGCGTTTTCTACCAGCCAAAACCTTGGGTATTCCGCTTTCTAATAGCTAGTGTACCAACCATCTTTATCAATAACCTGCTTCACCCGATTAGGCATGCACTAGCTAGATGCTCTAGCATAGCAGATGCAGCTCAAATCAAGCTTCTTGCTCTAATATATTAATTGCAGCATTTCATCATTGTCTACCAAGTATACCTTTGATTTCAGGGTGTAGCTCATAAGCCCATGCATTCTTAATCATGGTTTACTTAGATGAAAAAGGGGGCTAAGTCATAAATTAAAAATTCCCAGTCAGATAACCAGTCAGGTATAGTGCGTTCGTTAAAGCACAGGCGCGTTATCTTAATTGGAAATAGCACCTTCAACTCCATTCATCAAAGTAGGTAGCACGCGTTGAGGATTACCTATCGTTTCGTACCTCCACAGGGCATATCATGGTCTTTATAAATCGGGGTAAGTCCAGTCCGTCGACCAGAGTCAGAAAAAGCAGCACAAAACATCTGCGAGGTAGGCTCATGACAAGAGACTAGGTCGATACCTCGAGCTGCGAATTGATCTCTTAGTCGAGTAAAGTAAACTCATGACGAGCCCCCTTTCCGCTCTGGTTAGTTGAATCATCAGACCAGAAAGTCATTGTCCATTAGCAAGTCCCACTCGCGGTATCGCATTTCCCCCGCAGGTCGTCATTGAGCTTGGGCTGTAATGAGCTCTAGTCGTTCAAGAACAAGCCATTTTCAATTTTTTTTTTTTTTTTTGCTCTCGTAAGAATTTCCAAAGCGTTTGCCTGGAGATATTATGATCGAGACGCTTAAGGAGGTGGTCATTTTTGATTCCTGGGTCTTCAGAAATCGCAGTAAGAAGCATCTTTCTATCTTCGTCTGAAAGCTTCTTTGGGCCACCAGGCCTAGGAAGAGTCTCTTGCGTAGGGCCTCGTGCGCTTGCTCTAGCAATTGTGGTCTTAATCGTGCCCATTGGGATATGAGAATAGCGTTTTTGGATCTCTTTATATGACCAACCAATTGCTTTGAGCTCCACGATCTTAACGCGCTCATGTGGGGCTAGTTGACGACGTTTAGGGGTCTGTGCAACGTTGCTCTTTGTGGTAGAGTGGTCTTGTTGAGGTTCATTTGTTCGAGTTGGAGGCATCTTGTCATATATGGTGGTATATGAATCTAAGCAACAAAAGAAGCGCGTATATAAATAGTTGGCGTGTTCTACTAACATTTTTGGTAAGTGGTTACATACGGTAGGCGGTGGGAAAAGAGCGGTCAAAGGTGGAAGTTCATATCCATGGGACGTCACTGCGCCATAGATTATTCCAGTGTTATGGAGTCAAGACTGCATCGATCATACGTCGCCGATAGCTTTCAAACCTAAGAAGTCTGGAGCTACCCGCTGGAATCAAAGAGCAGGAAGCAGTACTTATGTGACCTTGGGACTCACTTTTGTATACAAGTTGGAACAATTAATCTGAAAGCCATGCGAATAACGTCGGATATTGTCTTAACATGTGGCTAAGAGGGTAAGGTAGATAATAATACAAATCCATAGACAAGACAGATCAGCATTAAAGCCGCATAGTCAACGTAAATGGAGAAACCCGCAAAAGCAGATAACATCTCAACATATCCGAGGTTATGAAAAACAGAATGCGATGAAATCGATACTACAGCCGAAACGCACAGCATTACCGCTTAGTCTTCTTACGAGGAGCAACAACCTTGAATGCAGCGCTGCTAGCTTCCTCCTCGCGCTGTGTAGCAGCGGCAGCAGCAACACTAGCAGTGGAACCCTTCTTGGCAACCTCACTCCAACCACCGGAACCGCTCTGCTCAGTGCCATAGGCGCTGGGAGAGATGGGGTCAATAACGCCCTTATCGGCGAGCTTGCGGCGGCGGATGAACTCATCAGCGAAGCGGCGGCCATCCAGGGTCTGGGAGTTGGCGTAGACAGAGTCGGAGATAATCTCGGCTTCGGCGGGGAGGAAAAGGAGTTGCTGGACGAAGTCGTCGACGTTGATGTTGCTGTTCAGTCCCTTGCCGAGAGCGAGCTTAGCCCACTTGGTGAACTCTTCGACGGCGCGATTGGGGTTGGACTGGGGGACACTGCCTAGAGTCACGGTGCGAGTAGTGGTGACGGGGCGAGGCTTGGCAACAGCGACGGAGGCGAGGGGAGAAGTAGCACTGGTTGAGCGGGGGCCAAGAGGGGCGGCGGGAGGGGCCTTGGCCTTGCCGCTGGCTCCGACGGTGGTCCAGGCGCTAGAGCCGACAGGGGCAGTAGCGGGAGAAGCGGCAGAAGGAGCAGGGGCCTTGCTAGCGAGATCGGCGTAGCGCTTGCTGGCAGATGCGGGAGGGCTAGGGGTGGCTGTCTGGGCGGCGGCGGCGGCGGCGACAGCCAGACGTTGCTTGCGGGCCTCCTCTTCCTTCTGGATCTGAGCGAGGGTCTTCTTGGCGCCAGTGTTGGTAGGAGCAGGCTGAGTCTTGGTGTTCCATGCGGAGCCGGTGGAGGTAGGGGTAGCGGGAGATCCGCTGCTGGCCCAGTTGGCCGACGAGGGAAGGCCAGGGACGATCTGGGCCTGAGCTTGGCTGAGTCGTTCTTGTTCAGCGAGAAGCTGGGCACGACGACTGGCAGCAGCAATTTCCTCACGCTGGGCAGCATTGCGAGCTTCAGCTTCTTGAATTTCTCTCAGAGAGGGTCCCTTGGGAAGTTCATTGGCATCCTTAGCCCAAGGAGCGACAGAAGTGGGCGCGGCATCGATGGGGGTTTGAGTCTGAGAACGAGATCCGGCAGCGAGGGCATCAGCGACATGCTGACGATTGCGCTGAGCAGCCGGGGCAGGCAGAGGCGATGCGGATGGTGGCGGCGGGAAAGGCTGGGGCATAGCATGATCCAGCTTGTTAACTCCCCACACGGATTCGGAGTTGGCCTGGCTTTGCTCTTGCTCCTCCTGCTGCTGACGTTGCGCAGTAGCAGCCTTCTGAACTTGCTGGGACAAGGTCAAAGGAGGCTCCTCGGCAACGGTCTCGGACTCTGGGCCTGTCTCCAAAGAAGCAGCGACAGCAGCAGCCTCGGCTTCAAGTTGCTGGGAGGCAGCGGGGTGAGTGGGAAGACCTTCAGCGGTGCGCATGCCCAATTCACCTTCCTGGGCACGCAGAGCGTGGAATTGACGCAGGCGTTCCTCACGAGCCTCCTGGTCGAAAGGATCGTTGGCATTAGCCTTGTCGAACTGCTCCTGCTCTTGCTGAAGCTGAGCACGGTCCTGGAGCATGGAAGCTACCTGCTGGGAGTGCAAAAGGCTATCAGGCTGGCGACCACCGATTGCGGAGGCTCCGCCGAATGCAAATGGATCCTGTCGGATGTTCAGACGATCAAGAAGGGTAGGAAGCTGATCCTGTCCACCACCGAGATCGGTGCCAAGCATACCAGGTCCAATGTTGGGCAAGCCACCTTGTCTGAGCTGAGCAGCACCGTCAAAGAAGCCAGGAACCCCTTGAGACTGCTGCTGTAACGGAGCCTGGATGGGGGAGGGTTGGTACGCGCCAGGCGAGGCAATGCTGCCAAAGCTAGGCTGGCTGTGAAGGCTATGGGCGCTAGACTGGTGCTGGAGCTGGGGCTGCATGGATGAACTGCCCGAGCCACCCATCTGCTTCATGATAGCCTGTTGCTGGGCGAGGTGTTCCTTCTGGCGAGCCATCAGGTACTGCTCTTCCTGCTTGCGTCGCTCGAGAGCATTCTGCTGCTCAGCGGTCAACGTAGTGCCAAAGCTGGGGAAGCTGCCAGGGAACGGGGGCTGAGCAGAGCCCTGGGTGGTGGTGCCACCAGTGCCAGTCCACGGAGTAGCATTGGGTTCAGGACCATGGAGGATGCCAATCTGGGGAACAAGGAAAGGCTCGCGAGAGTTCCCGATGCGGCGCACCAGCTGTGCGAGCGGCTCAAATTCTCCATCTTCAAGCTTCTTAATTTGCAGATCCGGGCTGAAGAACCCAGCCTTGAACCAGTCGTGCATTTCAAGGCCAGTCCATGGCCCTTGAATATTGCCCTGCGGGTCGCGGTAGATCCAGCGCATACGATCAGGCATGACCATGGTGCGCTGCTGGGCAGGAGGGACAGTTCCGCCAGGAGTCTGAGCCTGCGTGGGATCTTGGCTATAGTTGACTGGAAGAGAGTCAACAGCCGAGGCGGAGGTCTGAGATGCAGAATTCGATCCAGGCTTGCTTGCCAGGCCAGGATCAGGTTGACCAGATAGGTCACCCAGGCCGACAGAATCCGGCCGCCCTTGGTCATCCTGCATGGTCGACGAGAAGAGAGCACCCAGCTTGCTTCCCCGGCCGATGCTTGCAGTCCCGGCAATGCCAGCATGCGGGCTAAAGAGGCCACCGCCTCCCAGCGTAGACAGACTTGGGGACTGAAGGTCGCCCATCGTGCCAAAGATGGGATCACCGAATCCACCACCAAAAGCAGAACGCTCGCGAGTCGGGGTACCGATAGCTCCTCCGGAGGGCCAGGCGGAAGCTCCACCGAGAGATGGAAGGCCACCCAGGCTACCAAGACCGGAGAAGGGTCGATTGGCATTGACGCTCGAGTTCTGGCTGCGGTCGACACTGGGAAGGTCCATTCCTGAACCAGCCCGTCTCATCGATCCAAACGGATTGGAAGGGTCGCGCAACCCACTGAGTCCGGGGTGTTGGGGGTGCTGAATGTCCGAACCATCAGTATCCACATCCTCCCCTTCCATTCCTCGCTCGCCATGAGGGCTTTGATAAGGGTTGGTGTTGGTCGGGCTGGTCGGTTCGTGCCCCTGGAGCAGGCTCGGCGTAGGGTTTCTCGAATTTTCCTGACTCTGCATCAACTCTCGGAAACCGGGAATGCTCGAGGTCATGCCAAAGGCACCGAACCCAGCATCCTGACCGGGCGCCTCATCATCTTGGGAGCCACCAAGAGCTGCACTGCCACTGCGAGGCTCGTCAAATGGATTAGTCTCGCTCCGGCCAGCACGATTTCTCACCGCATCTCCCCAAGGCGACTGCGCACGCTTGCCGCCATCATCCTCCACTAGTCGTTCGAGACCAGTGAGGTTTTTCTCCTTGATGGATCCCGCAATATCCTCCGAGCTGTCCTTCGAAAGCAGGCCCTTGAACCTGCTCTCACCCCGCAGACTTCCATACCCAGGCTTCTTCTCCGCCGTGGGGGTTGTGGCAGAAGCAGAGCCTGAACCAAGGGAGAAAGCTCCAAAGGCACCCATCGGAGAGAAATTGGCACTTGCCGAAGCCGATGCCGGGCCCCATGGGGAGCTCGGGCCGACCGCCGTATTCAACGGATTGGGATTCATCGGGTTCGTGGTGCTGCGCTTCAAGGAACCGAAGGGAGAGGCAGCATCGGCACCTTTCTCGTCCGCTTTCATGCCCGGTTCTCGGAAGTCGGTCTTGCGACGTAGAAGCGCTGGAGGAGGGGTAGAGGTATTCGCTTCGTCACGGAAAAAGCGCGAGCTTGAGGTGGTAGGAGACATGGGGTTGCCCACGGAATCACCCGTCTCCCGGCGTCTCACACCCGGACGGTTGGTGGTGGGGGAGGAGGTATTGTAGTTATTAATGTGGCCCTGGGTGTATGAAATTGACCCTTTGCGACCTCCAGGAGTTGGCCCAGCGTTTTCCTTCTGGGCGTTCGTTGGTGGGGGCTTAAGAGGAGAATTGACGGACGCGGCGAAGAACTAGAAGAATTTTTCCGTTAGTCTGAAGTTCTCCCACAACCCCAACCTGGCGTATTAGGGACCCACCTCTTTCTCACTCTCCGTCATATCATTCAGGCCTAGCGGTTCAGCCTGACCACCATGGTCCCAGCACACCTCGGGCCCCGCAGAGGTCTTGTGGTCATCCCGCTTTCCCCACGCTCCATTCACCGAGGTCGGCACCATGTGAGGATCCCAGTCGGCCACAAAGTAGTCCTCCACGTTCTTGCCCAAGGATCCCGACTCCCGCTGTACCTTATACAAGTCTATCAGTTGGTCCTTGGAGTATCGAGCATCGCCGTTCCGCACTGCACTAGACAAGGTATTTGAGCTCATGTGCGGGGGAATGTAGGCCCCAGAGGTGGGAGTCGAGGCAGATGCTGCATGGCTGCTCTCCCGAGTGTGCGTAGGGTTGGTAGCAACGGAAGGGCGGCGGAAGGTCTGGGTGGCTCCGTTGATGCGGGATCGAGACCTACACCAAGTTAGCAACGGATATCTCGCTTTGTGACGAATTGAGCGTCCGCCAAATGACCAGTCTGTTTAGACAGGGCTTTCCATCCACGGTGATCCTGGGGTCTGGGGGAAACGGCCAGGGAAAGACAGGGCAAGACTGCGTACCATTCTCCACCAGCATTTCCATCCCCTCTTCGACTAGGGTCCTGGGTGTTGCCGGCGGCGGCGGAAGCGAAACTCGACGGGAGTGGTGTAGGCATTATGGAAAGGTTGTTTTGGATGGACGGATGATCCCCCACAAAACGGCCGATTCTAAAATAGTTCGTCGCGAGACTTGCTGTGGCGTGGTAGTGCGATGAAGTGTGATGCGAACGGGAATGACGCAAAACACAAGTAGAGTGTAGAAGAGTAAGGGTGAAGATAACTTCAAGAAGTTAGTCAATCGACGGAACGGAGGTGCGAGAGAGGGAATGCAGAATGCGAGCGCCTGTAACGAGGTTGAAGGTCAAGATCAAACAGAGATCGAGTTTCGACTTCGCTTGCTAGAGCAAAAATGATTTAGCGGGCGCGTGGCAGTAAAATCACGCCCACTGGACAGTAAATACACGGTAATGAACACCGTGGAGTCGCGTGCTTGCCCCCATTTCAGTGCCTGGAAGGTATGGTGGAGTACCAAAATTACCCCTTTGGCTGCAGCCAGCCACTTAGCTGTAAGTATTCAATACACACCACACACAGAGCTTGCTCTCCACAATTGACGTACTTCTCTACTCCCTCTGTGTTCACACATGTGGTTTAAGATCAAGAAACAAAGGCCTTTTTTTTTTCTTCAATTCTATATCAGACTTGATTCTGTCGACCAAGACATTTCTTTAGATGGCACTCTTTCAGGATGTGTGTGTCATGTCTCGGTATCGTGGTGACGTAAATTGACCAAAAATGTCTGTGGCATCTACGCAGTATGCATGCGGTGGCTTGAACAAGGGATGTGGCAATACCGAGGATGGACGTGTATGGTATGTTGATGCCACGCTCCACGCATCATTGGGTGGAGCTGCTTTCAAACGGTTAAGGTTGGATTGGATTGAATAAGATTGGACTGGTCTTTCATGTCACCCTTGCGCTGATACGAGTCGTTTTGCTCTCATCCTGCTCTACCAGGATACCTGCATGCCTCTGTCCTGCCACTTCCTATCCCTTTCTTTATGCGGTATAGTTTCAGCCACCCCGCGTCAGGACTTTGCCCGTTGAAGGACTCAGCCTGCATAGCTCCCGTTGGAATTCAGGCCAGTCTGTGGCTACATTGTAAATCCCATTCTTTTTCTTCCACCGGGTTTTTGATACATAGGGCTTCTTTGTTCGACGTATAGATGCCCAGTCTAACGTAGGTTTGTGCCACCTGCACGCTAGCTGGCTGCTACACCGACTGAAACTGCAGCAGATCTGTCTCAACAAATGTTAACGAAGACTTCACTAACAAGAATATTCACCATGAGATGGCAATTTGACAAAGGCTTTTAACAGCTATCCAAGTATAGCTTTGAAAGTTAGGAGATAGACTCAGAATATATCAAAGCATCATCTGCCCACAGCAGTCTACTATACTACCACAAGACACTCTACAAGTTTCAACTCTATCTTTTGCAAAAGCGACCTAGCATATCTCACATCTCTCTCAATAAGGCATTAGTATGTTCACCGGCACCCCTCGATACCGACCCAAGACGAAGTACGTCGTCAAAGCCGACTTTCCCTACGAGTGGTATTGGCAGGGCAAGCCTCTTCGAAAAGGCTACATCCGTGGCGAGCACATTATGCCTCAACCTGTCGGGATTGCACCTCGACTTCGAGATCCCTCTCCTGCCGCGAGACCTACCTGTGCTCGATGTGGGCACGAGTACGAGCAATCTAGACCTCCAACGCCAAGCGCCAGTGGGGACACTGAGCGCAACACGGTCCGTTTAAATCCCTTCTGTGGCTGCTTCATCGAGGAGCTAGAGCCTCTCCCGCCAGTGAGAAGGTGTGCCTGCAATATATGCAGAGGTACTACCCCGGCTGGTACCGTCCACCACACGATTGTGCCCCCGACGCCAGCTCCCAGGACAGTGACTGTGGCTCCGGCTCCAGCACATTGTCACCCTGACTGCCCCACGGCTGGCCCACGTACGGTATACTGCCTATATTGTCAAGAGTATCACCACGTATGTCAGCACACTGCTGTTCCTGTTCCTGGTGTCCAGCCAGCTGATGCTCCAGCCCCAACCGCCCGCACAAGACCAGCCCAGCAACCGCAGCCGAGGTGCCAGTGCCTGCAATGTGTGGCTGCGGCAGAGGCGGAGGCTGACGCTCGTCACCATGTTCATCGCCATTTAGATGATCGTCGCTTCGAGAACTATGTTTCTCCCAACGTGACTGATGAGACTACTTCGGTGTCTTCGGTGGATATGGGTCCCAGTGATAGGGGTGTGGAAGAAGTTCGTAATGGGCATCTTATTTTTGCCATTCCCGTGGAACTGACCGAGTGATATTCCAAATTCATCTTGGATGTGTTTTTTCTTGGTTGTATGGACCGATATCTGTGGTCTTTGTTTTGTTCTCGTTTATGTTAGTTTGCTCAAAAGTATTGGGATTCTGCAGACTAGTCAAACTAACAAATCAGCTATAGACCAAGTTGTCAATTTAATTTTTATGTTTAACGATCTGCAGCCTCCCGGATAGACTAACAAACGCCACTAGACGTTAAATATATTCCAGACCTATATCACATGTGACGAGGTCAGGGCACCCTTGCTTTCAAATCTTGGCTTTGAGGTTCTTACTCGAAATTCTCCAATTGCCCAAATGTGCAAAAATATACCTTAGTCTATAACAAGCTAGTCTATATGTACTCCAATTTGGAGAGGTCAGATTGTGACCCTTAAATACTTAGTAAGACTTTCGGCCCGGGGACCGAGGTTCCCCCACCTAACCCCCTCTTCCCAATTCACAGTTCACATTGATCTATCTGAGCGTCACTACTTATCGATACTCTCCAAGAAGTCAGTCTTTGGTAACAGTCAAGTGTGGTATCCATCAACACATTTCACTGCTAGATTCTCCCGATATTGTGCATGGTATATTCTATCTCTACATCCTCGGTTATCGATAAGAATAAGCATCCCCGCACGGGTTATCGTCACCACAAACTGGAAAGTCCTGAATTACCACATCATAACTTGGTATATCCCTCAAAATGTCCAAGGCAGTATATATCTCCCCAATTGATGGCAAACCCGGCAAGCCCGGTCAAGTCTATTACCCACTCACCGTCCGCACCCTGCCGCAACCAACCCCGCAGGGCAGCGAGCTACTCATAAAGCTCACCGCCGCGTCGCTCAACCACCGCGACCTATTCCTCCGCCAGCACCTTTACCCAGGTGTCACATTTGATGTCCCTCTTCTAGCCGACGGAGTCGGAGTCGTGATTGGTACCGGACCCAACGCCTCAAGCGACAAATGGAAAGACAAGCGAGTCGTCCTGAACCCCGGGTTGGGGTGGAAAGACTCCCCCGACGGGCCTGAGGAGGCAACAGGGTACCGAATCATGGGTGGAACTAAGGTCTATGATAAGGGTACTCTGCAAGAATACATCACGATTGATGAGTCGGAGGTTGAAGAGGCGCCGGGACATCTTTCTGATGCTGAGGCAGCGGCGCTGCCATTGACTGGGTTGACTGCTTGGCGAGCTCTTGTTACGAAGGCTGGAGAAAGAAACTCCAAAGATGGTGCTGCTGTTCTGATTACTGGGATTGGGGGTGGCGTTGCTTTGATGGCACTGCGGTTTGCGGTTGCCAGGGGTGCACACGTCTTTGTGACTAGTTCTAGTCAGGAGAAGATTCAGAAGGCCGTTGAGCTTGGTGCGGCTGGAGGTGTGAATTATAAGGAGGATGGATGGGAGAAGAAGCTTTTGGGTATGCTTCCTTCTGGGAAGAAGAACTTTGATGCTATTGTTGATGGGGCTGGCGGTGATTCTATTGAGAAGGCGGTTAAGTTGTTGAAGGTGAGTTTTCTAACTGCTTGAATGCATTCTGTGAATCTATGCATGCATACTTACATTTACGACAGGCTGGTGGTGTTCTATCTATCTACGGAATGACTGTCTCGCCCAAAATGCCCTTTTCGATGCAGGCTGTCTTGAAGAACATTGATGTCCGTGGCTCTACCATGGGTTCTCGCAAGGAGTTCCTGGAAATGGTGAACTATGTCAAGGCCAAGAACATCCACCCCGTTGTATCTCGTACATTGCAGGTCGAGATTGATGATCTAGCGGCGATTGATGACCTCTTTGAAGATATGAAGCATGGCAAGCAGTTTGGAAAGTTGGTGATTGATTTCGGAAAGACCTCAAGCAGCAAGCTGTAAATACCAGCAACAGAAATTCATGTTCTATCTTCCCTGCTTTAAAGAAGTTGTATGCATCCACTAATTGAATGGAACCCTTCGGTAGTTGTCGACGTTGGTTGTGCCTACCCTCGTATCACCTTCCTCGAACGACTAATAACCGCCTCAACTGATCTTGACGACTCATCACGACTAATGCTCGCAACAGACGCCGACGACTAATCAAATCATCCATTAATTGCCTTGTTTACTTTTCGTCAAACTTCCAAGGTTTCACTCGAGTCATTCCCTCCTTCTCTCAACGCCATTCACTCCCAAGATCTCAAACATATCTTGTTGAGCAACTATCTCTTGTTTCCAGTCATTATACTCCCATCCCGTTGACCACGTTCGCTATGCCTTCCAAGAACGAGCCCGCCTTGCTCAAGGTTCACCGCACCAAGTACCGTGGTGCTGGTGCCGGCCCAATCCCCAAATCAGAGCCATTCAATACCTCCTTCTCGATGCCCCCAAAGAGACCTTGGGTAAACCCTGTCCTAATTAAAACCCAAATTCATACTGACATCGACTTAGCGCGCAGACTCGGGTGTCAGACTGCTGAGTTTCACCAATCATCAGATCGCTGATCAGATGGATCGAGTCAATTGCGGCATCGGCGAGTTCATGGGCGAGCTTGAGCAACTCGAGACCCATATCAAGGATCTCAATCACCCGCTTCTGCTGGGTTGGGAAGCCGACATCATCACCCGTCTTATCGAGGTTGCTCATTCCAAGGAGCCAAATCTCTCTTCCAGCAGTATCTTGTTGACTGCTCACTACCTTGATCGCGAAACTATGTCGCGTGGCTACAGCCTCGCTGCGCGGAAGATCTCTCTTGAGACGCTGCACAAGTTCGGTCTTCGCGAGCAACACCATGAGGTGCTGAGACGGTACGACGAGGTATGTATCATGGCTGGAAGTTTGTCACAGGCCTGAACAGCTTGGCTCAAGGCATTGAGCCCTGGGATTGTGCTAACGTGTTGTAGCTCGTTGAGCACCGCAGTAAGAACCCTTTCCACACCGAGAGTTTCTTTGCCAGATGGCTTGTTCACAATCGTCTAAACATACCTGAGAAGTATGCTTTCTGGGCTCCGTTCTTCCTCGCATGCTATGGTCGATCCATCAATGAGAGCGCTTCCTTCTTTTAGGCGACATTGCATTGTTGCCAGATAGAGGCATATGAGCGGTGGGTGGCGAGAACGGCTTTTCGGAAATCGATGATAGGAAGAAGGAGGATTCTATTTCGGGCCTGACTTCATGTCAGCTTATATTCGTTATGGTTGCATTTCTTATCAGCGTCAAATTTCTTTTTACAGAATTACTTCCTTTCGCTTCTGGTTTTTGTTTCGTGTCATTTTGCATCACTCACGGCCATTTTTTCTTTTTCTTTTCGTTTCGTTTCATTGGCATGTATTAGTTTAAGACTGTTATGATGAGTTTCTTTCATCACAGCCAACAGGGAATATCACACCCTTTCAACTTACCAAATCATGAGATGGTAGCGCAGATGGCCAGTTGAGCATCGCCCCATCCATCTGCAGTCCCCTCCAAAGCGGAAACCCGCATACAATCTCACCCAGAGACTCTCACCAACTCAGGACCGCCTGAATAAGCTACTACAGTAGCATCTCAAGTCCCGAAAAGGAAAAGAAAAACCAAGCATCACACCGCTAGAAGCTTCGGGACCAGTTACCCGGCCACTATTAGTGACTATTCCTATAATGTCTATTATGCGGGACCCTTTTGAAGATCAGGCCGACGAGGCGTCCGCTAGTTCACACATGGCTGGCTGAACTAACTAAGGGGTCCAAAATAACTACGGAAAATTGACGTCCACGGTACTATGGAGTAGATTTTAGTGCCAATATTTCCTTCTTTTTAGCCATCGGCTTCGCCGTTTAAACATTAAGCTTCAATCCAGCCACATTAGTGGATTATTGAATTGTCACCGTTACAGGCGATCGCGGATAAACCGTTCTCTGCCCTATAATCGGTGTACTAAAAATTCAAGTTGTCTCATCGGTAAAAATAGGAACGGATAGCCATATCCGAGCCCTGACCTACTTTCTCGGACCCTTGTGTTTTTTTTCCCGTTCATTTAGCCGTTGTGAGACAACTCAACCCGCCATGACCAATTTCTGACATACACTGCCTTGTCGACTGGTGAACTGGCGGTAGAGGTGTTCAGGCCAATAACAGGATCAGATATGGGTCCGATTCAGGGTCCCCCTTAGAATTCACACGTCCTGGCTCGGTTAGGTTCCGACACGGGGCATCGATGATGTCGTCGGTATCGCCTAGCTATTTTGGTGATGGCGTGGAGTTAACTTTCTCATGTAACCATATCAGTTAGGTAAATCCATCTACGGGATACGATAGAAGCGAATAGAATGTCTTTGTGGTTTTTGTTTACGTTTAGTAAACCCTGAACCTCGGTATGAAATCGTGTAAATTTGATCTTACCGAAATTCAACATCTTCCAGAAACCAGATGGAATGAGGAAAATGGACCTATGAGAGTTGAGTCCTCATTTTTAAAGATTCAGGACACCTGCCAAATTAGTTATCGTAGCACGGAGTGTGGGTTCACAAGTTGAGCTAAGGGCAGCTGTCAAGCCGAGGTTCAAATTGGCACGGTCAATTGGCTGCTGCCTACGAGCTTGGATACATGGGTTAACGGTACTTGGCATAAAATCAAAACAAGGGAAAAGGAAACAGTGGAATCACCTCCACTATCAAGTTGATTGCATGGTTTTGAGGGGCTGTGGCGGTAGTTCCACAGTTGATGGAAAATCCTTGCGAGAGAAAAGAGAAATTGGTGCGGATTGACCTCACCTGTGCCCCGAACAAGAAAACGAAAATAAAAATCAAAAATCAACCCCCACCAGAAAGAGACTTGGCAGAAGTGGATCAAAGTCGGATCCGACAGATGGGTTGGCACAGAAAACCATAGAACTCTAATTGGACGAGAATAGCACGGGTCATTCGATCTGGTTTAGCGGAAGTTGCTCGCGAAAGTCCTCCCTAAAGCGTACGAGTGAGCGGATGGGTCCCGAGATCCCCGAAATAACTAACATTGGCTTGATTTGTTGGCTTGTGGTATCCACCTTGTTTACGGAGGATCGCTTTTAGCGGGTCCACTTGTTTGGTTTGTTTTATTATGTTTGTGTAGGAGGTAGGGTGAATAATTAATATGATTCACAGTGTATAAGTGTTCAGGATTTGTGGGTTATGACGGAGTGATGGATATTGATCGAGATCTCGGGATTTGCCTATCAACCTTACCTGCGCCCTGTTCGGGTCATCGAGGGACCATCAACGGCCCCCGAGGTCCATGGGTACTGTAATTAAATTTTCTTTAATATGTATTCTGCGGGATAGGTTCGCTTCAGAGTAGTTTCGCATTTCTTGGAGTTTGTCTCATACACAAGTTAGGTAGGTAGATTTCTACTTGGGGTTTCGCGTGGATCAACCTGAAACGGTCGTAGTTCGGCCGTTGTTTCAAGGGTGGACGATCAGAAAACCATCTTCCAAGATTTTGCCAATGTTTTGCTCCCGTTAGTCACTTGGTTAAGTTACGCAACAACTGATCAGCTAAGTGATGGTAGTGTAATCGATCTGTGCGAAAGTTTAACGGATAAAAAAGGTCGGGTAATTGTTGACCGAATTCCAGGATTACGTGTTGGACAAACTCTCTCCGCAGATATATATCTGCGGGATGCCGATCGCCTGCCATATCGGATGGCTCGTGCTAGTTAACCTCAACTACATTTCTCCATTCCAAATCTTGGAAACTTCTGATATAGGATATGGTCTAGGTAATAATGACACCATCGAACATGCGACGGCGTGTCCGATGAAAATTCACAGAATAACTTAAACCACAAGGTTCAAGATTAAAAATAGAGGAACTCTGTCTCACAACCCCTGAGCCACGAGACAACCATACGCCACGAAAACTTTGTAGGAAGGATATCAAATCAATTTGCAAATGAAATCAGAATCTACATCATCCAACGCCTCGTTCCCCGGACCTCACCTGACCGTACAAGGAAGGTCGTTATGCACAGGCTGCCACCAATATCCAAGTCAAACCTTGGGTTGAGAACGTGCTTGGTACTCACATAAGCTAAGATCTACAAGGCCCATGAGTGGATGTGTGGAGGTATCGCCTAGTTTGCTGGTACACCACTGGCGCTAAAGCACTAGAGCATGCTTCGCGCAGGTCATACCATACCTATATTAGATGTGATCTTCGGGGAAGGAGTGGACGTGGCTTGGTATTAGCTGAGCAGTTTGGATATTCTTGGTCTGATGAGCTATGTGTGAAACTTCTCCTATGATCTTCGATGTACTGAAACAGCAGACGGGAGGAGCGGTCACTGGGATGAGCGGGAGGGCGCAGCTTTCGAGGTTTCTTTGTCAGGAAGTCCGTATCTCCTCGTACCAATTCTTCTGGGGAGACCAGGTGAACTGAAGGAGTTGATCGGGTCAATGATTCACATGGACCTCCCTTCGTGACGTGGTACTATTTTCTTTTTTCTTCGGACCAATGGTATACAGGCTACTAGCCTCTAGATGCACAACTATCACATAGACGCGTGGTCTTTTCTTTGGACATGGTTTGTCAATGTTAGTATATAATAAATTAAACTCAGGTCAGTCCATGCTCCAGATAAGCCTGACCGCTGTTCTACAAATTCACACTAGCACCCGTCTCCCCGTCCCGAAAAGAAGGAACCAAGAGTAAGTGGCACATATTGGCCGAGAAAGAACCGGACAGGGGCCGAAATGGGGCAATGATGTCTGGCGTGCAGATAGTCTCTTCCACCGGCAATAGAGTGGCCCGTCCACGGGCGCTAAATCCAACTAACCAGTCCCAGAAATGCCAAAGTACGCTCTTTCTCCGTAGTAGTCCGATCCGAAGCATGCCTTTCTTGGAGTGAAAGCTTAGAACTACCACGCGAGAAAGAATGGAGTAACGAGCGAGCAATCCCAGATTCTCAGTGGTGGAGTAGTACTTAGCACTGGAGGAACAACCCCAGAAGTTACCCATCAGGAGTGCGATCGGGAGATTACCCAAAAGAGAAGGCCACTCTAGTAAAGTTCAATAGAGATGCTCAGTCAGCGGAAGATAACCTTGTTCTGCTCTGCCTAAATCGGCACTACAAACTTAGATCTCATTGATTCGCAAACCGGGTTTCGCCAAAATATACAACCTGAGGCTCAGCGAACCGAACGAAACGAATACTTGAATAGGGTTGAGGGCCACATTGTGGCTGAGCGAGAGGAGCTCCAGTATCCACATAGTAGAAAAGGAACCATGTGGGCGTTTGAAGATATCTGCCCCTGGCAATCAGAACCACTCGATCCCATTCCACGGGAGATGAATTACAAAAAAAAAAAAAAAAAAAGGAATTGTTCAAAAACAAAAAGCTGCGCAAGGGTTCCAGTCCCCAACCTTGCCGGAGGAGGTGGGGGGAAACTGAAGGACGGGGGATGTTTCACTTGGAAGACGATCATCCGTTTGATTGAACATGCAAGGTTCCTAGGATGAGCGGCGATATTGATGATTTCATTGTTCAAATGGGATCTTTAAGCCCCGCGTCCTGAATTACAGTTGGGGCTTGAAGCAAATAGTGTAGTCGGAACCGCTTAATATAGAGTGGAGACAGTCGTGCGAAGGACAAATAGGCAGAAGCCGATAATACGTTCAGGCTGTACGGAGCAGTCTCCTAGAAAGACGAAGCTCCGAAACCCTGAATTTGCACGGCTCCGCCTTTTTTTGTTGGTGGATTTGAGGCATTCAGGGACGAATCGGGGATTTTCTTTTGATTTTTTTTTTTTCACAAAGTATTCATTTATCATATTTCAATTTCTCAATTATAACTCCCGCTTCCGAATGAACCGCCGTGTCAACGGAAGTACCGAGTCAAGCGCGATCTCTCCTGGATTTGAATCTTGGAATGTGGGTAAAGCACCGAGGATCCGCCGATCCACCTACAAACGACTCGGCTTGGGTCCGTCAACCAGGGATATGTACGGATAATCACGGCCTGAGATATGGCTTCATTTCCTCCTTGCACTGATTGCAGGGGGAAATTACAGTCAAAGTTAACATAGAGGATATTGGCAATCAAACTTGGTCACAGCCGTTGATATCCCGTTTGGAAGTGATTGGCGATCACTGCTGAAGCTTTGGCAAAGATTGCTGATCATGGCCGATGATCCACTGTCGCTTGAACCCGACTCCCGTCTCTCCGGATGGTTCAGGCATTCCTCTTCAACCCCGAGAAATGGTCCACCGAGGTGTCTTGAACGTGGCAAAATCGTGGAGTTGTGCTAAAATGGCAGCCGAAGTTTTTTTTTAGAGTAACCAAGAAAAAACGGGAGGAACTTCGGAAAAGGATCTGATGCGTTCCCTGCCATTCATTTTTTGTGGTCCTCAACATCGTGGTGGCTGGTATATGCAGGTAGTTTAATTTTCTATGCATCGGGCCCGTTAGCAGTTCGTGGTCTCTATTCAAGGGGGGAAGATCTGCGATCCTTACGTGCATGATCTTTCCCCTTGTCCCAACCTCATTTACCCCGACTCTGACACCCTTGCACACTTGCATAGACTTTTCAATTCATGCAATTAAATTTTACGAGCTGTAGTACTGTACATGCATATGGGTCACTCCGGGATTGTCCCGCCACGATGATCATCGCGGCTGGTGCAGGAGGTCTGGGGCAGCACGATCGACAGGGCTAAGCATGGGAAAAATAGAATTACATATATTACTGTATATTGACAACGACAAAGTAAAAAAGAAAAATAATAATAAAATTAACCATGCGTACAGTAATTCGGAGCAGTTAAAGTTGTCGCATCACTAAACTTAATTGCGTTAGAAATTGGTCAGGGTGACAGTGCAGAGTGACGATGGTTGATGATACCGTCCCGTTTGACCAGGGATCAGGAAAGCACAGAAAGACTAAAAAAAAAACACACACACACACAGAAACTCGGGCTGAGTACCATACTCGATCTGGGATGGTCAAGATTGGTTTGTCCAATCAGCGTTCGATGCCCTTGCATTGTCAGGCCACCAAGTCACCTGAGACGCAAGGTGTACTATGTTTAGCTTATGTACGGAGCTGCCCTTTGTGTACTGGTACTTCTTTCCCAATGCCCAAAGCCGTGTGCCCAGGAGCCTCCAAACATGCGCTTTCTATTTGACCATGACGAGGTCAGATGGTCCTTCAAGGTTTATGATTTGACTCAATGAGGCGTGGGGGTTAGGCCAACATGGTGATGTGTAGCGACGTGGTTCCCCTCGTGCAGGGAGCCTCGAGGGAAGCCGCCAAACGTAAAGAAAATGTGTTGTGCGTGTGAAGTATTTCAATGCATGATGGCATAATGACACGAGGGCTGAAGAATCGTACGGCCGGGCCGGCGACTATAGTCCAATTGCTGTGCTCCCATCCACGGGTGGAGTCCCTTGGCATCTCTGGAGAAAGATTTGGCAACGCAGGGTCTTTGCCCCGTTTTAGGGGGGGGGGGGGGGGGGTTAGGCTTGGAGTTAGTCCACCCATTCGGTCCTGGGGATTGCCCACTTCGGATTCTTCCTTGCTCTGAGTCGGAACGCGACGGTCTAACTCCCTTTCCGGGTAAGTTAGGGCGGGAGCTAATTATACCAAGGCCAAACGAGGGTAATCCAAAAACAACACAAGCGAACGGGTTTAGGAACTTGGGAAATCGAGGGGTTTCATTGGACAGGAAATGCAGGAAGTACAGTACATAAGAAAAGCTGGTAGAGTCAGCCATGATTGGTCATTGATATTGACATGCGTTACAACCAAAGGGGGGTGGTTGGGTCACGATTTGCCAACTTTTGCAAGAGGCTGTGCACTCTCCCCGTTGTTTTCTTTTCCCTGAAAATGAAGTCATTTTTGGGGCTGGAAAGCTATAGCGACCGTGGTTCTCTGTAGCAATTTCTGTAGCCTAAATACCCTTTCTCTTGACCCCTTACCAAAGAACAGCACCATGGTTTGTCGAGCGCTTGGCTTTTTTCCCTTTTTTTCAGGATCCACTTTTCCATCGCGGCGCAAGCCGCCAGATTGGTGTTTATCCCGAGCGCTCACATCTAAGCTCGCCTTCGTATTACTCTTCTGACCCACCCCCTCATAGAAATTTATTTCTCGTTTTGATTATTGAAATTTTATTTTCTCTGTTTTTTAATTTTTTGAATTCTGTTACTCTTTTTTGACATAGTTCCAAGGTTCCTTGATCAAGGAGGAATGTAAATGTAGACTTCCAGTAACCTATTTCCATTTTCACCAGATCCAAGTAGATCCGGACCGCTCGGATCGAGGACACTGGCATCCGGTAAGCTCTCGAGAGACTGTGGTACATGTACATGTACAGCGTCAGGCGGTATCAGATATAATAGAAGAATTTCTCCCGAGACCCTGGTTCCCGTGTGACGATCTGATTTCCGGTGTTGCGTAGTAATGCCCCAGTTCCCTCGACATCGCATCCCCCGCCACGATTTCCCACTAGTGGACTGGGCCTAAACCGAAAGGGTCAAAACGAAAAAGAAAAGCCCAAAATCCCAAAAGAAAAAATAAAATCCGAATTAATTCTGGGCTTTTTCCCAAACCGTGCAAGCGTGGGAAAGGACTCCACACGCTCGTGGCCCTATACAGTTTAGACCGGAGGGATTGCACTCTGACCTGCTGCTAATAATAATCGCGATACAGTAACCGTTCGCTTTTAACCCTTTGCCATCCTTGCATCGCTTTTCTCTTCCCCCTCGATTCTCTTTTTTCTTCTCCTTGATATGACACTTTGATCGGTCTCCACATTCGCTCACCCACGTTCGCTCTTACGTTCGTTTACGAAAATCACGTTCGCTACGTTTTTTCTTTTCTTGATTTGGTCCATTTTGGAAATCCAGAAATCAAGGACCGACACAACAACCCTATAAAAAAAAGATTGCAGAAGAAGCGAGACAAAAAACTCCCCTGGAAGAAGAGAACCCCAAATACGGTTATATTCCGAATATTCTTAATATTTAATTTCAACGCCTTGCGCCCCTCGTGATTCGCTACACCCTTGATTCTACTTTGATCGGAGGAAATTGCAAAGGAATATCAAATTGCTCTCGGAGTGGGCGTTTGCACATCTTCGACAGGAACCCGTTTGTTCTGGTTCCCGCTCCCCGAGCCCCGATCTACGACTATATCTATTGATCTGAGGCGTATACCATCTGTCTCGGCACCACGCTCGACCCCTACGATCTGTTTGACACGGTTTCAGCGCAAAACCGACAAGGGTGACATATTGCTCAGCTTAAGGTTAGTGCAAATCCAAAGCATGACTCCACTTTTCCCCCCCTTCGCCCACGGTCTCACTTCCCCCGTGCCTTGCATCCTTTCCTCTTTGAGCCGTGTCGCATCTCCTTGCAGCCGGCACGTCGTGCTTCAATCTCTTTTGCCCCCCCACGGCACCGGAGATGACGACCGTCATGAAGATTGGAGATCAGACGAAGCTAGAGGGAAGCTAGAGAGCTGTGGTGGATTCCGGATGGCGTTTCCCGTTTCCCGCTATTGGGTTCATGCGTATGTTTGTTATTGACATCGGACGCTATTCTAGACTCTTACGTCGGCCAAATTCTTGCATATTAGGCGACATCGACCGGCAAAACTACTTCTGCATTTATTTCTGATTCACTCGGTGAGTCCTCTTCTAAGACCTTCGTCTATGCATCATTCCGACTTCAGCTCCAAAGAAGCACTGGAAACAAAAGACCGTTCATACTCATTGCTGGAGTAGTTCATCTTGCCCAATCGACATCCAGTCTTCCCGAAACAAGATACGGGAATACAATCACGAAACAAAAAGAAATCACCAAAACCTCACCAGTCATCGTTCATCTCGCCACACGCCTGTGGACGTCCCGCCAAACTCGTGGATTCTACAATCTCGGATCTCCCCGCCCACAAATAGCGGTGGCTCTTATTGAAACCTAGCTCTCCCATGCAATAGGCTCTTGCCTTTATGATCCATTAGGCACACATCGTGATTTGAAGTTCTTTCTTGCTGCAGCCAGCCTTCATCTAGTTTCAGTCTTAGTCCTGGAAATCCTGGATGGTGATTCGAGACTTCTAGTTGCCGCCTTTTCTGTGAGACTGACAGCTCAGCTTCCTCTCGTCGCTCGTTCTGTCTCGGAGTGCACCACCCCTTTCTCGTGTGCTTGCCGACCTTATCGTGGGAAACAAATAAATTCCCAGTCACTCGCTTCTTAAAGAGGTTCTGTCTCGTTGCACTTGTTGCAACACATTCAAGCTGGCTTACTCGAAGACCCACGGTGTTTTGGTAAGAATCCCCAACTACTGTGTTTCTCCTCTGGATGCCCGCATGTTTTGCTTGTTTCCCCCAATCCTAGCCCAGGGTCTTGTTTGAAGACCATCTTCCCCTCCCTTGATGTTCCGGTTTCTGCATATGAAAAATCTATCGGCTGACAATTGTCTCTTTTCTTTCACCTTCCAGTTCGACCCAGATTTCCAAACGCCTCTTATCTTAGGCGAGCAGTTGGATTTCTCGGATTCTGAAGAATCTCAGTTTGTCGGTGCGTTTTCAGACGGCCTGTGGGCCAAGTCTGAGCCTATTTTGTCTATGTCTGGTTTCCAGAAGCCCGGTGCTGGCGCTGTACTTGGTATGTTTTACTCGATCTGATCGAGACTCTTGGTGATATTAACTTGTGACTCAGATTACGCCTCCACGCGATCTTTGCATGATGCTAGTTCGTTCTCAGCATACGGTCAATCTCCCTACGTGACCAACTCCCTCGTCCCCTCCCCCATGGCCGACCAGGCTAGTCAGATCTCGGACTGCGTTCCTTACATTCCCGGCAACGAGTTTGGCAGCTCGTACGAGGAGGCCCAGTCTCCGTTAATGAATGCTCGTTCCCGACAATTGCCAGAGATTGTTACATATAGTCCCCAGCGTGGTTGCGAGGGGACTCGGGTCGTTGTGCAGATTCAGTCCCCTTATGATCTGCATAGCTCCGCATATGGCACTCTGTATGTAGTCTTTGGCTCACAGAAGTGCGAATGCATCCCCACTTTCTTGGGTTTTGAGGGTTCAACTTTCCAATACGCTCTGTCGGCTGATGCTCCCCAATTTATCTCAACGGGCTCGCCTTCCTTCGCTGTCCCCGTGCAGGTGGTCATGGAAGGCCAGAGTGACTGTCCGGCTGCAACCCTTCAAGTCGGTGTGTACACCTATGAGCATGTGCGCCAGTCAGTTTCTGCCAGCTCGCACAAGCGCAAGTTCTCTTCTTACTCCGACAACGCCCCTCCTGCCCCTGTGAAGCGCTCTACTGGACCTGTTATTCCCAAGATCGAGCCTCAAGAGAACTACTCTTACCGCGACACCCACAGCCATGGCCATACCCGTTCTGCCTCCTTCTCTCCGTACGTGCAGTCTCTACCTGCCATCCCAGGTTTCGTGGCTCCTTACCATGGTGTATCCTCCCCTCGAACTGGCCCGGCTCAATACTCTACCGTGTCGGTCACCCCTCAGTCTGCCATCCGTGCTCCTTCCCCCCCTCACCCCAGCCTGGAGCCCCTCTTTCGTCTCAATCGGCCACGATGGCCGCCCATCAGGTTTGCCCATGACACATGGCCCCCCACAGCGCGGAGGCCGTTCGCCAGCGCAAGGCGGCAATCCTCAGTTGATCCGCACATCAACCCTGCAGCAGTCATCTGGTCTCGGACACAGCCAAAGCTTCAACCCGTACGCCATGTACCCGAGCAAGGCCGTTCTCAAGCTCAGTGGAGACCTAGACTCCATGGCTCATGGTTGGAGCAAAGATGAGCAGAGTGCTCAGCGCCGACTGGTGCAGTTCGATCGGACCCAGACCGGAAGCACCATTCATGCCAGCTTCAAGGCCGTGACTCCTGAGGAGCGGATACCCCAAAGCATCTGCATTAGCTGCATTGCTTGGGAGGGTAAAGATGAGTGCTACGTTACCAGCGTGGATACTATCTACCTGCTCGAGTCCCTTGTCAACGTCCGTTTTACAGTTGAAGAGAAGAACCGCATTCGCCGCAACCTGGAAGGATTCCGTCCCCTCACTGTCTCAAAGGCCAAGGCCGACAGCGAAGAGTTCTTCAAGGTCATCATGGGCTTCCCGGCACCGAAGCCACGCAACATCGAGAAAGATGTCAAGGTCTTCCCATGGAGAATTCTGAGCCTTGCTCTCAAGAAGATCATTGGTAAATACGTAAGTTTCTGAAAAACGGATCCCCTTATGGATGTATGTCGCTAACCCCACCTTACAGTCTGCAAGCTACTCTTCCACCGCAGGTGTCATGACTACTCCGATGACCAACTACGCTAGCCATGGCACTGGTTCTGATTCGGGTACTGAGCCTCACACTGCTCCCTCCCCTCGCTCAGTCTCAGACTCTGGGCCAGTCAACCACTACGCCCCAGTTATGGGAGCCCCGGTCTACTCAACACAGCCGGATCAGTGTGCCTCATTGACCGCAGCTCCCGATCTGCGATCCGTGATCCCCTCTGCCACACAACCGTACACAACAATGGGCATGGGCGGATACTCATATCCAGCCGTCTGCCAACCTCATAGCACCCACGGTCTGGTCGCTCCCACCCCGCGATCAGCTTGGGAAATGCACGGTCTCGGAGCCCCTGCACCCGCTCCTGCTCCGTCCGCCGGCGCCTGCTATACCTACATGGACCCCGTGTACCCTCTACACGACGCCACCGCCCCGGGTCCATGATTTGATCTTCCTCTCTATTGATTTGCTTTTTTTGATTGCGTTTTTGCTTTCATCTCTTTCTATTTTATATTTCCCCCTCTGCTCTGTTGAAGATACATGATTCTCTTTCACGTCACTCCTTTCTACGCCCAGACTCTATCGGTCTCCGCGAATGGCTTTCGTTCGTCGAGCACCGATCACACCTTTGATTTTTCGCTTTTTGATTCACGATTTCAACGTCTCTCCTTACAATTTTCATGCCTGATGCCCCCCACCCAACATTTTGCTTTTAGACGGTGTCTTGTTCATTCCTTTTTTTGGGTTGCATATTGCCGGGCATATGGGCTTTACTCTCCTTCGCATACAAAAATTTCTGGGCTATTGTACGAGTACTTAGCATAGCATGGGCGCTGCAGTCATTCCTTTATTGCATTCGCAGGACGGATTTGGGATAGATCTGGCTTTTGGTTGTTTGATTTTCATTTGGGAATGGATGGGAGATCTGGGTCGGTTATTGCTGACTCTGCTCGGTCTCCTGGCGCATATGGGGAATGATGGTCCCGTCGAATGTGGCTCAAACTACTTCTGGACCTCATTCCCATGGATAATATTGGGAGTTCTATTTGTGTGACTTTATTGTTTCTGAGCTGAGGGCTGTCACTGTTTTTTATTTGCATTGTTCTGGCGTTTGGGATCGGGCCACCTATATGCCCTTTATAGTATCTAGTTACTTGTTGAGTCAAATATTGGATAATTCTTACTCTTTAATCTATTTCTTCCCTGATATTGATCTAATGAGCTTGGTTTGTTCAGTTTATTCTTAAGTCTGTTAATGATTGCCACGACGATCATTGTGTGTAACAACATAGTCCTATGGACGTTGAGAGTACCTGCGTGTAGATCAACCTTCATTGCGACTCACTGTTCAAGACTGGCCAATCAGAGCGCCTTGAAGGAATGTCCTCATCACGTGTTGTACAACGTGGGGCAACCTCTCCACGTGACCAATTCATATCTTATCACACGTGATGTCGCCTCGGCGGCACTCGAAATCCCAAATTGACTCATGTTCTACCGTCACTTACATAGCAGCATTGGCCTTGCATAAGACGCAAAAGCGGGTCAATTGAGAATATCTCTGATCTTTCACATTTCTTCTTTCTCTCTTTTCCCATCTCACCTCTCATCCTTCCCCTCACTTCACCTCCGCTCCCGCCCACTTTTCCTCTCTCTGTACAACCATGGACGGCATTAAAGCTACATTCGCCAAGTGCAAGGAGCAGCGCCGGTCTGCCCTTGTTGCGTACATTACTGCCGGATATCCTACTGTTGAAGAAGCTGTTGATATTCTTCTGGGTATGGAAAATGGAGGTGCTGGTATGTCAAGTCCCACTCATGGCGGGGTAAGGCGAATTGCATCGACTAACAGGCCTATTACACTATAGACATCATTGAGCTCGGCATTCCTTTCACCGACCCCATTGCCGATGGTCCTACTATCCAGACTGCCAACACCAAGGCCCTTGAGAATGGTGTCACTGTTACAACCGTCCTCGGCATGGTCCGCGAGGCCCGCAGCCGCGGATTGAAGACCCCTATCATGTTGATGGGATACTACAACCCAGTTCTTCGTTACGGTGACGAGCGCATGCTCAAGGACTGCAAGGAGGCCGGTGTCAATGGTTTCATCATGGTCGACTTGCCCCCAGAGGAGGCTGTCCGCTTCCGCGACTTGTGCGCCAGCACTGGGTAAGTACTACGTGCTCTAGTCTAATCTTCCCTACCAGTCCAAAGCTGACTTGTTTAGTCTCTCATACGTGCCCCTTATCGCTCCCGCTACCTCCGACGAGCGTATGAAGCTTCTCTGCAAGATTGCCGATTCTTTCATCTACGTTGTGTCCCGCATGGGTGTTACTGGCGCCACCGGCAAACTCAGTGCCAACATCCCCGACCTTTTGCGTCGCGTCCACGAATACTCTGGCAACGTGCCTGCTGCTCTCGGATTCGGAGTCAGCACTCGCCAGCACTTCCTTGATGTCCAGGAGGTCGCTGAGGGTGTCGTCATTGGAAGTCAGCTCATCACTACCGTCGGCAAGGCTGCTCCTGGCCAGGCCGCCAAGGCCGCAGAGGACTATCTGTCCGGCATTACTGGCCGTAAGTGGGAGCGTGACGCCCAAGGGAACTTGGCCCGTGAGATCAACCTTGTCGAGCCTGTTGAGAAGACTCTCGCCAATGCTGAGACCCAGCCTAGCAAGGTTATCACCGAGGAAGACACCCCTGCTGGCCCTGGATTAGGTGACCAGCTGGTGGCCTTGAACGTTACTCAGGAGAAATGGGCTCTGCCTTCCCGCTTCGGCGAGTTCGGTGGTCAGTATGTTCCCGAGTCTCTCATGGACTGCCTTGCTCAGCTTGAGCACGGATTCAATGAGGCCCTCAACGACCCCAAGTTCTGGGAGGAGTTCCGCTCTTACTACCCGTACATGAGCCGTCCCAGCAGCCTACACCTTGCTGACCGTCTCACCGAGCACTGCGGTGGTGCCAACATTTGGCTGAAGCGCGAGGATCTCAACCACACTGGTAGCCACAAGATTAACAACGCCATTGGTCAGATTTTGATCGCCAAGCGTCTTGGTAAGACTCGCATCATCGCTGAGACTGGTGCTGGCCAGCACGGTGTCGCCACTGCCACCGTTTGCGCCAAGTTTAACATGAAGTGTACCGTCTACATGGGTGCCGAGGATGTCCGTCGCCAGGCTCTCAACGTTTTCCGGATGAAGCTTCTTGGTGCCGAGGTCGTCGCCGTCGATGCTGGCAGCCGCACCCTCCGTGACGCCGTCAACGAGGCTCTCCGCGCTTGGGTCGTCGAGCTGGACACCACCCACTACATCATTGGTTCCGCAATTGGTCCTCACCCATTTCCCCTCATTGTCCGCACCTTCCAGTCCGTCATTGGTGACGAGACCAAGAAGCAGTTGCATGAGGCCATTGGCAAGCTTCCCGACGCCGTCGTCGCTTGTGTCGGTGGTGGCTCCAACGCCGTCGGAATGTTCTACCCCTTCTCGAAGGACCCCAGCGTCAAGCTGGTCGGTGTCGAGGCTGGCGGTGACGGTGTCGACACTGCTCGCCACTCCGCCACTCTCTCTGGTGGTTCCAAGGGTGTCCTCCACGGTGTGCGCACCTACGTTCTCCAGAACGAGCACGGCCAGATCGCCGAGACCCACTCCATCTCCGCTGGTCTCGATTACCCCGGTGTCGGCCCCGAGCTGAGTGCCTGGAAGGACGCTGACCGCGCCACCTTCATCGCTGCTGACGACGCCCAGGCTCTGATCGGTTTCCGTACCCTTTCTCAGACCGAGGGTATCATCCCCGCTCTTGAGTCCTCGCACGCCGTCTACGGTGCCATGGAGCTGGCTAAGACCATGGAGAAGGGACAGAACATTGTCCTCAACCTGAGTGGTCGTGGTGACAAGGATGTCCAGAGCGTGGCTGATGAGCTCCCCCGTCTGGGCCCTAAGATCGGCTGGGATCTGCGTTTCTAAGCAATCGAAGCAAAGTTCTAGGTATGGAATTGATGTGTTTCCTTTCGTCTAGACTGAGTTGGCTTCTGGGACCGATACCTGTTCAGTTCCTTTTGAAGTAAACGTGGAATTCGATTCTTGGGATTCGGTTGCGGATTTTGTCACGGTTGATGCATGGACTATGAAAAGCGTGTTTTTGCGGGGTTTCGGCTGCGTTTTATTTCTATTTTCATTTGATATCCACTTGATATCCATTCTCATTCTCCATTTCTTTATGCTTCCGGTAGACACTAGATTACTTGTGTTGAAATGTAATACAATCGGACTTGAAGAATTTGGATTGATTTCTCGTGCTTGCCATTTCTTTTATTTGAACTTCGAATTACTACTGCCCTTTATGTGGTATGGAAACCCAGAAATAGAGGTAATCAGATGTTCTCTTCAATCAATTACAGACTAGTATACCTTCTGCTCGCCTAGCCACCCCGAGTTGACGTAGCCCGAGCCCACGACATTGAGCCCATGAGATGTCAAGCACCGCCCATCTTTCTTTTGCTACCTTCCATGTTTGTTTCAACGTTTTTCAGAAGCTCATGTTTCATGAGTTTTGAAACATTGCCCATGAAGGATACACTGCTTCTCAGGCTTCTGTCCTTGTCTTTCTACCAGAACATGCAATTTCTCCACCCTGACCAGAAAGACCAAGTACCAACTGGCCACTTAGCGCACAACATCGATAGAACATTTTAGCGTCAACGACTGCAATGAACTTTCTCTGTGCCGAGTAAAGATCTTCTGAGCTGCCAGATCTTGCTCAAGTACCTTCCAGATACGAAAATAGACATGCTAATGAATAAAATACACCACCTAATAGAAGTGCATCCCTGGTTGCCAAATATTTTCTCGACCTATCGGTCCGACAGCAAAAGTAGCGAGAGCGAGGAGCCAGTAATAAGCATCAAAAACATTACTTGTTTAGGCATTACACTTGAAACCATTGCACCTCATTGGATCGGCATTAGACTTTCGTATCTCAACTCGGCACCGGTAAATAGATACAGTCACCTAGCCAACCCCATTCAGCTCATTGATTGCAGTACATTTGCTAGAATCAGACAATGGTCGCGGTGGGTCTGGATACGGATTTACCCCGCGTGACGCGCGAAACTAAATTTAGTCTGATTGAACCTCTTCAACCGTGGAACGGGACGGGGACCTCTTTCCAATTCAACAATGACCTTGTTCACGATCACTGGGACATTCCTGTTTCTTGGTCATGTCTCGAAAGTGTCAACATCACGGACGTCACCATTTTTCATCATGTTCACTCGAATCAAGTGATACTGCGCATTACTAGCATATTTTTAGACGATGATGTACTTGACTTGGATCTTCAATGTGCTGGACAGCGTCAAGAAAAGGTATAAAAGGGACATGATAGACGGTGTTCATGTATAGTACTTCAGAATACAATCAACAATTATTCTTCAATTAAAACCCTAGCCTTTACAATATGCACTTCTGGACCGGGTTGAACATTCTCCTTGCACTTGCCACCGCTTCAAACGGAAATCCGGTAAAACGAACAAATGAAGTTGAAATCACTTTTCTCGGTGCAGCCAATGCTCAATTCACGCAAAACTTCCCTGTTGATGGCTCGATTGTGTCTATTTGTACGCTTCCCCTTCCTAAAACCTGACAAGGCGTGGGCATATGCTAACCACTATATGTGCTTAACAGCGAACGTGCTGAGTATCTCGCACGTCTCGTCTGCTGATGCGAATGTTCAGTGCACGTTCCATGGTATCGATAACAGTGTTACGACTGTGAGTGGGGCGCAGTTGGTTGATGTTGGACCACCCCAAACCCAGATCTCGGGCTCTTGCTCGGCAAAAGGCGGATCAGCATCGACTTCGTCCCCTTCTAACCCGTCCAATAAAGAGCATGGAGAGCCTGGAGGACAGAATGAGCATTTGAGCCAAGTCCAGGTTGTTTTCATTGGCGCGGCCAATGCGGAGTTTACTCAGACCTTCCCGGTCAATGGTCAAGCTATGCAGATCAGTATGTGGATAACTGGTCGATGTTATGGTGGTATGTGGCTAACGTCCTATAGCTAATGTTCTGAGTATCTCCCACATCGAGTTAAACACTGCTAGTGTTATGTGTACTTTCCATGGTATTGATAACGGCGTTACTACCATCAGTGGGAACCAGCTGGTTGATGTTGGCCCTCCCCAGACTCAGGTTTGGGGCTCTTGTCAATCGATTTGAGATCCATTTGATTCTGATTTATCTCATACTGGGGAGTTTGAGGGGATGGCTGCTCGGTTGTTGCGGCATGGAGTTAATGGGGTTGTAATTTCTTTGGACATATAGGGAAGACCAATGATGGCAATAAGAAACAGGAACAGGAATAATTATGTTCTTCTTGCTTGTATCATATGGATTTAATTTGTTCGACTAATGCATATCTAATTCTTTTTTTTGTATAGTGCTGGTTTCAACCATAGACGGGAGTGAGTCCCAGACTATTCATTCTCGTTCAACAGGATGACCGAGTATCTCTTTCAAGGTTATAATCATCCAACAAATCGAAGTAGAATCCTAACTCATTGGTAGTAAGTTCTTATAGGACTTTCCAGGGAAAGATGTCCACATTGGTCAGCGATGGCAGCAATAGTTACATAAGCGATCTGAGATTCAGCCGATCCATTTCCTGATTATTCAACGTCCCGGCTGATGAATAAACCTATAATTGCCCCACCTCCTATCCTCCCCAACATCCCCGACGGACTTTCTCCCCAGATTACCCACAGCTGTATCCACAGTTGTAGATCGTTCGCGAACGGACAATCCTTCATTTATTTTGGGGCAATCAAACCAAAATGGCTGAAGTAAAACCACCAGCCCAACCTCCCGTACCCCGCAAAAGAGGTCGCCCACGGACCAACCATTCTGACGATCATGAAGTCCCCGAGGTAGGTGAAGTGATACGAATCACACCGTGCCCACCCCAGCTCATCGCTTCCAGAAACGTCGCAAGCAACTTCGCGAGGCACAACAAACCTACCGTCGGCGAAAGGAGACAACCATCAATAACCTACAGACGCGGGTCCAAGAGTTGGAATCGGGCATTGAGGAGCTGAGCCAGTCATTTCTCTCGTTCAGTAATCTTCTCTTAGGGGAGGGGGTACTGGAAGGTCGTCCTCGCATTACGTCTGCTCTGCAGGCAATCACTCAGCAATGTGTATCGCTGGCTCGAAAGGGCTGTGCCGAACCTGAACCTGAGCCGCGGCAGGGCGTCCTCGATCAGGATGGAGGAAGCGGGAACTCATCACAATCTACCCCAGCGAAGGAAATCAACTTAGATTTCGATGCTGAGATCGTGCGCGAAGAACCCATACCCTTTTCTGGAAATTCTACGCCTTCTTTGACGCTCACTCAGTGGACGAAGATGTCGATGCCTCATACACCACCCCCGCAAGACCAGTCGATGCTTCCATTTGGTTTCACCTATCCGAGGCATACTGGGCCTGTTCCTTCGCTTCCTATCTCACTTCCTAGTCCGCCACTCTCGTGGTCTCCAGATAGTCCAACGACAGAAGCACAGTTGTCCCTCTCACACCGTATTGTACGAGAGTGTTGCCGCAACGGCTATCAGTTACTTGTTTATTCGCCCGATGATCCGAAAGTTTCAGAGGTGTTTGGAGGCTTACTTACTGAGTCGGAGCGTATGAATCATGTTTCGGGATTCTACGATGCTATGCATGATGATTTAGGTGACATGGTTGATGCTAGGACCAAAGTTCTTAGTCCCATGCATCCGAAAAAACACAGTTTCTCACACAACCAGCTTGCTCGCTCATCTAGGACTTGGCAGTTGGTTTTTGAGGGCGCGGAAGAATGGATCGATGCGTCCGGGGTGCAGAGACTTCTACTGGAGAAGGGCATTGACATCCAGGGCGGTGATCGCATTTCGAGCACTGTGTTTCGGGTGAAGTCTTCTCCGTTATTATTTGATGTGGCTACTTTTATCAGACGTGAGTCAAAGCTCCATGACAATCTCGGATCCCTCTAACTGAGGCTTACAGTCCTTTCTATGGAATGCGTTTGCGTTGGCAAGGGACCGGCTTTTCGACGAAATATGGTCGAAAAGATATTACACCTTTCCACTTCTAATAACCCTTGGGGATATGATACTTCATTTCAGGTTGATGTTTCCGGATATAATTTTTAATCAGAAGAAATTCGTGGCTTCGATCAGCTTTTGTAGCCGTTCGTCGTCCCAATACCGTTCCATCGCTTCTGTCTTCCAAATCTCCCAGTTCAAATGCGTGCTATCGCCTAAACCTTTCAGGAAGTTATCCCCCAGTCCGTTTAACAGACCAAAGAATAACCCTAAAAACCCATCCCAGTCTGAAATGTCATATCCACAGCAGAAATCAAATCGATGGAGCAGACGTCCGCATCGCGTGATTTCTCCAAGATCAGGATGTCCCTTCTCATAGAGAATCTCGGCAAAAGTAACCTCGTCGTCACCGACCCGATTGACTCCATCATAGAACTCACACACAGGAAGAAGAGCAGTAGGTGAATTAAACGCCACCGATTTAGGCGCCGTGTACGCCCATTCCCAATCAATGATCCCAGTGATATTAAAATCCTCATCAACCAGAATATGATCTCCCTTGTCATCCGCATGTCTCAGATAGAACTTCCCATCATCCAAATCATTATACGAAAAGACCTTGCCGACGTTATCCAGCAGATAGCGATGCACCAGGTAAGCATCAACCGGTCTCGCGGTATAGATCTCCTGCCGCAGAATCAAATTCAGCGTCAAATCAATCCCGGTCTTGTAGTAATCCTGTATGGACGAACAAGGACCGGTAGATTTCAACACCCCATCCTTCCAATCACTCAAAGCCTCCACCGCGAAAGGCCCAATCCGCCCAGAGCCAGGGTGACTTAAGCACCCCATGCTATCCATCGGATAGTTTAGAAGAGTCACGTACACATCCGCCAGTTGGCTTAGCACTTTCCGTTTCTTCTCAGCTGTCCACGCCAAACCTAACGAACTACCGACACTCTTGCCCGGCAATTTTTCCATGAGAATATAAGGAACGCCCACGGGGTTGTTTTCGTCTGAATCGAAATCATACACCATCGGCGTGGGGATGTTGATTCTTCGGAGAAATTGGAGTGTGGCTACCTCGCTGCGGAGAATATAACTTTGCAGATCGGGTGGTGGAGATGTAGCGTTTGAGCGACGGATTCGTGCTAGCCAGCTCGTGCCGTCTTCGAAGAGAATCTCGATATGGTAGTTCGTGCCGCCCATTACTTTACTGCATGCTTCGTGGGAGTATCTGAGGTTGTGGGGGAGTGTGCAGGGGACTCCATTGCGGAGGGTGGATGCGCGGGTTGTTAGGGCTTGGATGTCAATTTTTTGGAAAAGGTGGGTTATTTCATCTTTTTCAGCTTTTGCAGCGGCAGAGTAAAATGCGGTTTTATCCTGTTTATATTTTTAATGGCTGTCTGGTGTTTCGAGACATTGTGTATAAGGTGGCTTTGCGTACCTCCCATGTTGGACATTTGTGGTATTCTGATTTGAGGTGTCTTGCGCATAAGTGCTGATTGCAGATTATGCAGCCTCCTAGTTGGCGCACAGAGGGCTTTTCACAGCTTGTAAAGTCGCAGTTCCACATGGTGTGGGTTGTAAGTGGTGTATTCTATGAGGGTTGTGGGATTGAGGTCATGGTCTGAACCCCTTGCGTTATCAGGTGACTGGAATGTTGTAGACAGGGCATTTCTACTGCTTGATTCTTCAGTATTATCAAGAGTTTGGAAGGGTTGTATCATTGAATCCATTCTCAGTGATATCCTTATCTGCTTCCAAGCTTTGCCTTCTCCGCACGGCTACCGTCGGGTTTACCTTTCACAGTCCCCAGCCGTGACCTCGATGACAGGCAAAGCGATGAACCAAACCAAACCAAAATATTGGAAGAACTGAGAAATAGACTTAGATTTTCCTGAAAAAGATGTGAAGATATAGTGTGGCTTTGACTAGATTGATGTGCCAAGGCTTGGACTACAATCAAGTCAGAGTGGGGGTTCCCCGCATGTTATCAAGTAATGCCATTCACGCCCTTCGAATATTACATGTGGACCTTGGGATAAAGACTCGATCACTCATTGGCTCCGCTCACGAGGTGAGTCAAAGTTCATCGGAGATTAAGAAGCTTCCATCTGCCATTTACTCATTAGAACTGAGTCAGGGCGTCTTTGCAGCACATATATCTGTTGGGTGCGGTTCCGCTACTGGACTCTAATTTTTCAACCTCAATTATCTCATTAAATTCTTGGTCCCACCGATACACCTTTCTACATATTGAACATTATGTCACTCGCGAATCAACTCACACCTTTTGGGAAGCCAATGCTCAAGCATTGGCTATTTGACCCCTCCTACAGAAACCTTAACCACGGTCAGTATTCCGTCCTCCGTCATAATGCCAGTAACTAATATATTCCCAGGCTCCTTCGGCGCCCACCCCGTTCAAGTCCGCGATGTACAGCGTGCTCTTTTAGCTATCGCAGATAAGCGACCAGACCCTTATATCCGCGTTCATCACTCAAAGCTCCTGCAAGAAGCGCGCGAAGAGATTGCCGCGCTTATCAACGCTCCAAAAGATGAATGTGTTTTCATCAAGAATGCCACTACGGGCGTATTCACCGTCCTTTATAACCTCAATTTCAAGGAGGATGAGGTTGTGATCTATTTTGAACCGGTATACGGTGCTGTGGAGATGGGTATTGTCTCCCTGCAAGAGCATTGTGATTTCCAGGCTCGGAAGGTGCCGCTTGAATTCCCGATTACTGAGAATGAGTTGGTGCGTCGATTCCGCGAGGTGGTTCGTAAGGCTCGCGCCGAAGGCCTCAAAGTTCGTGCTGCACTCTTTGATGCTGTCGTCAGTAACCCGGGCGTTCGGTTTCCGTTTGAACGGTTTGTGGGTGTTTGCCGGGAAGAGGGGATCTTAAGTGTCATTGATGGCGCACACGGCGTTGGAATGATTCCTCTCGATATGAAGGAACTGCAACCGGACTTTTTCGTATCGAACTGCCACAAGTATGTGTCTCGTCTGCTTCCCCTCTAATGTTTCGACATAGCAGTATCTTACCTTTCAATCCAGATGGCTCTACACCCCCCGAAGTGCAGCATTGCTGTATGTCCCCAAACGCAACCAGCACCTCATCCGCTCCACCATGCCAACATCATGGGGCTTCATCCCAGCACCAACATCAATCAAAGTAGCAGACTCAGTCCTCCAAGACAATAATGCACCTAAAACCGAAACGCCCTTCGAAGAACTATTCGAATTCGTCGCCACAACGGACGACTCAGCCTATATCTGCATTCCGGCGGCACTCAAATTTCGCCGTGAAGTCTGCGGCGGCGAAGAAGCCATCATGTCCTACTGCCACACTCTCGCCAACGAAGCAGCCGATCTGATCGCCGCAACTCTCGGTACAGATGTTCTGCAAGAACCGGACCTCAAACCGGGACAGAAGAGCAATATGCGTAGCTGCTGCATGACTACCATCCGCTTGCCGATCCGTGTTGCGGATGATGGGTCTCCGGGCCAGGGGTCTTGGGTGACACTGTCGTCTAAAGAGGCGCCGCTAGCGGCTTCGTTTCTTCAACAGACGCTCATGGCAAAGTATGATACTTTCGTTCCTGTTTTCCGACATGGGGCTTCGCTTTGGACTCGCGTCAGTGCTCAGGTCTTTTTGGAAATCAGTGATTTCGAGTGGTTAGCTGGTATTCTGCGTGAGCTGTGTGAGCAGGTGGCAAGAAAGAACAGGACTAGTAAACTGGCATAGTGCAAGACCTTGGCATTGATTTAAATAGAAAAGGACAGACCAGAATTGGTCATCAATTAATTCAACGTCACTCAACCTTCACAATCCTTCCCGTCTCCACCTCATATATATACCCAGTAACAGGAACATCCAGGACAAGCGGACTATCCTTTAAAATACCAACGTCTTCCAAAACGCTCTGCCTCAAGTCCCCAAATGGCAAAAACGCAATATGATCCACATTCTGCTTGAGATCCGTCCGGATCTTGTGACGGATCACATCGTCCGTGAACGTAAGCATTCCACAATCGGTCTAGTCGGCATTAGAATCGGGTTTTCACGAGAGTGTAGGAACCTGGAGTGCTTATGTGGCATGTCTTACATGGTGCACAATAATAATCTCTCTCGTCCCGAGTAATTGCTGCGAAATGACGATGCTGCGCAGTGCATCTGTGGCCCGTCCGCCTGCATTTCGGATTACGTGGGCGTCGCCTTCTTCGAGGCCTAGGGCTCGGGCGGGGTCTGATCTTCGTCAGCTTTGACACAGTACATGTGTGTTGATAGTATGATATCATTTCGGGGTATATGGGAAGGTTGTATGGCAATGTGGAGCTGTGGGAATGAATGTACCGAGGCGCGCGTCCATGCATGCTACTATTGCTACCTTTCTGTCGATTGAACGGGTCAGAGGTTTGTATTAATAGAGTATTTGGATGTCAATGAACTAGTGGGGTATTGCTTAGATCTGTAGATTACCGGGCTGGAGGAAGAGGGAGAGTGCCTCTGTTGAATGAGGCGGCGTATTTAGCGTTTGCGGACTCGAGTTCCAGAGCAACGGACATTGTGATTGATGTAGAATATGGTTCGATTTAGAGTACCTTGGGGATGAACAGGATATAAGAACAAGGAAATGAGATGGACCACCCCCGTATCTACGTTGCGAATATGAGGTGATTTGTGGTTATCATGACCCTGGATGGCGTGATGGGAGTTTTCTGCCGGAGCCAATGGAGAGTGGGATGTGGTGTTGTTTCTCGACAGAAGCGTAGATACTTTGCAGCTTTGGTTTTGACCTTTGGTGTTGGGAGCGGCGAGTGGTGAAGTAGTTGCTTGGGTCCTAATCTGGGTATTCTGTAGACCTCAGATCAACGTGTATAGGAAATGGTTTCTCTACAAGATTGAGTATCACCTGGTAGAGGGTATAGAAATATCGAGGAAATACGAACTGCATTACTTGTATAGCTTTTCAGGTTGGAGATGGGAATGATATCAGAGTCCATTGTAGATAATGTTGGAAGAAATCATGTACAAAGAAACCCATGAAGGGTAATTACATACTCGTGGGCCCGCCACCGCCAATAAAAAGAAAGAGAAAGGTAAAGGGGGTATGGATGGAAAGAAACGCTAAAGGACCAGGATCGCCATACAAACACAAAAGCCTGAAAGCCTTGAAACCCAATGCACGGCCCAACCCGAGAATGTTAGTACCATAGAAGTCGTGAAATCAGCCTGTTTTAGTTATTGCCACCTCCAAACCGACTCCAGACCCAGCCTGTGAAACCTCCACGGCTGTCTTCATTACGACTATTGCGACTGGACCCACTAGATCTCCTTGTACGAGAAGCATTGGGATCCGGAGTCGCCGGAGCCTGGGCCTGTGAATGCCGACTAGACCTTGAAAAAGAAGAACGACCGCTAAGCGAGGCAAAAGGAGAACTGCGTCGTCGACGACCAGGTGATGGGACCTCGGGACTATCTGGGATGACGACCGGGTTCTCGCTGGTACCTTCGCCATGCGTGCGGCTAGTCGAGCTGCCAGTGGTGCCAGGTGTACTTGTGGAACAGGTTCGTGTCAGCTCGAGAGTTGTAATGTAATCAAGCCTAGAGTGGCCGGTGTGGTTGTGGTGTGCTACTTACGCACTGATGGAGTCGATACTCCGGCGACAGTGTGGACAGGTGTTATGCTGTATAAGCCACGCTTCAATGCAGCTGAAGTGAAACCAATGTGTGCAAGGTAGCACTGTGACTTCAGTGCCTATCTCTACCATATCCATGCAGATAGAGCACTCGGCTGTGCCGTCCGGTCCCAACATTTGCTGATCTACCTTTTTCCTTGGTAGGGATTGGATAGCGGTAGTGGATGCGCCTGGGGGTGCAGTTCCCGCTGCATTATGATCGATGAGCTCTGAGATAACCCGGTCTAATTCCTCTTGTGAGTATACCGCGTCGCCGTTCCGATCCATGTTTAGTAAGACTGAGAGCATTGCGAGTGGGTTCGCGAGTGGGTTTGGGCCTGCTATGCCACTTGCGCCGGCTCTGCCTGGTCGTCGTGCGTAGTTCTGTCGGAAGCTATCCAAAAGTCTAGCGTGGTCATTAGCATCAGCGAGTGCTTCCGAGATGCGGGCTCTGCGGCCTGCGAACACATACTCGACTAGGTCTTGCGGCTGGGCCATAGATTGCGCTGCGCCTGGTTCGCGTGGGAATGATTCTGGGGGATCGTCGTACTCGTCGGTCCCATGGTGGTCAGAGTCGAAAGGATCCATGGCCGCCGCACCGCGGGGTGTGCGCTGGTTGTATCCGGTGTTTGAAAGCGTCTGGAATATTGAATCCAAGCCTTCGAATATCATTGGCACTGCGGGATTGGCCTGCGCATTTATTTGGCGGGATGCGAATCCTCCGCGTACGGAGGTGCTGCTAAATACAAAACGACCATCGGGTGATCTGTAAGTGTGCTGTGAGTAGCGCGGGGAGCTGGGCGAAGTAGCGTCCATGAAGCCGTAGCGTCGCGGCAGCTCTTCCTGAGCCCATGGATTATGAGTTTCCCACGGATTGGTCGGTGGGGAATCATGCTCGATATGTGGTTCTGGTGAAGCATCATCAGGGGGAATTTCGACCTAAAGACGGTTGCTATTAGTGGAGGCTCCCTGGAGACAGGACCGAATAGCGTACGATCTCCGTGAAGTCGGATTGACAGTGCGGACACGTCAAACCGCCACCGAGTCTTAACCAGACCGCGCCACAGGCATGACACAAGATGCGATCGCCATGGTCGCTATGATCGGCCATTATTGAGAAAGTGTGCAAGTCAGTTCGAGGGGTGAATGTTTGAAAGATCAAGTTCGCGCGGAACAGTCACGAGTCATGGCTCTTATCAGGCGGGGTTTAGGTGTTGGAGATCAACCCGAACAAAGACGAATCAGAAGGGATGATGAAGGCCGATGATTGCTCAGATAAAAGCGGGAATTTCCCCAGCAAAAGAAAACAAGCTATTTAATATGTCGTCACAAGTACAACGGTAGGCCACGAAGTAAAGTCATGAAACCGATCGCTCTCATGCACCATAAAAATAGAACTAGATTCAGGCAGCTTTATTTTCAAGCCTCGGAGGTATAATGATGCAGGTGGCAAGGAGGCAAAAAAGAAGAATCTGGAAAAAAGACATATACATCGATTCATTCATACATAAAGAATCAAAGTTCTAACGCCTTGAAATGCTCATAATACAAAAACCCAGAGAAGCTAAAGCTGATAAAGGAACAATAAGGTAGACCATAATGGCAGATTGAACACTATACAAAAAACCCGTTCGCGACGCAAGGACGACCCGAACCGACTGTGCCACAGCCCTTGCAGGTCACCAATCCTAACGCTCACCGTCTTCTGGCTCCCTTGAGAACCAGACTACCCACGAGGCCCGCGGCCACGGCTAGACCTCCTACGATCGCGATGCCCACTAGGCCTTCCTTGGCAACCTTGTCGTCGATGAGGGACCCTAGACTGGCCGCTTGCAAGTTGGCCGGTTCCTTCTCCAGCAACAAATCATTGTACCGACGAGCCTCGCCGTAGTTGCCCAACTTGTAGTTGCCTAGAGCCAAATAGTACAGACACTCTCGTCGTCGTTCCGGTGCGCCACGGAAGATCTCTGACAGGAGTCGGACGCCTTCTTGCTGGTCGGGTCGAGTGTTGGACTTGATCAGGCCCTAATTACCGAGTTGATTAGATTATCACAGGAGACGGTGGTTATGACTGTGGCTGTGGCTGCAGCTGCGGTGGTTGGGGTCATACCCAGGCAAAGTTGAACTTGGTTTGAATGCCCACGTAGTCGCCTTCTTTCTCGTATTGCGCGCGCAGAACTTGCAGCTCGGCGGGCTTCAAGGGGCTAGAGGTCAGGCGAGTTAGTTCGCATCGTTCAAGGACATCGGTGATCCCAGGCAACAGACCTTTCCGCATCGGCGGCATCTGGGTGGTGGCGCACACGGGTTAGCAAACGGCCAGGGAAATAGGGAGCAGCATGGGTAGCATACAGGGAAGGTTTGACATGGTGTTGCAGTATTCGAGTATTCACACAGAGAAATGGGTAGCAAATAGGCGGAGATTAAAGGACAAAGGTAAAAATGAAGACCAAGCGCGATCACAAGCGCCAACGTCACTTGCGGAGAAATGTGTGGCGGTGCTGTGGCGGTTGCTGCCGCAACAAAACATAAACATCTCCTTCGATCAACTTCTAACGGCTATACTGCCCACCATGTTGCTCGACGAGGATCCTGCGACGGTACGTCACTACTGCCGATACACAGAAATATACATGATGGTTTAGTCTAACTGGATTCAGCTCATCCACCACACTATCGGCAATTTCAACATCCATCCGGATAAGCAAGCCGTAACGCGCATTAATGACTCCCTCGCAACCCTCCAACAGTCACGCGACCTACGCATTCGCGAGGCAGAATCCTCTTTGCGTAAACTCTCACGCAATTTACACTCACTGAATACTCACCATGAAGAGGCCATTGCCGTCCATGACTCGGGTAAACACGCCGCCGAGATTGTCGAGCTTGACACAAAGAAATTCCGCATTGCAAAGGCCGCCTCAGAGCTCGAAATTGAGAGCGAGCGCCTCGAAAGTGAGCTCGAAATGCTTAAGGAGAGACTGGCAGATCTAGAGGCGCAAGGTCTGGAAGGTGACGAGGCTACGCGTCGGGAACGTGAGATGGATGATGCGACGATGTACGTTTTTATCTGGTCCCTGTACTTGCTTTCCAGATGCTAACATTTCATAGTCTACGACTAAAGATCTTCCGCTCGCTCGGCATCGATATCGAACCTGACGAGGCGGGCAATTTCAACCGTGCTGTGATTCGTAATAGTCGCAAGGGCGATGTGCATGTCGTCAATATCGACCCGAAGTTCTCGAGGTTCTTCTACTCGAACTACTTCTGGCAGACAGTGCAAGGATAATGATGGCCATGTCGGTGTTATGCAGGAGATTTGTTTTCGGTTGGAGTTTTTTATACCCTTGAATTGTTAATGACAATGATATCATGCCAATATACTGGATTCCGTGCATAATCTTCAAGGTATCCACAAACTATGGTACATAAATTTACAGACGCAGCTCACCCCCGCAAAGCCTCGAGTACTTTAGCCTGGTGTGCCTGCGCAAAACTCCCATCGGCCTCACTAGGACAACCATCCGGAAAGACATTTTCAACAGCATCCAACAATACACTCTTGTCAACATGTTCCACTTCCTTTCCCCAAGATTTCATCCACGACTCCTCATGCCGAAGTAATCCTTCCTCCACGGCATCCATATCAGGAATATCACATCCATCCCAAGTAAGTGCAACCTCCTTCAACAACCCCGCGGAGCCCTCGGCAGTAGCATACCGTGTCTCAATCCCAAGAGCACCCAAGCCCAATTCCTCCACCTTTGAGTTCCAAAGCGCCTGCCTTAGCGCCCCATCCCGCTCAACCATCATCCAAAAAAGTGGAAAGGAGCTCCGCGCAAGTGCATCCCGGACTCCCTTAGTTGCCTCGCGCGGGCTTACCAGTATCCCCACCGTCTGGCCCGTGCGCCAGCCCACCGGTGCCTGCCGGAGTGAGCCTTCAAGCTCGCGCACAATATTCGGGCCAAGCTTTGCCTTAAGCGCTTTGCATTGCACTAGGACGCGGAGGGCGCGCGATTGTTCGTGTGTGGGGAGGTGCCAGGTGCCTACTAGGTCTATTCCGGCATCGTCGCGGCCGCCGATGCGGTGTAGTGCTAGGGCATACCGGCGTAGGCTGTCGAGGACGGTGTACTCGTAGTGTGTGCCTACGTAGACGGTGCTAGTCTCTGGGAGAGAGATTCGAGTGGCGTAGGTAAGAAATTGGGAGAGGCTGTTGTGGTGTTGGGAGGGTGGAGGTGGTGCGGAGGGGAGCTTGAAAAGGCGGCGCGTGAATTGGGTTATGTCATTCTGGGCTTGGGTATTGGAGAAATGTCGGGAGAAGGTTCTATGGCGTTGGAATGGTGGATTTGCCCGTAAAAGTCTGGCTGCGAGGCGTCGCATTGGTGTGTTTGTAGGAGTGACGCTTCACCGCATTAGAGCTTTTGTCTCCGCATTTCCCAAGTTAACCTTACTCGAACCTTTAAGATCCACTCTCCAAATTTCTAGCTCTCCCAAGTTTCAACCAGTCTACACGTATCATTTTGATCAACTCTCCATCCACTATCAACTTTACACCCTCAAGTCCCGCCGCCATGGCAGACATCCTAACCCAACTGCAAACCTGCCTGGACCAGGTAAGAAAGTCAAGCAGAAATCCTACTCCAGCTCCCGAAAGCTAACACCTTCAGCTCGCAACCCAATTCTACGCTACTCTGGGCTACCTCTCAACATACCACGACAACAGCCCAGCCATCCCACCCCCAAACGTCCCCAACGCAGTCCCAGCCCTAGCAAAGATAACCAAAAACTCAACATCCCCTCCAATCCCAGCCTCTCTCGCCTCGAAAGGCGGCACCGAAGTCGCCGGCCACGGCTCCCCGCCTCCACAACCACCACAACAACCTGGTGTCGCCGGTCCATCAGAAGGCGAAGACCCCAACCAGCCCCCACAGCCTGACTCCCCGCGCACATTCGCGAGTCGGCAGCGGGAGCTTGCGCGTGATCTTATCATCAAGGAGCAGCAGATTGAGTACTTGATTTCGGTGCTACCGGGCATCGGGGCCTCAGAGACGGAGCAGGAGACTAGGATTCGGGAATTGGAAGTCCAGCTGAGAGATGTTGAGCGAGAGAGGGAAGTTAAGATTGAGGAGTTGAGGGGCTTGAAAAAGAGGCTGGAGAGTGTGCTTGGGGCTGTTTCAGTGGGTATTTATGGGGATAGGGAATATCAGAAATGAATGGCTTGATTTTTGGTTCTTGGTCCTTGATTCTGGGTTGATGGGTTGTGGCGTTTGGGTTCGGGTGGATATATTGTTTGATACCAACTTATAGATATTCAGTATAAATTGATTTTTTACGATTGCCTTCTGCTTTAATTTTGGCAAATTGGATCTACCATGAAGCGTATTTAAGACTGAGACTATGCCAATAGCTACATGTAACGGCTTATCAAGACTATAGTTATGACACTCACGTGACCATCATCGGCCCTGAGTCTTGACTTTGAAGTATACAAAGCAGAGGCTGCAGTTTAGCTCAAATGCGTACAACCACTCTGGGAGCCGAACTAGTAAGGCCCAAATCTGTTTTCAAATGGTATTAAGGCTTAGAGACTAAATTCCTTAAGCATTGCGAAAGTCTTGAATTTTGGTATGTCAGAGTCTAGCGCCTGTTCAGGTGATATTGACTCTTAAATCGACAAAGTAATACACCACGGATTGGCTCTCATTTTGAAATGCCGGTCTTTTCCAAGGCAGAAGCACTGAGCTTGCCCTGGTGTGCTTTTTCATTTTGAGAGTAAAGTGTTCGTCTGCGACCCAGAGATACGGTTGACTGTGTCGCGAATTTGTGGGATTCTTCGCTTAGAGCTCTTATGATCGTGCTACGTTTCCGTTTCTTCTACGTTCGAGATAGTCTCAGGGATTTTTCGGCTATAGTCAGATATTGCAAGTTCTCACATATCCATACACTTCTCGTTTATCCATCTTTGCATATGTTATCAAACCTCATAGTGAATAAGGAAACAGACTGAAAAGTGAAAAAGGTCTCGGTATAAATAACTATCTAGCGTGCAGCTGACCTTTTGGATAGAAGTAAATATGTAGTGCATCTTCAGGGGTAAAACTGGGGATGAAAAAGCAGAAACAACCTTGGAACCCTTCTATGTGTAGATGGCAATGCGAGGTTCCAACGCCGAAGTAAAAAGTCCTCTCCATGTCCGGGTATCAAACGAAATGTCAAAACCATCCTGCCGGGGAAATCGATGTGTAGCAAATTCGTGGAAAGCATAAAAAAGTAGTGAAAAAGAAAATCAAAAGAAGAAAAAATTTAAAAAAAGAAAAAGAAAAATTCCGCGTAGTTTGTCTGCATCACTTGAAAAGACTCCGATACTCTTGCATCCGTTGCTCCTGGACTTCCTTCTTGTCCTGTTTGCTTCGGTTCATGCTCATATCGGCGAGCTGCTGTTTTTTCTTCGCCAGCTCCAGAATCTTTTCTTCGATGCTGTTTTTCATGATGAACTGGATAGTCTGCACGGGGCGGGTCTGGCCGAGGCGGTGCACGCGATCCACGGCCTGCGCAACGGCTGCGGGGTTATACTGTGGCTCCATGATATAAACTCGGGATGCAGATGTGAGATTTAGTCCAACACCACCAGCACCGATGGTGGCTAGGAGAATGGTGATGTTGTTATCTTTTGCGAAGGCATCCAATGCCTTTCCACGGGCTGCAAGGGACATGGTGCCATCCAGTCGGGTGAAAGTATCAAGCCCGTTGTTCTTGAGAGCTATCTCAATCAAATCTAAATGGGTCGTCCATGCGGAAAATACAACGCTCTTGATCGGTGGCTCTCCTAGCTCTCCTACCAGCACGCTGCTTTCCTCAAGGTTTGCCCTCAAGTGGCTGACCAGGGCCAAGGTTTTGGTATGGGGACGCTCGTAATCGCCAAGGATCTTGCCGTACTTTCGATTTGACTGACTTTCAGTTCTTTGGGTATCAAAATCCTCAATGATCCCAGGTGTCAGTATCGTAAAAGACTTCGTGATCCAACCTTCACAGGCTTTGCACCGGGCTTCTCCGCCAGATTGGCCGTGGAATTCCGTCCAGGACCAGAAGCAAGAAGGACAAAGCATATCGAAGCATGGTAAGTAAACAGCCATGTGGGCATCCCGGTCGATATCACCAGAGCTAGTGAGAGGCTCATCAAGGTGAGAGCTGCAGAGGGCACATTGATCGGCGGATGTTTGCTGCATAAGCGAGTACATTTGATATGCTTTTCTCTCCTTGGCAGCAGAACTGCCATCATCTGATTCGTTCTCTTCCAAATCAATAGCATCAGTCATAGTGGTACCCTTGATCCTTTCCCGATCTTCACGATCGAGAAGCTCTTTACCATGAGCACTGACTTGGCGTAGTAACATCATGGCTTTTAGCACATGGTGGTACATGCGGCCTCCCATCTTGGTCTTGTTTTCGCCCACAATATGACTCATCATGGCATTAGACTCGTTGCGGAAGTAATCATGTAGCTGCTGCTCCTTGTCAGAGAACTCCAGGGTGATTAACCTGTCCACTCGCGGTGGCAGATTGATCTTGTCTTTAACCCGACGTAGAGTGAATGAGTCAATCAGGACCCGGAGACTGGTAAGAACTGTTGCATCATTGGTCTTAAAACGGCTTACTATAAACTGCCGGAAGTGGGTATTGTCATCGTACGGGGAAAGGCGTAAGAACTTCAGGACGGAGTGAAGGTCTTCGAGGCGATTCTGAACAGGCGTTCCTGTCACAGACCAACGGCGCTGCGCATTAAGACTCAGAATTGCCTTAGTCTGTTGGGCATTCTGCTCCCGGATTATGTGAGCCTCATCCAGAACGATGCGAAACATGTTCATTTTGCTGAAAGGGCTATCACGCCCGACGCGCGAAGATAGCTCACTGAGAACTGTGCTGTATGTTGTGATTATAAGGTCATAAGTAGCCAGTTCCTTCAAATCGGTGATTCGGCCCGATCCATGGAAAACATATGCTTTGATCGAGTTCGCTTTGAGATGCTCTTCGACCTGCATTGTCCAGTTCTTCACAGCACTTAGTGGCGCAACCAAGAGAGTTGTTCGAGTGTTGCGGATGCCGGGATACTGACGGGCCAGGCCATCGGGCGGAGGCGAATTTTCCCATTTGTGCGCCGCGGATAGCGACGACAAGACCAAAGAGAGTATGCTCAACGTTTTCCCGAGACCCATCATGTCAGCCAGCAGACCACCAAGGACTTGTCGAGGCTCTCTGGCACACACTGTACCAGTGATGATCTCTTTGTATTCCTTCTGGCCACTGGCGTTCCTGTGACATCGCCAAAGTGAATTGTTGTCCGCTTCTTCAGGCCCGAACTTCCGGCGTTTTTCTTTCTCCGTCATAAACCACAGCGCCTGCTTTTGATGATGAAGAAGGGGTGTCAGTACACTGTCAGGAGGTTCCATCGTGGGAACATCGGCGCTGACAAGCTGATTAAACATTTTGGTCACAGAGTCGGTGATTTCCTCTGCCGTTCGAACCTCATATCTGAATGCGGGACGTTCTCTCATGCTGTTGTTTGTTGAAGCTGCATTCTGGGCTGCTCGCATTTGCCTTATCTCATCATGAGGGTTCCATACCGGAGTACCTTTTTCCACGATAGGTGGAACACCAAGCCAGACATTTTGGTGACTAAGAAACTTGCCAACCATTGCAGCACGTTGACGCTCTCCATACAAAGTCAGCGAAGCCCGATAATTTGCCGCTGTGGGTTCACCAGGAATCTCTTGTGGCAGGATTGCTCGCATATCCAATCGTGCGGATATTTCCAGCGGTATAATAGGGGAGTCAAGCAATTGACAGAGAGCAGGCGCAACTTTGGAATGGATCACGCCAAATCGAATCCCAGTAGGGTCTGAGACTTCAATTCGTTTGTTTGTTGTATCTGGATCGCGATGCAATTCGAGTTTGATGATAGGCCATTGGTCGGGGAAAAGGAATTTGGAATTTGGGTCTGGTTTTGGCACCAAGGTGGCATTGATCGTGGCCCCTTCAATTTTTCCATAGCAAACACGCTGGGTACTGAGGTCATTCGAACCTGTGAATTGAATTTCGTCGTCTTCCGCGTTGTCCTTCGGAGGCGTGGTGGTCAAATCCACAACACCCAAGACAGCTGGGGATGGAGCGTGATTCGTTTGGTCCTTTTTCATGAACTGCCCCAGCTCACTGCCCTCGGAAGTCCTGATATGTTGACTGGGTGTCCCAGGCTTAGATGTATCCTCTACCCTCATCTTTTTGACGGGTTGGTGACGGCGTTCTTCGACATTGTAAACCTCCTCGATCAGGCCGCGAGAGCGAGTGCGTTCATCTTCTTCGCTCATGTCGTTATAACTTCTCTTCGCATCGCTTTCATTGTCCTCGTCTTTCACACTTGTGAACTGCACTGTCATGTTGGCTTGCGGGTTCGGCGTGTCACTTGGTGCGGGACTCGGTGCTATCGCCATGGACCTGGGTGATGTCTTGCGGGGGATGGTCGCCGAAAACTGCACAGCCGGAGAAGTTCCAGGCGGGGCGATAGAGGAGGCGGAAGGACGCGGAGAACGGTTCGCATTTGAGGGACCTGAGAGGAGAGGAGGTGAGCTGGGTGTTTCTGTCGAGTCCAAAGCCGTGGGATATGGAGGCGAATGTGACAAGGAAGTTGTTGGTTCTTCTGTGGCCTGGTGCATCGGCGCCAACATGGATTCTGAAGCAACCAAAGGGGTTTCCATATTGTTTGGAAAGGGAGAAGAAGAAGGGAAAAAAGGCAAAGTACCTTGTTGCAGTTGCTTCTTGTAGGCCTTCGGGTCCAACAACATGGATGCGCGGGAGGCCATGATGCCGGAAGTGATATGATCTGGGGAACCCGAAAGAAAATGGTATCCAGCTGTTTCAATCACACGCTCCGCGAAAGTGACGGACAAGTGAAATGGAGTTTCTGATGAAAGACTTGATATGGGGACGAAAGGAAGAGGAGCAGGTGACGGAGGGAAGGGAAGGGCGTGATGAGGCGCAGATTCACAAGCCGCATAAAATCAAAGAAGAAAAGAAAGAAACATGAGCGCGTTCCTGTCAGCATCCGCGCCGCTACTTGAAAGCTCGAGTAGGGATGCCTGGAGGAAGTTCAGATCATGACCTCACTGTTGCTCGGAAGTTCCCGCCGATAAGAGCGGTTATCTTTGTTCTCAGATTCGCTGAGCAATGGAAGTAGAGAGTTGGGGGAACGAAGATCTCCGTGATTCAGAGCCCAGATAGATGTGAAAGGGTCGAGTATTGGAAGTACGATAGGATCAAAGTATATTGGTTCTAAGTCTACCGCCTTGGCCGATACATCTTATCTATGCATCTCCCGTCCCGCGTAGGTGCCGATGTAGGTACGCTGATCTTAAACGCGCATGATCTTCTACACCGCACTGCGTTTAAACCACATTTGATCTAGACATGGAAATCAAAGGAAGTCCGGACGATGGTATCATGGAATTAAGTCTCGTCATATATGCTACATGAGGCGCTCAATCAATGCGCCGCAACCCCAACCCGAAACAGTCAGAGACGGTCTATATACAACACAAAATCCCCAATCATGAGCGTGGCGTGCGCGAATAAAACAACACTAGCATCAGCAAGTGTGTGCAGGAAAAGAACAGAAAGGAAGACACGAGGATGCAGAAAATGATCTGCTCGCAGCTCCAAGAAGAACGCTAAAGGAAACAATGGCGAATTAAATAATTGAGATGGAAACGCGACGGCATGAAAAGGGGGAAAGAAAATAGAAAGCCAACCCAACGCCCGAATTTCGAGATTGTATGCTTTAGCACCAGGTGAAGACGGGGTTCTTGCTCTTGACAGCCTCTAAACGCTCCACAATGACTTTGCGTTGATTCCCTTCCATGCCCTCAGCGGCTGCGTATCCGAGGTCTCCCTCAAGATCATCACTGCCGAAGGTATTGATGTGAGGTACACGGAAAGATAGAGAACCGCCATGTTTGCGGTGCTTATTAGACCGAGCAGGGAGGTCAGGCCATCCATCCAAGGACCTAGCATAGGCGCCATCAATGGTTGTGCGTGAGTAGTCATCGTTCATAGTAGCAGGACTACCGATAGAGTCAGTGGCTCGTCCGCCAGATCGGCTATGGGAGAGTTCGAACCGGTTGGGGTTGGGAAGGTCGTTCGAAGAAGGCCCCAGTCCTAGGAGGTCGTGATCGGGGGTTGGGTGAGAAGAGTTGGCTGCACCGATGTCCATCTCTTCTTCTTCGTTGTCATAATTCATGGCTTGGCGTCTTTGCATGTCGGTGGAGGGTGCCCGCATTGGAATAGCAACGGGTACGTCTACAAGATCATCCCACACGCAAACCCTGGTCCTTCGGGTTAATTCGAGAGGACCATGGTCCGAATGCTTCAAAGTCTCGACAACATTCCAGGCCTGGCCCTTCATAACAGCAATTTGCCGAGCGAACATGCTCTCTTTGAAATCGTTGTCCTGGGAGAAAACTCTGCGCAATGCCATCTGCGTCCCACTCCACCACGCAGTCGAGGTAAGCAAAGGAAGAAAGTGGTCGCGAGTCTTTTGCGAGAACGGTTGTCCAATCAGGGAAACGGGTAGGAAAAGCCATCCGAAGGGGAAACTCCGCCACTGATCTGCATGTTAGTATTGGCCAAATGATATGTGCTGTACAAGGGACATACTGCGTCGGGATGTTTCCATGGCCATGATAGACTGTTGTCAATGGCGCCAACTTGAACGGAGGCTTGCTGTTCCGATGAAGCCAAGGGCGTTCCTGTGCGACTGACTGCCATCATTGTCTCGCGCCGCCGATAGGGATTGGAACCGTTGGAGTTGACAGAAACTGGGCGCGGAGGGGGCATGAGGTCGTCTTCATCGTGCTTAGGTTGCGGCTCAGTGGATTTCGGAGGGTCTGCCACAATAGACACTTGCTCAGTGCCCCAATCAATTTTGATCATCCAGTTATCCAGTCCACGATCTGTGTTCCGCATTATGTAGTCTAGAATCACCAATTTCTCCAGCTCTTCACGGAATGACTGCTTAAGGTTTTCGGTCCAATTGAAACGACGTTCGGCACTTTCATCGCGTGGGTTTGGCGTAGGCATCTGTCCAGCCTCATCATCATCCTCGTCGTCGGACTGCACACCAGATGGGCGACACGCCTCGTTCCACGGCCGCTTTTTGCGCTTCGGGGCGTCCTCTGCCCGGAAACCGGAATTGATTTGGTCAGGCCAAGGATGTTCACGAAGAAAAATGTTGGCATCTTTGTATCCTTTAAGGAAGACTTGGAAACTACCAGCCTTGGGAGGCAGGATCTTCTTTCCTTTCCAGGCCTTGCGCCGGTCCCAGAAATCGTAGAAGAAGGATTTCGAGGACAGATACGCGATATCGGTGAAGGGGACGAGGTTTGTGCGTAAGCGGGCATCGAGAACATATGCGGCGGCTTCGGAGACGTAGGAGAGATTGGGAATAAGACACGCCCGGCCGAAGAAGCAAGGAAACAGGTTCCGGTGAATCCACTTGGTCCATTTGGGATTGCGCGAAGCGTAGGGTTCTTCATCTTTCGGTTTGAAGACACCGACCACTTTTCCTTCAGGGTTTCGAGCAAAGTAACTGCCCGAACTTCCCTGCGCGATCATCCTTGGATGCACACCAAGCTCAATTGCCAGACGAACACTTTCGATGATCTCCTCGTATTCTGCTCGCGCCCTTCTTTGCTGACCCTCAAATTCATCGGACTCGAGGTCCTCTGCCGAGACCGGTCGTACTCCGTCGGGAGCTTGGAAGACTGAGTGGTAGATCTCGAGCTTCTCTTCCTCGTAGGTCTTTCCCTTGACTCGGTTGATTTTGAACTTGGCGGCAATCTCCTCTGCCCATCGCTCCAGACGCGCATTGATAGCCTTTATGTCGACTCCAGAGTTGCGGCGGCCGCGGCGGGAATATCCACTGTGTCTGCGTCGATGGCTTGGGGGCGTGGCGAGACCGGACGCCTGCATCTGGGCTCGGGAGGAAATAGGAGCATAACGGGGGTTGGAGGTGGACACTGTGGAGGAGACCGCAGCCAGTTCGTCATCTTCCGAGTCATCGTGGATATAACCGCGTTCTTCCTCTGCTTGGGCGAGACGAGCGTAGCCTGACGTGGCAGGGCGGGTTTTTGGCATTGTGAAGGACAGAGGTGGAAGGAAGGAAGGGGAGAAGACAATCTAGGAAGAAAACAATAACGGGCTGGAAAAAAACGAAAGACAATGAAAGGGTCACTCCATTAGAGATAATCGGATAGAGGACTTGAAGGCAGAGGAATAACGCATCCCGTCATGATTGATTATTATTATGGCCAGACATGGCTTAAGGCAGGGGGGCTTGACCTGAGGCGGGTCTGGTTACTGGTAATTTACCGCATGCGGCCAATGATACACTGCAAGTGCACGTTAACGTTTCTAATATGCCGTAATACCAATACCGGCACCGCCACAGAGTGCCGCAGTCTCCACCCCCTAAAAACCCACCCGCATAAAAGGGGGTTGCGTTGGTGGTCCTGCTCCAAGGTTTCATGGACTATCGCAATAGGTTTACAGGGAAAAGCCGGGAAATGAGGTCGTGGACTGACCCACATGGCCAATTGGCCAACTGTTTACAGAAAGAGTTAGGCATTCGTCCAAGGTCATATTGGAGCTATCCATTACTATCTATAGCACATACAGATCTACTTAAAACGCTATGATATAGATAATAGGTATAAGAGTATAGGTAAATATTGAGACCCCGAATTACACATTTGATGAAAGATCTATGATTTTGGCCAAGTATTTGATCATCTTGGCAGCTTTCAAGTCCTGCTAACATGCCTCATTGGAATGAGCATAAATGGCGGAGGCAGGGTTCAAAAGATATCGAATGTTATACTAGAAAACACATTCCAATAGATCATGGAATTAACGCAATTGCGGAAGGGTTCAGACAGCCTGATTTCACGGTAATTACCACTATACAGTGCCCAGCCCCATGCGCCCAGCGCGATAAGTGATAATTTCGATACGGCGCGCGATAATAACAATCGGGAAGGATAAGATCCATTTCTGAATCTTCGCATCATCCACCCCCAACTACTCCATTGATCGCTGTGATTGCACTATATTCTACTCGGTCTCACTTCCGAGGACGATTCGAACTCAGTCATTCATTTGTTTTTGCTGATGGTTTGGTCTCCTACGAGGAAACCTCATCACCTCTGCCAGTATCGTTAGCTTAACCGCCAAACGCCCAACGTCCTCCGCATTGCATTGTCTTCTATGAAACCAAGCATCTTGGAGTTCTGTTGATCTACATTCCCGGCCAATTCACCGAAAATCGCTTTACCCGATTCCTGCATCCTCTCGCGCCCTATCCTTCCGAACGTCGAGTTCTCTCCCTCTCTCCTCGTACAATTCGGTCCCAGCCGGATTTCCCTCGACCATCATCCTCTTCCTCCATTGTGGCTTCCATCCTTTATCGGGCGGCGCCCATTGACCCGGCTCTCAAACCTGGCTCGCCTCCGCATCAACCCTCCGAGCTCTCCCGTTTCGAGTCTCCGTCGACCGATACTCCTGCGTCACAGTCTACGGATACCGATCTCCCCAAGTCCTTCTCTCCAGTACTGCCAGATCTGAGTGGTATTGGCAAGTATAACAGTTCGGAATACAGAGATAGTTTCCCAGGCTCAGTCTCCGTGAGCGCCTCCCTTCCAGGATTGGCAGCGCTTGCCTCGGTCGCGTCTGCTCCCACCTCAAATCTACGGTACGTTTGTGGAAGAAAATCTCCACTAGACAGGGATCATTACGTGTATACCTGGCGATA